TGAGTTAAATCGGAAGTTTCTGAACCGATTAATTTTCGTATTATCGAGAAATATTTCGTTATAAATTTTTTGAAAGTTAGATGAAATCGAGATACATGGACTTGGAACCGAATATGCCGGAAGTTCGCGGCCATTTCGACGGAAAATTCGAAGATTAAAAAAGGAACGGACGGAGACCGTTGCACCGGATTCTAAAATAAACACGACTATTAATAAAATGTATCTTCTCGAGCGACCGACTTTTCACCGATCGGAATCCGGAAACCGTCCGAATAGACGGGCCCGACATTTTTTTTGTTCCTTTTGCGGTATCGTACAATATTTTTTCCACGATCAGAGAGCATTTTTTTGGCTCCCCTCGTATCGGTGGTTAAACCACAGCCTCCTTTGATAAGATTAGGATCGTCGAGGGCGGTTCGTTAATTGAACAAACACAATTACCGCGCCATTTGAGCAATTAATAATCCAGTATTTCTTTTTCTAATTAGTATATTTTAACACACGTACCGTGCAACACCTGTTTCGCTTTGCTAACAGTTTGTAAATCACCGCTATACCCCAGTTCCTTCTAGACCGGATTGTCTGTGCATTGGCTTCTTCGTAACCCGTAAATTATTCTATTCCACTAAGTATAGTCGCGTTTAAATTCCTTCCGGTCTGGTATTTTTTTTTTTTTTTTGTATTTTCTGCCTCCAATCTCGACCCATCGGTGCGTTAAAATGTATTTTCATTGCGCTCCATCGAGTAAAAATCGCGTCCGCCATCTTGTCGTTTTGTTAATCTGTCAAAAAACGTGTTTTATGATAGGTGACATTGACAGATTAATGACGGGGTAGGAAGAATTTTTCGTTCTCACGGTATATATCGAACGTTTTGTACTATTTCGGCGATCCAAGAAAATATTCTTCGACAAAAGGAACCTTCTTGATACCAACTTACATCCACCTTTTGTACTAAACACACTAACTTTCTTCTGTTATTATGTAATATTTATGGTGACATTTCGTTAACAATGCGTAGATGAAAGAATCCCATAGTGGAAAAAAAAAACATTTCGACCATACGTGTATAGGATATATGGGTAGGCGAGTTTTACCTGCTCGAAATTCCATTCTTCGTGTATGCCGGTGTGCCTCTACGGTTTCCGATGAAAGGGGATTTTTCAAAAAATAATCCAAACCCGCGATTTTCGCTTTAAATACATCGAACAGAAACTCGTATTTCCTGCCGTATCGATTACGTAACCAACAAGTTAAAACCAACGAGCGATATTCGAAGGCTTCATCAGAAGATGAAAAAAAAAAAAACACCGAAGCTTCTGATGTTTTGCAAAGCGCAGCTGGTGTAAGGAAATCTAAGGTTTCACACATGTCGCGGTGTTTATTCAATATTTATTTACTCAACCGAGCTCCTGAATAGCCGAAAATTCGCGCTAATGATTTGTATTTTTAACGCTAATTACATGTACCGGATTTGAGCCTATTCGCATCGAATTTTCACCCTGTATACGTGCAGAACACGTGTGTTTAGGGCCCCCCATTTTCGAATCTCGCCCTCCCGGAGCGCCTCGTCGGGCAGATGTGCAACCTGTAGAACGAAAAAATAACACACTTGCTGCGCTTCGGTATCGCCCCGCTCCTTCAAGGACAAGGGCGGATCGTTTCGACTCCACTAAAAAGGGAAATAAACGCGCCCTTTAACGCGGAATCTTTCGCTCAACAGGTGAACGATTCCGCGATTCTTATCTACCCTTAATCGTTAACGAGCATAACTTAGGTGTCGATTAATTAAAGGGATGTTTTTTCGGCACGTCTATGATTCGATGCATGTAAGGGGTGGTCTTGTACAACAACCACCCTTACCCTCGGCTAAAAAGGACACAATGCGGCGCGTTTTCAGGGTTGATTCGCCTGTTTAGTGGGCGCCCCCGTTGGCACTGGGGATAAATAATTCCGGGTGGATGTAGCATGTGTGCCGATGACATGTATTTTTTCCTGGACTCGCGACTTTTTTATGGTCTATAGGGGGGTTGATTCGAGCCGATTCGCCGCGATTTCGTTCGGGGAAATCGAGCAACGATTGCGCCTTCGACAGAAAAAAAACAAATCGAGGTTTCCGATACACCAATCGATTATATAAATTTCATCTCTTGCCTCACGTTATATTCGCGGTATTATATAAAATCCTTCTGCGAGCGAAACGATATTGTTATTCAACTGCAGATATGCATTTTACGCGCAAAAAGTAACCGAGAGTCTATCTCGCGGGCCCCGGGCTCTTTTATAGTACGGTCGCTGATTTTAATATCTTCAGTTCGAGACAGTTCTAAACAGTCCTGAAGCGTCCTAAATGGTTTTAGACCGTTCTAAATGGTTCTGGAGCGATCTAAATGGTTCTACACAGTTCTAAAGGATTATGGAGCATTCTAAATGGTTCTAGACAGTTCTAAAGGATTATGGAGCGTTCTAAATGGTTCTACACAGTTCTAAAGGATTATGGAGCATTCTAAATGGTTCTAGAGAGTTCTAAAGGATTATGAAGCGATCTAAATGGTTCTAGACAGTTCTAAAGGATTATGGAGCGTTCTAAATGGTTCTAGACAGTTCTAATTGTTCCTGGAACGTTCTATATATGGTTCTTGACAGTTCTAGAATTAATTACAAATGCCTCAAAGAGGAAACATGATTTTTTTGCAGATTGGAGCGCCCTTGGAAATCTTACTAATTTTCTCACAACGCTATTTTAATATCTATATAGAATAAGCATCAAGATTAAGAAGTAATGGATTATACAGTCAACGCGTTAATTTGATACATTATTTAGATCAGTTTGAGGTACTTTATTTGTAACAATCTTGTAGATTTATAGAGTATCGGTATAGAGTTAAATCGTCGATTTATTGACTGGTCTATGGTAGCGTTATACTATTCAGGAGTACCTACTCACAAAAAGTTACATAATAATGCGCTGTGTAACACTTAATAGTCGACCTATAACATTATCGAGCTGCGTTTCCGCGTTTAGGCTTTTGTGTTCCACATTGCGGATTCGAAGATTACGCTGCTTTATTATTAACATTCGACGGTAATTGCCGAGTGTGTTATGAGGAACTCGGAATTCGGACGATCCGTTTTCTTACCAAAAAGATTGATTATTATTACTTATATCGGTGATTCCGTACAGGTTTCTAAATATCCAATTTTCCCGATAAACTTTGGCGTTTTTATTTTTCGACGCGTTATCGTATAGTGCTAAGTTCGATTCTACTTGCATAATAGGAGTAAATTTGAACTTGGCGCATACAATTAATTGCCCAAATTTGTGTTTTTCGAAAACTCGAAAACGATAAAATCGTGCGATCACCCAACACTGACCAATCATCCAACCGATCAGCGACCACTACAGATTAAGGCCCACCGCTCACGGAGCAACTGTTTTGAAATAAATGTTGTAAACCAGTTGATCTTGCAACTATTTTGCAACCTCGCGCAATGTACAGTAGTGTGGAACCGCACACGAGTCGATTCAAATGAAACTAGTTTGCAATTAGTCATAAACCAGTTGTATTCGACCATTTCCCGCGGTCGCAGTCGCTTTGCAGTTTCGAGTCGCTTTAAATTCTTGCCAATAGACCTATTCAGTTTAACCTGTGCTGCGCGCGCATATTGTGGACAATTAGCTGGACATCTAAACGAACAAACGAACGCACCTCAGGTAAAATACGGTTCTGACAACCAGACAACGACAACTTAAGACGTCATTTGTCATTATCCAACAATCCGTCGGATTTAATGGACGCGGTGACTCGATACAAATTTGTTTTTACTGCCCAGAAAGGGGTTATAGGCTTAATATTTACGTACAAGTCAAGTCTAAGAAAGAGTAAGAGGGTTAGTACAAAGTTTCCGAAAATGCTTTTTGATCGGTTTGCTATAATATATATTTCAAAAAAATAATCCCATTGACCTATACAAAAAATTATTACCTTTATAAATAAATATACTAAATAATACAAAGAAATACTGTTAAAAATAATACACACTGAACATAAACAAACATCAAACGGAAACAAAATAGGGTTAAGAATGTTAAGATTGATAATGGTCTCTTCTTTTTTATATTTTAAACAGTTTTCATCTAAGAATCATTCAATGTGTCTGTCAATCAGCAATGAAATAGGCCAAATATCTCATCTCTCTTGCACTTATGTTTGCGCAGATTTTAAATGGTTCCACAAATTGCGCGTGAAACATATTTGCTTCTTTTATTCTCTTATGTTGATCAAATAACTCCATCACTCTCTTTCGTAAACTGAATAGGTCTATTTCTGGTACTATTCATTCGACATTCGATAAATTACTATGGCAACTGATTGAAACTGTTTTATAATAGTCGCATCCGTGTGTGTGCAGAAGTTTAATATTAGTTGTAAACTGGTTACAGACTAAACTAGATTGCAATCTTTATTTCAAGACAGTTGCTCCGCGAGCGGTGGGCCTTAGGCCTTAGGAAAAGATTGCAATCTAGTTTAGTCTGTAACCAGTTTACAACTAATATTAAACTTCTGCACGCACACGGATGCGACTATTATAAAACAGTTTCAATCAGTTGCCATAGTAATTTATCGAATATCGAATGAATCACACCAGAAATTGGCAAGAATTTAAAGCAACTTGTAAACTGCAAAGCGACTGCGACCGCGGGAAATGGTCGAATACAACTGGTTTATGACTAATTGCAAACTAGTTTCATTCGAATCGACTCGAGGTTGCAAAATAGTCGCAAGATCAACCGGTTTACAATTTTTATTTCAAACCAGTTGCTCCGTGAACGGCCGGCCTTATTACAATTCCGCGTCCACAAACTCGCATACCGAGTGTTACGAATAGGAAGTCCCCCGCTTGTCGCTTCCCACTCCAGCTCCGCCAGTGAAGATCCGGTGCGTGTAAATCTGACAACGCCGGCGCATAGCTATGTGTGTGTGTGTGTGTTGTGTGTGTGTGTGAACGTGTGTGAGCCTCCCCCGCTTCCCCCCACGACGGCGCTGAGCGGAGCAAACTGCACCGAACCGCTCCGAGCAGACACGGATCAGTTGCTCAGTTCCCTGACGACAGCGGTAAGGTGACGGTCTGCGAGGGACCATCGTGTCACAGTTACCCCGCGTAAAAGGACCGTTTTCGTCCCATCGGAGGAGATCATTTTCGGTGGGTGCGCGCCTGTTGCTCGGTCGGTTATCCGGCGAGGTTTCCGAACGCGTTCGCATATACACGAATTATTATTTACCCGTGTGGTTTTACGTAACTCGATTTTATTTCTTTTTTTTTGTGTGCGATACACGCCGTAATATAAATATAGATGTGCCGATGTTTTCGTGAGCTGGATATACCCGTTTGTTGGATTTGTGTTTTCGGGAGTCGCAACGCTGCATACACGGTAATTATTTATTTATTTTTATTTATTTGTTTGCGGTATTTCGGCGTGTTTATTTGTCGATTCGATATCGCGTTCGTGGAATGTTTAGTTTGACCTTTCGTATTAAGGTGAAAGAGATTTCGAAATTCGGGACATCCTGTATAAATCGGCAGTAATCGCTCGATTATCTTTTTGGACGCCCTGTATGTTTTCGAGTATCGCTTACACTACAACAGGATCTATTTATATGGGATGTCCCGAACGGAAGTTGCTGTGTTATGAAAATATACAGGGCGTCAAAGTAAATGAGTAAATTCTGGACTAACAAGTTTTTCGAATAGGATTTGCTGTCGGAATTCCGACGATAAAATATCGAAAATATTATCAAATTCGAAAAAAGGAATATTTGCGATATTTATTACATAAAAAAATACCTATGAGTTGTTGGTATTATTCGAATTACCGCGAAAAATGCGGTGCATATTCCAATTATGAATTCGCTATAGGAAAAACTACATTATTTTCTAAAAAAAAAAATACACACGTAATACCCGGCATATTTCGAATTTAGATTTATTAATTACGAAAATTTCATGAAACGGAAGAAGGTAATTAGAAAATCGAGGAAAATACCCAGTGGCCAATTAATTCAAAAAGAGAAAATCCTAATTTCGTTACGAAATTTTTATCTCAAACATTAACATAAACTCCAATTATTTGATTTATTTTTATCTTATCTTCATATCTTCAAGTCTTTTAAGTATATTATTATTCAAGTTTCGTTTCATTTTTTCTTTATTATTCATTGTTTACTTATACCTGTCTTATAAACTAACTCTCAATTTATACGAATCGATTATCCATGGATAAATATAATAATTCCAAATTATCAGAATCTTTAATCTCCAACTTATTCTTCTACATCTTATTTCCTTCTAATCCTTTTCCTGGAAATCCAGATTTCCCCTCATATACCCCAACTACTCAGGAACTCCAAACAACAAACTCCACATTCATAAATTAATACGACAAACACCGAAATACAAAACGTTCCCAATTAGCGCTAATTAAGGCCAATTAAACCGACCGGAATCGTTCAAAATTTTCTAAATTACCCAAACACAATGTTATTGAACTGGCATTCAACAAAACATTAAGGAAATCTTCCTTCTAACGATCTAATACCCGCATAAATAATTTAATTACCCCATTCAAGACCTACCGAGTATCGATAAGCCTAAAAGGTAAACCTAAAGGCGGATTACAATGAAGTTTTTCATTTACAAAGTGAATCAAAGGGTGAAAGGATTCTAGTAAATAAAATTCGTAACAAACATCGCGTTATCGCGATAAAAAATCTGCAACGATATTCGTGGGTTTCCGAGGCGATAAAATAGAGGAAGTGGAAGCGAAGTGTTTACTTCCGGCCGAGATAAAGCGAATATAGTAGGCGTGGGATGACGCAGGAAAGATCCTTGAGTGGACTGAAAATGGCCGACCGAAAATGGCCGAAATTCTCTTTAAACGGCCCAAACCAGAAAACTTACGTCCAAATAAATATAAATCATTCGCTTTACGATTTCCTGTTTGGTTTAGTCCGCGTTTAAATACGGCGCTCGCACGATTCGGAATGATTCTTGGAAGCGATATTAATTAATTAGAAATTTATTGTTTCAAAATATTCGAACAATTGGCTACCCGATTTGTATAGAGGTTTTTTAAGATCGTCCCAACGAATTTTTGGGTCTATTTACTCGGCGTTAACGGAAATACCGATGACCTGTCGCTCGGTAGATACTTTTTATCAGTATAGAAAGTAGGTACTTGATTTTTTTTGGTACTTATTATTTATCTTATCGAGCGAATGACGCCCTAGATCGGTAAATAAATCACCTTTGATTCTACTCGTGGTGTTAGTGATTCGAGTGATGATGAATAGACGATGTCCGTGAATCTGCGATGGATCGCAGGAGAGCGCAAAGGTAATAATAAACAACAAACAAAAAAACTATATTCTTTCGGTTCTCGTGGGTTTTCGAAATAATGGCTTTGTTCCGAGAAGTCCGGCATATAAAATGCTAATCTCGAATTCGAAAAAAAAAGCAAACTGGTTCTATATTCATTAGCGGGAATATACCATGCCAGTATTTTATATGTTAATAAGTTGATATCGAGAAAATCGATTATTCGTGCCGATATGAATCGATCGGGCCGCGAAACGTTTCCGAACGGAATCGCCTCTATCGATAAACGCGGTTGCTAAACCTCACAAGACGGGCAATTATACCGTAATAACAGCGATAATTAAGTTAATGTACTCGCTAATTGCGAAACCGCATTTCTCGGGGGTTTCGACGGATTTTTTTCGAACGACACAACCGGATTTCCTATAAATATAACCAGGAACGTTACAGACAAGGTCATGCCAATTGCTCGAGTGCTTCGTGTATACAGCTTGTCCCGGTAATCCGTCCTGGCTAGCGCGGAATTAGCAACGTTGTTTCATACAGAAAATTGCGTAATATTTCGAATTCGAACAGTGCAAATCGGAGATACCGATTCCGGAAACGAGCGCGGAGGCCATTACGTAAACGCCATTTTTTTTTTTCGTTCATTTTCGAACGCGGAACAAACGACAAGTCGCCGTGATTTATGCGCCTGTATCGCAAAAACGATTTCGCACTTCTCGCTCCACCCGGATATATAAATAAATAAAGTCAGATGGGAACGCGATTGCGTCACAATCGAGCAATAAGTTCTACCTGACAGTCGAAGTCGAGTGCGATTTAATATTTCGTAAAATCGGCTGGATTTTAAATACCTTACATCGTGGCTTTTTTGCCGTGCATGCATTGCATATATGGAGCTCGAAAATGCAATGAACTGTATGATATACAGTGCGAATTTGTATTCCAAATGATATGTCTACTTCGTTCTGAATCTACTCCTCTCTGAATCTACTCTACTCTGACTCTACTGTAGTCTAGTCTATTGTGAATCTACACTACATTACTCTACTCTACTTTAATCTGCTTTGAATCTACTGTACTAAATCTAAACCATTCTACTCTGCTCTAAATGTACTATACCCTACTCTGAATCTACTCTACTGTATTTCTACTCTTCTCTATTTTAATCTAAATCTTAATCTATACTCTAATCTACTCTACTCTCTTATATGCTGTGTTATGCCAAAGTCACAATTACCCACTGAAACCTTCTAAATAAGACAATTTCCCATCGTTTACATTTTTTTTATTGCCATGCGGAAGTACGAATAAAATTCCTCTCTCTCTCCGTCGAGAGATCTTTTTGTTGGCCGGTGATTAAACGTCGAGAGAGGAGAAAAAAAAAATATATAGAATGATAATAACGAAACGGTGCAGACGCGGAAGTTGGATACTTCACGGAAGGCTTTTTGTGTGTGTGTGTGTGTACGAGTCGGGTGACATTGAAATTTCAGGGCTTCCTGGTGGGAATTGGCGAGCCATTTTAAGCGATGCGGAATGCTCTTTAATGGCCGATTCGCCGAGAAAATCCAACGGACCGTTTCCTATATCGTAAAATAATCGATCTTAATCGATTCGAAAGCTCACAGGATACCTCCGGAGCTAACTTCACGCTGGTCTGCGAACGTACTAGATGTGTTTTCCTCTAATCTCGGGCCGAAAAAAAAATCGAGAAGGCTGATAACGAAAGATGTGCGTACACGGTGCTATTAGGAATTGCGATAAAAATATTATTCTCGCGTAGCTTTTAGAATGTTATCAGTTAATAAGTTTATTACATCGAAATTTGCTAAGCTTAGTTGTTTGACGTTTCGCGGATCAAACGGGGTGGAATCAATGAACTTTGAAAGAACGCTCGATTTAAAGATTTAATTCCTGTGGGAAACTAAAAGTTGTTGGTAACACTGTAATGGTTTATTAGTTCGGTTTTTTAATTAAGAATTTATCGGAGCTGCAATAATTATTCCGTTAGGCTCCTGCAAGGTCGTCGATTTTTTTTTTCGCCGAAAAACCTATAAAAACCTATTATCACCGGAAATTGATAACGCGCCATTATAATAATAATATTTCTTCGATATCGTAGTCGGCCGAAAATAACGTATTGCTTGTTTATTTTCCCATGACCTAAACACCCTAAAAAATCTTAGCTTCCCTGTGGAAAGCGCCGACTAGATTCGGAATCGGACAAGGAAATCTAGTCGGCTTATACATACTAAACGATTGTAAATCTTGGTAGTGACGTCTCTACAACTCGATCTCTTATTGGCTGATGAGAAAATGGAATGTTGCAATTGGCCAGACCGATTGACGTCACTATCAACAATTGAGCCGTTTGGATTTAGATAATAAATAATAAATTCTAGAAAAAATGCTGGTATACATTTGGGAACGAATTCCCGTTCGTAATAGGCAATAGGAAAGAGAGGAAAAAAAATACAGCCGATATGCAAACGAGTTTAAAAACACTTACTTCACCTTGAAATAACTTCCGTGAGCGTCAAACCTACATAAACGCCAAGCCGGTGATTATCGTATAATTTTTTTTTTCGTAATTTGCACTGCATCATTGCCTCACTTCCTACTCGCTTTTCAGGCGATTTCTTCATGTCATACTTATTTTCATTGCACGCTCCGCTGACTGTGGGCTTTGTCTGGTCTCCGGCAATCCTATATACTAGTTGCTGTTACACTTTACACTTCTACAAGGCGGTTTGGTTACACTTTTTTTGGTAGTTTTTTATAAGATTGCGCTACTCGATCTATCCACTTGTCAACTGTCAATATGTCAAAATTTGACACATGGAACGATTATTGGCTAAATTTTTGGTATTTATTAACAAAAAATTACGTATTTTAATGCGCAAATGTAAAAACTGCTAAGTTGCTTTGTTGAAAGATTCTTTTTTTGTGAAATATACCCTAACCGCGTCCAATGACCCACATGTACAAGGCCGCTAAGAATCTTTCATTTTACTTCATCAGAATCACGTGTCACGATCTTTTGTGACATACTTCACTTCGTTCATCTCACGTATCTTTATGTAACATTTTGCATTGGGAATTATTTTTATTAGGAACTCATGATCAGGTACCGCACAATATCCAGTAGGCGAGTAACGTTACTCACACTCACTTGTGCTATTTTTTATGGTTATTTTCAAACAAAGACATGTATATCTATTGTTCTGAAATATTTTTCCATTGAATTATTACTAATTGATGGCGATATGTGTGCGTGTGCGGTATTACGAACGCCGGATGAATTAAAGGAATTCAATTCGTCCGGCTTTTCTTTCGCTTTATTGTTCGAAAGTATCGATTGCGAATCGATTGTCGGACGGGTGTTGTTTAGGGCGAAAATATGTCGCAATAATCGTTGGCATTTTCGCTGCGCAGACATTTCGAAAAAGGCCGTTATCCCGAGACGCGACGTACATAAAATTATCTCGAAACCTACGTTGGTAAATCCGGTATGTATCGAGTAACAAAAAATTCTTATTAAACCATAACGATGATACCGGGTCTCATTATAAATACTAGATCGTTTCTTGCTAAACGATAAACTTTATATTACTAGTTACCGGATATTTGATTCCTTTATTTAAGAGGCGTTCTTTAAGCAACGTTGCAGTTTGTACAATAAGTTCTTTGCATCTAGAGTGCTTTGAAGGTGCCTTCTACATCGAAGGAAGTAGGAACTTTTTATAGAGGTCTCTATGAATGCACAAGTTCTTTGCATCTAGAGTGCTGTGAAGGTGCCTTCTACATCGAAGGAAAGTAGGAACAGAGGTCTTTATGAATGTATTGTTTTGTTGCAGGCGTCACGATGAAAATGGTCCCGGGTCCTCTTCCTTCGATACCGACGAGCACAATGGATAGACTCGGTCTGCCTCTACCGTTCAACACGGACCTCTTATGGCGCTACCCGTTGGGCTTCCCGTCAGTCTCGCACCACAACCCGCCGTCCTCGCCCCTTCTCGACTACAAAAGCCAACTACCCGCCTCGCTGCCTTCGGATCCGCGCGTCTGGAACCGCGACGACGTCGCCTCCTTCCTGCAATGGGCCGAGCGCGAATTCGACATCCAGCCCATCGACCACGACATGTTCCAGATGAACGGCAAGGCCATGTGCCTGTTGACGCGCACCGATCTCGCCGAGCGCGCCCCCGGCTCCGGCGACGTCCTCCACAACGTGCTGCAGATCCTCGTGCGCGAGGCCAACAACCTGCAGCGCATGCTGCCCAACAGCCCGGTGACGCCGACGTCGCGCCATCCGTACCCGCTGTCGCCGCACTCGCACCCGCCGACGCCCAATTGGGGCGGCGTGCACGCCGACGCGACGCCCCACGGCGCCGTCTCCATAGCGGCCATCATGGCGCAGAGCAATTCGACGACGTTGAGCCCGGCGCCGTCGGTCGACAGCCAGGCGAGCAGCCCCAAGCACGCCGACAACCAGGCCTTCGGCCATTCGATATTCAGCAACGGCAGCGGCTCGAATCCCAGCGATTCCGACGAGGACGGGGATAATAAGAAGTGCTACGGGGGCAGCCCGCCCAACACGCCGACCGCCACCGCCTACTCGTTCATGTCCCAGATGCCATACTTTCCGCCGAGGAGTCCCAAGGAGCCCGTGCTCAACCCGGCGGCTTTCAAGAACTCTTCCCAGAGGGAGTTCTTCCCCAACGATCCGTCCGAACCCAATACCAGTAAGCCGCTCGACCGCTCCTACTCTCTTACGTTTGATCTAACGGTTCTTTTTTCCGCTTGCAGACGGTCGGTTACTGTGGGACTTCCTGCAGCAGCTCCTCAACGATCCGGCCCAACGGTATACCAGCTACATAGCGTGGAAGAACCGGGAAACGGGCGTCTTCAAGATCGTGGATCCGCCGGGATTGGCCAAATTGTGGGGCATCCAGAAGAACCATCTGTCGATGAACTACGATAAGATGTCGAGGGCCTTGAGATATTATTATAGAGTTAACATACTTAGGAAAGTCCAAGGGGAAAGGCATTGTTACCAGTAAGTATTTTCGATTTATGTAGTTAGATTCCTTTCTTGGGGAAACCTCTCTTCGTATTGTGAAAACCTCGTCTGATTGAGCAAATCCTTTCGTATTTTGAACCTCTTCATGCTCTGGGGAAACCTCCTCTTATTGGGAATATCCCATCATATTCTGAACCTCTTCATACTTTGGGGAAACTTCTTCATATTGTGAAAACCTCTTCATACTGGGGAATCCTTCTCTTATTGGGGAAATCCCATCATATTCTGAACCTCTTCATAATGGGGAAACCTCTTTTTATCGGAGAGACCTCTTCTTATTGGACAAACTCTCGAGCAGCTTTTAACCGATGGCGTTTCGCTTGCAGGTTTCTCAGGAACCCCACGGAGCTGAAGAACATGAAGAACATCACGCTGCGCCAACAGCTGTCGCCGACGACGGTGAAGCCGCCGTCGGGCAAGCCGGACGGGCTGGGGCCGGTGAAATCGGAGCCGGCGGAGGCGCCGGAGGAGCCGGCGCCGGGACGGCCGGGCGTCGACTACGACGACAAGCCGACGGACCTGAGCATGGACGGGCCCACCGACCTGAGCAGCGGCGCCCGGCATATCAACATCGTGTGTTCGCCCGATCCGCCGCTCGGCGGGCCCCACCACTAGCCCGATGGGATTCTAATCGGTCGAGGATTTTAATGTTTTTTTTGGTGCCAATTGAGAAGTTTACGTGCAAATAGTGATTTAGGTTGGTCGGGGTGCGACTGTACGCGGGTCACCGGGTTGTTAGAATCAAATACATCGGTGTATACAGGGCGTCCCTGTAATTTATACATTTTTTTTTACCCGGTCGCTCGCGCCTCGCCTCTAAAAATCTGTAAATAGCTTCATATAGTTACGATTATTATTATTATTATTTTTGTTCAAGTTGGCAGAGCAGTGCAATTCGTATTATTATACAGCGATTCATGTGCCAAAAGTTTAATTTATTATTTTTGGGACACGCAGACAAATTTTACTTAGTTGTTAGAGGATTATGCGTTAATATGGGAAGCTTTGTGTTTGATTATTCCGCGGATTTTCGACGTGTTTATTTCGATTTGGAGGAGTTTTAGCGACCGTAATTGAACGCAAATCCCCGTCGAATGTGTTGCTCAATTAGATAAAATGGTTTAGTTTGCGTGCTAGTTCGATCACGGCGGGTTCGTTTCTGGCGGTGTTTGTGGAAAATGGATGTTCCATTTTCCCCAGCTTTGGCCTCGGCGAATCTTCGATGTGCAATAAATGAGTTTCAAACAGATAGAAATTTTGCAATAACCACTCGGTCGTTAAGGAGGCAGCTTTAATTTTTATTTTTCCAATTTTTTTTAAGGAAATTCTAAGTGATAATTGTTGACAATATCTACGCGGAAACGCGTTTTAGCCTTGAGTTGTTCGAAGACTTCGAAGCGCAGAAAAGAAATAAAATACCCACATTCCAATTATTGTGGCTATTGCCTTAGTTTTTAACTTTTATAATGTAATAAACGAAGATAATAAATAAAGTAGCTGAATTTTCCAGCTCCACTTCTGTGATCTCTAAAGAAAAAAATTGACTCAAATTGTGTGATGATGATAATAGGTATATTTATATACTTGCATATTATATATACATTTGAAAAATTATACATACAGGGTGGAATGAATTGTGTATAAAAAAAGAGCATCATATTTTCTATATCAATCGATGAATCGAAATTTTTCGAAATGTAATTTAATAGACAAAGTAACTAGGGTATTCATTTTTGTTATAACTACCTTGTATATTTGTATACATATATTTTATAATTACAAATGAGGATTATATAGTTTACTCTCGATTTCTAATTGTTAATGATTTCAAAAAAAAATAGAACCATACTCTTTAAGAAACCCGTCTAATTTTTCTTACCTTATTCATTACGCCTAAATCAAGTAACTGATAACAAAGTGTATTAGACTTTAAATAAGATTTATCACATAATTTACACCAAAAACTAACAATACAAAAAAAATTAACCTCTCATTTCAATCAACCTAATTAATGTGTGGTGTACTTTGGCGGTTCGAGAATCTAAAACAAACTTCTTAATACCCTTCGTACTCGTATAAAATGAAGAAATTCAAACTTACGTGAAACCTGCACACCAAATCTTCGTTTATGGACATCAAAGCACCAGCATTATCGAACGTACCGCAATAATTCGGTGCCGAAAATATCGTAATCAGTTTCCTTTGAGCGAAAAACTCGTAACCGTCTTCCACCACCTGCGAAATTGAAATTTTAGCTGTATTGGGATAGGTGTCTCGAGGCTTACCTGGTGTCCCCTGCATATCAAATCGAAATCGTGCTTCCTCAGGAACTTGGTGATCACATCGGGGCCGAACGAAAACGAGACGCCCCTGTCGTTCTGAGTCCAGCCGGGCTCCTGACTGGGGTCTGACCACAGCAAATCGCACAAAAGACCTGTTTTCACAACCAAGAAAGATGTATTTTCAAAAGTTTGTTTACAACGCAACTGTCTGAACTGTCACAACTTACAGCTGTCAGGACGAGAACGTCGTGGCTAAGATTACATTCACGTAAAACATCAACACAAATATTCAGTAAAAATTGCATTACGTTGCACTAATCGATAGATTTTATTTACCTTCGATGGGCACGTCGATAGGCCGTTGTATGCTCTGAATTTGGGCTATGTGCAGCAGGTCCGGACTCAAACCGCCGTGGCAACAGAAGATTTTGTCGTCTATTATTGCTGCTACAGGTAGGGTGTTGAAAACGTCGCAAAATAATTTGAAGATCTTGGTGGTGTATCTTCTCTTACCTGTGAAATTGACTACTGTTAGCCGCCTGTTTAGAAAAAAAAGGTCCGTGTGGTTGAAGTTAGGCACGGTGGAACTTCGTGACGTTAGACAAAACTGACAAATTTATTTGACATTTGACAGGTGATTTTTAATAATGATGGTGGTTTTGAAGTGTTTTGTTTTGATTTTGTAGGTTTTTTTTAGTCCTTTAGTTTAATAGTTCCAAACAAGTAATTGTAAGTAAATATTGACGCAAATATAAACGAAAGTAGTAACAAGAGCTCGTCTCACGTTTTCTATCGTTAATAATTTGAGAGAACGATTTACGCAATGAAATTAAAAGACTAAATATATTAAATACGTACATTCGTCGAAAAATCCGTAAATCTTGCAGACTTGCGAGGCCTCGTGATTGCCTCGAAGGAGGAAAAAGTTCTCCGGATATTTTATCTTGTAGGCCAACAGCAGGCAAATAACTTCTACGGACTGCTTGCCCCTATCGACGTAGTCCCCTAGAAACAGGTAGTTGGAATCGGGCGGGAAACCCCCGAAACTGAAGATTTTCAACAAGTCCGCGAATTGTCCGTGTATGTCACCTGGAAAATGACCAATCTTAGATACAGGAACAGGTGATAGAGTAAAGTGTACCTACCGCACACTTTAATAGGAGCTTCTAATTCTAAGAGCATCGGTTGTGACATGAATATGTTCATTGCATTGAAACATAGCGCCTTTATGTCCGCCTCATGTAATGTTATGTATTTGGTTTTTTTGCTTTCCCGAACTGAAAAAAATCAAGTTAAAATTCATTTATTTATCACCTATACTCTTCCATATAAATTGTACTTGATTTACAAATTACTTGCCTTCTTTCGCTGTTAGTTTAGCAATGATTTTGTCCACATTTAAGCTGCTGGCCATTTTGTTTGGATTGTATCGGATTGATTAAATAATTACCTACGATTGTTGGCACAAAATACTGAATTTTGATAAGATAAAAGCGATGTTATCAATGATTTTTCTCGTTGAAGAGCGCTATTCTTAACGTAATCATGTGTATCGAATCGATAGGAATCAGAAAAGCGTTCGAGTTGTTATTAACACAACGGGCGAAACAAATGTGATAATTAGATGTTTCAATGTTAGTAGACAATATTTGATTTTCTTGTAATTAGTACGTCAATGTATTTGCATTAAAGGCAAAAAATATCGAACGAAAAAAAGAACCTTGAATGTTTTGTATGTAAACACAAATCTAATTATTATTAATTTGTATATCACTCGTTTGCTAATAGGATCAAAGGGCTGAAAAATGTGGATGGTATTAAAAGATGTTCCTATCTAATCATTAAATTAACGAATAATTTATACAATTAAAAGTACCTGCCTGGATTTATATTTATCCTAAAACGTTGTTAAAAAAATAATAATTTCGTTTTTTGGTGGAGTGATAATTCTCTCTTAAAATATAATATGAAACGTATAGAATTAGTCATTTACAAATGAATCTTTGAGTACTAAATAAACACATTAGTGGTATTGTGAAGCAGATAGGAATAAAAGTCCGATAAGAAATTCGAAACGTTATTAATGACAAACGTTTGTATAATTATAAACACATCGAAAAATAAATATTAGTATATAACAGAAAAATAAATTCATAATAAAATCAATAACATTTACTCTTATAAACTAACTAAAATCGTTTCAGGCACGCTTTAATTCGATAAAACATTTTTAGTCACAAATAATATTTCAAACATCTTCGCTCAGCAACGATCTGTAACTGTTCTGTTGCAACAGCAACTTGTATTTGTTCTTCGGCGCCGATTTACATGTCAAAAATTGTATAAACTTCTTCAACCAATCCCTATCGCTAATTCCCATCTGAAACAAACCATTTATTCATCACATACAGATAAGTAGAGTAGCGTAGATTCAAAGTAGGCTATACATACTTCAATGAACAAAGCCAAGAGAAAATGCACGACGGGAAACGCCAACAAGCTGTATTTAAACCGATTCTCGGCGCTCCAGCCGTGCCCCACGTACACCAAATTCATCAAATCCGCCACGTACCGGCACGGATAGACCATCAGCCACGTGGTGAAGCCCGTCAGGGCCGTCGCGACCGCCAGAAACCAAAAATTCGTTATCAACATCCGCCTGTAGGGCCTGCCCTTCGAATACATGGTGGCCAGGATGATGTACTGGTAACAGGATATGGTGAACACGGTGGTGTTCTCCCAGGAGACGATCACCGGCTCGGTGGCGTCGCTCGGTATCGGCTTGAACCACGTCTGTTGGAACAGGTAGTAGATGGCGCCGACTTGTACGAAAGCGCACGTGGTTATTTGGAGTACCAGCGGTATCAGGTTCTTGGCCGAGACTAGAGAGCTCATCGGTCGTTTCGGGCACAATACATTCGAGGGACCTACAAGCATTAGTACGAATCAGCGAGCTTGTAAACGAACAAGAAACTTCCATTACCTTGCCTTCCTATAGTAACAGCCAAACTCGTAGTTATTATCATATCTATAAACAAAAACTGGTAATCTCCCATAATAGAATGCTCCTGTAAAAACAACATATTATAGAATACATCAACCATCACGTCAGGTAATTAATTAATACGAACCTTATACAAAATGAGCACGGTAAAGAACTGTATCAAACTGTACAAAGCCATGTACTTGAATATGGCGAAACTGGTAACCAAAGCGCACCTTCCCTCCAGCATCAAATGCACCAAACACGATATGTTCGGTATGGCGGAGGTGAAGGGCGCCGCGACGCTGGCCTCCGCCTGCGACAGCGACACACCCACGTGGGCTGCTTTCAACGCCTGAAAAGTAAGAGGCCGCAAACTTTACAGACTTTAATGCGATTTTATTGGGAGTACTTACGCCGCAATCGTTAGCTCCGTCTCCCACCATCGATACCACGTAGTCTAAACCTTGCAGGCTCGTTATCAGTTGGGTCTTTTGGTCCGGCTGGAATCGGGCGAATATGGTCGTTTTGACGAGCAGGCTGGGTATCATGTCCTTGTAGTGGCATTTCAATTTGTTCCACGTTTTACCGTCGATGGCGAAGTGATGGTGCTAAAAATATTTAATAATTCCATCGACAATCGAATTCAATTCAATAAAGTGACAGATTAATTAGCAGAGAAACAAGATGGCCGTTTTGTTGAAGTTTTTTAAATGACAGATTAGCAAAGAATCAAGACGGCCGTTTCGTTCAAGTTTGTTAAATGCACGGTCTTATTAGCAGGTCTGGAAACTAGCCCAATGTTTGGGTTAGTTCACTTGTACACCACACTTGGCGATCGGAGGATCGGGCTAACGACAGATTAGCAAGGAATCAAGACGGCCGTTTCGTTTACGTCTGCTAAATCGTCAAAATGGCCGTCGCCGGTCTAAGTTTCTTCGTTTATTCAGCAACTTACGTCGTATCCGAAATTAACGGTTACAGAATCGTCGGGTAAATTACCGCCGGCCCGTTCGAATTTGATTTTCGGCGAGCAATCGCCGTCATCTCGCTCCATCGACAATATGAATATCTGATCGGATTTCCTCACCATACCGCAATCGTGCGCCACCGAAATCGCCGTTAAAATATTATCGCCTGAAATCGAATCGTCATTACACTAAAAAAAAGCTTCAATTACGAATTGCGGCCTTTTACCCGTTATCATGACCGTCCTGATGTTGGCGCTGTGGAGCGTTTTAATCACCGGAGCCGTTTCGATTTTCAGCGGATTGTGCATGATCAGGAACCCGAGAAAATTCAAATCGCACTCTATCTGAAAACAAAACCAATATTAGTTATGAAACATGTAAAGAAACCAAGCTGTATATTTACTCTACTCCGAATCTACCCTTATACCCAACTTCACTCCGAATCTTCTGTACACTGTACTCTACTCCGATTCTACACTACTTTACTCTGAATCTACTGTACACTGTACTCTACTCTGATTCTACACTACTTTACTCTGAACCTACCGACCATCCAGTACATAAATGAATATTCAATCTAACTATACCACGTGTCTGTGAACCTTCTGCGCCTCCATCCATTTCATCTTGACGGGCAGTTCTTTGTAGGCCAAAGCGATGACTCGATACCCTTGGGCGGTGTACTGTGACAATTTGACGGCGAAATCCGGCGGTACGGTGTGCTCCGAGCACATCCCCATCACCCTCTCGGGCGCCCCTTTGGTGAACGCCGTCATATTGGGCTTGCGCAGATCACGACCGATCACCGACATGCATTGCAACGTGGAGGAGAACGTGAATTGCCTGATGATGCCGATCTCGTAGGGCAACTGAAAAATTTCGTATACAAGCCTGTAGTAGTTGTGATTGTTGTAAATATTTAACGTACTTGGATATCGATGAGATCTTCGTCGGTAGATGTCGCTTTAGGCGAGACGTACGTCGGAGCTAACACGTCGAATCGTTCGTTTTCGTTGTCGCCTGCCTCGTGTAATTCCTGCAATTCGCGTTGAAAGTATACAGGTTGCTCCATTTTTGATCGCAACATAGGTTATATAGGTCATGGGTGCGTTAAAGACAACTTCCATTAGACACTTATAAAGGAAAAGCAAAGAGTGACGTTTGTGTCAATGCAACTTTTCACTCTGTCAACTGTCATTTTAATAATCTTTCTTTGTTGCACTCATAGGAATGACCATGTTGCAATCGGTGTATAAATTCCGATTCGACGTACCCATCGAGTAAACTCGAACATTTTCATATCCAAAGGATCGCCGGTGATCTCCTCGTCTATTCTCGTCAACGAATGACAGGTCGCCATCGCTTGCACCAATTTATCGTCGTCGTCCAAGGCGGCTATGTCGGCGACTTCAGGACAGAATCGCGACGATTCGCTGGGAATCACCGAGCTCATTTCCAGCCCGTCGTGCGTCAACGTACCCGTCTGGAAAAAAAAAATTCCATCAAGCATCGAGCGATCCACGATATTAGCCGGCTACCTTATCGAAGCAGGCTATCTTGATTTTCCCGCACACGTTTATCCTCGGAGGGCTTATGCAGAATATACCGATCTTCTTCAAACGATTCTGACTGTACACGGTACCCACAGCCATTGCGGCGGGTAAAGCGGGCGGTACCACGATCGTTATAATATCCAACGTCCTAACTATAACGTGCTCGAGTCGGGCCTAAAACAAAACCGAAATTACGGCCTCTTACCTTTCGGAAAAACGAACAGTCACTCACCCCTCTCGATATGTACAGATAGAGGCAGTACACCATCCCCGCGCCCGCTACGGTGAACAAAACGAATATGAATTTGAAGCTGTCTTTGTAGAACTTGAGGCCCACGGGGGCCGGGTAGAGGATGCTCTTCACCAGCGAGCCCTTGGTGGTATCGAAACCGGTGCGCACCACGCGCGCCACCACCGGCTCGCCCCCGTAGTAACGCGTCTGGATGACGTGCGTGCCCGAGAAGAGCGTGTTGCGCTTGTGCACGTCCGGATCGTAGGCGTCCGGGCCCGCGTGCAACGCCGACTTCGTGATCGGTACGCTTTCGCCTATCGAACGAAGAAGCATTATTATAAAAGACTGGCTGTAGTTGAAGATATACAAATTGCTCCATTTTTGATCGCAACATAGATCATGGGTGCGATAAAACAACTTCTATTAGACACTTATAAAGGAAAGAGTGACATTTGTGTTATTGCAACTTTTCACTCTGTCAACTGTCATTTTAATAATCTTTCTTTGTTTCACTCATACATCTACTCTTCTCTGAATCTACCCTTATATACACTTTTGATTCGTTTAACGTTAAATTTCTTTCTGTTTCTTCCATATCGGTATACAGGTTGCTTCATTTTTGATCGCAACATAGGTTATATAGGCAATCGTGTGCGATAAAGACAACTTCCATTAGACACTTATAAATGAAACGGAAAGAGTGACATTTATGTCATTGCAACTTTTCACTTTGACAACTGTCATTTTAATAATCTTTCTTTGTTCCACTCATGTTGCAATCGGAAATGGAGCACAGTGTAAGGGGGCCATATCAAATTTACACAATGTTACTGCTTTACCTGTTAGAACGCTTTCGTTGACGATGCATTGCCCGGTGAGAAGAATGGCATCGCAAGGCATTATGTAATTAGCGGAGGGCAACGAGATGAGATCGCCGGGGACGAGTTCCGTGGGATCTATGATTCTCTTCGCATCTGTCTCTCCGTCTTTTCTCACTACCGTTACTTCGTGGCATTTGGACGATTCCACCAAATCGTGGAGGGCCTCGCTTTGCTGAAACGTTGATAAATCATTATATACAGGATGTCCCGGCGGTTGGTATAAAGTACAATAGAACGCGCGTTAGCATATTCTTTATCTGCTGCAACGAATACTAATAACAACACGTGGAGACATTCGAAACGAGTGCAATATGAGTAATAATGAATACACAAGCGATTAATCGATAACCCACTTCGTAAAAAAAACAACAATAACGCGATAGCGACTTATATAATCTCTATATTTAAATTACTTCTTGTGTGTAATACTGGAAATAAAATATAGTTTATATTTTCAATAAAAAACGTATATTATAGCGTTCTATTTACTTACCCTGCGAGTTTGTATGAGCGATGTTATGCTGGAAAACAACGTTAAAATAATAACGCAAACGGCGTATGAAATGTAATCGTCGATTAACCACAATCCTACGGAGAAGGCTTGAAAGGCGTAGAAAGGATTCAAAACTTCCTGCACGAATAATATCCAATACGATTTTACTTCTACTTCGATTTTATTTAAACCGTACAAAGTTAGCCTAGCGAAATTAAACGGGTAAGATAAAATTCGAGCCTTTTACAATAAACATACCTGAATTTGTATTCCTCGTCTGACAGTCCGTTTAAGTTATTTAAATACTGATCGGCCGTTTGAAAAGGAATTAAGGCATCTAAAGTAACGAAAGCACCTTTGTTACAATCCCATACGTACTTGTTGTGTTGGTACAAAAAATATCTAAAATTATCTGAGGCGATTTCTGGCAGTGTTAGTTTCATATTGTCTATGCTAATGAACTCGTTCCTTCCATATTTATTGCTAACTACAACAAAAAAGTTACGATATCGCGAGGATATATAAAAATTATCTCACCTAAAAGTTCGGTGGCAGATTGTAAGGTCACGGGCTTGAATTTAACTTTCTTCAGTTTCGGATAATAGTTGAAAATTACATAAGGGAATCCTAAAAATAGTATACCGAAAACGTGGTACAAGAAACTCCTAAAACGGCTCTTCTTTAGTCCTCGTATTTCGAATAAAACCTGATCTTGCGCTTCGTTATAAAATTCTTGTACATCATTCGAACCGATGGTTTGATAACCTGAAAAATCGTCGAAAAAATTCAATCAAATAATGAATAACGCGTTAAGCAAACTCACCACTCGACTCCCTGCTGGTGTTCATCTCTCAATTCTCGCAACAATGGCACTACATTAATTATAAACTATTAACCATAATTTCATTTCATTTTCGAATGGAACACGGTCAAACGGAACATTTTCGAGCTGATCGAAATTCACAGCGACTTCACTAAACAAATTGTTTGCGTAGATAAACTGCGTGTTTGTTAACCATCCGAAGATAAAGGAAAATTATGCTTAATTGTTTATTGTTTATGAAAACCAACGATGTTGACGTCAAACTGACGTCTACAGTGCTGACACCATGCGTTTCTTTCAAACACTCAAGTGACAGATGACAGCTGACTGAATAACTGTAAAGATAAAGATGAATTTTGTAAGTATTTTATGTGGTCTCAAGCATAAACAAAATAGGTAATATAATATGGCCTGGTCTTAAGCAACTCAAAAAGGAATACAGGGACTCGAACAAATAATATTTAACTGAACAAACAAAATATTTCGTCTCGTCTTGATGTTGTTCATGTCATCTGTCAAAATATTCAATTGTAAAAAAAGAAGAATTGTTTATATACATAACCTAAAAATATAAATGAATAATATGAAAGCAAACATTTGATTCTTGGTAAAACATTATCAGTTTGATATAAAGCGAATGAAATTGTAAACCGACCATGCTGCAGGAACTTCTGTCGTCGATAAGCGAATTCGCAATGAACGGTGAGTGTAAAAACACCCCATTTTCGCGATACGAAGTTTCATTTCCACAGGTACATCCCCAGAAACTCGATTAGCCAACCAATTGATACCCGAATCGAATAAAAACGGCTTCGAAACGTTCTTCGTCATATCCCCCGCCGTGGTCTATTCCTTCCTAGCGGTATATCTGGAAACTCGCTTTAATTTAAAAAAGAACCTGTGCTTCGTACTAGAAATCTTCATAATCATCGTGCCCGAAATACTGGGCATGACCTTGTTGTCGAATTACTCGCACGCCATCTGGTACGCCCTGTTCGCTTGCATGCTCCTCCTGATCTGCTTGAACCGCCGAATATTCCAAGCGACCGACGAGACCGTCTTCGACACCAAGTTCATCACCAACACTCGATCGACCATCAACATCCTCTCAGTGATAGCGATATTGGCCGTCGATTTCGGCGTGTTCCCTTCGAGGTTCCACAAGACCCATATGGTGGGCTACAGCGTGATGGACGCCGGAGTGGGGATGTACGTGTTCGCCAACGGGATCGTTTCCCCCGAATCGAGGGAACTCAAAAACCCCGTTTTGAAGTCCGTAAAAGGCTCTCTGGCTTTGTTGATCGTGGGAATCGGTAGGTTGATAATGACGCGGTTGTTTCACTATCACGTGCCCGTAGGGGAGTACGGGGTGCACTGGAATTTTTTCATTACTTTGGCCGTCACGAAGGTATTCACATCGTTTTTCTTGAACATAGTGAACGTTAAGTACATTTATATTAACGCTATCGTGTTGTTGTGCGCTCACGAGATGTTGTTGGAGAGCGGTTTGAAGCAGTTCGTGTTCGACGAGTTTCCTAGAGACAACTTCATCAAAGCGAACAAAGAAGGTATCGTCTCATCGTTGGGGTTCGTCATACTTTATTTGTTCTCCGTTTACTTCGGGTATATACTGCAAATGAAGAAGAGGAAACAGTCTACGGTTGCGGTTGTTAAAAAGCATCTAATAGGCGGTTGTGCGGCTTTGTTGTGTTCCGTTATCTTCGAACATTTCTTCGGGATTTCCAGGAGGGTGGCCAATGCGGCTTACATTTGCTGGATACTCTTCTTAGGTATATCCAGTCAGGTGTTTTATTTTCTGATCGAGACCGCCCAGAAAGCGATCTTCAACGGCGACTCGCCGGCGTTGCAAGTGCCTTACATCAACGATGCCGTGAATTTCAACGGACTGGCCTTTTTCCTCGTAGGTAATCTACTCACCGGTTTCGTTAATCTCACTATCGATACGAGGGCATACGAAACGTTGGATTCGCTTTTGATCGTTTTGACTTACATGATCGTAAATCTTCTTGTGGTTGGTTTTTTGTACGCTCGAGGCGTCAGACTGAAGTTTTGAATGAAGTTGTAGCGGGGCGTTGCACAAGTGCACTTTACCAAAGCAGTATTAGTCGTTAATGTAGTTGAATCTTTTGTAATTTTATATAATTATAATAAATATGTATAAAAAAATGTAAAAAAAAATCACATTAGTAAAAAGAGATTCGTTGCGTCCGGTTGTTAGGAAAAGTATGGCAGAAAATTCGTTATAAAAAAACCGTCTTGGCACGTTTAGAAAGCGTTAAAAATCGTAAATCCTAGGTTAACTAGAACCTAGGATTAACTAGGTATAAATAAAATATTTATAATTCGTCGCGCGTATGACTAATGTACTTTCGAAAGCCCTCGTGGCCCTTCACATGCTCAGCCGCTTTTCTCACGAGTCGTACGAATTCTTCTCTGTCGAATTTGTAATTTACGAACTTGGCTTGAGCTCCGCCCGAATAAGAACCCTAAAAATAGCATCTTTAATCAATCGTATTTACCAAAATGCTTATACTTACATCATCGATTTTAGTCAATTTATCGGTGTTTTCCCAAGTAATGTATTTGACACCTTTCAATCTCGCCAAATCGAAATAACAGTTACTATCTTCGCAGTGGTATCTGGAAGAAAACACGTTTAATATATTGGAATACGAAGGGATTCGAGTTAATTAACATTTCGAAAACCGCAGCCCACTCGGGCAGGAACAGCAAATGCGTCAATCCGGCCCCGTGCATGCCGATAAACACGTCGGAGTTCCTGGATATTTCCAGTTGTTGCTTGAACGGCATATCGTGATCGTACACCACCCTTTGCACATCGAACTCCTCGATTTCTTCCAGCCCGTTCATTAACTCGGCCTCGTTTAAAACCCTCCTGTACTTGGTGTTTCTGGACAACAGAGTGATCCTGATTTTCCCGTTCGACCTGGCGATCTCCGGGATCCTCAACCGATGTAAAACGTGCCTGGAAAACGCGTCGAACAGCCCGCTTTTCTCGCAGCCGTAGATGATCGGCGTGTTGTAATACAGCCCGAAGATCATTCTGGGTAGTAGAGGAAACACGACGTTCCTAAAGCACACCGTACTTCCTCGAAACGTTTTTAAATCCCATATGGGGTGGTCTGTAAATGCTTCCCAAGTGTCTCGAAACGCTGATCGGTACGTGTAAGTTTCCCATACTAAAACGTGCACATCGGTGGAAAATGCGTCTTCTCGGGAGGCATTTAAGTGGAGTGAAGCGTATAAATTCAGAAAATCGCAGTAGTGATGGTACATATTTACAGCTGCAACGGAAACATTTCGTTAGATACAATCGAAGTGACCTGTAAGGAACTTACTGGCATCTATTTTCATGATGAAAGTAGGCTTTTCTACGACAACATCACAGTCTCCTTCGATGATGGGCCTCCTTTTCAGCTGTTTAAAATGCCGGATTTCAGGAGCCCAGCTTTGTAGAGGACTTATCTGGTCGGCTTGCTTGTCTAATGCGGATTTTTTTAAATCGCAATAACCACCGATATCTCCCTCTCCTAGAACGTCCATTTTGTATCTAATAGGATCGTCTCGGTGGAGTAATTTCGTGAAATTAACCATCAAGTTGCGGCCTCGGCAGAATTGCAAATGATCGGAGCATTCCAACGAGCTATCGTCGGGGAATAGAGGTTCGCATAGTAATTGCAGTTCCCTCAATTGTTGCCCAATGTAGCCGAAATCCGCTTGAGCGTGGAAGGTGGTCTCTTGGGCCTTTTTCGTCTTCACCCAGCCTTTGTGGTCGCCGGGGCATTTCAGCTTCGAATAATGATTGCTCCATTCGCAATCGAACTCGTATCCCCAGCACACGTTTTTGTTCAAATATCCTTTGCAATTGGCCTCTTGCGAGCATTGTTCCGGGAAGTTCCTGAAGTAGTAGGGTAAGTGCTCTTCGGGTAAGTTGATTCGAGTAATGTTAATATCACAATTAGTTTGTACTATTAATACTGTTAGTATGAAAATAGCTTTCATTGTAATTATGGAAAGTTAACTAATGGAATTATCTAAAATTTGTTGTATTACTTATAGGAATGTTTGAATACAAATTATAAAACATTTCTAGTTTGTCTACAAACTACAAAATAGTATTTGTAGGTTATAATTGTCTTCTTTTTTTTTAATGACAATAACACGTGAAGTTAGGGCTGGTGTGTCAGTCAAAATTTAATGAAACAATGGCCGAATACTCAATGTTGCTGAGTCCAATAAATGTAGAATGAAATTTTTGAATTTACGATTTTTTTGCGTAATGCATCCTTTCTTTTACAGCGACGAGCGTCAATGGAATTCTTAAAGCCGCGATGACTAAATTTAATGGGAAGCCAAACCAAAAGAGTAAACCTGGTAGAAAGTTTGGTAATAGTAGGATGAATAACCGACGCGTTGACATCCAATAACAGGATGTCGGGTAAATCCGTAATGATATGGGATATGGAAGCACTAGATAAGGCCTAAATAAAGCAGGTCATTAGCCACAAAAAAATGGATTTTATAGCGAATCATTTTTTATTCGCTTGAAAATGTAACATTCAATCAAGTCGTGCAGTTATATTCATTGGTACTGGCCGTTTATATTAAATATTTTTATTGTAATCATAGTTGCGGTTAAAACTTACCTAGCGATTAATTCTAATTTTATTTTATAATGCATTACTCATTTTTAATATATTTCATGTTCATGTACTAATTTGTCATAAGTGATTCGAAATTACCACTCGCAATTTTAAATTGTGTAATTTTCTCATTGTCGTCAACATTTATATTATTACTCTACCGAATGGCTGCAATTCTTTGAAAGTGCATTTATTCAAAAAAGTACAACTAAAAAGAGTTCTTATTAGCTATGGAAAAATTACAATAAGTAATAAAAATAGAATTCATTTAAAATATTTAAAGAAAATACAAAATCCTCGCGCCTACATCAACTCCTTATTTTTATTTATTTATTTCCGACGTTACCGTTAAACATTCAACGAGTTAATATCGATAATTATCCGTGTAAATATAACCGACTGAACCGCAAATCGTCCATTGAGCGACGGTCAGCGCAGCGACGTAGAGGTCGAATATGCTGGAAGACTCGAGTTTTTTTTAAAGGCCGTTTATCGAATATTCGCATTATCCTTCGATTTAACCAAGGTAAACAAACGGATACCATGGACTTGCTGATTGTGATCATTTGCTCGCTCGTGTTCCTAACGGGATCCAAGCAAGGTGAGTACAGTTTTTTTTAAGAGATTTTTTGTGGTAGGTGTAGTCGAAAGTTTCTTGCTAATTCCACGACCTTGCCAAGAAACATGATTCTTTTAATCAAATATTTATATATTGGTTTTAATCAAGGTTTTAGCAACATTCTGTAATCCTCTGAAGAAGCATCTTATTTTTACAACTGCGCTCGTGCATAAACCGCATCACGCATCACCTTGTATAAACGTTTAATTATTTATTCTAACAATTACATAATGGAGTTTTAAAACATTCCTGGAAAAACTCGGATTTTTTTGTGCTCGCAGTACGAGTACTTTATTATTAATTCACATTTAATTATGCGGTTCCACTAGTTTGTTTTTATACAGAAAAATATTCTAAATTTAGTTTCTCCGATAAGTCCACAAAAAGATCGAATTACCAAGGCTGCGATACACTTATTTCCACCGAATTAATAACCCGTTTCGTTCCTCGCAGATAAACCGAAATCCGATAGCGAAAGGATATATTTTCCGCCCGAATTTAAGCAGCGAATGCACGGGAATATCCACCACACCTACGAGTTTCACAAGAACCATCCGTTCCCGCCCGGCTTTCAGCACGATCCCGAATTCCACAGGACCCATTTCGGGAAAAGCCTCGACGATAAGAACATCCCTCGGATCGATCATAACCACACAGCCAAAGAGGTGGGTATTAATAGTAATATGCATTGGTACTCTAGCGAGGTGGATTTCGTTACAGATACCGCTCGATATATGGAGAAAGTACGAAGAAACTGATTTAGACGAGTTCCTGGCGAATTATGTTGAAGGATTCGAGGAGGAACGCAAAATTCCCCTGTTTGCAAGTAAGTGAAACAGGACGTACCAAAAAAACTCGATTTGTAATCTGCTTATCATTTTCCAGATAGATTCGGCGATGACGGACAAGAAAGAAGTAAGTATGAACCTTCTTAAAACGGTAGTGAATTAATATTTGATTTTCGTTGTTCAGACGGGGGCGCCATACCGGCGAAAGCGACTTGTATACCGGAGTCCGTTACAGTCCCGTTGACCTCCACAGACGATCCCACGGTAATGTACTTACCGAAATGCACCAGAATAGAAAGATGCGGCGGCTGTTGCAACCACAAATTGATGTCCTGCCAGCCCAACAACACCGAAACAGTATCGCTACAAGTCATCAAAACCCAATACACCGGCGGCAAGCGCTTGAAATTCCTAGGAAAGCAAATCATCCCTGTTGAAAGGCACCTCGAATGCAAATGCGCCTGCCGGGTCAAAGCGAAGGTTAAACCGCATTCAACCCAACTAACGAGGTTTATGTATAATAACGAAAATATCGTTGCAGGATTGCCTGCCGCACCAGCATTACAACGCCGTCAGGTGCGCCTGCGAGTGCTCCAACAGGGACGAGGAGGGCAAGTGTTACAGGGACTCCGATATCAAGTACTGGGACCACAAGCACTGCGCCTGCCGGTGCAACTTCGTCATGGAATGCACCAGCGGGTCCTTCTACGATCACAACGAGTGCCGGTGTAAGAGACCGCCGGCGAGACGGAACGCTAACGCTAGAATCGACAATAAAGAAGCTGAAGAGGTAGCACCGGTAGGTCCTTATGATGTTAAATAGATATTGTGATAACTGTTCGAATGACGATTCGAAAACTGACGAAAGAAGTTTGTTCTAACCAAAACGGTTGGAATGAATTTGCAATTTAGTGAGATGAGACGTGTATGTTTGTATGTAATTCGATATTTTTAGACTTATTGTTTTATTAATGTGATTTGCAAGTATTTATTTGTATAAAGTATTCTTTTTAAGGACCACACGATTTTAAACAAGGTACAATCATAATTATACAATGAAAACTGTACTTAATCCTATATTGTTGTTCTTTCTTTAATTCACTTAATATCCTACTGCACTCGCCACGTAAAGATAAACGATCACAATCAAATTGTATTGGAACAAACCTACAATAATTACCGAGAAACACATTGAAATCGCGTTACATCTAAACCAACGAATGAACAATTCGATTAAATAAATTGCTTATTGTTCTTATTAATTATACTCCCCTTCCTCGTAATCGTCGTCGAATCGTCTCGAACCGTTCGTATCGTGCGGATCGTACTTGTGATCTTCTTCATCTTCGTATTTCACCTTTCCAGCATCGTAAGTCGTCGGTTGGTAGTTGGAATAATCGTAATCTGTAAACGTATAAAAAACGAAATTATTATTATGTTTAATTAATAACGTGTATGAGTAATATTAGGTGAGTGCGTTTGTACGAAGCGTATACTACCAATAAGTCAATACTCAAAGAAATTTGGCCCTTGTGCTTCTCGATTTATCTAGCATCAGAATGTCGGCTAAGTAATGTATTGTAATCTAGCCGGGCGTTTCGAATGCGATGATAAGGAAATAAGGATGTAATAAAAGTAGGAATCTTACCGTCAACAGGTTCTTCTTTCACACGAATCATTTCGCTTCCATCGTCCGTTTTGATAAATTCTACCCTTTCGATCTTCTCCTTTTCGCGTCGCTCTCTGCGCTCCCTCTTCCGCGCTTCCCTATCCTTATCGCGGGACTTCGAACGTCTACGCTTCCTATCCTTTTCTCTATCCCTACAAAAAAAAAAACACAACACATAAACCACCGAAGAAACCACCCCCCACAACCGAACACGTACCTATCCTTCTCCCTATCTCTCCTATCGTAATCGTCCTCGATCGTAATCTCCTCGCGCACCTTCTCCTTGCTGCGCCGCCTCTTCTCGCGTCGCGGCGACCTCGACCGGCTCCGGCGCCGTCTCTCCCTCGACCGGCTCCGCCGCCGCTCGTACTCCCTCTCGCGCCCCGCCCTCTCCGGCCTCTCCCGCTCTCTGTCGCGCTCGCGCACGGCGCCCCGTTCTTCGCGCTCGCGCTCCAACCGGTAGCGTTCGCGCTCGCGCTCGTTGTCCTCGCGACCCGAATGCTTGATGTTGACGTCGGGACCGCCGCGTCTCGTGCCCCCCAGGCCGCCTCCTGCGAATTAAACGACGATTAGTACGTTGTTGGATTGTTTTGGGGTGTGATAAGGCTTGCCTAATCGTCGGGGTAGCCATCCTTTGACGGTCCTGGCTCGTTCGACGTCGACCAACACGCGACGCCCGTCGATTTTCTTGCCGTCGGCGTGTTTGTATGCGGCTGTAATATTAATATGTCAATTAGTAGTGGGCGTTGTTTTGGGGGTTGTTGTTGGGGAAGGAGCCTTTCGTGTTACTTATCGAGCGAATACCACGTGGATTTTGTACTGTTTGATTGTAAAAATAGAGAGAAACGTAATCGGGATGGATGTTAAATGTGGGCGTTTTAATAGGAAAGTTCACTGCGTGGTCATTTTCTGAATGTATTACTTTTAAAACCGAAAGCTTTTGGAAGAAAAAATTTATCAAAAAACACGCAGATATAGCAACAACAAAAGGGAAGTTATTATTCCAGACGAGATGTAATTAAACGAGAAATATACTAACTAATTGAAGGCATTCTAAAAATGACACATATTTCTTTTTTTAGGTATAAATGAAATATACCTACCCCATTTTTTACTTACGTTAACAAAAGACTCGTAATGATAATGTTCAGAATATTAATATAACATCACTGACTCGAAGTCGTCGACATCCTTTTTAATAATAATTTTACATTGTTTAGGATTTACCTGGTGCGCAATTACTTACTGAGCGCGTAACCAAATTTTATTTTTATCTATTTAAAAATTATATACTAACGCTCGGTACAAGTGCGAATGAAAAAATCACAAGGAACAATTCGAATTACTCGCGTAAAAATTATTCGATTAGATACGCAAATAAATTCTTTCATTCCACTTTTTGGTGAAACTTAACGCGAGTTTAAAACACAAAAATTAAATATCTCAAACAAACAGACTAATTTGAATTTGTTTTAACATGATTTAAAAAGTTTAAGTGTACCCCGCAAAAACAATAACTTTTTATTTGTATGCAGGGTTCTTACCACACATACAAACCTATATAGCCAGCAAAAAGCGGTAGTATGGGGCAAAACGGCACAACTTAGTTGCCTGCAGCTCGACTGTGTAAAAAAAATACAAAGAATTAATTTCGATGTGGGAAGAACTTTCAAAGGTAATCATGAGATGTTGCTGGCTACATAAAAACTAAGCAAAGATTTCAATATACCACTTTTATATATTTTGTTTTTAATAATTTCCGATCGAAAATACGCCAATGTGTTGGTTTGTGTACAAATTATAACTTACCGTACGATACTTACGATAACCAAATTTAAGATAATCAATTAACATACCGTACACATTGGATTTTATAAATATAAATAACAATATAGGTGGTACTATTGAAGTCGTATTAATCTATTTTTTCTACATACTTACAGTGCATGTCTCGTTCGTGTTCGTATTCAATAAAAGCATACCCCCTCGGTTTACCGTTCACGCTATTGTGAATTAGAACAATCTGAAAAATAAATTAATCGATAATCAACAATAACGAACCGTTTTAATCATAAAACAATGTTCGTGGGGTGAAATAGAAAACGTTCATCGATGGAACGTGTTCGTTGGATAATCCACTATTTAAATATAGCACTAATTTTTGACACAAAAGATACGGATCGTTTCGTGGGGTTTGTAGTGCTTCGATAATACTTCAATACATAATACAAACCTTTTTTATAGGACCGTATACTTCAAATTCCCTACGAAGCTTCGATTCCGAAGTATCGTAATTCTAAAAAAAAAAACGAACATATTTAGAATACGTATATTTACAATATACTAGAACTTACGATCCTGGCAATGAATAACGTTTTAAACGGATCATTGGTGGTGTTGGGTGCAGTAGCGGGATCCCACACGGCGATTTCTTGTTCTAATTTATAGGCGACCTGTTCGGCCCTTTCTTTTCTCCTTCGCTCGAGCCTCTCTTCCCTAGTTTCGACCCTCGTAGGCGGAGGGGTATCTTTGGGATCCTACGTTACAAATTCGCGCAATCAATATCTGACTGATTAGCGGTATATTAAAAGTGCTTACCTCGAAACTGTCCAGGAAATCGCCGACGCCTAAATAGCCCCGGTTTTTCTTCTCGTGCGGTAATTTAGTAACGGGTGGCAGGTAGGCGATGGGATCGCGTGGTGCGAACAACGCCAGTAAGTTCGGCGGTAAAAATTGAGTCATTTTGGATGCAACTGAGACACATCAATGTTAGATACGATTATATACGATACATTCTCGTTAATTATTTGGAAATAATTGAAATATACACCACACGTAGATGAAATAACTGCTACACTTCGACGCTTTGTATGTTACAAAATGGCCGAATAATTATTGTTAATGACTAGATGTCAACTGTCAAATATTGGAGAAATGTCCAGTAGATGGCGTTAGTTGTATTCGAATAAATGGTCTTGTTTAACTTCGGTTACCCGGCCACATATTTTGGAAAATAGTGAAGAAAAAATAAAAGGTCGTATTTATAAAATTATATTAACTAAAATTCAAAATTTAACAATGTGTCTTATAACATAGAAACTAAACTATTTGTTGCTTAACTCAGTACAATCAATTATTCATAGGAAAAGTCTGTGATAATTCAATTCTAATTCTTCCTAATTAAATTCTACACCATCTTTAGTAAAATGACTAGCAAAATTCGGTAACAATTTTTAATCTTAACCAACTACGTTAACAACGTACTTTTATCAAACTATTTGAGGCATGTTTCCTAACGATATACTCCTAATTATTGAATTGAAAAATCGCAGTTTAGGCACACTTTTTAGTCTAAAATCAATCTAAAAAAAACTATAAATCGTAGAAAACCGACGCCAAAGGGTATCTTATGGCGAAGGCCACCCCAGTAAAAACCACTTGAATCCCAATTAAAATAGACACGAGTTTAGCCTCGTGCAAAGGCCCGAAATACAACAGCACAAGATTAATCAATGTTAAATTGTTCGTAACCACAACCCCGTCTTTCTCTTGCCACTTTATCAGCTTAAACAGTTTGAACAATTTTATAACAATCTTACCCAACACGTTCAAATCGGAGTATTTAAAAACTGTGGTGCTTATTTCTAATCGGTCGATTTTCGAATTGAATTTCGGCAGTCTGTGCCTGGGGCACGGTATGAAGCGGAAAAGCTGCGGCGCTGAATAAAGGAAATTGAACACTTGCGGTATGAAGAACAGCAAAATAGTTTTGCTAAAATGACCCAAAATGCCCACAACGGCGAATGTCATACCTGAGAAATAACAAAAAGTATCTCCGACGAAAACTCTCGACGGGTACCTGCAAATAAATCGAAATAAATTTAAATTACCCGCTGTAAAAAATGCCAAATTCTTCTTTTTTATCCAGAAAAAAAATGGGTGTCATTGTCAAATGTCAATTGACCGACTAAAGACAAGATAGAAATTCTACATAAAAATGTTAATTACACACTAATAAACCATATCAAATATTGAAAAATGCCAATAAATGCTAACCAAATACAATCGCACATTAATTTAACCAACAACAAATCGAAAAACTGAAAAGTGCCCAATTGGAGGTTATGTTATGTAGTTTCAAAACAATAAATGTACATCTTTCGTTTGAGCCTGAAGAGGAGAATATCAGTATGCGTACTGATCACGTGCCAGGTCTTTCTAATGCTAATTTACTTTTACGCCCAATTCGAACCGAATAAAGAAACGTCCGAAGGGAATGGGATAAAGTTCCTGCAGAATTCCGAAGAGTTCGGAGACCAACGGGCGACATATCACACGTCGAAAAGCAACATCATCCTCAAAACGGCGAGCACCCGACGGAATTTCGTCGATTTCAACTCGAGTTTGTGCTTCAAAAACGGCACCGATTTGCCTTCGATGAAAATCAACCGAGCCAAATGGAAATGCAACTGCCTGCCCGGCTGGCACGGAAACGACTGCGGATTCCCCGAGGTCCTGTGGAGGGCCGTTTTGGCCAGCAAGAAACCCGTCAAAATCAAAGGACCGAGAACGTTCGAAAGAAGATTAATTTACCTGTTTAAAATCGACCGGTTTTCCGAGTACATAGCCGATATTCGAATCAACGATTTAGGCAAGACAATTATCTCTAATAGCATCTACAAATACTAATAGCAAATTACTATTCGCAGGCAGCATCGTAGATCTCTTCATACTGTACGAGGACGACACATCAGACTATCTCAGGCGCAAGTTGGACGCGGACTTTTGCAAGGAATACCAGCACAAGATCCTCTACGCCAAAAGCGACGGGACGAACTTGTGGAAACGGCTAAAGGGATATTTGAAAAATTTACGCAACGACGATATTGTCCTTTCGAGCGATTCCAACGAAATACCCAACAGGGACGCTCTGATTTTCCTGAAATTCTACGATCAGTGGCCGCAGCCCGTCAAGTTCCGATACCGTTGGTCGGTGTTCGGGTTCTACTGGATGCATCCCAGCAAAACCATTACAGGTAATCGATCGTAACGAAAACAAATTTTCCTCTTATAAATGTGCAAATTTCAGGTGGAGGAGCTTGCACGGTGTCGTTCCTGAAAGAATCGTTCAATAACGACGTTAAGCTGTTGAATGACAACAAAACTCTCTCGAGTCCCGCTTATAAAGGCCTCACGTTGGGCGACTTGAATCACTACGGTGGATGGTACTGCGAGTATTGCAACAATCCTGCCGAAATCGTACAATTCCTAGCTAGTAAGCCTACTAATGTGATAAACTGGAATAGGATCGAGCACCAAAAAGTAGATAATAATTATATAGAGGATTTGATTGAGAACGGAGTGTATGTAGATGGTAAAACTGAGCTTAAAAAGGCGCACAAATACAAGGATATGTACTTTGCACCGAAATTTGTAATGGAGCACGATTGGAAATACGATTTTCTACTCATAAATTTTTATTCCAAAGCGGATTACTACGACATTTAGTTTTTAATTACTGTAATCATTATTTTATTTAAGCTTAATTTATTATAATCAGCTATAGTACGTTTTTTTACATAGCTTTGAGTGTAGCTGTAACACTTTTGCGTTTTATTGGTTTTTGTGATAATTTAACCCTTCATATGTGATTAGTACCCCAAACACCGAATATCAACTGATAATTGTTAACGAAATAAACGATAAATTAAAATCATTTCATTTAACTTTCCCTCTCCTATTGTAAATAAAATAAAACTCACCAGTTATGCTTCAACAGGGCCAACGTAGTAGCAGTGTAAGGCAGCATAAAGTAAAGACTGAACTGGTGGGCTTTCCAAAGAGGGCCGGACAATTCCACGATGTTAAAAACTACAATCGAAACGGCTATCACAACACTTTGTCCCGTTTCCAATCCGTTTACGCCGGCCAAAATATTGATAGCGTTCGTACAAAACACCGCCAGCATGCCCATGTAGACGTAATAGAAAATACCGATGTCCACTGAAAACCCGAATAAATCTCTGAAAGGCTTGGGTACTACGATAGTCGTGGCATTGAAATTTACGTAATAGACCATCAATAACGGCAGGGAAGCTATCGTGGGGAGTAGAAGTTTGTGTCTCCATCGTAGGTCTAAAACATCATCAGCGAAGCCCAGCAACAACATGCAACATATCGATAACAATGCCGCCAGTAACTCGACTAGCTGAAGATACAAAAAAAACCTTCAGACTTGGGTAATTGAAACGTGTAGTTGTACGAACCTGTTCGTGCGGGTATTCTCCTTGTATAAGACTGCTTCCGAAAGGTACGGGAATGAATAGAAACGTGGTGATTAGGAAAGCACAACCTGTAACTACACCTAATGATTCCGGCCTGAAAACAAGGCGGTATTGGTATATCGATAAATAATAAAGGAATTCCTCGTGAACCTTACACTTTATCACTCGTCGTTTTACTCATATCGATTCCGAATAAATTGGCTTTGATGAACTTCTCTTTTATGCCCGGTATTAATCTTGCTGTAAGAAAATAAGCCACAATGGACATTAGAAAATTGATTAATATGGGAAAATGCATTTTCCAAGTCGTGTTTGCTTCCACGTCTACCGCCATTTTTCAAATACACTTTATACTTGTCATTAAACGTCATCATTAATTCACTTACTTCTTTTCAGAAGGCCTTATCTCTTATTTGTATACGGCCACTCTGTCAAATTCTTCTTTTTACTATTAATGTCATAAGTCAACAAAAAGCGGGAACCAGTTTATTTTATTTATTACATATTTGTTGTTGAAGAATTTTTGGGTGAGATAACCCATTAACCCCGTGATTCAGGGCAATTCACGTAAAAAAATGATGGATTATCTCGACGAAGAACGACAGGAAACGTACAACAAATGTAAATATATTGTTAAATTGTGGGAACACGAATTTAAAAAGGAACACAAGAGGATTCCATCTAAAGTAAGTTATTATTTACTATTTTCGTAGTACTTTATTCGATCTGTAATTCCAGCTAGATATAAGAGAAGCAAACAGCAAGGTAAAAAACGCTTACAAAAAGTACTTTCAATTAAAATCTGTAATATTGGATCAAAGTTTTAAAGACATCGTAGAGTTTGATGACCTAGACGAAGAAATCGAAAAAAACAAAGAATCTCCCAAGTTACAATCACTCGAACATACTGACAATATTAGCAAGTGTTCTGAAAAAAAATTATCACAAACCGAGGAAGAAAACAAAGTCCCCGAAAATGTATGGGGAGCGCATTTGAATCACCCGAAAGAAGAAACGAAACCTCAAGAACCGCAGGAATTCAAACCCAGCATCAATTCGACCATATCCAAGAAACTGTTTTGCGGTTCCAAGTTCACGAAAAGAAACCCGAGGAAATCCTTGTCGTTTTCGAGGAAGAGCAAAAGTTCTTCACAACAATCTGTATCGTTCGCCAGCTTCACTTCCGAAGAAGCCATTAATTTCGCGCAGGACGAAGACAAACCGGACAAATTCAAAATTCATGAAGGCTTCCTGTCGCAACCGACCAAAGTAATTCAAACGTTCTTCGAGGACGCTCGATCGAAATTGAAAACCGTCGACGCCGGTTGGTTGGACAGGGTGAGTGGAATTACAACAAAATCAAACACCAGCTTTGAATATACCACACGGCACACTGAGGGTAAGTAATCGGTACATATTTGTGACCTCTAACTAAATTCTATTTTCCGTTTATTGCAGTTACTAACGACGATAGCGACGATGTAATCGAAAATTCCGATGACGAAGACACCTTAGTGTGCAGTCAATTTAGTCAAATATCTAAAAGAAGAAAAATCGAAACCTCCCCTGTAGTTTCGGCCACCGATATCGAACAAACGAAAGACGACACTCAAATTAAAAACACTAACCAAGAAAGCGAAGTTAGCAACAATTTGCAATCGCCAATAATTAATAAGGAGGAGGATCAATCGACTGATTCAGAGATTACAAAGAAAACGAGTAGTTCACAGAAAACTAGGAAACCGAAAGCAACTGCCAAGAAAACGAGACATTCCAAAACAAAGAAAGACACATCGGAAAATGAATTGGAAATATCCCCGAGAAGATCCGCGAGGGGTAACAAAGTCAAAGCGAGCTTCAAGGAATTCTCCAGCGATGAAGAATTGGATCCTTTTCATACAGATTCCGATAGAGAAGATCCCGAATTTCGGCTAGATAACACAGATTGCAAGACCGATAGTCCAGATGAAAAACTCCCCTTACCTCCAGTCAAGAAACCGAAGGGAAGAAAACCGAAACAAACGAGCAAAAGCAGACCGACAGAAGAAGAACAAGAAGAGGAACCGCACAAATACGATTTGGAATTCTCAGTTAAACCTCGTACAGTCGTATCCAGATACGGAAGCGTCAAAAATATCCTAAAAACCAAAAACAAAGAGCTAATCGGCAACACCGCCAAAGAGGAAGGATTAGTCAAGGACAAGGAAGAGCAAGCCAGAGAAAAACTAGAACAAAAAATATCCTCCGGCACGCTCAACGACAACTTCGTCAAAATCAACATCAGAAAGAAGGTGTTTGTCAGAGGCAAGACGAGCGTGAATTTCAAACGGTACAAAAAGACCCAATGGAAGAAGGCCAAGGCGAAGGCCCTGGCGGGGCCCGACATGGACATGGGGGGCTGCGACGGCGGCATGTTGACCTGCTTCAATTGCGGACAGGTCGGTCACTTCGCCCAAGCCTGTCCGCACAACAAAGGCGACGCCCTGCTCCCCCTAAACGCCGCGGAAGATGCAGAAGAATGCCCTTTTCCTACGTTAGAAGAGGCCTCCAAAATGGCTGAAGAAAGCCACTTGAACATAAGAAAGTCCAAGTTGCCTTCTAACGAAGATAATCCCGGCGAAGATCCATTTAGCGACGAAGATTCGGAAGAGTTACTGCTCGAAACTATGAAACTCGAGGAGCACATTAAGAAATTAGACGTACAAGTCTATATGGACAGTACTAAAGATGTAGAAAGCTATTATAAACTCGACGATAATGGTAGTGTAATAGGTAATACGATTGCATTAGTATAAAATTTCGATTCAATATGATCATTTCTAGATACTCCCCAGGAAGTTTTCCAGGCTTTGGAGAAGTTCGGGCACTCTTCGTTTAGGCACGGGCAAGAACGAGCCATCATGCGAATTCTATCCGGACAATCGACTTTAGTGACCCTAAGCACAGGCTCCGGAAAGAGTTTGTGCTACCAATTACCCGCCTATCTCTATTCGCAACGGGAACCCTGCATCTCCCTGGTCATCTCCCCGCTGGTCTCCCTCATGGACGATCAAGTCGTGGGCATAGCCAAATGCCTGAAGGCCGCCTGCCTGCACTCCAACCAAACCGGCGCCCAACGGAAGAAGATCCTCGACGCCATCGCCTTGGGCGAATTGAACATTCTGCTGGTCTCGCCGGAAGCGGTGGTGTCCGGCGAAAAACAGAGAGGATTCGGCTCGTTCCTGAGAAAACTGCCGCCGATAGCGTTCGCCTGCATCGACGAGGCCCACTGCGTGTCCCAATGGTCGCACAACTTCCGCCCGAGCTACCTCATGATCTGTCGCGTTCTCCGAGAAAGTTTAGGCGTGAAGACCATCCTCGGGCTGACGGCCACCGCGACCGAGGCCACGCGGACCAGCATCATCCGGCACTTGGGCATACCGGACGGGGAGCGCGGCGTGATCAGCGACGTCCCGCTGCCCGACAACCTCGAATTGACCGTTTCGAGGGACCCGAATCGCGACCGCGCGCTGCTCGATCTGCTGCTATCGGATCGATTCAAGCGCTTCAACAGCATCATAATCTACTGCACGAGGCGGTTGGAGTGCGAGCGGATCGCGGCGTTCCTGCGCACCGCTTTGAAGAACGAGCAGCCCTTGCAGAAAGACAACAAGAAACGCAAGCGGGCCAGCAATCAGGCGGAGCCTTATCACGCCGGTCTGTCGGCCAGCCGAAGGAAGTCTATACAAAACGCCTTCATGTCGGGGCAATTGAGAGTCGTGGTGGCTACCGTGGCGTTCGGAATGGGCATCAACAAGTCGGATATCAGAGCCGTGGTGCATTACAACATGCCCAGCAGCTTCGAGAGTTACGTGCAAGAGATCGGTAGAGCCGGTCGGGACGGTTTGGAGGCGCATTGCCACGTGTTTTTGGATTCCTCGGTATATAATCTCGCATTATAAACACTACAATTACTTCAAACGCATTATTTATTGCAGGGTAACGACATATACGAGTTACGCAGGCACATCCATTCGAGCTCGATCGATCGCCAGGTGATCAGGAAACTGCTCGACAAAGTGTTCGTTCCGTGCGTGTGCAAGGAGAAGTGTCCCAAACACGAGGTGGCCTTTTCCATCGAAGCGGCGATTCGAGCTTTGGATATCCCCGAGGAGAACGTGTCGACGTTGCTGTGCTACCTCGAATTGCACGCCAACAAGTACATCGAATTGCTGAGTCCGGCTTACACGACGTGCAAGATCATCTCCTACGCCGGCCCGTTGCAGATCAGAAAGGCGGCCAAGGATTGCCCGCCTTTGGCCATGGCGTTGGCTTTGTACAAGGACAAGCAGGACAGCGGCGAGAACGTTTTGGAATTCCCCGTGATAGACGTGGCCGCTGCGATGGGCTGGGAGAGCGGCATATGCAAATTTAAATTGAAGAATCTCGAGTGGATTACAGGTGGGGTTCGTTCGAAGTTCGAACGTTTCGTATTAATCTTAAACGCGCTTTGTTGTAGTGAATAACCAGCAGAAACGGTCGACTTTGAGCGTGCAATTCAGCGATTTGGGCTTCAGGCTGTTGGCGCCGGGGAATCTATCGGGTGATCAATTAGACGAGGTACTGGACGTGCTCTACGATCGAGTGGTGGAACAGGAAAAAACCGCTTTGCTGCAACTGAACGCCATTCACGCGACGCTGCGCGAAGTCGCCCTGCCTTCGTTTCGAGCTTGCTTAGACGCTCCGAACGATCGACGGATCAAATCGAAGGTCAGGGAGTATTTCGATTCGTCGGACTGTTTGAAGGCCTTCTCTCTAACGGAGTATCCCGAATTCGACGAGGACCGGCTCGCGGCCGACGTGAGAGCGATCGTTTGCATGTACAGAGACAACAATTTCACGGCGAGAACCATCGCGAGGATATTCCAGGGCATCCAGAGCCCCAACTACCCGGCCGTCATATGGGGCAGGTGTAAATTCTGGAGGAGCCACTTGGACAAGGATTTTCACGTTATCGTCAAAACGGCGATAAAGGAATTGATCAAAATGAGATAATTTTATTGCGATGTGTAATAATAAATGTACAGATGAACGTCTCGCTATCGAAACCCCCCCGCCGTTTCTCCTATACAACAAACGGCGGGGGGATGTAGTGGAGTGTACAGTACAACATGTAAGTAATAAAACTCGAATTACGTAACGACTCGCTTGAGGTAGTTTTTCAATTTATCGTGTTGTATGTCCTGTAGTTTGGCTATTTGAACGGTGGCGCTCTCCTCCTTGCATCTGCCGCACATTTCCTTCAGTATCCCGTGCAGGGGGCTCCGGAAATAAACGGATCGATCCTTGAGGGCTTTGTTGGTTTTGTGGAACCAATTGTGCACGATTATTTCGACGACGAACACGATGATAGAGAGCACCGGGTGGAAAACTATCATGGTAGGCAGCAGGAAAATGGCGGCGTTGATCAATTGGGATTCCAACGGATCGGCCTTCAGCGGTTTCCTGTTCGTTCTTTTGCTGCGCGCGGTTTGTTTCTTGCAGTAATAGGAGCTGGGTATTTTGAACCGTTTTATCGGCAGGTCTTCGTATTCGCCCGTCTCGTCGTTTTGGATTAAAGGTAATACTGATACTTCGCCCGTTTCTACGTTCAGGAAATATTCGTCCATTTTGTGTACCTGAAAACATCGATAATTAATGGTAATGATTGTGCAAATAACCAGTTTGGTTTGAATTGTTGATGTTTTGTTATTACGTTCCGGTGCAAGCGTACTGATTGATTGCGTCAAAGATGTAATTAACAATTAAAATTTCCCTCGTCTGCGGTTGTTCTACAGTAATTGCGAGTCTTCTCTACGCCCTTCGGGCTAGTTTAAAGTCGCTTTAAAGCATCCCGAAAAACTAATTATCTTACCTTTAAATCGCTAATCCATGTTACGAACACAAAATGCAATTAACAAGGCAACTGCACAGGACCGCTTCATCGAGCTTACATACATTAACTGAACATACTATCGATGAACTACACTACACAGTTCGAAGGTCAAGAAATTATGCCGAAACACAATCACATTAATTTTTATACACTATCAACGTCGCCTGTATAATTAAAGTATAATTAAATCGAATTTCAAAAGACGTCCATTGTATTCGTATTGAAATGTTGTTTTTTTTTTATTTTTGATTGCATAATCTTCGTTTATTTATTCACAATACAATACGTTACTCGATCTCGTTGATCCTGCCCCATTTGAGCCTCGACTTCCTGATTTCCAGTTTGAGCCAAGTGGGCATGTATCCATCGAAGTATTGCGCGTTGGGGTAAGGCAGGGGCGCAGGGGACCCTTCGAACGGGTGCACGTGCTTCAACTTCCTCAGTAAAAATTCTTTGTTGATTTCTTTGGGATCTCTGTATTTGTCCAGGTAGATGTTGAAAGGTTCCCTTAGCGGATACCACACTTGCTTTTTGATGTAAGGCGGTGGGAAGTCATACTCGAATATTGGCTCCTTCATGTCTGCGAATTAACGAAGAGGATAAGATGCTTATTTTCGAGGTATATTTTAGAGTACTTACTTAGAGTATTGTGGAAGAATTGCTTGAGAGATTTGTCCCAATCGGATTGGTAAAAGGCCAAACCTGCTGGTGTTATGGAGTCTTGGAGGTTCTTGTAAAAATCGTAGGTGCTGAATGTTCTATCGGTTAGATTTAAACTAAAAATAAATTTAGTAATACCTTCTTTTAAATACATTCGTGTACTTACCATTTACCCTCACGTTTGAACGATGAAAAATCCAATTTTTTGTCTTGTTTGTACAAAACGAAAATCATCCTATGATACCCCGTTCCTTTAGGTGGAAAAGGTTGCAAGTATTCTACTAAAGTTTCCCCTTTGTTTATATTATTTTCAGGTATATTTCCACTAAAACAAACACGAATCGTAACAATACATCCCCTTACTCTTTTACTCAGCACTTACACAAACCAGTGAATGTATTCACTATTCTGATCCGTTAAATGTCCATCTGGATTCACCAGAGTTAAAGTCCACAAAGTATTTTCATCGCAATCGTATGAAACGCTCGGTTTATTGGTCGCTTCCGAGGGTTTTATGATATTTCCGAAATGAACGGGCAGTTTTTCGTCCTCGATTTCATATTCGACTTTTAAAGGGACCCTCGAATGAAAATACGCGTCACCGTACAAGTGCTCGAATACTCCGTAATGTTCTGCGATCCGTTTTATTCCACTCGCTCCATTTGTTTTCAACCATTCCTCGTTAGTTTCTTCTAAATTTATTGTTACTAAAAGTGAAATCGGTTAGTTTCGTATTAATTTTTAATTATTACCTTTAATACATACATTTCCTATCTCGAGCTAGTTTTTCCAGTACAGGGTCCTTTCGTTGTTTCTTCATTACTGCTATTCTTTCTTCGAGTGCTTTCGATCGGGAGATCTGTGGAGGAGGTAAACCAATATCCACTTTGTAATAAATAGACGGATCTTTATAGTTTGTTTCTAAAATTAATTCAGAAGGAATCAGTTTATAGCAGTAGTAAATTAGGATAGTATGGAAGTACCTGCCAACTTTGTTTCTAACGATTTGGCTATTCCAGGAGGTTTTCCTCTTAAATGGTGACCATGTCTAACAGAAATGTACAGTGAATTAAGATTATTTACGTTTCTGAAACAAATATTCCATAAATTGTTTGCCATTTTTCAATATTATAGCAGATTATAAAATTGAGGTTAGGGTTGTATTGTTTCTTCTTTTTCCTAAGTCTCTAGTAATTTGTCAATGTCGATAACGGTAGGTAAACTAGATTGTATTAATAAAAAAGAAGAATAATTTGACATTTGCGCATTTTAGGTTAAGTTAGATTTTAACAGCGAAATTATCGACCGTTTTTTGAGTACAAATAAATAAATAAATATGTGCGAGACCGAAGAAATACTTCAGAATTTAAAAAAAGCAGCCGAGAAAAAGGAGGACACGAAAATTATACAAAACCTCAAACTGCTACCTAAAGAGACCGAGCTGGACGATATTTTATTTCTGCGGGATTTACTGGAATCCGATAATTTTGAAATATTAAAAGTAACAATAGAATTAGTAGCGGAACTGGCGAAGATCGAATCCAACCGGAAAATCTTTACGAATGAACATCTAGTGAAGGATATAATACATTTGCTAGATTATAAGGACCTTGATATAGTTATAAACTCGATAAGAGCACTTGGGAATATTTGTTACGAGAACGAAGAAGCTTGTAATATTATCGACAAAATCGGCGTAGATAAATTACAATTTATACTAAAAGATGATGCCAGTAGAAAAGACAGCGAATTAACATCTAAAACAGCCGGTTTATTCCTCAATTTACTTAATATGAGCTCTAATTTGGGGAAGGTTTGTTTGAAGAACGGCTTATTTCCCATTATCGAAGATCTACTCGCGAAATATTCGAAAAATTGCAACCAAAATGAAACATTATTGGTGTTTTTAATTTCAATAATCAACAGCCTGGAGTATCTTTTCGATGAGCAGGATGTACCTTTCACAAAAGAACTATGTAAATTACTAATAGATATATTCAAACAGTCCGTCACTCCCGAAATATCTATACCTTGCTTAGAAATATTCCATTCCCAATGTGGACGAGGTAAATTTCGATATAATCCATTTAAATTTTTTTACACTTTGTATTTCAGTTTGCGCATCGGAGGACATTAAAACTCTCATCGCCAAAGAGGGCGTTTGCGAGTTACTATTCGAACATATAGAAAAATACAGGCACTTGGTAGAAGACGATGAGAGCCGATCGATTCTAAAAATGGCGTGCGATTTCATCGTTATAGTCTTAACAGGAGGTAATAATTTGTGGAAAATTAAATCGGCTTCATAACAGCTCATTTTTTTGTTAAACAGACGATTGTATGAACTTATTATACCAGAATGGAGAAGGAATAGTTTACCAGAATATAATCTCATGGCTGGACAGCGAAGATCCTGATTTATTAACTACAAGCGTGTTGGCTATCGGTAATTTTGCAAGGAAAGATATCCATTGCATTCACATGATGAAAACGGGCATATCAAAGAAATTACTAAGTAATACTATTTAATTTCAATACCATTGTAGTATTTCAAGTTAACAATTCATTTTAGAGATACTGAAGAAATATAACACGAGTACAGACATAAAAGACGTGAAAATCCAACACGCCCTCTTAAGCACACTAAAAAATCTGGTAATTCCCAAGGAAAATAAAGAAAACATCATAAAAGAAGGCTTGATCGACACCATATATCCAATGATAAACAGCAAATACGACTTGGTTATTTTCAAATTATTAGGAACATTCAGAATAGTAATCGAAGATCAAGGTAATACGAGTATATTACCCACAATTACCCCATTAAACGTATACTTTTTAGAAACCACCGCATTACATCTGGCCACGCAGAAAGAGCTCATCAGCAAACTAGTGCAATGGAGCGACACATCGGAGCACCTCGGCGTGAGAGGAGAAGTACCGAGGCTCTTAGCGTGGCTAATCAAGTACTCGCGTTCGACGAAGCCCATTAAATTGCTACTGGACACTCCGGGCGCCGTGAAATGCTTAGTGGATATGATATCGTCGAATCACGCTTTGATGCACAACGAAGCCCTCACCGCTTTGTACCTCGTGTACGTCGGTTGTCCGCAAGTGTCCCCCGAAGACGGCAAAGGTACGAGTACTTTATCTCGATACAATTCGCTTTTGATAGACGTCGATATCGGGAAACATCTGCATTTCGTGCTGACTAAATATAGCGAAAAAATGGACGGGCCCACGATAGAAAACCTCGTGAGTTTGTTGGAGCTGCTCTGCCGCTCCGAAGAGTTGATTTCGCATTTTAAAGCTTCCGAATTAGTCGCGCCTCTGCTGAAGCTGCACCAGAATCCGAACGTGTGCAGGATAGAAAAATTAAACGCAATCGAGAACTTATTGACCACGTAATTTTTTTAACGGTTTAGAGTTATCACTTCATTGAACACATCGATGCAGCAAATGAACAATTTAACGCATTTCGTTGATATGAAATTACAATTAACCTTCAATTAGGCTTTTTAGTTAGCGTCTTCGGTGCTACGTTGAAATGCTATTTTTTATACAAGCGAAATTAGTAGTCACGTAATTAAACATTTTATTCCTCATCGTTTAAGCTGCAATTTAAATTTCTTTCAACAAGGCGTCTTTAAATCGTAGCTCATGTTAAATGTATTTCGATACCTTTTCTCTTTGCGACTACAAATAGAAACACGATAAACAAAAAAAAATGTAGCGAGTACTTTTTATAACTATTTCTTGTATTTAATTGTTACTAAAGTTGATAAAGTATATTAACTATTGCTGATGTAAGAGTACACGTTATGAGGTAGATTATTAAATAACAATCAAATGAAACATTTTATTTTTTCTGATATACACAAGATGTTACTACGTTTCCTACTTTGCCTCCGAATTTGAATTGCGGCGTGGGTATGACGTTGTACAGATTGAATTTATCTTCAAAGTGTTTGTTTAGCTCGTTTTGTGTCCAATTGCAGGACGTTACGATTAACAATCCCTTATCGGCGAGGCTCTCGTGTACGCTATCGATATATTTCAATCGGTTCTCTTTAGGGTTTTCGCTTAAGCTTACGGCATCGTAGGTGCCTTTGTCATGAATGATTTCGTAACAATCTCGGATGCCTTTTAGAATATCGCAAGCGAAATAAGTTATGCTCAAAGCTTGTTTCTCGGCAATTTCTTTAGCTAGTTTTATGGCGCTGTCGGAGTAATCGATACCGGTTAAATTCGTGTATCCTTCGTTAGCTAGTTCGATTAGAAGCATTCCATTACCGCACCCGACGTCTATTAATTTACTCTCCTTGGTTATTAGAGCGCAGTTGTTCATCCATCGGATTATTCTATCTACCGTGTCTTCGCCGAACCAAATTTCGCCCGGGTCTCCGTGGCTCTTGAAATTGTCGATTTCTTCGCTGTAACGGCTGTCCCAGTACTGTTGAGTGCCCAATTCGCAAGGGCTAAGCTCCTCCATAACGAATGTTTGTTTTGGTTTTAAATTATTTTGAGGTTAAAAATATTTGACACTTGGGACAGGTGCTAATGTCAATTCAGGCCGTGGCTAAATTATCGTTACCGTAAAAATGAATTACTTTTTTATCAATATTATTTACTTTCAGTTTCATATTTGAACATATTTATAGTGTATTAGTAATTTAAGTGAATTCTTTTGTAATTATTTTAATTAGTTGTAAAGATTAAAGAAAAAGAAACATTTCCGTGATTGGGCAAGGAACCAGGTACAAAACAAACGCATGATAAACGTCAAAATCAATATAACCTATAAATATTTAATGTTTAGTTAATCATTTTAATTTTAACAGAAACTAACAATGAGAATAAGAACAGACATTTACCCAAGATGTATAAGAGACGCGTTCGTAACTGGTTTTCTTTTTATCATAATACCCATAGTTTATTATTTTGAAATATTCATAGTGTTACCGAGGTACCACCAAGTGGGCTCGTCTACCTACTATTTTCACCTGATAACCGGCACGGTTATATTATTTAACGTGTGCGCCAACCTGGTGGCCATCATGATGTGCGAAACCAGCATAAAAGGGCTAGTTTTACCAACCGAAATGAAACCGGACTGGAGATTCTGCTCGGTGTGTGAAACCATAACGCCACCGAGGTCGTGGCATTGCAGCGTTTGTAATATATGCATTTTGAAGCGGGACCACCATTGCATGTTCACCGGTTGCTGCATCGGTTTGGAAAACCACAGGTACTTCATCGTATTCCTGCTGTACACGCTGGCAGCTACCATTTACTCATCGTACTACAATCTAACGTTCGTCGCCGAATACATATCGTTCGACTGGTCCTGGATGACCGTGCTGAAGTTGCTGTTTCCCCTGTTCACGTTCGTCATCGAATGGACTGAAAATCAATTTTTCATATTCGTGATCATCATCGTGCTGCTGGGAGCGTTTTTCACCGGAGCCCTGCTCGTGTTCCACGTGGACTTGATGCTGAAGAGCGTCGTCACTCACGAGAAGCGAGTCACGAAATACGATCGAGGGAAATTGGAGAATATCAAACTCACTTTGGGCGAGAGATGGTATTTGGTTTGGCTGTCGCCTTGGATCGAAAGTAAATTGCCCTGCGATGGAATTAACTGGGATAAAATAACATCGGATAAAGAGAAATAGGAGAGCTTCGGGAGAATGTACCAAAGAAAGTATTATTTAGAAAGAATTTCTTGATCTCTAATAGTGCACTCTAAAATGTCCGTTGAAATTGTAAATGTGCATTTTAAAGAAGCTCACAATTCAAGCACAATAAATCTTTATATAATTATTAAAAAAAATGCATATACATATCTGTAAATATAGCTTCTTTTACTCATTGAACGTGTTTGAATAATAATACCTTACGAATCGTGTAAAACCTTTATTCGCATATAATTTATATAAAATCACATAAACACTATTTTAATTCCAATGCATACCGTCCCCTGTTAATTTACTGTGCACCCACGGTCCGAGCCAAACCAAATACCACCTTTCGCCTAAAACAACTTTAATATTTTCCACCAAACCCCTATTGAATTTCTCCTTCCCAATTTTCTTATTTTCAAACAACGTGATATTTCTAACTAACAATTTCACGTAGAAAACAAACAAGAAACCATTGACGACAGCCACCGAAAACAACACCACCATCAAGCAGAAGTGGAACTGATAGCTCGACCAATCGACGAAGAACATCCCGACGAACGGAAAGGCCACCTTCAGCACGGCCTTCCACAAACAACCCGGCTCTATCGAGTTCCACAGGAAGCACGCGTTCAACACCGTCCCGTACGCGGCGCACGCCATCTGGAAGAACAGATAGCAGAAGAAGTACCGCAGGTTGTCGTGCCCCACGCAGCAGCTCATCATCAGACAGTGGTGGTCGCGCTTCAGCACGCACACGTCGCAGATCTTGCAGTGCCACGAGCGCGGCGGCGCCGATCGCTCGCACCTCGCGCAGTACTTCCAATCCGCCACGATGCGGCCTTTGGGGATGCGCCCGGCGACGCTCGGATCGCTCAGCATGGTCGCCAGCAGATTGGCGAAGGCCATGAGAGTCAGCAGGACGATGACGCCGAAGCGCAGGTTGTAGTCGGCGCTCCAGGGTTCGTAGAGGCCCGGCAGGACGAAGAACAGCTGCGAGTACAGGTGGAGCGGGATGTTGACGATCAAGAAGCCGGTGGCGAAGGTTTCTTTGAACGTTTTCGGTAGGATGCTCGCGCGTAGTCTCATTATTTCGTTCGGACCTGGGTTTGACGTTGGAAATGTCTGGTTTGACAGTTTTAAGCGCCTTTAATGGCTTCTAATAGTTCCCAGTTGGTGCCGTCGCAGGGCGGTGGGCTTTTTATCCACGGGGCGATCCACACCAAGTACCACCTGCTTCCCAGGACTATTTCCACGTTTTTTAATCTACCTCTGTCGTATTTACTGGCGGATTTCGTCGTTTTTCTTTCGTACGTTACGAAGCTTTTCAGCATCAATTCTACGTGGTATTGGAACAAAATGGCGGTACCCACCATACCGGATAGCATGAGATTGATTATCAGTATGTAGATTTGGTTTACATCGAAATGCGTGAAGAGGAAGAAAACGGGAAAGGCGAATTTCACGATGGAGTACCAAGACCAGTCGATTAGGAAATCCTTCGAGAAATAAAAGCTGTAGTAAGCTCCGTACAGTTGGGATAACAACATGTAGAATAACAGCACTAAATAGTATCTTTGGTTGTCGAAGCCCACGCAGCAGCTGGTGAAGAGGCAGTGATGGTCCCTTTGGAGTATGCAAACGTCGCAGATTTTGCAATGCCACGATCTGGGAGGCGCGAACTCCTTGCATTCGGTGCAGTATCTCCAATCGGAATGGGCCCGCGAGCGCGCCGGTAGCTTCTTCACGCTCGTATCGGTCAGGATCAGGGCCAGGAAATTCGCGCAAACGCCGAATAGCAAGACAGTCGAGGCGATCAGATTCAAATTGTATCCGGTGCCCCATTGTTCGTGGTACGTCGGGACCACCACGAAGAATTGGAAGTAGAAACACGTCGGTATCATAAGCACTAGCAGGCCGGTGGCTAGCGCGTCCTCCACGCATTTCGGTAGTATGTTTCTTCGAAACGCCATTGTTATTTTTTTCTATTAATTTTTCATTGTGTCATTAGGTAAATGTTAATCAAAAAGGTCATTTGGGGTTTCACATGGTGATTACAAAAGTGGCCTTTTGTGTAATGAGCAAACGTTAATGTGCCCGGATAAATAAGTTGTGAAGGGCAAGGCCAAAAATGTTTAATCGTGGCTAACTTCACTTGTATGAGTAACATTTAAACAACAAACGGATATAAATGAAAAGAAAGTAATCAAATATAGCAAGAGAGTGTAAAATAAACCGAGAGAAGGAAAGAAGTTGTAGAAGTGACCTTTTGTGTAAGCAAAGCTTAATGTGTCCGGATAAGTAAGTAGTAAAGGGCAAGACACAAGTATTTAATCGTGGCTAACTTCGCTCGAATGAGTAAACCGGTTGATGTTGATTTTTGACGTTGTTCGAGTACGTAAATAACAATAAACAACAAACCGATGTAAAGAAAGGAATCAAATATAGCAGGAGAGTTTAAAAATAAACCGAGAGAAAGCATTTTAGAAAGAAAACGAGTTTTCGTTCGAATGTTGTCCATACGCGCTTTGTCGAGTTTCAAGTTTGATTGAATTTTTTATTAAACGTCAAATTTTAGTGTCAAGTCATGTGTAAGTAGCCTACATTTTATAAAAATATAAAAACTTTCATCGAAACTGCGAGATTGAGTTTTCCGATTTATCGTCTGATATGGTGTGAAATTCGCCTGGGGTAAGATCATTTGCATTTGTTCCGTAATATCGCCTTCAACTCCCGATTTAGAGACCTTGAATTGAAATTGTGGATTTCTAAATGCGTTTCAATTGCACGCTTGCGGACGTCAACATATGTATTTTTACAAGAAAATTTGTGCTGCTCGCGATAAACAAAACGAATCTTATCATTGTTTGTTTGTTGATTTTTGACCAATTGAACAAAAGCACCGATTATTTCGTAATAAAAGTTTACACTACGCAACCTTCGAATGCTACCAACAAATTTAAATAACATCGTTATTGTTTTCAGTAAACCCGACGCAGTTTAAAGCATTTAATAAAATGGATTCTCTAGTTGGAAACGTCAAAAGCAAACACATGGAAATCGGATCACCCATTCTAAAATCCATCGATCCCAACATAAACACCTACAAAACCAACGAGCAGAAACGCGATTACCAACGACACAACGTCCAAGAAGGTTTACTATCGTTAAACCTAGACGACATAGAAGACGAATCGAGGAGCATTCTACTACTAGACGATCAAGAAAACCTTCGGGTACATTCCGAAGACGGGTTCCTCAAAGCCCTAAACATAAAACCAAACGAAAAAGTGAAAGTAATCGCCATATTCGGCAACACCGGCGAAGGCAAATCGTACACGTTAAACAAACTCTTCTTCGACGGCGAAGAATGCTTCAAAACGTCTTCCTCGCAGACCTCCTGCACCCTAGGCGTGTGGGCCATGTACAATCCCAAACACAACGTAATCTGCCTGGACACCGAAGGCTTCCTGGGCATATCGAAACGGGAAAACCAACGCACCAGGCTCTTGCTCAAAGTGATGGCGGTTTCGGATATAATCATCTACCGAACGCGGGCCGAACGCCTGCAAAGGGACATGTACAGCTTCCTCGGATCGGCCTCCGCTGTTTACAAGGAACACTTCAGTTCGGCCTTGAAGAAGGTGTTCGTCAGCAAAGAGGCCGAAGCTTTCTCCGGCGCCATCGGCCCGGGCGTTGTGATTTTTCACGAAACGCGGTACATTAATCGATGCAATAATTCGAACGTGGGTTGATTTAATTGCGATTTCAGGCATACGGAGACGTTGAACGAAAGCGCGAACGTGACGCAATCGGCCGAAGACATCCTGCGGGCGACGTTCGGCGATTTGAATCTATCGTACGATGCATTTAGTTTTTTGAAATATGTGGGCGTGAAGTCGGCCCGAAGCGAGACGTGTTTCGATACGCTTCGAGAAGCCCTGCTGGATAAATTGGAGAGCACCGAAGTGAGGACGAAGCGGGACGCGAAATACGTTTACTTGACGTTAAAAGTAAATCTAGTAGTCTATAATGGGTGTGCTTGTAGAGTTACAATTATGTAATTTGCAGAGTTTGAACGAGAAGTTTCACAATCAGCTGTCGAACAATACGCATCAACTGTATCTACCGGCTTTTTTTACTTGCACGGAAAAGTGCCAGTCGTGCAAGAGCAATTGCAATCTCTCGATGGGCCACAAGGACGAGGGCGAGGCGCATCAGAGCACGCAGAATTGCACCTTCCAATATCAGTATCAGAATTTCGTCTACTTGTGTAAAGTAAGTCGCGTCTCCCGAGCTCTATATTTTTAATTACCTATACTATTTTCGTTGCTAGTCGTGCTACAAGAACGGCCAACGGACGGTGGTGAAGCCGAAAGCGGTGCCCGACAGCTCTTGGTCGAGTTACCTCAACTACATTTGGGCAGGCTACGTGATCGAATGTCCGAAATGCGGCGAAATTTACAGGAGCAGGCAGAGCTGGTACGGCAATAAGAATCCCGAGGAATCGGCCGTTTACATGGAAGTGGTGCACATTTGGCCGGGAGTGAGTTTCGCATCGCCTGAATTAACTAAGCCTATAAAGACAATGGCCCGTGATTCAGCGACCCGCTGTTAACATTAACATGGCTCTAAAAGTTCACTTTACACTTCATAACAACAATGTAAATGTGTCAAAAGCACGGCCCTATATTTCTAAGGTCTGGAATCTCCCTAAATCGCGGTTGTGTGAAACTACAGTTTCGAACTGTCAAAACTTCAAAAATTATTATTTTACATTTCGAGGAGAAAATGGAGAAATACGTTAACCGAAAATACGTGAGGCATGATGTTAACAACAAAATCATCGCTGATTTAAGTATATTTTTATATTTTCTATCTATTTTTAGTTTGAATATAACCTGTTTTATCCTCAAATAACGGGACACTTTTTCGACCTATGTTTCCAGACCTTAGAAATATAGGACCGTGGTCAAAAGTGAAAGAATCTCCTTAGTTACTCCATAACAACAATGTAAAACTGTCAAAAGTGAAAGAATCTCCTTAGTTACTCCATAACAACAATGTAAAACTGTCAAGTTAGAGAAGCGACTTTAAAGTCGTGTTTAAGGTTAAAGTGGGGGCGCTGAATACGGGCCGCTATCGCTATAGTTCCATCACTCTATATCCGCAAACTTCCTACGTTGCTTGCTATATTCAATCGATTGCATTGTCTTTATGGGCGCGCTATTTGGTCGCCGTAGCGTTAACGGTGTACACGTTTCGAATAGGACAAAACGTACTTTCAGGATCGCTCGTTGTTCGGTTCGCAAAATTCCGCCCAGAAGGTCCTCGACGGCGTCACCATGATCACCGACGTCATATCGACGGTCGGCTATCAACCCAAAAAGATGATCAGCGATTGGGCGACCGACAAAATCGCACCGGCTTATTGGCGGCCCAACAACGAGATAAAGGTAGTTAAACGAATGAAAGGGTGGTTCAATAAGAGCGCAAGATTTTAAGGTTCAATAAAACAATGTTATCTGTAGCAAAATATGGAAATATTTATTAATTTATCATGTGTACATTTGGGAGTTATATATCCAGATGCAATGCTCCATATTTACCAACTCCCAACTGTTAACTTTCGATCTGTCGTGTTATAATCACGCGTTATTATGACTATCAAACACGACAGTCGATTCAAATCTTGCGGTCTTATCGAAACGCCCTTTAGAAAGTAGTACATTGTACTCGATGAATCGATGCGATGTTCCAGGAGTGTTTCAAATGCAAATCGCCGTTCCTGGCGCACGCGAAGAAGCACCATTGCCGGTCGTGCGGCGAGGGTTTCTGCGAGGAGTGCTCGTCGAAGAGACAGCCGGTGCCGGCCCGAGGGTGGCTCGAGGACGTGCGCGTCTGCGACAATTGCTACACGGCGCAGCCGCCGACGTTGTCGAACGCGGCCGACGCGGCGGAGAATCGGTCGCGATTGATCGCCGAAACCGTCGGCAGCACCATGTCGGCGGTCAAATCCGTCCTCGATATGCCCGTCGAGTACATCAAGGACTTTGCGAGACCGACGTATTGGACGCCCGACGGCGAGTGCGTCCATTGCTCGGTACGTGGCGCTTTTTTTTACTGTATTTTATTTACGAGGATAAGGTGAAACTTTCTCGGCTTGGAGCATTTAGAAGCTGGCAACCATTTAGAAGCGTTTAGGATCATTGAGAGCGCTCCAGAATCATTTAGAACGCTGCAGAATCATTTAGAACACTCCAGAATCATTTAGAACACTTCAGAGTCGTTTGGAAAGCTCCAGAACCATTTAGTAAGCTCCAGAATAATTTAGAAATGGTTAGAATCATTTAGAACGGTCCAGAACCATTTAGAAAGCTCCAGAATCATTTAGAACACTTCAGAGTCGTTTAGAACGCTCCAAAACCATTTGGAAAGCTCCAGAATAATTAAGAACACTTCAGAGTTGTTTAGAACGCTCCAGAATAATTTAGAACTGGTTAGAATCATTTAGAAAGCTCCAGAATAATTTAGAACTGGTTAGAATCATTTAGAACGGTCCAGAACCATTTAGAAAGCTCCAGAATCATTTAGAACACTTCAGAGTCGTTTAGAACGCTCCAGAACCATTTAGAAAGCTCCAGAATCATTTGGAACGCTCCAAAACAATTTAGAACTGTCTAAAAGTGTCTACTACGCAAAGATAATTAAATTACCAAGGAGTTTTAGAAGCCTTCCAGACTCCCATTTCCGGGATTAGATACTGGAAAAACGCTGCACAAAATGTATTGGTATTGAAGAAGATTATCACCCCACCTTCTTCGAGTTACGTGCATTTGAACTGTAATTTATTTGATTTTTTTTGTAGGTGTGTAAGAATCCATTCGGGCCGTTGAGGGCTCTGCATCATTGTAGAGAATGCGGTAAAGGAGTGTGCGACGATTGTTCGGGATCGAGGAAGCCGGTGCCGCTTAGGGGATGGCCTAGTCCGGTGAGAGTGTGCAATCATTGTCGATGATAGAGGACGTTGAGAAAAGGCTGATTTTAATTTTGTATAGCCTGTACCATCAGTTTGCAACTATTTTAGTCGGGGTTAAGTAAATGAATAAACGGCAACATGTTAATCTATTGGTTTTTTTCGAAAAATTTATTGCATGGACAAGGGGGCTATTTATTTTAAAGTTGGTCTTTTTGTTTTGTAAATACCATTGTGTCTATTGTTAATAAACAGGAAGGATAATAAATAATGTTATTAAATTGATGAATATGTTAATATTGTTAAGATTGTAATGATTACTACAAATTGATTTTCTACCTGATTAAATTTAATTCCATCATTCCTGTTTGTTACTTACTCAACAGATTGAGATTTATTGGTTGAGATTTTTACTTTTTTAAAACGAACGTTAATGTATGTTAATAATTTATAAATTATATCAAATGCTTCTTAAACAGTTTTGTTATGCTCAATTTTTTATTAAACATAATAGATTTGATTAAAGGATTTAAAAAATTAAGTATTTACCTTTGGAATCTATAAAAGCCATTTGATAATTAAAACGGATAATACTTTCTTTTAAAGATATATTTTATATTATGAAGATATGCACTATTGCGAGTTTATATTTTGTATATAAATATGAATAAGAATATAATGGGATATATTTGTTATTCTAAAAAATGGTCTAATATATCATTAAAACATGATATAACAAACTAACAGTATTATAATAAATAAACCTAAGTTTTTAACTTTCAAAAAAAAAAACGAGAAAATTTGGTATTCCTATAGGCTACAAGTATACATTAAATCCAAAAACAATATACAAAACTTAACCTTTACAAAATATACAATCAATGGATAAATTTTGTATATTCAAAAATATAATTTACCTTTGTTACAGGGAGAAATACACAGTATTATTCGCCCCATGAACAATTTGTCAGTCGGATATTATCCTTCGAAATCTCTTATTCGGAGGTTGAACATCATCATCATCATCAAACATCTCATAAGCGTATTCCGGCAAAAACTTTTCCAATTGCTCGTCGAAAAATTTCTCCAACGTTTTCGCATCAATGTAAATTTGCGAATCGACCTAACGAAATTAATCGATCTTTAAACACTGCACGAATTAATTATGGAATATACTTACAGGATTATACAAATAGGCGTTTTTAAACATCAATCTAACGTCTCGAATGAGCTCTTCGATATTCCTATAGTGAATGTTCGCGTTCCAGTTTAACTTTTGCCTTATCGAATCTAAAGCTATCGGCCTTTTAATAATAGAGTGGTAATCTTCGTTCTAAACAGAATCAATTAGTTATTCATACAAATTTAATGCGAAATGTAAATTACCTCTGGTCCTATAAGTTCTCTAAACGGTAAACTGGGATCGTATTGGCAATACAATTCTAACACCAGTCTTTCGGCTATCTTCCTTTCCTTGGCACTCAATTCCCCATCCTTTCGTTCCGTCAAAACATTTTCAGGTATATCCGAGAAATTCATACACAACAGGCACTGCCACGTGTCGTTTTCCCTGCAAAACCATTGATATCACAAAAATCCGACGGTATTTTAAACACACTTACTCGACAGTCAAATTAGGTATATGGCAATATTGATGGAACACCTTGGGGCATTTATCGCAACAAACCAACTCCCCGCCATCCATACAAACGGCGCACCAATCCTCGTTGGGATCGTCTTTACTGGTTTCGGACAGTTCCGATTTGATTTTCGTACTTACGCTCGTATCGCCCGTCGAACTGTCCACGTGCGGCGATCCCCCCTTAATAAATACACTCTTTATATACAAGATTCCATCGAGTTTCTAATGCGAATTGTTACCTTTTGTCTGCCTTCCGCCAGCACTTGCACGCCGTTCGAGTCCAACTTGGCGATGGTCGCCATCAAATCCTTGACCGAATCCTCGCAGAATTTGTCCAGGCTCCGTTCCGTATCGGATTTACCTTGCACGTGATTGGGACTCGGCGTTTTGGGTATGGTCGAGGTGACGGCGCCCGCGTGGTTTTTATTCAGATCGTTGGGCGTTTGTTGTCTGAGGGTTATCTTGAAGTTGTCGTTGATGGTCGGAAGGGTCATGTTACGGTTCAAATTCATGTTGTGTCCTATAGCGAATTAGGATCGATTAGAAATTCGCCGTATTTTTTGGGTGTTTTTTTAATACAAACCTGAGGTGCTCTGCTGGGGCGTATGCCATTTAGCCAATCCGCCGCTATTGCCTTGGTATTGCGGTAAATGTTGGTGTTGCTGAGGTTGTTGTTGTTGCTGTTGTTGTTGTTGTTGTTGTTGCAAAGAGAGTCTCTGGTGCGACGGTACGAGCATTCTTACTTGATTCGTTTGTTGAAACCTATCGAAATAAATACAACAACGATTTTGTAGATTCCGGATTATTTTTGTAATAATCGGAATTACCTAATTGGCTGTTGCCCTGGAAATCGGTTTTGAAATTGTTGCGCCAAGTGCGGCTGGATGGCCTGATATTGTCCCGGTCCTGTTTGAATATACACATGATTATTGTAACCATTATTAGAACAATTAGATTTATTAGGTTGTAAAAGATGGCGTAAATTGTTACGATCCGCCATAATACCTTGAGGGTGTGTAGAAGACGAAACCTAAAAAAACAACAAATCGCTTTTATAACCTACATAACTCGTCGTTTCTTCGGAAAATTCACAAACCTGCTGTTGCTGCTGATTAATACCCATCGGTAGCCGCGGCATGAGAGCCCTCTGCAAAGTTTGCGGCCTTTGCATCCTGTTCATGTTCAATTGCTGCAAACTGTTCGCCATCGTTTGCGGAATGTTACCCATTCCGGGCGGTCCCATCGCCTGGATCCGGCTCTGCGCCGCTGCAATCGCAAAAATTCCAAACTCTCGCTCTTTCGAAACGACAAAAAAAAAACCGTACGACACTCACCCAAAGCCTGCAAGTTTTGCCCCATGCTCGGCGTCATGTTCTGGTGCCCCATGGGGCTCATGCTTTGCGCGCCCATGCCGGCCGAATAGGGCGAGGTGCCCGGGTATTGGGAGTACGGCGGCGGGCCGAGCATCCTCGAGTGCTGTTGGTGGTTGGAGGGCGACGGCAGCTGGTGCGGGGGGCCGATCGGGGACTGTTGTTGCGGCGGGCGCACCTGGCCCGGGCTCGTCGAAGCCTGCGGTGGAATCGTCGAAGCTGGAGAGGACGGCTGCGAAGGGTACACTCTTCCGTCTACGACGATTTGCCCGATTGTCGACATTACTAAAATACAAGTGTATTTATTAAACGTCGGGAGAGAGAGAAAATGAAGCTCCGTTTAGCACCACTGCGGAGGTACATTTTCTATTGGTTAAATAAATCGATCGGTTTGGTCGAGTTACCTGAAGAAAGACCTTACGTAAGCATAGAATAAAACAAGGAAATGAGCTCAGTAAGAGAATAGCAAGTTCCTGATGAAACTTACCTTTAATCAAGTCCGGTACTTTGTCTAAAGCTAAATGTATTCTAACCGGTATTTCGGGGTTGGGTATATCGGCTCGTTTGCATTTTATCCGTTTCAAATGTTCCGTCATCTGTTTCTTACTGTATAATAACGCCATATCGCTACCGTTATCTAGAGCGTGTTGGGTGAATTGTATACAATGATCCGTCATTTTCGACAGCTGTTCCAACGCAACCTTTTTCTCTTGCAGAGTTTTCTGCTTGGAATCGCACACTTCCGATAACTTGGCTATGAGTTGTTTCCCACGAACATTAATAGTATTGGTTAATCTACGAAATTACAATGAAATTAAATACCCTCTAAAAGTAAGCAATATACTAAAACTTACTTAACAACTAACTGAGTAATTTCATTAACCAGTGCACCTTTCTTATCGGTAATCATATTTTGTCGATCATCGATCACCTTCATAGCGCTAGAGAGCAACGATCGCTTGTATCTAAAAATTAACAATTAACAAATCGGTACGTTATAAATAATCGCAAGAAACGTTTACCCCACGTCTTTGAGCATCTCGGCGATGAATTTCTTGGCCTCCGAGGCGATCTCGTTGGTGAATTTGTATTTGTGTTCCCTGTGCTCGATCAACTGGCAATCCCTGCACGTCAGCTTGTCGCACGTCTCGCAAAACAACGACAGCTTCTCGTGCGGATGGTTCATGCAGAAGAGATTCGACGGCGACCCGCTCGACGCCGAATTCAATTCGATCAGGCCGTCCTCTTTGGTCTTGATCGTGTGGTCTTTGGTGATCTTGAGGCGTTGGTGCGCCTGCACGCAATTGTCGCAGATGAATTCCGTGCAATCGGCGCAGTAACTGGTCGCGGTCGCGTCGTCGCTGCAATTGCTGCATTTCATGTCGGTGTTTTTGGTCGAATCGTCGCCGTTGCCGGCCAGTTCCAGCAGGAATTGGTTCTCGATGATGTTGTGCGGGCTGCACACCATACTGCATATAGGGCATTCGATGGTAGCTGAAATGTTTGGGTCGTTAGAGCGAAGTGAAACGAATCGGAAGTGCTCTGCTCACCTGGTGTGCAATCGTTGGATTCGTACAGTCTACTTTCGATGCAACTGGAGCAGGAATTGTGGAGGCATTCTAACAACTTGGGATTGTCGGCTGCGTTTAGCACTCGATCGCAGAATATGCATTTGAATGTAAAGCTTTCTCTGGTGGTAGGGCTCTCGACGTTCTGTTCCTCCACGGGGCTGGCGAATTCGTCTTTGGGACAATCGCTGTCGATGTTGGAAATTTCCTTCTGATTTTCGATCTCACCGTCAATGTTATGGCTCGATTCGGAGAGTAATTGGTCGATCATCAGTTCCTGAGAAGCAGTGAGGTTTTCGGATTCGGTATCGTTATTGACGGGTTCCGGTAGCAGGTTCTCCGGAATCGATTCTTCGGTCGGCATTGGAGCGTTATAGGCCGGATCGCCAAGGAAAACCTTCGAATCGCCTAATTCAGCCATACTTTTAATAACCAGAATAGAGGTCATAAACTCTAAAAATTACGACAAAGAAGAATTACTGGCGCGCTGTATTCGGAGCATTTTTCCACCATCGGTTTCACGCGATTTAAGCACAATATCGAATGTTTTTGCGTAAAGTAGCTTCACATTTATTTTGTAATTGACAAGCAGTTTTTACAGACGTGTTTTTATTTTTTGCTCACTCTCACTCCTTTCAGCTTTCACCGCCATTATTTTATTTAGTACCAACTTAAAGTAGAAAAAATACCTATTTATTATATAAACGTTCTTCTTTTTTAAATGCAAAATTTAATTACTAATTAATAATACAAATTAATTGATTTAAATATAAGTATTCAAATTAATCTAATTGCATCATAATTTAAATTTTATTTCAATTTCAGTTATATAATTATTTACACGGTTTCCGTATATGCCGTAGTATCAAAGGCAGCCATCTTAAAAAAAGAAGAAAAAAACCAATTAACAAAGTGAGGTTAAGTTTCCATCGAACACACTCGTGCTTGTACGCTTGTTGTATACTACACGTGGTTACAAGTTTTTATATCATTCCTCGTTGTTTATTTACAATTCGAACCTAGCCATGGGCAAACCAGGTACATTAACGAGACGAAATGATATTCTTAAGTTTAAAGCAATCATTTTGTTTTAGATTTTAGAGGAGGCCGTGGCGGCGGCGGTTTCGGCGAAGGCCGCGGGGGCCGCGGTGGTGGTGGAGGCCGCGGCGGTTTCGGCGGAGGCCGCGGCGGCGGTGGCGGCAGAGGTGGCTTCGGCGGAGGAGGAAGAGGAGGCGGCGGAGGCCGCGGTGGATTCGGCGGCGGCGGTAGAGGAGGCGGAGGCCGAGGTGGCGGCGGTCGCGGGGGCCGAGGCGGCGGCGGCAGAGGAGGCCGCGGCGGTGGCGGAGGCGGCTTCAAGGGAGGCAAAACCGTTGTGATTGAACCCCATAGGCACGAAGGAGTCTTCATAGCGAGAGGTAAAGAAGACGCTCTAGTTACCCTCAATCTGGTGCCCGGTTCGGAAGTGTACGGGGAAAAAAGGATATCGGTCGAGGTGAGTGATTTGATTCCATCTGCAATTTCGATAAACGATAATTAACTGTGGGATATTACAGAACGAAGGCAACAAAACCGAATACAGAGTATGGAATCCATTCAGAAGTAAATTGGCTGCCGCGATATTAGGAGGAGTCGATCAAATCCACATTGCACCGGGCAGCAAAGTTCTATACCTCGGAGCGGCGTCCGGTACCACAGTGTCTCACGTATCCGATTTAGTGGGGCCCGAAGGGCTCGTGTACGCCGTGGAATTCTCCCATCGATCGGGTCGAGATCTGATCAACGTGGCCAAGAAGCGCACCAACATCATCCCTATCATAGAAGACGCCAGACATCCCCATAAATACAGGATGCTAGTGGGAATGGTGGATACGGTATTTGCGGACGTGGCCCAGCCGGACCAGGCTAGAATAGTGGCTTTGAATTCGCAGTATTTCCTGAAAAACGGTGGACATTTCGTTATATCTATTAAGGCTTCTTGCATCGATTCGACCGCTCAACCCGAAGCCGTCTTCGCTTCGGAAGTCAAAAAACTCCAGGCGGATAAATTGAAGCCGCAGGAACAGATCACTTTGGAGCCCTACGAAAGGGATCACGCCGTCGTTGTGGGAATATATCGACCTCCTCCAAAGAATTGATTTTTTTTGGCTTAAGATGCTTATGCATTAGAGGCCTTAAGTGAACGAACATGAACTAAACCAAGCGTTTGAATAAGTATGGAGTTTTATTTTTAAATAGGCTTGGTTTATTTTCTGTTTGTACGAATTGTTAAGTATAATTAAGTTTAGAATTTTCAAAAACTATGTAATTAGTTTTTTTATGTTTTAGTTAATATACATAAGACTTGTTAAGTACGAGTTGGTTTGTAAAAAATAAATATATTTCCTAATTTTATTGTGACTACTATTTTTGTAGTTTATGCTCGAAAATATTTCCTTAATAAATCGTCATTTTTGAGAAATATATACTGCAATGGCAACGTCGCCAATAAAAAAATGTTACTTAACGAAACCTTTGTTGTGTAAATAAGTTTTTCGAGAATTCATTGAGGATAGTATAAAAAAACGAAGTGATATGTGACCTCTATTTTTAATTAATTCACAGGGTTTTCCCGAAATAATTGTGTACTCTAAGATGTACAATTCATTAATGAATTAATCTGAAAATGGAATAATTTCTATCCGAGCACCTATGACGAATGTGCTAATGTAATTATTCTATTCTTTGTCATTACACAATTATTTTTTTGCACGGCGAAAACCTGAAATTCGCCTGCGGTGTTTCTAATGCGCTTCGAACGATTCAAGAAAACAAATAAAGGTCGATTAATCTGAACAATTACAAGCAGACGCTCCCGAGATGTTGTCGAAAATTACATTAATCGTCGTGGCGAATCTAGTTTGCGGAGTTTTCCGTGAGTATTCTAATTTTTACGCAGATTAAAGAATATTAACCGTTTTTTTTCACTTCTATCTATCAAGCTTACGGTGATTATGTACCGAAATCGGTGTTCCTTGTCGATGAAAACGGGCAAAAAATCGACGAATTTCGCGTACGCAGCAAGCGAGATTTGGAAAACGCCATCAGGATGTTCAAGAGATCACCGGCTCCCGGTGGATCGTCGTATTCGTACTCCGGTTCCTTTTCCAACGCGGGATCTAACCCTCACGGTAAACTTTTTCACTAAAATTTCACCCGAAGCGCCCGCACTATAACTTCCCTATAGCAAAACGAAATTCGCCGTGATAGTAAGGTCGCTTAGCGCCAATTTCGCCTACTGATGAAAAAATTATTGTCGCAGACTACGTTCCGGATTTCAGCAATTTCGCCGCGAATATCCCGACGAGTTTCGAGGACATTCAAAGACAAACCGAAAAATTCGCCAACCCAAGCTTTCACAGTCGTCTAGGCGGAGCTGCCGATCACGATTCGGGTTATAAAGGGTGAGTTTCATCGCTCGTAATTGCACCTTATCGCTTTAATCCTGTCGGTTTCCAGGCCGATATTGTTCAGCAGGAGCGGAACGGATAAAGGATCGGGCGTGAGAGTGTCGAGCGCCTCGCAAGGATCCCGAGGAGCTTTCAGTTCTTCCTCCAGCTCGATCGACGGTCAAGGGAATATCAAATACAACGTTCAATCTGGAAAATATTAATTGCTAGGTAATTGTATCGTATAAGTCACACAAACGGGAATAAAATTTATTATAATTCTTGTCTTTACACACGCTTATTATCATCTGGGTGGGGAATCGAAGAGTTTCGAAGCGACGAATTTGTACGGTCTGTCCATTTCCGATTGGGTTTTGGGTATTTTGCAAATCCTCTTCACTCTCGGCGACATTAATAATATATTCTGCACCAAACCGAATGCACTCGAAGTCGTCCAATACAACACGAGGCACTAAAAACGATAGAATTCGCGTGAAAATTACACCCAACTTAAAATAATATACTTACGGAAGGCACAGAAGCCCCTATAGGTATCATAACTACACTCAAACCTCTAAATACGTTCGTTAGAATTTTCTGCAACTTATTCGGTTCGTTCAGTCTGGATAACCTTTGGAGCTGAAAAATAAATTGAACTGAATTACAAATAAGTTCAGATCAATACAAAATCGTACATTTGTTGTGCATAGCTTACTTCGATGATTAATAAATTTATGACTCCTACGCTAACGGGTAGAATCCACGAACTATCGACAGCGGTTAAATTCGGGATGAACCCAAAGCCTCCTAACGTTAATTCGGCGTATATAATTTCAGCGTTACTATCACGCAATGGTAACATGTAGACTAAATTCCTCAAAGACACCGATAGACAAACCCAAGTAGGGATTTGGAACAGCATCAACAGGCTCGCTTTGAAGGGATGGCAATTGTCCCGAAGAATCAACTTCTGCCATTGTTTGCGTATCTGAAAAAGTATATTTTCAACTCAAACATTCCTTCGGCTGCATCTGGCCACTTACTGATCTGTTAAACACCGCTCTGGCTTGTTTCTCGTCCCATTTATACAATTTCACGGCCATTGAGGTCTCTTTACGCAGCTCGTTGGCTATAGCCGGCATTTCTAGCTTCAGATTCTCCAGTTTCGCTAATATATAATTCTGGTATATGGCTAAAGGTAATGTTACGAAACCCCTTGCTAGTACTGTAGTGCATATGATTGTAGCCCACCATGGTAAACCGGAATAATCGTGAACAGTTACCAAGACATTCTGGCAGTATTCCACCGGTGTACTTTCCGATATAGACTTGAATATTCCAGTTTGTGTCTTTGCTATTGACTCTATTGTATTTTGAAGAGAAAACGTTCTTTTCTGGATCCTTTGTAGAGGTCGGTGTGCGTTAAATACAACATTGCTTTTGAGTAATTCATGTGTCAATAATGCGTAACGTCCCGTTGTCTTGCAATACATGATTTTTCGTTTTATTCAACGGGATAATTCATATTTATTTTTGAATTTTCTTCAGTGGCTGGATAGGTTGCAATAATATCTTTGAGAGGTTACGGTTAAAGAAGAATGACATTTGATGTAAGTGTCAAAATGACGACGATACACATAAATTGTGAGCAACTAAAACGTTCAAAGAGCAATGGGATAATTCATACATAGAAATGAAAGTAGTCTTATATTTTGTCAATGAATTCATGTTTATTTGTTTATTGTTGAATGTTCTTCTGTGGCTGGATAGGCTACAAAAAACTTTAAATAAAATGTTATGGTAAAAGAAGAATTCAACGAATTGACATAAGTGTCAAAAAATGGCGACGATACACATAAATTGTGGGAAAGGCAATTTAAACTGTAGCAATAAAAACAGCAACGTTCAAAGCGTGCCGTTCAAAATACTAGCGGACGCTTCTGCCAACGTGGATAAATATTTCAACAAGTGTATCAAAACTACCGAAAATGGTCGTAAGTATGAATTTCCGTTATGTCGAGTACTCTTTTATGTTCTTTTATTCGTAGACTCTAAAGCCTCGTTCAGAGGATTACCATTGTTAGGAAAAAATGTACGATTGCCCGAAGGTTACCTGGGTGTAGTTTTGCACGAAAGTTTGAAACCGCACGACGAGAAGAGCGAGAGAAACTTCTATGTCACCAACGAATTTTCTAACATTAATTTCTGGAATTGGGATAAAGATCCTAGTGATAACGATAGCATAACACAAGCACTGCAGTGGCTGGATGTGGCCAATGCGGTAAGTTATTTCAAGCAGTCTCAAATTATTGCTAAATTATGCTATTTTTTCAGCTACACAGTCCTATTATAGAAGAATAGTAAATTTGTATTTCTTGTGAGCAAAAGTGTTACTGATTATTGAAGACTAATAATGTGCCTTATACGTTATATAATAAAACTAAACGAAACTTACTAATTTTTATTATTTTGTTAATTTTAATTTAGCGCATTTGAACTACTCTGAACCGAATAACAAATTGATTTTAGTCCACAACAGCTGCTCGTTTTTTATATCCGAACTGTCATACGTCAACGTCAACTAGTCAAAAAAATGTAGGAAACGTCAAAAAGTGGATAAATGATAAAAAAGTTAACGAATCGAGTTCCACATGAACACAAGACGTTCCTTATTAGTTACGAAACGGCATTTATTACACGAAAGAAACCAACAACACGAAATCTACGAGACCAAATTCGACGACAGCTACCTTCAATCACCATTATAAATATTATGATGGAAACATGCAAAGCTACGGTGCAAAGCAAACACTGATTGTTTACACAACTCGTAATGTTTAATTTAGATTCTAAACATGTCCCGAGAGCGCCACACATCAACTTCATGTGCATACCGCTGCTTATATACGAAACAGAGGAGTACGTAATGAACACCGCGAGAGCCAGCGAGTCGTACGATTAAATGAGAGGCCGGTGAAATGAGCCGGAAAGAAAGGGACCGGACGGACTCCTCCTCCTACATCAAGTCCGACATACAAGACGACAATCCCTCGGACGCGGTCGAAGACGAGAATGCCCAGCTCTCGCTCGATCCCAAGCTGCAGATGTACCTGGCCCGGGTCTCCGAGGAGTCGGGCTGCTGGGGCAAGTACTTTCCCATACCGTTCGAACGGGCCGCGCAGAGGTCTTGGTGGGACCCCACGTTCGATTCGGAAATACTCGAGGAACAATTCAAGAAGAGCTCGAACAAACGGAACAAAATCAAATTCAGGTACAGAGATTTTGTTATTCTAATTATTTCGAGAGTGTTTGTATAAAAAAAGTTTGAGGATATTTACATTCTTGTGTTCGCAAAACGGACAGGTGTTTGATTGATCCTTGTGTTTTTTCGCGTTGTTTATACATAATTTAGTTGAAAGAATGGTATTTTTAGAACTACGATAACCGGCCAAAAAAAAACAATAAAATATGTATTTTATTATATTAATCGTAATAATATTTTCATTGGTGCATATGCCAAAATAGCAAAATTTAATTTTGTAACCACTTGAAAATCCACATGTAGTTTTTCCTCAGAATTCTAAAAATACTCGGCTACTTATCTATTCAATTTTATAGCTTTTCCAATGTCAATTTAGAGAACGTATGAACTTGGAAATATAAATATTTCCTACATAAACGGTTTTATTATCGTTAAATTTTTACATTTTTTTTATAGGTTCGCCCTGATATACCTCATAGTGATCTCGTCCACATGGCTGGCCTACTTCCTAGTAGTAGGCCTGTCGGGCAACGAACGCCACTGGCGCGTCGTGTGCGGCCTCATCCTCGTCCTCATCCTGTGCCTCACCCTATCCCTGTTCTTCACGCACACCAAGATGTTCGACGTGAACATGACCGCCCTGACGTCCACCATGTCCGTTCTACTAACCATCATCAGCCTGGTGTTCGTGATAGTGGCCCAACCGGTGCCCGTCGGCCATTTCGCGCTCTGCATCCAAATGCTGTTCCTGCTCTACACGCTCGTACCGTTGAAGCTGTACGCCAGCTTCCTGTTGGGCATCTTCTACTCGACCGCCTACGAGCTGGTGGTGAACGCGACGCGATCGAACCGCGACGACGCCCACGACGTCGGCGTCGCCGTCCTCAGCCACTTCGCCATCCATCTGATCGGCTTCCACATATGCCTGATGAACAACGTGCGCAGCAGGAACACCTTCATGAAGGTCGGCCAGAGCCTGCTGGTGCGCCGCCAATTGGAGCTCGAAAAACGGCTCAAGGAGAACATGATACATTCGTTGATGCCTAAAAGCGTCGCCGATTGGTTGAAGAAAGAGGACGTGAAGAATAGAAGGCAATCGTCGGATTCCACCAACGATATACGATCGTTGTTTCGACCGTTCAACATGGATAACATGGAGAACGTTAGTATATTGTTCGCTGACATCGTGGGTTTCACGAAGATGTCGAGTAATAAAAGCGCCGAGGAACTGGTGGATATTCTCAATAATCTCTTCCAGGTATTCACCGACTATTTGAGTAATTGCGTAGTAGTTACGATGTGATTTGGTTTGCAGCGTTTCGATTCGCTGTGCAAGGCGCACAACTGCGAGAAGATCTCGACGCTGGGCGATTGCTACTACTGCGTGAGCGGCTGTCCCGACGCCCGTGCCGATCACGCGCTGTGCTGCGTCGAAATGGGCCTCGGCATGATCGGCGCCATCGAACAGTTCGATCGCGAAAAGGACGAGAGCGTCAACATGCGCGTCGGCATCCACACGGGCAAGGTGCTGTGCGGCATCGTCGGCACCAGGCGATTCAAATTCGACGTGTGGAGCAACGACGTCACCTTGGCGAATAAAATGGAATCGACCGGCAAGCCGGGCGCCGTGCACGTCTCCGAGAAGACGGCCGGTTTCCTCAGGGACAGCTATTGGCTCGAAGACGGAGAGGACGTTATGGGTTAGTTTATGAGTTACTCCTCTGCTTCTATATGTAACGCGGTTTGTTGTCTATTGTAGGGTTGAAAACGTACTTCATACTGGGCAGGAAGAGCGACAAGACGCCGTCGTACAGCGGTTCGTTCCGGGCCGAAGGGCGCCAGAAGTACGCCAATTCGTTGCAGCTGTTCGTGTCGCCGCCGACGAACGCGTCGCCGTCGCCGACGTCGCGGCCTCGCGTGTTGTCCTGCGACACGTCGGGCAATTACATCAAGCCGCAGCAGCGCCAGTCGCAGCACCTGCTCTCGCCCGACGTGTGCAAGATCAAGGCGAGCAGCCTGCCGAGCATCTTGGATTTGGAAAGCGACGACGCCATTTGCGCGAATCCCAACAACGATAGCTCGTTGACCGACGACGTTAAGACGCCGACCAGTACGGCGAGTAGCGGAAAGTACGCCGGTCGCTTGAAGAATTGGAAGATACCGAAGTTTATACGGAAATTGTCGGATCAAAAGCAGGAATTGGAGGTGGACGTGTTCACCGTATCGCCGCTATCGTCGACCGAAGATGGCTACCAACAAGTAACGATATATTCACTTCACAACGAACCATATAAATACTATCGGCGTTTCAGGTACCGACGATCATCGAAGCGACGATAAACGGCAACAACAAACGAACGGAGCTCGACGAGCTCAAAGACAACAACATCGACGTGAAATCGTACATCAGCCAGTCGCGCAGCGACATCGGCCAGTACGATTACGCGCTGAACGGCGAATTCGTGCGCAGCGGCAGCTACAGATCGCAGACGGGCCGCCCCGTCGATTGTCCCTATCTGCACAGGACGGGCAGCAGTCGATCGAGGCGCGGCCGATCGCCGATGTTCGACAATTTGGAGCCGACGGAGCGGGCGAGGAGCGCCACGGTGTCGGTGGGTAATTTGCACAGGCCGAAGAGATCGTTCGAAATGGCCGGCAGGCTGTCGAGCGTGGCCGGCTTGGAGGAGAACGCGAACCAGAGCAGGAAGGACTCGGGCATACGGAGCAACAGCAGAAGGAGCAGCATACAACAGGTATCTGTTCCAAATAGTTCTAAATGATTCTATGCAGTTCTACATGTTTTCGAACTTCCCTAGTTTATCCTGGTCAATTCCATAAGATTCTGGAACGTCTTAAATGGTTCTAGATAGTTCTAAATGGTTCCAACTACTCTAGTCTAGTGACTAAATGATTTCTAGGAAATTCCAAATGATTCTGAACGTTTCTAGTATAATCTGGACAATTCCAAATTGTTATAAATTAATCTAGGCAATTCTAAATGGTAATGAATTTCTATAGTTTAACGTGGATAGTTCCAAAATGGTCTAGATCGCATCTAAATGATTTTTAGACAGCTCTAAAAGGTGCTGAACTTCTTTAGTTTATCTTGGACCATTCTAAACAGTTCGAAATGATTCTGAACTTCTCTAGTTTATTGTGAGTAGTTCCAAAAGCTCCTGGATCGTCTCTAAATGATTCTAGACTATTCTAATTCCCAGTTTATCGTGGTTAGTTCCAAGAATTAATTTTGTTCTACCCGAAAACACCTCTGTTTCGGATCCATAACGATCCTAATCGGTACTGCCGGTTTTTTTTTTACAGATCGACGCTGTTTTGACGAACTCCGAAATGCTGCACCGAGTGTCCGGCTACTACACGTCCAGCCAATTTTCGATCAACCGTACGCCGCAGGCGCCGCGCAAATTCGGCCCGTTCTTCGACAAGCACGGCGCCTCCATACAGATCCTGCGCAAGCAATCCGACCGGCAGCTGATCAAGTGCGTCCAGGACAATTCCAAATCGAAGTCGTCCTATTTCATCAAGCCGCCGCTCTCCAAGCTGTCTCTGTTCTTCAAAGACGACGAAATGGAACGGTTGTACAGGCAGAACGTCCATCACATAATGACCAAGGACGAGCAGGACATCATGACGCTGGCCAATTCGAAGTTCAACACCTATTTGGACGTGGCCGTGTCGATGCTGGTGTTCCTGATCGTGTCGCTGGGCGGCGGGCTGTTGTACGGCGTCAACGCCGTCTGGTTGGGCAGCTTCTTCGCGTTGTTGTTGCTGCAAACGGTCGGCGTGGCGTTGTGCGTGAAGCGCGTGGTACGATGGTTCGACGGCGCCTGTTGGTGCTTCATCAGGTTCTACAGGTGGAACATATTCGGCGCTCTGCTCGTCAGCCTGCCGTTGATCTCGGTGACGGTCAATTTCGTATCGAATCGCCAATACTCGCCGTCGGACGTGAACCGGTTCAGTTATTTGTTCTTCGTCGGTTTGGTGCACTTTTGCAATTTCACCCAGTTGAATTGTTGGATGAAAAACACGCTGGCGAGCGTCGGTAGCGCCGCGTTGGCGTTGGCGATCGTCTTCGACGCCGACGACGGCGCCATAGCGTCGCATTCGAAGGCCGAAATGGCCCTTAACGCGCTGGTGTTGCTGATGCTCATCTGGTTGTTGACGAGAGAATTCGAGGTCGGCTACCGGTTGAGTTTCCACGCGAACTTCGTGGCGAACCGCGACAAGAACAAGGTGCAAAACCTGAAGAACCAAGCGGACTATCTCATCTACAACATCGTGCCGGAGCACGTCGCCGAGCAGCTCAAGAAAGACGCCAAATATTCGGAGAACTTCAAGAACGTCGCCATCATCTTCGCCAGCATCGTCAACTTCAACGAAATGTACGACGAGAGCTACGAGGGCGGCAGGGAGTACCTCAGGGTGCTCAACGAATTGATCGGCGACTTCGACGAGTTGCTCGACAGGCCCGAGTTCCATTCGGTACGTTTCGAACTTATTCTACCGATCAAATTTGTATATCGTTTCGGTGCGGTTTTACAGGTGGAGAAAATCAAAACGATCGGTTCGACGTTCATGGCGGCCAGCGGTTTGAATTCGCAGAAACGCCGGACGCAACAGGACCCCAACGAACATCTCTACGCGCTGATGGACTTCGCCATCGAAATGCAGCGCGTCGTCGACGACTTCAACCGGGATCTGTTAGGTTTCGATTTGGAGTTGCGCATCGGGTATAATTTCGGCGACGTGACGGCGGCGGTGATCGGCAACACGAAATTGTACTACGACATTTGGGGCGACGCCGTCAACGTGGCGTCGCGCATGGACAGCACCGGCGCCAAGGGTAGGATACAGGTGGGCGAGCACTCGTTGGCGGTGCTCAAGGAGAAGTACGAGTTCGAGATGCGCGGCTCGGTGTACGTGAAAGGTAAGGACGATATGAACGTGTATTTCTTGAAGAGGAAGAAACCGAGGCCGTTCCTCGAGGTGCCCGACGCCGCTTTGTGATGGTTTTTTTTTCTTTTTATTGTTTTTCCGCTTGTTTTTTTTTTTCGCTCAAAATTCGGGAGGGACGTTTTTCGAAAGAGTCATACATATTGCTCCATTTTTCATTGGAACATAGGCTATGGGTGCACTTATAAAGGAAAAAGAAAGAGTGACATTATGTCATTGCAATAGACCTATTCAGTTTAACCTGTGCTGCGCGCGCATATTGTGGACAATTAGCTGGACATCTAAACGAACAAACGAACGCACCTCAGGTAAAATACGGTTCTGACAACCAGACAACGACAACTTAAGACGTCATTTGTCATTATCCAACAATCCGTCGGATTTAATGGACGCGGTGACTCGATACAAATTTGTTTTTACTGCCCAGAAAGGGGTTATAGGCTTAATATTTACGTACAAGTCAAGTCTAAGAAAGAGTAAGAGGGTTAGTACAAAGTTTCCGAAAATGCTTTTTGATCGGTTTGCTATAATATATATTTCAAAAAAATAATCCCATTGACCTATACAAAAAATTATTACCTTTATAAATAAATATACTAAATAATACAAAGAAATACTGTTAAAAATAATACACACTGAACATAAACAAACATCAAACGGAAACAAAATAGGGTTAAGAATGTTAAGATTGATAATGGTCTCTTCTTTTTTATATTTTAAACAGTTTTCATCTAAGAATCATTCAATGTGTCTGTCAATCAGCAATGAAATAGGCCAAATATCTCATCTCTCTTGCACTTATGTTTGCGCAGATTTTAAATGGTTCCACAGATTGCGCGTGAAACATATTTGCTTCTTTTATTCTCTTATGTTGATCAAATAACTCCATCACTCTCTTTCGTAAACTGAATAGGTCTATTTTTCACTCTGACAACTGCACGGTCCTATATTTCTAAGGTCTGGAATCATGGGTCGAAAAAGTGTCCCGTTATTTGAGGATTAAACAGGGTTCCTAAAACGGCCGGCAGGAGGCGATGTTGTAAAGGACCACGGTTTTTTGCGTACGAATTATGTAGAATTAGCATTAAGATAGGTTTTATTCAAACTAAAAATAGATAGAAAATATAAAAATATACTTAAATCAGCGATGATTTTGTTGTAAACATCATGCCTCACGTATCTTCGGTTAATGTATTTCTCCATTTTCTCAACGAAATGTCAAAAAATAATTTTTGAAGTTTTGACAGCTTGAACTGTCGTTTCACACAACCGCGATTTAAATTCAAATAACGGGACACATTCTCTAATGCATAAACATAGGATGATGCTAGACCTTAGAAATATAGGACCGTGGACAACTGTTATTTTAATAATCTTTCTTTGTCCAACTCATAGAAATGCCCATGTTGCAATCGCGAATGAAGCACGGTGTATACAAAATACTTGTTTACTGTTTATAGGAGTCGTTTAGTCAGGGCAAAAATTACAATATTTACCAAAGAAACTGTCGCTTAGGGAATAAAAAATGTGTGTTTGTGTAACAAACTTATATCGTGTCGCTTTAATAGGGAATAAAAAAAATATGTACACGTTGACAATACGAATTAATAGGAACAATTTTGAAGAAATAAAGAATTTTTCGATTCATACTATTTGTTATTATATACAAATATTTTTCGCACGATTTTTTGTGATACTTTACGAAGCGAAGATTTGCCTAGAAACGCGAAATTATGATATAGGGACCACTGTGTAAACACCGTTGTGCTCAAATCCGATTTTTTAAATACAATTTGTATGTGCATTCTTTATTTCTTCTCGTTAAGTTTATTTATAGCCCAGTGATATTAGCCGCTAAATTAATTAGGTGAAACAAATGGATCCTCGTTCGCTCGATGTAATCACACTGTATATTAATCGATCCCAGCTTTGATAAAGGATAATTTTAGCATTTTTTGAATAATTTTTGTGTAAAGGTTTATTAGCGCAGATTCAACGAAATGGCGAATGTCCCAATCGGACTAAATTGACTGGGCTATAATTTATTTATTTTAGTACACTACAAATCCTTTTTAGATTATACTGCGTATTTTGAAAGTACATACATACAAACGTTTTATACATTATACAAAACGAAAAATTATTATTTTATACAGCTTTTATATATAAAAAAAACAAATACTAGCCTTTTCTGTCAAATAATCCAAAGAATTTTTATTGAACTCTATTCAATTAAAGTGCAAATGACTGATTGTTGTATAATGAGATTGTTGTAGCATCTCCGGTGAGAATATAGTAATGATCGAATATAAATATAAAAGAGGTGACAATCTCATTATCGCTACCGTTACGTACACGACTTTAATACAGGACGTTTTCATAGATAAAGGGCATTATTATTTATTATTATCACATCGATAAGTCCTTTAAATATCGCGCTACGTCTATGGAAAGCATCCTGTATTCACTGCAGAGGTATTTTTAAGTGCATTCGAAATGAAAACTGTGATATCCTTATTTATTTTTCGCCTCCTTGAGACTTTGACAAAAGAAAAAAATAATAAAACGCATTACGGCTAAATCTGTCTTCCGCTTTTGCAGAGCATTTCGGGCAGGTCTTCCTAATTTTGAACGAGACCAAGAATTTTTGTCAAAGCGCAAATTTCTAATCAAATTTTTAATGTATTTATTTTTGTTGTATCAAATTTGTTTTCTTATTAGATTTTATGGTTATTATCGCATTTCTTTGTGTTGTGCTATACTGTTGTTTTGTTGTTTTTGTTATATTTTTTTTATTATTTAAATGTTATATGGAAATATTCTCTGTATGGATTCATGTATGATTACGCCACACTGGAAGAAAAACTGATATTACACCGTAGCTTTAATGTAACAATGTACCTTTTTTATAGCCAGGATAATTAGCTACAAAAAGTATGGTTGATCTAATTTTTCGCTTAGTACATAAAATATAGTATAGATATAAAAAAAAGTGATTTGATATTTTGCTTTTTGGGCGAAATTCAACTCGAATTTTAACGAAAAGTAGTTGCTTATTCTGTAATTTTCAATAGAGTCATAGTAAGTTGCCATTATGTTTGTTACACGAGGCGATTTTACAAACGGGGCATAAATAATATTAGCTCTTTTCAAATTTACCCGTCCGAAAATATGAGAAAAAAAATTCTCTCGAATGTAACTTACTGTCGACTCTGTTAGCAATGTTTTGTATATATTATTACATTTAATTATACTTATTTATTCCGTTGATTATTTTATCTTGGCGAATCGCTCGAGGAAACTTAACAAATTCGATGGAAATTGAACATTTTCCGTTTCCCGAGTGATGCGCTTCTAGTACAATTTAATTGGTTGTCGTTTGTCTAAAGTGCCTTCCAAAAAAATATTTGTAAATTTTTGTTGTTAATTTATATACCTGTGTTATATAATTTTAATTCCGCACCGTCCTTCTAAAATAATTGTATAATAAAGAAAAAAAAAATAATGATATTAAAACCTAAATAAATCAATAGATGCTTATATTGACACCTCGTATATGTACACAGAGTTTACTTTTTCCCTACTGACAACGAACGAACGGCTACACATCTCCCTTATCTAATTAAAACAGTCGACATTCATCTAATGTGAAATTGAACTATTTTAATTTGGAAACAAAGTATTTACAACAATTTCGGTTCGAATGTGAATGTAATGTAGTCAAACTATGTGAAACAGTAGAAACAATCATAATTACGATACCCCTTTGAGGAGTTCCGGCCCGATGCCCAAATTCGTCGCTATTTTCAATTGCGAAGCAGCGGCGTCCCTAAGGGAGAACAAATGCACCATCTCGGTCTCGGATCTCGCCAAATTTATCGCTTTATTGAACAGCTCGATTGCCAGCACCAAGTTACCCCTAAAAATTCATCGTAAACAACGATTCTACCAAAGAAATTCGTGTACTTTACCTTTGTACTTCAACAGTTCCTAATGTTTCATAAGCAAATTCCGATTTATTATCGACTCTAATGGCTTCTTTCATCATCTCGACGGCCCTCGAAATGTCCCCTTTCCATTGCAACAGCAACAGGCCCTTGTGCACGAATATCGAAGCGTTGTTCGGATCGATTTCCAAAGCCTTCTCGTACAACTTCTCGGCCTCCTGGTATTCCTGCTTCTCGGTCTTCACCTGCGCAAACAGTATGTACGTTTCCGGGTACGAAGGGAATTTATCGATGGCGTTCCGGAAGTCCTGCATGCTCTCCACGAGCAGCCCGGGATCCTTCGTTTGCATGGCGTATCGGTAATCGGCGTAGCATTTCTGCACAACGGCTATCGCGAAGTCCGGATTCAGGGAAACCGCCTTGGAAAAGTCCTTCCTGGCGTCGTCCGTTTGGTCCATAAGGAGTCTTATTTGACCCCTGTGGTGATACACGTCTAGAATTTTTTAGAAAAAAAAATCTTATATGAGAGTGGCTGTTGCCACTGAGTATGAGACCAGAAATTAGTAGTATTGTATTTACCGGACACTTCGGGTCCCAATTCGGTGGCCTTCTCGAAATCACTAAGGCATTCGGATATCTTCTCGGTTTGCATGCAAATCGACGATCTCTTGATCAACGAATTGACTTTGATCAGAACGTCGGCGTCTTTGGAATCGATGATCGTGGTGAAGTCCTCGAGGGCCTCCTTGAACTGGCCGATGAGGAAGTAGAACGAGGCCCGCAACGACAGAGCCTCGAACTTGTACGTGGACTCGGACTCGCTCAGGTTCAACTCCTCGGTGCAGGCTGGAATGATTTCTTCGTACTTTTCGGTGGCGAACGCCAATTTGGCTTTGAGGAAACCCTTCAGGTCGCCCTGGCCGAGCGGCTCGTTCGCCTCCTTCAATTTATCGTAGACCGGATCGGCGGAGAACGAGGAAAAGTAGGTTTTGATGAAGCTGGCCGACGGCATGACGGGTTTCCTGGTCTTGACGGCCTCGGCGGCGTTCTGTTTGCCCAATTCTTTCAGTATACGATCGGCCATCAGCAGGGTCGATTGGTTTTGGAAGTTTTGCAACAAACACACAGCCGTTATATCGTCCAAAGAGTTCACCCAATCTTTGATCATCTCCTCGGCCTTGGCTCGCCGTAGGAGCGCCTTCTCGTATCGGCTGTTCAGCTCCACTGCTTTGGTGCAATCCGCGATGACGGAGCTCCATTTTTTCAGTTGCTCATAGGCGGCGGCCCTGTTTTGGTAGTAAGTGGCCAGATCGGATTTGTACTCTGCTGGTATCATTTCGATGGCCTTGTTGTAGCACGTGATGGCCTCGTCGTAGCGGCCGCGCTTGAACAGATCGTTACCGTCGACTTTGTAGCGCTGCGCCTTCTGGAAGGGGGTCTCCTCTTTGGGTTCCTCTATGGCTACGCTCAGGTTTCCTATGGTCTGTCTTTTGCTGGATTTTAGATACCAATAGGCTAGGCCTATGGCCCCCGCGGCGCCCAGTCCGACTGCGATATGCCATTTCAAAGAAGTTGATGGCATTTTCCGAAATTTTCATTTATATGATGTCTGACCTGTCAATACATTTCAAACGATGTCTACCTAAAAATGAGGTTAGAATTTCCATGGAGATAGTGATGTGATGGGTGCTTACATTTGATCTATTAAATACATCAAATTCGACATGATTGAATACAAACGAATCGAATATGTAGTAATTTTAATTCATGATTAATGGATTTTTCTACATGATTTTATTTTTATTGAAAATAACATAAAAAAATTGGCCCAATAACTAATATGTCAATGTTACGTCAAATGTCAATAATCCGTAGACGTGTTTTAATTTTAAAAGAAAGAAGAAGAAATTACCCTACAAAAATATTTATTTATTTCAAATAGTAAATACAAGCACATAACAAAATGCCTTTAATAATTATTACTGGAGTTCCTTGTAGTGGAAAAACAACGCGAGCCGAAGAATTACGGTCGTTCTTCGAAAACCTCAACAAACAAGTGCACATTGTTAGTGAATTTCAACAATTATCCAAAGCTGGTTTCGACAAAACCACCTGCTATTCGGACAAAGACAAAGAGAAGCACCTAAGGGGTACAATAAAATCGGAAATAATCAAACTAATGTCCCCCCATAACGTAGTTATACTAGACGGTTTGAATTACATAAAAGGCTACAGGTACGAATTGTTTTGCGCAGCGAAGGCCAGCAAATGCGCCCAATGTACAGTTCACACAGAAATCAACAGAGACGAAGCGTGGAATTTGAATGAACAAAGAAACAGCCCCGAGAAGTACGACAGGGCGACGTTCGATGCTTTAGTAATGAGATACGAGGATCCTGATGGCAAGAACCGATGGGACGCTCCACTATTCACTTGTTACCTGAACAGCGATTTAAATAAAGAAGAAATTTACTCGGCCTTGTTTAAGAAGCCGCTGCCCAAGCCTAATATGTCTACGCAAAATCCACCGTTGAAATCGACCAATTTTCTCTACGAATTGGACAGGACTACTAAGAAAATTGCGGACAGTTTGGTGGTGAAAATTAAAAATGGAGAGACCGGTCGGGTAAACGTACCTGGCTTTGAGGAATTCACATTGGATATATCCGATGTTAGTATACCGGAATTGATGAATTGCAGAAGACAGTACGTTAATTACTCAAAATCGCACGCTCCTGATCCGGTTAATATACCCAAACTTTTCGTACAGTATTTGTCCACGAATTTTAATAAAGATTAAACTAAAAATTATAATAAAAACTAAAATTAATGAATTTTTTATTGTTGTAAAATAGGGAGAAAAATCAAAGAATCAATTTAAGAGGGGCGTTGAGATTTGGTAACCCAATTTCAGTTGGCAGCAATGAAAATAAGCCCGATTTTTCGGTGTACAAATCTCAATTTTTACTTAATTTTGAGATATAATATAAATCGCATCTGATAGAGTGAACCTTCCTGTAGGTCATAAAGGTTTTTGGAGGTTTGCTTATGACGCTTATTAATCACGCTCCTGTTCGATTACAAATACGTACAAAGGCAACCAATTAATCGAATTTCGGTAATTCTGGTTGCCTATCTATTGTATTAGTAAAGCGCGAGTAATAAGTATCAGGAGTAAACCTCTTCATACATTCTGCTCTCCTAATACGAAATTTCAAATTCACGTTTTATTTCGAGATTTGAGCACAAGTTTTCGTAGATCTCCATTGATTAATCTCGGATATTAGGCAATGAGAATATGCAAGGAAGTTCAATATTGGGAGATATTTAGTTTATCGAGAGAGATACGTCTAGGGAAGGTCCTGGATGAATCCTGCTGATGCGTTAATAAATATTCTAAATGTTTCGTCGTTCTTGAAAACACATTTTCAAAGATAATTTAACATTTTGGGCATTATTAATAATTCTTTATTACAAAAATGATACGAAAATAGAATATTAAAAAATTTTTATGACATCCTTAATCCTGATTTTAGAATTCTTAGTATTTCTCGTTCATTAAAAAAACGCAAAACTTTTTCAACGCAATTTGTAAAAATCTGGAGCTATTAAAGCAAAAAGATCGGGAGAGACAAATATTAGGAGTTCGAGTAGTTTGTGTCAAAAGTATGAAAATCTCACGATAAAACGTTAATTTAAGAATTCGTATTAGGAGAGCAGAATGTGTGAAGAGGTTTACTCCTGATACTTATTACTCGCGCTTTACTAATACAATAGATAGGCAACCAGAATTACCGAAATTCGATTAAATGGTTGCCTTGAATCGCATCTGATAGAGTGAACCATAGACAAAATAAAAGAATCTTTCTTTTTCTATGGAGTGAACCTTCTTGTAGGTCATAATGGTTTTTTTTACAGATCTATGCAAAAATAACGAAATTACAAGCGTTTGAAAGTAGACATTTTTCTGTTTTTTTTATTCTATTTTATTATTTCAAATGTCAAAGTTGTCATTTCATTTGTCAAATTTTCACAAAACAAATAATTCACAATCCACAGAATTCGGTCTTTCGGCCTCCTTCCCTTGTTCCAATTTCTAAATAAACAACCATAGCATAGACATAATGTAATAATAATACTTTCTCAATGATTATTACTTATAATTTATAATAATAGAATTATTGAAGTTCCATCATAATTGTCATATGTCAGTTATGTGTCATTAACACATTTTTACAATCAAATTCCATTGTTTTGTTTTTCGTTATTTATTTGAAATGGCTGGTGTGAGTAACGTACTCGAATCGGTGCGTGAGGACGATTTCGTCGAATATTACCTGTTCCCACCGATCGAAACCGACGATGAACAACAGCAAGAGAGCATCTTGAGGGCCATTCTGGACAAAGCGAACAAAACCATTCATAAATACACCAAGAACTTCTTGTGGCACAAAGACGAGTTCAGGTTAACGACCAGGACGTCTATATCCAATTACCTCACTGAAATCGACGGGAAAAAAGGTAAACGGCGCTAATTTCAAATCCTATTTACGTTAAATTGCTTTGTTTAGAAAATCTTCCGCCTCACTTATACGGGGTGTCCCACTACGGTGACAACATAGAGGACGAATGGTTCATGGTGTTCCTGCTGCTGCAGCTTTCCAAGGAAATCAGCGATTCGATCGTAAGAGTATACGATGCCGATGGGGAATTCCTGCTCATCGAAGCCGCAGATTACCTACCTACCTGGGCGGATCCTGGAACTTGCGAAAACAGAGTGAGAATTTCATTCAATAAACTTATCGATTGACCTAATTTCCCTAAACTTATCAGGTATACATGTACGGCGGAAACGTCCATTTAATACCCAGAGAATCGACAAACTGTTCTATAACAATGTCGGAAGCTATAAGGAAAATACGCCAAGATCCCGTTCAAACTGTAGCATCTCCCGACATTCAGAATTCCATTAGACTAAAACTCGTCGGTTATCCAGACAAGCTGCAAGACAACATCCACAATGCAGTGGTGTACATTCCTTCGGGCGTAGCTAAAGTATTACACGCCAAACCCAATCTGGTATCGGCAGCGGTGCAGGCTTTCTGCAATCGGGACTCCATCGATCTGAAAGCCTGCAGGGCTATGAAATACTTCCCGCCCGAAGGCAGGGTGAAACGAAGAGTGGCCTTCACGAAATGCCTCTACGCCATGTTGACCCACAGCAAATACTTGCCCGATAGGCGAACCGGATGGAACTTGCCGCCCTGCAATTCACCCGAATACAAATCCAACATATTAGGCGTGAAATTGGCCTGCGGGTTCGAAATTTTAGCGTCGCAGGCCAAGCCCAAATCGGACGTGGAAACCGACAGAGGTTGGCAGAACTACCTCAACAGCCTAAAGGAAAAAGGCTACTTCCGGGATTACTTGGAGCACTCGATAAGCCACAACAATCTACTTAACAAAGCTAAAGAGTATTACGTGGATCACAGGGACTCGATGCACCAAAGCAACTCCTTGGGTAGGGAAATATTAGACTTGAGCAGGAACTCCGATATCGAATTGGAAGACGATAAGAATCTAACGGACGACGATGATAGTTGGTTGAACATCAGCCCGGAGGAGCTCGATAAAATGCTGCGCGAGAAATACGGACAGAAGAAGATATTCAACGTGAACAACAACACCGACGCGTCGGCTTTCACCGAGAAATTGTCCAGCTTTCTGAGCCACGTGTCCGACGTGGACGGGGCGGAGTTCCCCGATGAGAATCGATCGCCGATCAGACCGCCGAGGCGCAAGGACAAGACCAAAGTGTCGTTTTCCGGCGACGAGAAACCCGAAGAGACCGCCGTCAACAACAAAATCAACTTCGATCCGAACGCTTTCACGTGCGCTTTGCAAAACATACTGAACTTCTCGATACCGGAGGACGATTCGTGGGATTTGGAGTCCGATTCGGACATGAGCGAGTACGAGGACGATAATTACGTTAAAAACGAAAACTACCAGGATCCGAAGGATCGGAGCGAATTGGAGAAGTACATGGAAGAGATGGATAAGGAATTGGCAAACACCACCATAGGGAAGAGCTTCGAAATGAAGAAGCCCGAGAATTTCGAAGACATCGAGAACTTCACTCCGGTCGACATCAACGTTAACGCTTTGAAATACATACTGGAAAGTTACAAGAGCCAGTTGGGCGAGGCCGGACCATCCAGCAACATGTTGGGGCCCATGGGGGTCCATTTGAACGCCAAGGAGAACGGCGATTTGGATTAAAAACGAAACGAACAAACCATTCAAACTTCAACAAAAACGTTTATGCATGTATTATTAAGTTTTAAAAATAATTGTATATCCTATTCAAGTGTTCTTTTTGTATCTGCCATATTAAGCACTAATTTTATTGTTTTGTATTTCGTTAGTTGTAGGTTTTTGTATTAAATTTTGAATTATTTTGTACAGGGTAATGGGTACAAAACTTGTTCAAAACAAAAAATATTGCTCCCATTTCCCTGTAAAAAAAACTTACCATTCTCCTATAATTACGCTATTTAAATAATATACGACTGTTTTTTATATACGCAATAATATTTAGGAAATCAGGGATACGCTTGTTGATTTGATAAAAAAAAACCATGTCCGTTGTTCAAATTCCATATAAAATTTATCTGTAACCGCGATTCTAGTCTCGTCGTTCGATAAACGAACCGTTCAATAAACACGAAATTAACCGATTATTCATGTTTACTTATATTATAGACGATAACAAACTGAATCACAACGGTTTGAACCACTTGGGGGCGTTCTCGATGGGTTTCCTTTGGTGCTGCTTGCACGGCGGCTCTTCTTCGGGAGTGGCGCTTGTGCTGGTGCTGGCCCCTTCGTTCACTCTCTTCACCTCGCTGTAATCGATATCCTCCTGTTCCACGCCGCACTTTCTCGTATTCTGCTTCCTGTAACGATCAGATTTATAAATATATATCGGAGAAGATGAATGTACACGTACCTAATTTGCGCAGCAGCTAAACTGGCGATGGAGTTGCTGGTGATCTTATTGTGCAAATCCGTTCTGAGGTAATTCTTCTGATCGAAATCGTCGGTGCCGAAATGGATAACGGCGCCCGGTACGAAACCTTCTTCTATTAACAAACTGCTTTCGTTTAGTATACACTTCGGTGGTGTGGTAACTTAAAAATTAAATACAATTAGACTGTTTGTTTTAGCAAAATTAATCTACTTACAGACGTAAAACTGCGTGGATTCGTCGTGCAAATATTGCCTGGTGAAATCCATCACGTCTTTGATGGTATCGGAGGGATTGAAAGTACCCTGCAGTACGATCCTATCGGGAAATTGGATTCGAATGATGGCCTTCTTGTATCTGTTGATCTGCCTCAGTTGCTTCTTCGAGTCCTCCAGGTTTCTCAAGTTCGACGTCATGAGCGGGGTGTTCTCGAAAAGGTGCTGTTGCTTCCTCACGTCTCTCAACAATTTTCTGGCATCGTCGATGGTGAGATCGAAGAATTCGTCGGGGAGGTCCTCGTGCGGTATGGCTTCGGCCGTTTCTTGCGAAAATAGCATGGCGTTTCTGTCGCCTAACTTAAATTAAACGTGAAATCAATAAGAGCGATCGGGCCGCGAGCGCGACGGGTTGCTTACAAATACGAAATTCTCGTCCAAGTTTATTCTCGTGTCCTTATCGCAACAAGTCCCTTTGCAGGTGTCGGGACAAGAGACATCGTCGATGTCCATCGCTTGGTGTTTCTCGCACGAGCAGGCGTTTTTCTTTTTAGGCTGTGGGCTTATTTTCACTTGCTTCTCTTGGCTGTCGATGCTTTTCCGCTTTTCCCTAGCCATTTTTAATATATCGTTATCTTTCTTCGGAACCGGTTGCGGTTTAATCTCGTTATCTTCCATAACTTTCGGAGCCTCTGCTACAGGCTCTTCAGTAGGCTGGTATTTCCTAATGTAAGGTTGCTCTGCGGCAGGCTTCGACGGTATAACTTTAGAAACATTAGCTTGGGTTTTCAGATCCTCGGGAGCTCTGTGCAGTATCCGAATCATGGCCCTGCCGCCCGTCAACCCCAGCGACTTCAAAGTAACAGTATCCAATTCGTCTCCGTAAATCTCCCGCCTCGTGTAGATAATCACGGGGCTCAGCTCGTGTTGCAACACCTCCGGGCAGAGTTTGCTCAATATGGTAGTGAGCGTTTCGTTGGGATTGAAATTACCGGTGACCCTTTGGCCGGTTTCTAGGGTGGCCGCCAGGGTGACCTCGGACTCCTCGCGCGCCCTCGTGGCCGGTACCAGTTCCAATTGGGCGTTGTTGGGCAATCCGGAGAACCTGAACGTTTGGGATGTATCCAGCACTTTGTTGTGGTGCTTCAGGTCGAACTCGTCGGATTTCAGGCGTTGCTTTTGGCATACTTCTTCGAGTATCTGGCGGATTTAAATGTAGAGTGTTGATACAATGGGATTTAACGACTTACTTGTAATATAGTTGTATTCGGTGTGCATTTAACGGTCTGTCGCCGTCCATTTAAGGCGAGCACGCATACACTTGCACCGGACATTTTTTTAAAAATCTAATTCTATCTTTTCATCACTGAGCTATAATTACTTTTTTTACGTTTATATTCGAAAACGTCAAATTTGAAACATAACCTCTACAAACGGTGAGAATACAAATTTAGAAATAACTGCGTACCGGAATAGTACATGGCAATTATATGACATTAACGATTCTTCTTTTTCGCGAACCTGTCAAACAAATATATTCTTCTTTTTCGTGTACATGTCAAAACAATAACCTCACAAATACTGTAATGTATCGTTTTAGGTTTATATTTCGAAAAATAGAAATAAAATACATTAGAAATGCATCTAGTGCGGTCGAAGGAAACGTTTCATGCACTAATACCTCCACAGAGTTGGTTGACAATCAACAAAATGCTTTAACAAAAGCAGACACATCAAAAAGGATCGATCTAACGGCGATTTCTAAAATATTACGACCAGGGGCCGTATCTTCTATGTACGTGAACAAATCGGATATCCTCCAGCAACTGTTAAAGCTTGGCGTGGAATTGTATAAATTAGAAAAAGATCCGGAAGGAATGAAATTCATATTAACGCTTAAATTCGAAGACATCAAAGATACAATTATATTCCTTAAAGAATTGGGCGTAGAAACGCAGCAAATAGGGTACATCATTACGAAGAATCCTTTATTACTAAAAGAAAGTCTGGACGACTTGAAAGTTAGAATCAATTACTTGCAGTATAAGAAATTCACCCCCGAAATGATCACCAGGATAATCGAAAACAACCCAGTTTGGTTAACACACAGGTATTTATTTTATACTTATCTTATTAGCTATAGATTTAATAACTAATATATTTCAGCACGAAGGAAATTGATGATAGATTGGGATTTTTCCAAAAGACATTTTCATTAACAGCAAACAACGTTAGGGCATTGGCCACACAATGTCCCAGACTCATAACGTATCAAATGGATAAAGTAAAATTGAATTTGTTCGTTCTAAAAGAAGAAATGGGATTTAACGATGTCGAGATTAAAAAGATTTTGCTCAATAAACCGAATTTGTTTAAAAACAGTAAGAACATCCAGGCTCGCTTTATCGATACCACATTAATTCAAACGCTTTTGTAAGGTCAAGTGAGGCTGCTCAAGACGTTCGAATACCTGCACAACACAATGAAAATACCGTTAGAGACGATAGTTCGAGAACCTGAGGTTCTCAGTTGCAGAGAGAAAAGGCTAAAGGAGCGACATTCGTTTTTGGCCAAACTAGGAAGAGACCAGTACGATCCTAAACAACCGAATTACGTGGCACTAACGACTTTAATCAAAGAAGACGATGTAGTTTTTAGCACAGAAGTAGCCAAGTCCTCTGTTCAGACATTCAATAATTTCTTGAAGAGCATCTAAGCTACTGATAATTTTATAATAAAAGTGTAAGTATAGAAAGTGTATATTTCATTACCAAAATTTGTAAAAATTACACATTAATACCGCATGTGTACTCGAAAATCAGTACTATTTCAAACAAACAAAAAATCCTACTACTAGCACTTACAGAACCTAATAGAATTTTTACGTTTATAAAAATTCCATTTCTCTCTCGATACCCACAAACTTCAATTGCTCAGTGGGACCATATCTAAAATAATAATAATGAGCATAAAAATGATACAAACTTACAATGATGCAACGTACCTGTAATCGAAGAACAATTCTTCGCCTGGCTGTATAGCCCTTTTGGCGAAAATTCCAATTCTATGATCACCGTTCACCATCATCACTTTGGCATAACAATTCGGATTAATAGAATGATTGGCGAATCTGATCTTATTACCCTTCCTCGTAGCATCAACAACAAAATCTTAAAAAAAAAAATACGTTATAACCAAATATATAGTATTGTAAAATCATCTCACCATTATTTAAATTGAACAAGAAACTACACATATATTTATCGTACACTTTGCCCCTTCTGTCCGCCTCGTCCTGCGATATAATCTCCCCGCAATACTCCGATATGAACTCGTTCTTCTGGGCGCTGTCTTTCAAAAAAATACCCCAACCGGCCACGTCCGAAGGGGCCATCAGCAAATGCTTATCTGTATCAAACAATTACTCACTCCCTCTATTAACAAACAAAAAACCAATCCAAAACTTACGCAATCCCCTCTGCACGCTCACGTTCTTACACGTGATCTTGCTGTTATCGAACTGATCGGCGCCGCACGTCTGGCACAGATCGGGATCGCATTCGCGCACCGCCAAATAGCACGGGCACTGCTTCGTGTTGCACTGCGCCTTGCACCGGCAACCCGGAAACCGGTTCTGGCAGTCCGAGCTGCAGTTGCAGAACTTCTCGCAGAAATTCTGCGCACCGATGCACGGGCAATCGTGGTCGCAGCCGCGGCCGCCGTGGTCGCACGGCGTGAAATTGTACACGTGATTGCTGCTCGAGTCCTTCTTCAATTGAATTTTTCTGCAGTGCATCGACCACAGGCGGTGTTTCTTCTTCTTCTTCCGCGGCGGCGTGTAGTCGCGCACCTGCTCGTCGGGCGGTATGTCGGCCGATTCTTTTTGCGCGAACTCGTACACCTATAAAAAAATTCTTTATATCACAAAAAAATTCTACCGGTTAGAGTCGCGAGTCGCTCACTTGTTGGCAGGTTTTGGTCAGCATGATCTGAGCAATGGCGCAGTAGTTGTTAAGGAACACTTTGTGGAGTATTCTGAAGAGACTTTCGTCGGAACCCGTCCATTCCTTGTGATCGTCGGCGCCCATCAGGCCCAGCAAACTGAACGATGTGGTCGTCGATACCGGATCGGTGCTGTCGTTTTCTACAAAAATACATTTCATATAGTTTTTAAACGGTACATTTATCGCAAGGAATTGAAGTGTAGGGAGGTAAGGAGGTAGCTGCAGAACTACCAAGGAGTGGTTAAACAAGATAGCAGCACCTCTATAACCTATGCTTAGAGGTGAGTCCCTTTGGGCTTCTTGGCGAGTTTTCCTGGAGATATAAACAGGCATCTATTGAGGATGACTGGAGTCTTTCATCGAGGAACTCTGCTTTACGGATACATAACCAGCAGGAATGGCACTAGAGCCTGTCTCGGTCGAGGTTCGTAATAGTACAAGTACTTTCGAACGTGTACCTTTGTATTTGTTGCTGTCGTTGCTGTCCTCCGAGCTGGCCTCGTTGCCGCTGTCGACGCTCTGTTGCTTGCATATCTTCCTCGGGTTATTGGCACTGTTCGATTTGTTCGCGTCCTGGTTATCCAACGAGGTTTTAGGCACTTTCGCTTTCACTTCCTTCTCTTTTTCCTTTTCCTTTTCGGATTCCTCCTCCTGCTTGGCCTTGGCCGCTAGATTCTCTTTCACCACGTCCTGCGAATGTACGATATATAGTGAGATTCTTTCGGTGGAAATCGTATGCTATGTACTAACCAAAAGTAAATAACAGTCCGATCCGCAGGGCTCCGTGAACGGCTTCAAATCGGGCCCCCTGCGCTTCTGCAAATTCGGACCCGGATGGCACACTTGCAGTCCTATTATGTACGTAAATCTCATATTAAACGAACAATCGTGTATTATGCGAATAATAATAACAACAACGCACAGAGAGTCATTTTTTTTAATGATTCGTGCACAAATGGATGTTCGAATGAATTTCTATCGGATCGACTAAATGCAAATGAGATGAATAGTTTTATTAACCGATGGTTTTGTTTACCTGGTTGTCCTAAAAATTTGCAGCGAAACAAAATAAAAACTTCTAAACAGTTAATCCTGTCGAAAAGCTTCACTACTTTCTATTCTAACACACTAAACGAATCGTCAAAAAGGAACGTTATATCTGAATACATTTCCTCGCTTAAACTTGTAAGTTTTCGAGCCGTTTAAAGACTTACTGTGTAGGAAACAGTCGTATTTGAAGCACCGGCGACAGAACAACGTGTGGAACGAGTGCAACGTTTGCTCTCGGGGCACCGAGGCGGCGTTGGGGCCGTCGATGTCGGGCGTGCACTCCGGCGGGGCGTTGGGATCAGTCCTCTCGGTCAATTCCACGTACCTAAAAACCCGACGATCAATCCGAATTATCACCCCGATGTGAATCCCTTACTTGTCTCTCAGTTCCTCGGGTCCCCCTTTGTCGGGAAATTGCGACGAGATGGCTTGGAATATCACGAACACGGGGAAATCAAGCTCGTCTTTTTTCTTCTCTTTGCTCTCCTTCTCCTTATCATCCACGACTTTCACCTTATCCTTCTCCTCCTTCTTGTCTTTATCTTTATCTTTGTCGTCCTTCTTCTTGTCGGATTTATTGTCTTTGTCTTGGTATTGCATTAGGGCGTGTACGAGCTCCACGAACAGTTCGTCGTCGATGAAACCGGCTTCTCGGTCTCCGTGTACTTTACCATCGTAATTTTTGATCAGTTCTTCTATGAAAGTACCGTCTTGGTCTAAGATTTCGTCGCCCATGTACGGTATGTTATGCAGCACGGTTTCGTCTTCCACCATGAAGTTCTGCTGTATCGGAGCCCACGTGTACATCGTAGGAATCGGAGTAACAGCATTCATTATTTTGATGGTCACCACTTGAATGTCACCTGCAGGAATGGGTTATCGATTAGTTTTTATAGGGTAAGCGAAAGTGTGGGTATCGTATCGTACCTTCGTTGCCGATAACTTCGGCCTTTTTCATGCAAGCCACGTGGGCGGGTACTTCGTTGGTGGCGCCCCAAAAGGCCTTGCCGTCGGTCCATCGTTTCTGTTCTTCGTTGAGGTTTTCAGTCATCTTGTGGCGGTTTTGGTTCCAGGCGGCCTTCACGTCGTCGGCGCGTTTGTAGCGCTTCAATTGCCTCAGGCGCATGTACTCCTGCTTCACGCGGCGCTTCCACTCGCCGTTCACTTTGGGCTTCGACATTTCCGCTGGATTTCTCCGATTCTTCGCGACGATTCGCTAACTGTGCATGAAGCTATGTCGACTGAGTATGCGAGTTTTGTCGGTTTGTCGTGGCTACAGTCGCGGCGAATTTTTTATCGAATTCGCCCTAATTAAGCTAATTGTTGGTAAATATCACATTATTTCATTAACTACTTAAGATTATTAAATAAAAATCAGTTCTCATTATTGTTATCCTCCCAAAACCACAGACACCAAACAAACCCCAGAATTGACGTGTGACGTTTGGCGTTTTGACATTTCTCTTCTTTTTCGACTCAATTTCTACTTTCTACTAACCTTGAGAGTTTATTCAGTCATTCTTCATGAACTGTTCGTAAACGCACAAAACTAAAATAGAGAAAAAAGATATCTTAAATTTTATATATGGCACAAAATTTCTATTTTGTTAAAAATAACAGAATATTACTATTCTGTATATCTTCCAAAAACCACAAACAAGAACCAGAAGTGACGTTTGACGTATTGAAATTGTTGGTTTATTTTCACTTTTATTGTCCTAAACTGATGTGATTATTCAGCTACTCTCGATGAACAGAGTGTTCATGAACGCACAAAATTTCATATATTTGATTAAAAAACCAGAATAATATTATTCTGTATATATCCCAAATAACCGAAATAGACGATAGTAAAAATAAAACCAGGCGTAGGGTAGGTAATAAATTCCCGACCGGCGCCGCGACGTCTCCCGTCACCGGAAAACCCACCTCCTCTTCGCTCTCCTCCTCCCGGTGCCCCGCAGGCGGCCGTGTAAGTTCCCCAAGAAGCGGAATTCGCTCCGAAAAACCCACCAGTTGATGACCGGCCGCCATCGGGAACGGTTGAATGCGCGTCGGCGTCGCGACGCAACGACGGAACGCGACGCTATATCGCCGTAAACATCGCCGAACGTCGGCGGGCTCGGAAAATCGCGTGGTTTTTCCCGATTTGTGATATTTGCCCGTAGAAATAATTGCGGTCTTAATGTTCGATTTTTATACGAGCACTTGCGAAATGAACAATCAAGGTGAGCTTTGGTCGTGGTTAATTTTTTATTATTTTTGTGGATTTTTGCGGAAATTTTGAAGTTTATATTACTAATTTTTTTAATTAGAATATTTCCATGATTTACATATAATTTTTATCATAAAAAACACATCTGTAATTAATAAAAAAAATAATAAAGTGCACTTTACTTTACTTAATTACTAAAGAAAATTGATATAATTAGATACAAAAAAAATTAAACACTCTCTAATTTTATACACGTAACACATGTACAATTTTTCATTACTGTACAAAGCAACAATTTTTCGAATAAATCATCTTTTGACGGGCAAATGTAAAACAAACTTAATTTTTGACTCAATCATTAAATTTATAGCAGACACGTTTATTGACTCGATGTAAAAACAAACCGAATTTGCGGGATGTCCTTAAATTTTTCTAGCACGATGATGAAAAAAAAATACTATTTAAATCGTCCTGCCAGCGATAAAAATCCGCGTGATTCATTTCCATGCAAAAATAACATTTCTCACGGCGAAAAACAAGAAAAAAAATTGGAACGCCTCGTTCGAAGCCTATATACCATAATAAATAAATCTTTCTATTAATAATCTCCTCCGTTTATATCCGATGTAGAATTAATTGACCGCACTAACGCTAATTAAACCTTCGAAGAGTTTTAATTAAACCGTTATCAGTTTCGATTAGAATCGACCAACTTTCTACTGATTTATATTAAAAAGAAGAAAATTTAAATTGCATTTTAATAACTTCTCTCGTCGCAAATCGCAGGGAAATTGTAATCGATTAAGTTGGCAATTCGTGTCTCTAGCTATACACTTCAAACCGTACCTTTGTTGTAATTTAATTAGTCCAATTAAGGATTATTATCAGTAAGGCGACTCCATTCCATTACCATATACAAAAATATAAATTCTACTCGATTTTATCAACTTGCGCTTCACTTACACGTTAATTTAATTAACCGACAAACACCCAAGTTGTTTTCGTTAGAAAAAAGCATATATTATGTTCGATATTTTTAACCCATGACGTCACGGCCTAGTTAGAGTGAACATGCGAAATGTATTCGATCCGAATTAACCGGGAACTCGAGTTCTACAATGAATTGGGGGGAACAACAGGTGCTCAGAGAGCTTGGAATCCCGCCAAATCGAGAGGATGGTTTTGTATACACAACGTCGCCCCGTTAATTATTTCACAGACAGATTATTTTGTCACTTTTACGCGACTTTTATATCGCGGAATTCGGTTTTACGAAGCTCTATTAACTATACTTTTTGTGCGATTTATAGTGTGTTGAAAATGTAAAATTAAATAGGTTATAGCGCGCCTACACGCTCGTTTTTCCATCTATTTTTAATGGGTAGGGAAAAACATATTCGGTGCGGTTTTCCGAATCGATTTATCCGGTTGTCTTTTTCGTCTCGGGACGCGTTCGTCCATAATCAACGAAATTATTATCTGTAATAATTTATTGACAAAAGCTAATTTTACAACGCGCGGGCTGTCGACCCGAAAAGTCCAGGCCGAAAAGTCCGAGTTGACATAAAAACGATTACTACTTCGTGAGCCAATAAAAAACATCAAACATAATCCGGAGATAATGTATTATTTTGTGTTTATTATCAAAGGCAACAGTCCAATGAGATATCTAAAAATATATACCGCGCGATTTATTTACAATCCCGAAATAAAACGAATCAAATCCGAATAGACGTTAATAAATATTCAATAAAAGATTTTAATCGATTTACCCGTGTAAATGCATAAATATTTGGGACGCTCTGTATGTACACTCATTGTAAATTCTCCAAATGGAGTTCTATTAAATAAAATCGCTTCTATTAATACTAATGGGGGATTTTATGAGAATCCGATACTCAAATTGTGATTTGATCGCGAGCGAATCGATTGGAAAATCTGGAGTTGTACCGGGTGTCTCAAAAAGTTTCAACAAGTGTTTATTTTGGTAAAAAAATCGAGACGATCGTAAAAATGGCCGTAGATTGGAAGGGAAATTAGTATTCCAAAACGACATTAGAAATCCATTCGATGGAGTTTTTTTTTTTCACTCGTTCGTTTGCTATGTAAATGCGAGAAGGATTTTTCTCGATATTCGCTGGGCGAAAAAAAAACTTTGGAATTAAATTCCGCACGCGGGAGTGTCCGAAGTTTACTGTTGGACGAACAAAACAAATTTCCCCGTTTCCATTCGATTTCTTTTACAGTTTTATTATCATTTTTCCGCATGCAAAATCATGCAAATTAAATTCGTCATTTGAATGTGTATCGGGCAATTTTCCACAAGAAAATTCCAGATGGAATTTCCCGCGTTTTCTTTTATGCACTAACAATTCACTGTTTGCTTCGATAAAAGCATCATTTTGAAGTAATTTTTTTGCTCACTTTGTATACGCGATGTTCCGATTTCTTTATACGAAAATAATTCGAATTTTCATCTCTTTATGAATGAAATTTAATTTTCCGCGAGAATAAACCTCTCTCTGTCGCATCCGCCTGCAAGTTCCTGTCGCGTGAAATAATGAATAGTCCTGCTCCTTCCAATCCTGGCACATATCCTGCCGTTTCATATTCCATTCGAGTTATCGCAAGGTTGCGATTAAAATCGATCTTTCCCGGCGCAGAGTTCGGGATTTTCTACGACGAAACGTATGCCGAAGGAACCGAGTTTTAAGCATTGTAATTATAGATTGTTGAAATAAATTTCTTTCGCAAAAATCTAGCGAGCGAAAATCCGGCGAAAATGCGTTTCATAACGCAGGAAAATGCGATTAAAAGATTAAACACACAGGTCAATGGCACTCTGTATAATGTTAATGATTATACGGTAAAAGATTCATATTTCTCATCAATTTCTCGCTTCGCAAAACTCATGTAAATTCATAATCGTTCGCTAGATTTTTACGATTGTAGAAATACACGGCAACATCGTTTCCTTCGGTATCTTTCGTCGCAATTCGCAATTGTTACTTCCAGTAACTGCGCCAATTTAACAAAGCATTATTTCCGGATAATTTGTTGCATAAATTTCAATTTTATATGCAATTTCATCGCGAAATCGCTACACTCAAATAAATTTATGCGAATCGGAAGAAACTCGCGGGGCAATTTTCCAGTTTTCGCTTGATGTTGAGCGATTTTCCAATTTTCCGCCTGTTTAAATCATCCCGTGACATCCTCTACAACGGCTTAAAGAACTCTTAATAACGCGCGAACAATAAAACCCTCGCTATAATCGTCGTTTATTTCAAAACATTTCCATTTCGCGCTATAGCAGAACTTTAAGTTGCGTACGATGATACAAAACGTAAACAAACCGCGCGAACTGTCAAAATTGACGTTTAATGACGTTTGTTTAATAGAGTTGGGAATCCATTTTTTAGTATAGAGGTGTTACAAAATAACTGTTACGAAATACCGAAAAGGTGTAGGAACAGATTTTTATTGCGAATTTCGAATACGAGTTTCCAACAAAGACCAGTTCGAGGTTTCCAATTAAATTCGATTCATCTACTGCGGAAATTTTCACCCGGAAAATTCGCATTTTCCACCGCCCGTAACAAAGCCAAGCAAACCAATAAACACCCACAAATAAAAATTTACCTCGTTACACACGAAAATGGCCTTCGACCAAATACCGCAAAAGACCGACTATCAAGTCGTATACCGAAGGTATCGAGGTCGCCCAAGTCGTACCGATTTAGACGTATGCCGAAGGATTCGAAGTCGTTCTATCCCATCAAATTCCGAAGGGAATATCCGAACTAAATTTTTTTTCCATCAGTCGAGTAAAAACGGCGGGGGCGAGCGGGGCGCGAAGCTCCGCTCAATTTAAACTCCTTTGAGCGAATCTCGCCTGGCGAATGGGCTCGGATATTAAATCAATTATTTGTAGAAAACGCCCTAATCTCATCGGGATAGCCTTTCTTTGATATATATACTATACATTTTTTTTCACCGGAATTTATCCCGTAGGATTTTCCTCCGGAATTCTCCCTTTTAACTTAATTACTGCGATAATTGGCCCATCTGTATGTTAATGTAAATCGCGAGGAAATGTCTTTAATATACCTATACAGGGTGATCCAAATAAACGAACAAATTAGTGAGTAAGAATCGCACTGTATATTTGGAAAATACCTAACTGATTAGGAATTGTTTGCTTTTTCTGAATGATTTACAACGTAATAATATAGTAAATGAACGATATTAAGTACCACTATATTGCGTAATGTTGATTAGCAAACCTACAGGGTGGTCCAAACACTACATAAAAGCATTCATAAATCGAAGGAGCAATTGAATAGGTATAAAATTAAATAGCTCCACACCGTATATGTGCAGGCAATACCATAAATAATTTAACAAAGTGTTTTCGAGCATCCGGACAAGGCGTTGTTAACTATAAACCGGCAGTTATAATCCACACGTTTATTATCTCCAAACTGCCTAGTAAAAATCGAGGAAAACCCCCCCATTATTTCGCCGGATTTTATGGGGGTTGTAAAAATAAAATTGCGAATCGTATACATCGGTTTTACGTCCAATTAGGGGGCGCCCGCTTTTTTTTTTCTGTTACTTATCCCCGATATTTTCGGCCGGAAAATATGAAGCGATCGAAGGAAAACCGAAAAAAATCGAAGGAAAAACGGACCGTCTATAAGAAAATCGGTGAGTAAAAGCCTTCCGAAATCACCGGAATTTCGTGTATTGTGCATCAGTATTCTCACTTGTTTGAGACACTCTGTATATACAGGGAAAACAATTTTAATACTTGCGTCTGGTCCAGTGGAACTTCCATTATAATTCTAACATGTATTTTACGTTTTATTAAGACCCTTGAAGCGCCCTGGGGGGCACCCACAAAGGGCCCTCACGACTTTACGTTCTGTCATAATTACATTAGGATTTTCCGAGGTGTAATCGCCATAAAGGCTGCGAAAGTCCTTTTGCACAAAGTCAGAAATCGGTGGTGTATAACTTTCGAATTATACAGGGCGTTTAATTGGCGAAGACAATAGAGGTTAGCGCCGCTGAAATAAAGAAATTAGTAATTCAAATTTACTGGGGACTTTATGAATAGAAATCCCGGCGCCTCATTTGCATGTAACGATTTTTCCGCTCCGTAATGGCACAAAGGCCTCGTCAAAACTATACACTTCGAACTCGATACAACGAAATTTTTAACCTGAAGATGAATTTCCCGAACTCGAAACGAGTCGATTTGCATAGCGCACTTTGCGAAAAAACGCAGCAATCAATGAATCAATCAATCAACGTCGCTTGCAGGTCTGTTATTACGAGGAAAGTTAGGGAAATACTACGGAAAATCGAAATTAAACGGTTTGGTCTTTTCGCCTAAAACTAATTTAACTTCCGCCGTTCCTGTTATATTCCGGCATTGCGAATTCGATAAATATAAATCGCAGGCGGCGCTGTAATAACCCGGTCGCGTTCAATAACAGAATTCCTGTAGTTTACCTACACACGGCCTACTGTGTGTTTATCTGTTAATCGATACGTTTTGCTGTAAAGTGTAGTAATCAAACGTAGATTATTATTTTTTTATCATCTGTATACAATTCCCTCTATTGTGGATTCTTCGTTTACTCCGCGCCTTCGGCATACGGACGGGTTGGGATAACCGTCCGGTTATAAATGTAATTTCGCGTGTGCAACGTTTTCCTTCTTCTCGAAATCAATAATCGTCATTATCGGGAATTCGCCGGCTCGAGCTAATTGGTGCAAACGTTAACCAAAGGGCAGATAAAGATTAATCGCGCTAATTAAATTCGAAATCGATTACTGATCCCCTATTTTAGGCCTCTACGCCTCTATATAACATAGATAGAAGCTTGCTCTAAACTCTAAACGTTTAACGTTTCATTCGGAGCCGTTGTAAGGTTGGCGAACGGACTATAATTATTTTGTTTAGTCAATGAACTGGACAGGAATTATGCATTTTTTGAAGTATATTGTTAGTAAACTTCAAAATTGTACTATACAAATAAGATTTACTCTACCAAAATTTGCAAATGAACTATAATTATTTTGTTTAGTCCATGAATTGTTTTCAAATGTAAACTTCAAAATTGTACTATACAAATAAGATTTACTGTAGCAAAGTTAGCGAACGGACTATAATTATTAGTAAAAATTCATTTTGTTTCAAATTTCAGTAGACGGAATGGAGTTGGAGACTCTCTACCAGCGGTACTGCGTCCGATTAAAACACGCCCTCTACCTGTCCTGCTTGACAGTAGCCAGTATTACCAGCGCAGCGGTACTGATCACCATATGCGTACTGCAAGTGCACGTAAGTAGCCCCCTTTTTTTTTTCGATGCAATTCATCGGCGAACGGACTATGAATTAGCCGCCCTAATTTCCGCGCAATTTCGTCCCGGAATCAACTTCGACGGCGAGATATCCCCGAAATTGCCCTCGTAATCTCGTTACATTCCAAATCACCCGCTCGAAAAATACAAAAATAAAAAATTCGCGTATGCCGAAGGAATCGATATGGCATAGGCGAAAATGCCTGGGGGCGGTTCTATCGAGTTTATAAGCGCGTAAACAGGGACAAATTGAAGAGGCAACAATGGCCTTTCTTATTCCGCATTCGAACGGTGAAGTCTCCCGGCGCTTTTCCCGACAATGGACCGTTTTTCACCGCATTCAGATTTATCAATGCGGCGTTTCGGAAAAGCCCCGTGTCGGGGAATTCCCGGGGATCCTTAATATGCACATTTCCGGGATTAATTCGAGCATTACTATTCATCTGTAATAAAAATAAATTTGTATTCCATTTAAATATTTCTATTTAACATTTGTTTTTAGACAAAAACGTAAAAAAAACGTAAAAAAAACATGAAACAAGAAGAAAAAAAAAGATAAATTTCCTGCGCACACAGGGATTGAACCGTAAACGTTCCTGATGAAATTGTCAAATTACATAGCGTAAACCAACGCTGTTAATTCTACCCCTAATAAAATTATTAGATAGTGACTTAAAAAGAACTTATTTATGACATATGACTTTTTTCAACCAAATTATACATTTTTTATACCAGGGTGTTTCTAATAGTTATTAGTAAAGTATTTGTAAATGTAGTATACACCTTGCTCCATTTCCGATAGCAACATGGTCATTTCTATGAGTGGAACAAAGAAAGATTATTAAAATGACAGTTGACAGAGTGAAAAGTTGCAATGACACAAATGTCACTCTTTCCTTTTCCTTTGTAAGTGTCTAATGGAAGTTGTCTTTATCGCACCCATGGCCTATATAACCTATGTTGCAATCAAAAATGGAGCAACATGTATGTAAAGTTGTTAGTATTTTATCGTCTTCCGGCAGGACACCGACAGCAACCTGCTCTCCATCACCGCCATGGGCGTCCTGACGCCCGGCCTCGTCCTCATCCTGCTCGCCAGCCACTTCCCGCCCGTCCTCGAATCGGACGCCTGGGCGCTCATCTCATCGCTGGCGACGACGGCCGGCGTCGCGACGGCCATGCTCCTGCTGGCCGGCCGCCACGCGCCCCTTCCGCTCTTCGCCCTCCTGCTGGCCCTCCACACGATGATGCCCCTCAGCAGGGCCGTCGCCCTCGCGCTCGCCACCATCGTCACCGTCGCCCATCTGGCCACATCCATAGCCTACGGGATGAGGGACCTCGACTCCGTGCACTACCTGCAGGTGAGTCTGTTTTCCACCAATCGCACCGATACGACGCTTTGCTATGGCCAATAAGAGCTCTAGATGAGCGGTGACGTCGTTTAGACTCACCAATCATGTTGCTGCAACGTGTTACTAGCCAATAAGAGCTGCAGATGTGTGGTGACGTCATGTAGACTGACCAATCGCGTTGCTCCATTGTGTTACATAGTCAATAAGAGCTCTAGATTAGTGGTGATATCGTTTAGATTGACCAATCAAATAATCCTGCGGGTGCAGGATGAATGCAGGGGAAAGTGGGGTAGTAAAAATGGGGAGAAGTAGAAGAAAACTGCGTTTTTATCCGAAATCGATGGAGGGAAACATAACTTACGGTTTATTACAAATGAGAATGGAAAGATATTAAACGTGATTCGGGTATCAAGCGAATTTCAATTCGATAAATTCATATTTAACTGGCACATGCCAGATGGTTGTGGAAATGGAAACAATACGAAAATAAAAAAAACAAACATAGTTTACGTTAGATCGGAACAATTCGATGAAATCCTAGGCTTTCCCGCTACAATTTACGTCTTTATTGGCGCAGTAAAAAAATCCCATTTACAATTTCCACCTGTTTTCCCGGCCGGGCGTTTTCCAGATTTGGAGTTAATTAAAACATGGAAATTCCACGGATAACCGTCCGGAAACGGTTATTCCGATGCGATGCATATTCAATTTCAAATAATTCCGCCCAACAAAGCGTTAATTAGACAATTAGCGCGCGTTTTGTGTTGTTTTAATTAGAATTAACGAGATTTTTCCGACGCAAAATGGAGCACGAAATGGCGAGAAAAACGAGCAAAACGTACGGACGAGACACAATAAAAGAAGAAGACAATGACAACTGACAGTTTCAAAAATGATAAGTTTGACATAAGACGTTTAGCTTTGGAGTTGAGAATTTTGAATATTTGTTTATTTTCGTTGATATTATTAAATTTTGTGAGTTCCAATTAGAGTTTTCTTCGTACCCGAACCGCCAGAGACCATGTAATTAATAGTTGTGTGTTTCGTTTGTTATTATAAACTATTCTCAACGAATTTATGCCACAATATGGCCTTTAATATCTCAGGTATTCAACTAACTGGAGTAAATCTACTCTATCGATTTCATTTACGAAGTAAATATTAAAAATAAATCGTTTTCCAGTTGATTCCCGAAGTGGTCCTGCTGGTATCGGCCAGCTGCACCGGCTTGTACTACCGGCACATGACCGAGGAGGCGCATCGCAGGACCTTCGTGGGAACGAGGACCTGCATCGAGTCCCGGGTGAAGCTGGAGTGCGAAAAGGAGCAACAGGAACAACTGCTTTTGAGCGTAATACCCGCTTATATAGCCGCAGAGGTTCGTTGTAAACTATAACATTCATACTATATACATATCGATTCGTTCGGGTGAATTTCGCCCAGAGGGAAATGCAACAGTTTTGTGTGTATTTCGATGATTAAAAATACGCATTGGGGATTTCATAGTGTAAGTTCCGAACACGCGAATACATATAGGACGTCCCAAAACTACAGGGGAAATGCACAAACGCTACTTTCAGCAAATTAAGTCTGTCTTTAATTAACCTCGAGACTCGCAATTGCTCTCCAACAATAATTTCCCTTATCTCGTGCAGACACTATGAGCATTAAACTTCCGGTCGGAGAGGATGAAATGGACAAAAAGAAAACCGAAAAACTAAAACGAAAACAAAAAGCATTCGATTCGCCGGAAACCTGCGACGCAGGAGCTCGCAGTAATGGACCCTCTCGTCGGGACTTTTTCTTATTTTCCCGCGTCGACTTCATCTATTTAAGTACAAAGTTACCGGCGTGTACGGAGCGGGATAAATAAATTATTGATCGAGCGAATGAATGATTGAATGAAAGGATGAATGAAAGCATGAATGACAGGATGAATGAAAGGATTAATGAAAGCATGAATGAAAGGATGAATGAAATGATAAATGATTGACTGAAAGGATGAATGAAAGGATGAATTAATGATTGAATGAAAGGATGAAGAATGATTGAATGAAAGGATGAATGAATGAAAGAATGAAAACTCTAAAGAAACTCTAGTTTCTACCGCACTCTTCTCTTATTTCTACTCCTATTCCTACTCTTATTCCTACTCCTATTTCTACTCCTATTCCTATTCTTATTCCTACTTCTATTCCTATTCCTACTCCTATTCCTACTCCTATTATTACTCCTATTCCTACTCCTATTCCTACCTATTCCTACTCCTATTCCTACTCCTATTCCTATTCCTATTCCTACTCCTATTCCTACTCCTATTCCTACTCCTATTCCTACTCCTATTCCTATCGTTATACGAGGGAGCTTCGCTAAATCCAGAAGAAAACTTCATTAAAAAAAAACTTCAAAAAAATAGTGGCGTTAATTAGCCTAGAGAGGCCTCATTATTTCTTGTTCAGCTAAAACCGAGCGCCTGTTCCGTCGGAATTAATGTTTGCGGCTACGACGCCCCGGCGTACGATATACAAGGACCAAGGATAATGGCACCAGGATCGTCTACAATACGATATAATCGCGACTCTGTCCCCCCTATAACGCCTCGTCTAATTGATCAGACGGGCGTAATGCAAACTGCATTATATCGGTAAATTTGCATCGGGAGTATATCAACGAATTAACCGGATGTATTAGCAGGAATTCCTCCTAAATTCGCTTTTGTACCGGGCGTCCCGAAGAAGCGATGTTCCGAGCGTTACGCGTCGTCGAAATCGAACAGCGAAAACGTACAGCGTGTCCCAATAAAAGGCGTTTTTTTTCGGTTGTTTGCAGGTGAAGCGCAGCATCATGTTGAAGATGGCCGACGCCTGTCAGGAGCAATCGAACCGCAGCTTCCACGAGATGTACGTGCAACGGCACAACAACGTTTCGATACTCTACGCGGACATCGTCAATTTCACGCCGCTCTCCGAGCAACTGAGCGCCTCGGATTTAGTGAAGACGCTCAACGAGCTCTTCGGCAGGTTCGATCAAATAGCCCAAGTAAGTTTAGAGACATGTAGTTATACTACTACCCTCGTAATTGAGCGATCGTTCGGTGAATGCCACGTTGAGAGGTCGGTGTATTGAATGATGGAATATTTCTATTCTACACTGACTTCTCGAATTGAAACGTTCAACTTTATATACACTTGTCTATGTACTAACGAATTTAACCGTGTAGAAACGTGGGTTAAGAGCGTAACGGTTCGGTTAAAAATTCACGGCTCGAAGCGGAAAAGCGAGAGTCGTTTATTTGATACCGGCAGGAAAACTGCTCGGCATTTTCTCCCCCGGTTTTTTTCTAAGCGTTTCCTTCGCTCGTTTTATTACGGGGGTTTTTTCGAATTTAAAGTGAATTCGCCGGCGGGTTTGTTCCGCATTGCCGCGGGAACCGATTTTTCCGGGCAAGAAGCTTTCCTTTAAAAGATTAATGCGAAGTGAAACGGAACTTTTCGATATATATACAGAGTCTTCGTTTTATATGCGTTTTTCCGTTCGAGCATTCGCAGTTTCTCGCGAATTATAAAGCGGGATTATCTTAGCTAAATGTTCGGAGCGATTTCGAATGAATAGAATCCCCTTTTAATCGAAAAGAGCTCCGAGTACTTAGAGATGGAAACTCTAGGGTAAGAAAAAGTCAACAATGGCTCGAGCTGCAGTAAGCAAAAGCAGTCCGAGATAATTGAAAATAAATTTTCCAAAACGGCTCTAATTAAAAGTTCACGTTTTCCGGGAAATTCTTAATTCGAACTCGACAAAAAACCGGAAAAGTTTCGTTTCGTTCGAACAGTGGCGTCTCGAAATCGCCGGGGAACCACTAAAATAATCGGCCTTTATCCATTCAGGCATCGAGCTAGCCTCACCATTTACCTCCATAAAAATTACACAACTGGCCTCTTACTATCGCATTATTCGGTGGTTCCTTCAAACCAACATTCAAATGGTCTCTTACTATCGCGTTATTCGGTAGTTCTTTCAAACCAACACTCAACTGGCCTCTTACTATCGCATTAATCGGTAGATCCATTAAACCAACACTTAACACTTAATTGAACTCTTACTATCGCATTATTCGGTAGTTCCTTCGAGCCAAAATTTAACTGGTTCCCTCTAATAGCGTTATTTAGTAGTTTCTTAAAACCAACACTCAACTGGCCACTTACTATCGCATTATACGGTAGTTCCTTCAAACCAACATATAACTGGCTTCCTCCAAACGCGTTATTTGGTAGTTTCTTCAAACCAACAATCAACTGGCCTCTTACTATCGCAGTATTCGGTAGTTCTGTATAACCTACACTCAAGCGGCCCCTTACTATCACGTGCTTCGGTATTACCTTCGAATCAACAATCAACTGGCCTCTTCCTATCGTATTATTCTGCTATTTTTCCGCCGTTCCAGGACAACCAATGCATGCGGATCAAAATACTGGGCGACTGCTACTACTGCGTGTCCGGTCTGCCGGTATCGCGGCCCAATCACGCCTACAACTGCGTCAACATGGGCCTGCAGATGATCGAAGCCATCAGGTATGTAAATCAACACAATTAGACGAGTAAATAGGCGGTTAATAGGGGGTTTCCCGGCGGTCGGGTAGGTTCGTGCGGGAGGCGACCGGCTTCGACGTGGACATGAGGATCGGCATCCACACGGGCAACGTCCTGTGCGGCGTCCTGGGGCTCCGGAAGTGGCAGTTCGACGTGTGGAGCGACGACGTCACATTGGCCAATCACATGGAGTCCGGCGGAATAGCCGGGTGAGTTTCGTCGCTGGCGTTTTCGTCGAGCTGTTTAATTATTAATTAATATCCAGTTGGCTGCGAGGCATAGCACCCTACGACCCTATAACGCGTGATATACACCTTGCTCCATTTCCGATTGAAACATGGTCATTTCTATGAGTGGAACAAAGAAAGATTATTAAAATGACAGTTGTCAGAGTGAAAAGAGTCTAATGGAAGTTGTCTTTATCGCACCCATGGCCTATATAACCTATGTTGCGATCAAAAATGGAGCAACCTGTATCTAATAGAGGAGGTAGATTGTAGATGAAAGGTTAGGAACTATAGGGGCGAATTAAACGGGAGAAAAAGTTGGGGAAAACTCTGCAGAATTCCTATACAGTGTGCGCGTAGTTTAACCGATTCGTTCGACGATAATCGAGCTTAATTACTCGCTTGTTAGGGGTTAAAGAAATATTTTTTTGGAAGTTTCTTAACCGGGGGGAAAATTAATCGGTTACTGGTTTTCTCCTTTGTTCGTCGTTTGATAATTGCGAATTTGGCGCGAAGGAGGGAAAAATATTCGCGGAAAATATTCAAAGAGAGGACTCTCTCACAAAGGACTCATCATCGGCGGCTCCTTTTATTGTCAAACGAAAACCTACTAATCGTCTTTTTAAACCAAAATTGGACGTTATTTCGCTATTCGTATCTTATTTTAGCTTAATTAGGTTCGATTTCGTGCAGTTTTAGCCTCGCAGAATAAACTCCAGCACGATATCATAAATATCAGTAGGCTGCGAACGCTTTTTGACGTTAGCTGTCACTATTAATCGCAGGTGACTAGACGGCAATGTAAAATAACGGGAAATTGAGCCGATATTCGAGCGGATATAGATAATATAATAGGCACAATATGGAATGTATACAGGTATATATAGAGAGAGAATCGTCCGCGCTCCGATGCCTCCGGATTTACGGCGGGGGCTAAAATTTAATCAGAGCCACCTTTGATATCTAAATTAACCGAAATGGTTCGATCGTCGGGCATAATGGCGGAGGCGGCATCGGAGCGCATCGAACGGGATCCGATTGGGAAAATAAAAATCGATGCACCAGCGATGGAATTTATAACGAGTTTTGACGAGAATTTCCCGTCACTTAGTGCCCGCCATCTTGTTGCGACTTTGACGTTTAGTGGCAGCCATTTTGTCGCCAATTTCCTGTCACTTACTGTCGCAATTTTTGAAGATATCTTATCGATAAAATTGGATTTTCTATGCAGAGTAGAAAAGTACTCGTCTTAATTGGTCGTTCGACTAGGATTTTAAGGACTTTCGGGCTCCTTATTTCGACGTAAAAATCACATTAGGCGCTCCTTTAAGGACCTTTCGAGGATCAAAAGGAAGGTCTCGCGACCGTCATTAAAGTCCAAAAAGGAAAATTCTGATGGGAAATTCGAGAAATTGCATCGCGTTATACGGGGTGACGCCGAAAAGTACAACGCGTTGTTTTAAACAATTTTGTTTAACAGAACTGCAGGAAGAGAAAAATAGCGAATAATAGAGGGAAAGTTAGCGTTGTATTCTAATCGGGCTCGGAATTGCACAATAGCCGCCGCTCGTCCGCTTTTCCGGGAGTTTTCCGGCCGAAACTCGCTCGCGATGAAAAACTTTTCCTTTGCGATCTTTCGGCTGCTCGTCCGGTTTATACGGGGGATTATACGGGGGTGATACGATATGTTTTAGACGCGTCCACGTGACGAGGGCCACGCTGAACCAATTGGGCGATAAATTCCGAGTGGAGCCCGGAGATGGGGCGTCCAGGGAGAGCTATTTGTCCGATCACAAAATCGAAACGTTCCTGATTGTACCGCCTAAGGTAAGTTTCATTTTTTACGCCCAAAAATTTATTCGAAAAAGTGATTTTTGTAGTTGACTTTCGACTGAAATTGCATTAAAAATTACAGTGGAAAATTCGGAATAAATTATGTGCTCGTACAATTGAATTAATCGGGTTCTGGTGAGTGCATTTTCCGGTTTGTTTGCGAGCTTTTCGCGTTCGAAAAAGCCCGGAAAAATCGTTAAATCGCACACGCGATGTATTTTTTCGCATTCGCGTAGGTACGCACTGATATTTTATTAATCCGAATCCATTCCGAAAATTTTTATTCGACTAGAGATCAATTGGACAGTGCAATTTCCGAAATTAGTTTCAAAAATAGCGAAATGTGGCGTACATTCGTTGCTAATTTAGATGCTAATTCTGTTGCTAATGTAATGGATCATACAGCGAAAAAAATAAATGAAAAAGAGAAGAATTTTAGTGTATTTACGGTTTAAATGGAACTATTTTTTATCGGGGGAGCCAGAAAAATGTCCGGGTGAATTGAAATTGGAACTCGTGATGTTTTACAAATGTCTTTCGGGTGGGTGCGAAAGATAGAAGAAAAGAATAATGGCGTACAATTCTAGAATTAATAGGTTTGCAGGTGTATTTCGAAAATGATCCATTTCGTCTGTGGAAACTTGAATGATTCGCTGATTGAAAATCCATTTTTTTTTCTTATAATTTTCCAAATGTTTTGACAACACGTTTTATGAATTTTTGATCCCAAAAATTAAAATTATATATAGTTGAAACGTCAATTTTTGAATTTTTCGTGTTGATTTACATAGAAACGAACTTCTTTCCCTACAAAACAAGTCGAAAAAAGTGGAAAAAACGAAAAAAGACGTGTAATTTGCAATTTAACCCTGAAGATGAAACTTTCTAAAGTAGAAACCTTCATTTTTGAATTTTCCCTGTCGATTTATATTGAAATCAACCTTTTCCCATTCAAAACAAGTCGAAAAAAGCGACCCATTGCACCTTCTAAAAAAAATTACATTGCCAATTTAGATACTAAATAGATACCTACATTAGCTAATTATATCGACCAATTAGTGACCTATATACATACACTAATTACCATCTAATTAGTAACATCTAAACGCGATTTCAGCGCGCCGATAACGAAACCCAGAACGGCAACCTGCAACAGCGACTGTCCAACGTTTCGGAACGCGCGACCGCCATCGGCGACGGCCGCCCGGGCGCCCCCCTTTCGGGCTCCGGTCCCGCCCGGACGAGGCCGTCGAGCAAGATGACCAAGTACGTGGAGTGCTGGGGCGCCGACAAACCGTTCGCCAACATAGCCGAGTCCACGTTGGCCAAAAACATCGAACTAACGGTAAGATATTTCTACAGTGATGGCCAAAAGTCCGTCGCCCACCCCCCCTTTAACCTTTGAAATTTTGTCGCGCAATTTGGGGTGTTTATATTGGAGTAAAATTACTATTTTTTGACGTAAAAATGACAGTTGAAACTTTCAAAATTACAGTTAGGCGCCATTTTGAATCTTTTTTTCTTATGGAAAGGGGGGTTAAGTGACAGCTCGTTTTCAAGGTAATTTCATTCTTAAGTCAACCCCCAAATTTGAAAACATTTTAATAACGCGTATTTACGTAAAGACCAATTTAGTTTTAACCTCCTGGTATATTGATACAAGTAAAAATTCATTCTGAACGTACTATAAAATGTGTCAATTAATTGTTGCAGTTTTTTCTTGGCTCTGACATTTATTTGTCAAATTTAAAGTTGATGAAATTAACAGTTTTTTCGTTTAAAGGACAAGCCATTGTCCTGTAAATTTATTTGTTTATATAAACTACTCCACAAAAGTTAAGGAATTTCGCGAATTATGCGATTATTTTAATAGTTACCGACTTTTTGATCACCAAATTTTCAAATCTGAGTGGATTTTTTGCCCCTACCTCTACAATTCGCACTTTTAAATTAATCTCAATATTTGTGAACTTTTGTGGAGCAGTATATTTATTTGCCGTTCCCGCAACATTCGCGGCGAAAATTGCAATTTTCATCGAGCCGTTTTTGTTTACAGTCGACCTCCTATCTTCAGGTTAGTCGTTGGTAATTAAATTAACGCCTTTTGCGCTAACAATTTCGAGGGCCCTTTCGCTTGGCTTAATTTAATCAGGCATTATTCGAAGCGCCCTCGTAGGTTAACCTCTGTGTCCATACGAGGGGTGATCCGATTTTACGTTGGATATCTCGCCTTGTGCCTTGTGCCTTGTACCTTGTGCCTTATTTTGTGTGATTAAATAAACCGAGTTTTCGTGTAATTGTTTAACAATTCGTTTGCGTATGTGGAATTTAATTAATTAGCTTTGCCGGGAAAATTAATTACTTTACGGCTGGTTTCTAACGCACTAACACGAATGTTTCTTCACTCGAGAACCTCGATTCCTTCGGAATACGTTTTTTATAACTAATCTCCACTAAACTAGCGATTGATTCAATCAATAATTCACGATCTTTGCAGCTTTGTATTTTATTAGCGATTTGTTTTCCAGACATTAGCCATGATTGAATCCAACTTATTGCCCAATCGAACGACCTGCCTCGAATGCAAGTAAGTTTCTTTTCGATCAATTTATATTTTTGGGGTGTTTCGTATAAGAACATTTTTAATTCTAAAAACGTACCTGAAAGTCGGCAACCCAACGCGCTTTGACGTCATGTACTCGCCACCTTGATAATACTCAGCTAATTCTGACGTCACTGCCCGACGCGATCTCTCATTGGCCGAGCTTATTTACTCGCCCGCTTGGATAATACTCGGCTAATTCTCGGAAATTACGCCATCGGTTTATTTAGCGGATTAAAAATGTTTTCTGTATTAAACGTAGTTTAAATTCAATTTCTCCGTTTTGCCGGCACTAGCAGGTGCCTTCTAGATAATTCAAAAGCAATTCCGAGTGTCTCGGCATCATCGCGGGAGTCTTTATTCCTGCTCGTTCTCCCGCCGAATTCGAGTTTAAGATTCTCGTTAAGGAAGTTAATTCCCAATTATGAATTTCGGGCGGGAGAGCATAATGAGAAACGTACGGGTAAATTTGATTTTTAGGGTAGACGCGGGACGTTTATTATTCTCGCAGGTAGACGAAGTTGTTGTTCCTGCGAATTATCTATTATAGAGGGATTTCGAGTAGTTTGAGCAATACAAAAAAAAATAAGAAGGATTTAACGATGATAGTATCGCGATATAGGTTTATGAATTTTTAAAATGTATGTAAATTTGCCGAGTAGAAAGTGGTGGAACAGCGAGGAACTCCACCCGGCCCTGTTGTGGTTCCAAAACAGGAAGCAGGAGACGGAGTTTCGCGGCCAACCCGATGGGGAATTTCGCTATTACATCGCCTGCGCCTCGTTCCTCTTCCTGGCCATGTGCCTGATGCAGCTGGCCACCATACCCAGGTAAAGGCCTCCAATTAAACGTTCTAATCCACAGTCAATTTTGCCAGGAGAAATACACTACTGTCTTTCTTGTCGTTTTTGACGTTTTTTGACATTTTTGACATTTTTGACATTTTTGACATTTTTGACAGTTTTGACAGTTTTGACATTTTTAACATTTTTGACACTTTTCTCACATTTCCCATTTTTATACAAGACTACAAAAAGTAGACTTTACCTGTAACATAAGGTTCGGAACAAATTGAATTTGAGTTGATGTTGATATTTTCCTGTTCCCTGCGACGTTTCGATACGCCTGCGAAATCCGCGCAGGAAAAGCAAACACATCCTCGGCGACGTGTAAGTCGAGCAAGCGACTCGATTTTCCGGTTACTTTTTTTTTATTATACCCATGTTTACAGTAAATTCGTCTCGAGCGGAATCTGTATAGACGGAATATCGAATGGGAAATTCTTAAATAAATAGATAATTTAGTTTTTTTTTTTTATCATACGTACGTTCAAATAAATAGATGATTCGTTTTTTTCACCCTCGTTTATAGGGAGGGTAAAAACGCAGACATCTTGGATATTTTAAAAAAATCGAGTCGCCATGTTTGGTTGTTTGTTGCTATTTCGAAAATGTGAAATCAAATCTCCCGCTTTTTTTTTGAACCGCATGGTGTCTTCTCCTCTGCTATACCTTTCTGTTTAACAACTCTTAAAAATCCTTAATTAGTCATCTTCCATCACCATTTTCCAGCAAATTTCCCATCCCATCTCGCCCCCACTTGATCCCTTTACCTGTCATCTCTCCACGTATTTTCTTCTATCCACTAATAGTATAATTCTTCTTTAGGAACATCGTCCTCTTCGGTACCTTGGGCCCCACTCTAGTGGTACTTCTGATCTTCGTCTACCTGTGCTGGTTGGACGGCTGTTGCGGCCCCCGCCCGCCCTCCGACACCCCCTCCGACGAGCCGGGGGCCTGCTCGCCCCCCGGCCAGATCGTGGCTGAGAGCAGGTGTCTCAGACTGGCCATATTCCTGGTCTCGGTCACTCTGATCTCGGCCTGCGCCGTGGTCACGCTGGTGAGTTGTACTAGCAATTTCCTCCTCTAACTACTAACAACATCTGCACTTTCCACCAGATCGATTACAATCCGATTGCACCGATTCCTGTACCGATCGCCAGTACCACAGTATCACCGGAAATAATGGACGAGTACAATTCGAGTTTCTACTGGAACGCATCGACGAGAACACCCGAAGATGTAGCGATTGTAGTCGTACAATACGTTCCTGTAAGTACTATAATCTGGATAAAATAGATGGTGATTAATCTAGTACTTCTCTAGACGTACCTGTACAGTTCCGCGTTGGTGCTAGCCGCGATTTCGGTGTTCCTGCGCATGGGTTTCCTGCTCAAGCTGTCCATCATGGTACTATCGGCCGTCTCCCACGTGGTCATCTACAGTTACCTGGAGTTTTTCCAGGAGTACCACGACTACCACGACGACGAGTAAGCCGGCGGTTTGTTCGCGAAATGACCGGGTTATTATAGTAAATTTTCAGATTTCCTGCTATACCGTTCGAAGCCAAAACCGCTCTGGCTTTGGCGCTGATCGTGATATTTTTCCACATACTCGACAGGCAGATAGAATTCACGGCTCGAACGGACTACTTGTGGAAGGCCAAGCTCAAAGTCGAGCAGGACGAAGTGGAAACCATGCGAGGAATCAACAAAGTAAGATCCTTCCAGGTTCTCTTAAAATATAACCTCACTTGCTACTTCTAATAGAAAGTTTTCAGATTCATCTGAACTACAAACTAACTTGTTAACTTTATCTGCTACCGTTCCAGATCCTTCTAAAGCATATTCTCACCTGCTAGAACTAAAAGAACCCTTCCAGATTCATCTGAACACCAAACTAACTTGTTAACTCTATCTGCTACTGTTCCAGGTCCTTTTAAAGCACATCCTCACTTGCTAGATCTAAAAGAACCCTTCCAGATTCATCTGAACTACAAACTAACTTGTTAACTCTATCTGCTACTGTTCCAGGTCGTTTTAAAGCACATCTTCACTTGCTAGATCTAAAAGAACCTTTCCGGATTCACCTGAACTTCAAACTAACTTGTTAGCTCTATCTGCTACCGTTCCAGATCCTTCTAAAGCATATTTTCACCTGCTAGACCTATAAGAACCTTTCGAGATTCACCTGAACTACAAACTGACTTGTTAGCTCTATCTATTGTCGTTCTAGATCCTTCTGGAGAACATCCTGCCGGCCCACGTGGCCGAGCATTTCCTCAACACGAGGGCCTCGGAGGATCTCTACCACGAGCGGTACTCCTGCGTGGCGGTGATGTTCGCCTCGATACCCAACTACAAGGAGTTCTACGACGAGAGCGACGTCAACAAGCAGGGGCTCGAGTGCCTGCGCTTGCTCAACGAGATCATCTGCGAATTCGACAAGGTACTTAGTGGCATTTTTTTCTTCGTTTTCGGTAAATTTAGCGTACGATTTGCAGTTGCTGTTGAAGCCGAAGTTCAGTTGCATCGAGAAGATCAAAACTATCGGAAGTACCTACATGTTGGCTTCGGGTTTGAGGCCCGGTAAAGAAGAGGATAATAACGTGAGTTGAACAATCGATTAATCGAGTGTATCAGTAAGTGAGTTGATTTTTATCTTGTGTTAACGCTTCAGTTGGATTTTTTGAAGGTAAATTCTGGGGTTACTTCGAAGGTTAAATTGGAATTATCTCTAAGGCTCGTGTACTTTACAGGAGGCTAGCAGAAAAGAGGAACACATCGTCACGGCGCTCGTCGATTTCGCTGTTTTATTAATGTCCAGTTTGGAGCAAATTAACCGAGATGCATTCCAAAGATTCAAGTTGCGAGTCGGTAAGCAGTCTCTTTTTCACCATCTCTTCACCATCTTCACAATCTTCACAATCTTCACAATCTCCACCTTGTTAAAAGTACTTACCTATAGCTAAGAATGTGATGCTCGGCTCAAAATGCTAGATATTTCATTGTTAAATTGGTTGCCTACCTATTAGTACCTACTTTGAAAACGATTTGAAGTTAGCCACAAATGGTTGCTATTATTCAGTAGTTAATTTAGGAATTTGACACGAATAATAACTTGTTTCGAACGAGTTTTTACATAAATTTAACGATACTTTAGCAGTTTAATGTGACCATTTTGCAATTTTTCTGAAATTGTCATATGACATTTGATATTGTGAATGACGTGAAGTTGACACTCAATGGCCTGTTACTTTTCGGTTAATCTTCTAATCCTGCGGTGTTAAAATTAAAGAACTTGTTTCGAGCGTTTTTTAGGTAAATTTAACCGATAATTTAGCGGTTTAGTGGAATTAATATCAATTTTAATACCTTTTACTCGTTTATAAAGATTAAAGTGAGGTTGAAACATTGTTAAAATAACCGAAGTGAAGTTTTAACGCAAAAGACCTCCCTCGATATAAAAATTGACGTGTTTTACGTCTTCAGTCATTTATCTCTTCAGTCATTTATCTCTTCAGTCGTTTTATCTCTTCAGTCATCTCCATCATCTTCACCATCTCCACAATCTCCACCATCTTCACCATCTCCACCATCTCTACCATCTTCACAACCTTCACAATCTCCACCATCTTCACAATCTCCACCAACTTCACAATCTCTACCATTTCCACCATTTTATTCTACTATTTGACCACGACATTATGTCCTAGGGCTGAACCACGGTCCGGTGATAGCGGGCGTGGTGGGGGCGCAGAAGCCGCAGTACGACATCTGGGGCAACACGGTGAACGTGGCGTCCAGGATGGACTCCTGCGGACAGCTGGGCAGGATCCAGACGACCGACGTCACCGCTCAGGTGCTGATCAACGCGGGTCACAAGTGCGATTGCAGGGGCCCCACCTACGTCAAGGGCAAGGGCACTCTGACCACCTATTTCGTGAGGACGCCCTTCGACGAGAAGGACCTGTAAGGGACCTGTTATACGAGGACATTTAAAGGATCTTTGAAGGACCTTCGAAAGAGCTTTTATGAGGATATTTAAAGGACCTTTAAAAGAGCTTTGATTGAGCTGTAAATTAAAGGATATTTGGACCTTTAAAGGACTTTTGAAAGACCTTTAAATGAGCTTTGAAGAACCTATGAAGGATCTTTTATTTGAAAGAACTCTAAATAAAGATTAAAGGGCTTATAACAAATCCTTGGAGGACCTTTAAATGACGTTTGAAAGAGCTTTAAAAGATCTTTATGAGGGAGCTTCACGTTTTTTTTATTGTTTATTTTCAAGTTAATTGAATATTGTGATATTTCAATGTACGTTTTGTATTATATTTTTGTTGCTTTTGTATGGTGTAATAATTAAATTATTAGCGTATTAGGCTTGAGTAATTAAATGTTAGGTGTAAATGTAGTTTAATGTACGTGTAAAGTAGATATTTTAATTAATTTATCGACAATAATATGAGCATTTTTTAATTGTAATTTAATAATTTATTTGCTATAGGTAAATGTATAGATGGAATAATTATTTCGACATATCAAAATGGTAGTTTATTTTTTTAACTACTCTTAAATGTAACCTTAAAGTGTTCCTAAATATGTGTTAATCAAATTGGGAATGTGAAAAAAAATTAATTATTAAGATTAAAAATTCTACTTTGTAGAAGTTCTATTGTACTTTTTAGGCGAATTTGATTCTTAATTGTGGAAGAAAAAAAATATTTTTATGATTTTATATGAGTACCTGACTGAATGTAGTTATTCATTACTTCCCAGGTAATTTTTAGTGTAAATTTAGTATGGTGTTTTTTAATAAAGTAAGCCTAAATACTTAAGAAATTTAGGAAATTATTAATGCTTTATTAGAGATTAGGCATGTAACACCAAAAACTAAAGATTCTAAGATGAAATTTATCAATGTTTATATATTTGTATTTACTATTGTTTACATTACAGAGTGTATATTTTAAGAAAATTATAGTATTTTTGTGCGGTTGTATATTTTGAAAAATCTATTAAATAGGCAAAATGTATATCTCTTAAATCTGATAATTATAAACTTTAAAATTTATTGTTAATTTATTGTTAAAAGTACTTACCTATAGCTAAGAGTAGTAAGAGTGTGTTATGCTTGTTTTTTTTTCGCAAATTTAACCATACTCTGGCAATTTAGTGAAGTTAAGAGGGGCGTTGAGCACTTCAACAGTCGTACTTCAACAGGATTTCAAAGAAGCGAAATTGGACAGTCAGGTGACGAGGAAATATCTTCCTGCTTTAATGTCTCTGATGGTGGATGATCAAGTGAGATAGTTGAGCTCTAAATGCGTCTGACGACAAACGCGAAGCCGCCTTTACGGTTATAGTTAGAACATTGGGGGCCTGTGTAGAAGCTTATTTACAAGACAGTATTGTATTTAGGAAATACATTTTTACATATAAATATTGTTTTTTTAAATAAATAAATAAAACGTTTGAAGGATTTTACATAAAAAGGCATTTCGTTTTGAGATTTCTGAAAAATTGAAAATGATTAAGCATTTATAAGTTTTTAATCACCGAAATACTGGTTGCCTACCTACTAGTGTCCATAAATCGATTTTCCATCGATAAATGTAATTCTGGTTGTCTAACTATTGTATTAGTAAAGCGCGAGTAATAAGTATCAGGAGTAAACCTCTTCACACATTCTGCTCTCCTAATACGAATTCTTAAATTCACGTTAAATTCGTGAGATTTTCATACGTTTGACACAAACTACTCGAACTCCTAATATTTGTTTCTCCCGATCTTTTTGCTTTAATAGCTCCAGATTTTTACAAATTGCGTTGAAAAAGTTTTGCGTTTTTTTTTTTCAATAAACTCGACAAAAGTTTTGCGTTTTTTTTGTCAATAAACTCGACAAAACTTTTAACATTTTACTTTTTTATCATTTCTGCTATAAAGTATTAATAATAATGCCCAAAATGATAAATTTCTCTTGAAAATGTGTTTTGAAAAACGACGATAGAATCTTTATTAATGCATCAGGATTCATCCAGGACTTTTCCCAGAAGTACCTCTCGATATAATAAATATCTCCCGATATTAAACTTCCTAGCATATTCTCCTTGCCTAATATCCGAAATTTATCAACGGAGATCGACGAAAACTTGTGCTCAAATCTCGAATTAAAACGTGAATTTAAAATTTCGTATTAGGAGAACAGAATGTGCGAGGAGGTTTACTTATGACGCTTATTAATCGCGCTCCTGCTCGAAGCAATACATACAAAGGCAACCATTTAATCGAATTTCGGTAATTCTGGTTGCCTATCTATTGTATTAGTAAAGCGCGAGTAATAAGTATCAGGAGTAAACCTCTTCACACATTCTGTTCTCCTAATACGAATTCTTAAATTCACGTTTTATCGTGAGATTTTCATACGTTTGACACAAACTACTCGAACTTCTAATATTTGTTTCTTCCGATCTTTTTGCTTTAATAGCTCCAGATTTTTACAAATTGCGTTGAAAAAATTTTGCGTTTTTTTAATAAACGAAAAATACTAAGAATTCTAAAATCAGGATTAAGGATGTCATAAAAAATTTTTAATATTCTATTTTCGTATCATTTTTGTAATAAAGAATTATTAATAATGCCCAAAATGTTAAATTATCTTTGAAAATGTGTTTTCAAGAACGACGAAACATTTAGAATATTTATTAACGCATCAGCAGGATTCATCCAGGACCTTCCCTAGACGTATCTCTCTCGATATACTAAATATCTCCCGATATTGAACTTCCTTGCATATTCTCATTGCCTAATATCCGAAATTTATCAATGGAGATCTACGAAAACTTGTGCTCAAATCTCGAAATAAAACGTGAATTTGAAATTTCGTATTAGGAGAGCAGAATGTATGACAGAATGTATGGCAGAGTGTATGACACCCTGTATATAGGGAGAGCCCATGTGATCGTGTTATTAAATTCTCGAGAAGGCCTTGAAAAACAAACGAACCCATTTCGAGATTTCCTCATTCGCATCATCAAGATAGCTAAACGTGTAATAAACAAAAGAAGCGCGCCGGGATCGTTATTAAAACAAAATTCCAACGCCGACTGAGATCCGTCTGAAAACGGAACAAAAGACACCGCATATGTGCATTGATTATTGAAAATATATACAGGGTGTGCCCGAAAAAAAAGAAAAGTAAACGAAGAAGGGCAATAAATAAAGAGAGAGATAGAGAGATTAACATGACAAAATATTACCATAAAAATTGTTGAAAAAAATGTTTAATAAAAATGGAAAAAAAAATTGGTCATAGATATTTTGATTGTAAAAAAATCACTCGGTAATTCCCCAATTAATTTTAACCAACAGTTAATTTGTCTAATAACAATCCATTAAATAACGATGGTAATTTTCGTTTTTAAACAGGCAATCTTGATTTTGCAACAAGTGTAAAAAATCAACATTGAAGAACTTTCAATTAATCTCAATTAAACTGAATTTTCGAGTTATTAAATTTCGAAATTTCAACCGTGAACTTTCGGTTAGCTGGGTGAGGAGATTGAAAAAAAATGCATTTTGAATAATTCGATTTTAATTGCATTTTAATTGTACAAATACACAAAAATAATTTAATTTATGAGTGAAAAATAATCAATTTTAAATCGTTAAAAAACGAGAAATGTACTTCGAATCGCTAAAATTGGATAAAAAAATGTGAAAAAATAAATTTAAATAAAAAAATTTCAAGATTTTTCGGGCTGAATACACACCTGTTATTCGAGCGTTATTCGTCAAATTATTCAGAGTATGTATTCACTTTTACTTTTGCTTTATTACTCCACGAGAGCACTATTCATTTAAATTAATTTAAAATCAATCAAATAGATTTTGTTTTGAATAGAAAAGAAAGTAGAAAATGAGACTAAATAGTATACAAAAAATAGTTAAAAAAATAAAACAAAAAAACTTTAAACTATCACCTTCTACTTGGGACATTCTGTATACGAATTGCCCATTCAAAAAACCCCAAAAAATCACCTTATATTCCGAACACCCCTTTAGAAAATTCCCATTTAATTTGGACCACCCCGTACATATAAATTCCATATCCTCCTCGCAGCCACCTACGACCAAAATCAAGAACATACTCATCCTTTTACTCTCATTTTTCGGTTGCGCAACAACGAAAACTTGCGGAACATTCAAGAACAAACATTTTATAAAACATTTCGCATCGCCGACTAGTCGTTATTACATTGTTTTTACCTCGCCAACTGAGATATTCACAAATAGATTATTTATTGTAACATCATCAAGTATGTAATTCAAGGATAGTTCGATGCTGGAGATGAAACAATCTCTTTAAATATCGAGTCGGCGGCCGTTTATATCTTGTTATTTATTATATTCTTATTATTATTGTTATTATTTTTATTCCTGTTATTTCTATGGCTTTTGCTGTATAGGGTGTGCTAAATTTTCATCGGTTTTTAGTTAATTTTTTTAATAATTTTACCAATTTTTTTCACTATTCTTCTCTATCCCCCTTTTTACACTCTTTTTCTTTAAACTTCTATTTCTGTTTAATTAATCATTAAACCATTATATCTATTTTAATTAACAAAACCACGGCATTCTGCGTTTTTTTTTTCAGCAACAAAATTCACACCAAAATTACACATAATTATTACACCACATACAAATCATTCGAAATGAAAGCAAAATGAAAATCCCCCTTCTTTTTCTTCTCCTTATTCTTCTTCCCTCTTCCTCCCACACGCGGAGATTCCTCTATAAAAGTCTTCAGATTCACTTGCACAGCATCCTATTCAAATAACGTTATTACACTGTCTTTTCCAAGGGTATCTAGATAAATATTCGTATATAAATTATTTTCTGGTTAAGAGTGCCATTGTTTTTCCATAGTGTACTTGATGATTGCGAATTGTGAATAAAGTGTGAATATAAACTGTATTGTTTCCAAGGGGCACTGGATGGTAAATTGTGAATGAACTGTGAATGAATCGTGAATGATGAGCTTTAAGGTAGGATATTGATTATTATTATTTATTAGCGAAATTATGAAAAAATTACTAAAAATTATGGAAAACATCTTTTAAAAATCTCAAAAAATCCCCAAAAAAATGTAACGCCAATTCCTTTAAGAAAAATTAAGAAAACCCCTTTGCGCCGCCACTGTTCTTACATAACGAAAACCCCAAAAAATCTCAGATTTTATTGAAAAAATAGTCAAAATGAAACAAGCGACTAACGAAAACTTAAATAACTAAAAAATGGTTAAAAAATAATGATAAAATCCCTTAAAAATAGGAGAAAAACAGTAAAATTTTCCAAAAAATTGACAAAAAAACATATTTTAAACATCTCAAAAATTTCTCAAAAAATGTACCAAATTCTTTCAAAACAAAATTAAAAAAACGCCATTTTGAAAAAACCCCTTTACGTCGCCACTGTTCTTACATATCGAAAACCCCAAAAATTATCAGATTTTACTGAAAAAATAGTAAAAATGAAACAAACCAAAAAACGAAATAAAAATGGTGAAAAAATAATGAAAAAGTCCCTTAAAAATTACAGAAAAACAGTAAAATTTACCAAAAAAATTACCTTTAAACAATCTCAAAAATTCCCCAAAAAAATGTACCAAATTCCTTCAAAACAAAAAATCCCGAACCCCGCCGATTTGAAAAACCCCCCTTACGCCGCCACTGTTCTTACATAACGAAAACACCAAAAACAACCGCAAGATTTCACTGAAAAATAAAAGAAAAAAAAATAAAACCATCGAAAAACGGATATATATGCAAAACAATCGCTTTGAGGTCGAAACAATCGCAATCCCAGTTCGCTTTTATTATGCACGTGCATAAAAATGCATCCGCATAAGATGCATAAAACACATATGTACATAAAACGCATATAATGCAATGCAATTTGCGCTGTCACGAAATGGAAATTATTATCGTTATTTTCTCCGCGGAATAATTAAATTTTATATGGTTGCCGTTGAAACACATATACAGGGCGTCCCAAAAAACTTTCGCAATTTGTTCTTAACTTACTCATTAATAAATTAGATTTATTATTTTAATAACGATACTTAGTTGGCCGTGGATATAAAATTTAAACCGTAACTGTCAAAAAAATAAATCGTGTCTTCACAAAACAATTAATAAGTTGGCAGTGGAAACGAAAATTAATCCTTAAAAGTCCTTATAAATCCTTAAAGAAATTATTTCATTACTCAACCTACCTGAAATTACGCGCGTATATTTAAATACAATAACAAAAAAAAAAGAGCGTCGATAAAATATTCCGCCTACTCGATTTTAATCGATTACTTAACCGAATAATTCAACGTGTATTTAACCCGCCCGGTTAATTAATGAATAATTAATAAATAAATAATTTAATAAATAAATAAATGTGACTAATCTGGCCGAGAATTTCGCGCGAGAATGTATAAACGAGTTACGTCATGCCGGTAATGCAGTTACCTGTAAATATGCAGTTATACAGGGTGGCTCAAAAAAATCACACAAAAATATTAAAACGTCAAAAAATAATCCAAATTATCAATAAATCCTTGAAAAACAAACGAGAAATATAAAAAATAACCCCTAAAAACAATTTCTTTTATTATCTATGTATATCTACAGAAGAGATTGTTATAGGAAAAAAAAGGAACGGTTAAATCAAAGACGCTCATGGAAAAACCTTAACCTATTAGGTTAAATAACGTTTCGGTCACGAATTGTTCGAACTCTCTGTATATCCGGTTGCAACATAACCATAATAAATACCTTAGATTGATTTGAACTTTTGCTCGAAGAGAAAAAGGGATTGTTGGGGGGGTTTTAAGGACTTTCCAAGGATTTTTTTATTCTCATTAAACAGTTATTTTTAAAATCAATTACATTCAGTTTTTGGGGTTATTTTTACAGAATTTTTTCGTTCGTTTTAAAGTATTTTTGGGTTTATTTTTGGGTGGTTTTAATAGATATTTTCGTGGTTAATTTTAAATAATTTTTAAATTTATTAATTGTAATTATCTCCGATGATACGCCGCTGATTGCTCGTCCGATTTGCAACGGTAACTGCGATATTTCTCAAGCGAGAGAACGCGACGTTCTTTTGTTCGCCATTCTTTTACACTTGACCTACTAGATCTCCATGCGATTTATTTTATGGCGTTAATAGTGCATGTTGTGGTAGTGGGAAAAATCCTGCGGAAAATTTTCCGAAAAATTTTCGCGAAAATACAAATAAAAAAAATCTCCTCAAACTCCTCGAAAATTAGCGTGTGATACAAGGCGAAAAGTTTCCTAATTCCTAATTAACTATGTAATTAGCTAATTAACAATTAATTAGTATATCATTTTTTTTATTTTTGCTTTTTTAGATAACCATCGAAATTGCACAAAATTCTCACAATTCGTAATTTATCAATTTTCGTACGAAATTCTTTTAGTAATCATTACGAGGTTTTAATTAATTTTCGACTAATTAGTTTTGTGTGTAATTTGAAAAAAAAATCAAATTACATAAGAAATTGATTTTTTTCTCCACAGCACGCTCATCTTTTTATATGCCTACGATATATTCAAGTCAACTGTCATTTGTCATAAATAAAACTCCTGTATAAAAACTATAGATGTTTATCTAAACATATACAATTAAATAATCTCTTGAGAATCCATCGAATTAGGAAGAGATTATTAATCGACGGAAAAAAATCCCTCTTGAACGTTCGTAATTAGCCAATTACGCGTAAATACGTTATAATGATAATTAAAAAGTCGAATTGGCGAGCCCGAAAGGTCGAGAAGGCCGTGGAAGGCTCGTCAAAGGTCGCGCGGGTAATTAGTAATTACTTAACGATTTTAACGAAATCGATTCGATTATTCGATTGGATAACGGCGATTTCTCGAAATCGATTTAAAAGCGCGCAATATAAGGAAAACGAAACGGGTTTAATTAAATTAGAAAATCCTCTTCGGCTATTATGCGAGCGAATTGCGCGAAAGTTACGTTATACGGCAAAATAAGCCTGCTACGTTTAAAGACGATTTAAAAACGATTTATTCGCGTAGAAATTGGTACTTAGGAGGCTGTGAATGAGACACGATGGCGACAAAGAGACGAGATTACTTAAAGACGAAGAAAAAAAATAACAGAGACGATTTGTTAACAATTTGTTTACGTAAATCGACAAATAAGTAAACATTTCGAGTGAGTTAATTGCATCGAATCTTCCGAAATAGCAAAGCACTCTAGAAGGGGAGAACATTTTAACTAAATACATTTGTCATTTGTCAAAACTAACAAAAATGTTTCAACTGTCAAAACTGTAAGAAATGTCTAGTATTTAATTGTCAAATTTCAGATCAAGGCGGTGTTGTGCTGCCTAATAGCCGCGTCACAGGCGGCCATAGGCCCAGGACAAAACGCCTATTTGCCGCCCAAAGAAGGCTATGACTATCCCAAACCGCCTACTCCGTTTACCACGAGACCGACCTACAGACCCCCGTCGCCAGGTAACCAGCTCCCCCGAAAACCTAAGCCAATTCCCTAAACCTAACTCATAATTTGTTTTAGGTCCACCGAAACCTACGCCTACCTACGGACCGCCCGTAGGACCGCCTAGACCACCGGGACCGCCTAGCCCGCCTAGGCCGGCTCCTCCGCCGACCTTTAGACCGCCTAAGCCTACTTTTGGACCGCCTGCGCCTACTTATGGACCACCGAAACCTACTTTTGGACCACCAGCGCCTACGTACGGACCGCCTGCACCTACTTACGGACCGCCGGCACCCAGACCACCCGGTCCGAGACCTCCTGGTCCGAGACCTCCTGGTCCCATCGAGCCTGGGAAGCCTATTCCTGGAAACGGAGAAGTAGGCTACTAATGGGACGAATTTAATAGACTGATACCGGCTTTTTTCTCGTGTTTTCCAGAACGACCATCTTCTGTTGCCGCACAAACCTGCGGAGCCTTTTAAGTTCAACTACGAGGTGAAGGAGCCAGCGTACGGAAACGAGTATTCCCATAACGCGATTAATGATGGAGACGAAACGAACGGGGTGTACCGGGTCCAATTGCCCGACGGTAGGACCCAGGTGGTCCAATACAAGGCCAATTGGGCCACCGGATTCCACGCTAAGGTACGGCTAGTAAGGCTGTTAAAGCTACTTTTTCTGGAAAATTGTGGATAGTAGAATAACAGCTGGTTTTCGGGATTGTAGATAAGTTACGAAGGCTCGCCTACGTATCCTCAAGGACCAAGTGGAAGACCTGGACCTGGACCTGGTTATCCCAGCGGAAGACCTTCTCCTGGACCTAGCCCCGGACCTGGACCGACTCCCGGATATCCCAGTGGAAGACCCGCTCCGGGGCCTGGTTATCCGAGCGGCAGACCTTCTCTTCCTGGTCCTGGACCTGGTTACCCAAGCGGCAGACCTTCTCCTAGTCCAGGTTTTCCTAGCGGCAGGCCTTCTTTCCCAAGTCCAGCTCCTAGTCCAGGACCTGGTTACCCAAGCGGTAGACCTTCTTACCCAAGTCCTGCGCCTAGTCCAGGACCTGGTTACCCAAGCGGCAGACCTTCTCCTAGTCCAGGTTATCCTAGCGGCAGGCCTTCTTTCCCAAGTCCAGCTCCTAGTCCAGGACCTGGTTATCCAAGCGGTAGACCTTCTTACCCAAGTCCTGCGCCTAGTCCAGGACCTGGTTATCCAAGTGGCAGACCTTCTTTTCCAAGTCCAGCTCCTAGTCCAGGACCTGGTTATCCAAGCGGCAGACCTTCTTTTCCAAGTCCTGCGCCTAGTCCAGGACCTGGTTATCCAAGTGGCAGACCTTCTTTTCCAAGTCCAGCTCCTAGTCCAGGACCTGGTTATCCTAGTGGAAGACCTTCTTTCCCAAGTCCAGCTCCTAGTCCAGGACCTGGTTATCCCAGCGGCAGACCTTCTTACCCCAGTCCTGCTCCTAGTCCAGGACCTGGTTATCCAAGCGGTAAGCCTTCCTTCCCAAGGCCCGGACCTAGTCCAGGTTATCCCAGTGGTAGACCATCATTTCCCAGTCCTGCGCCTGGACCGAGACCTGGTTATCCAAGCGGTAAACCGTCTTTCCCCAGCCCCGGACCGACTCCTGGATACCCCAGCGGTAGACCTTCTTTTCCAGGACCCAGCCCGACGCCAGGTATGACGTACATCTTGAATTTGTATGCTAACTGACCTCGGTGAACGTGTGTTTTAGGTTATCCCAGCGGTAGACCTTCATATCCAGCTTCTGGAAAGCCTGGACCGGCGTATTTGCCACCTGACAAGGGTCAAAAATACGCACCGGACGGCGGATACGCGTACTAGTTGAAATTTCTGGAAAATGTTATCCAGTGAACTGGATAGTACAGGCAAAAATCGGTCGAGCCGGTTTAAGCTTTTCACCCTGTAGTTTCCTCCATGTTTTCCAATTAAATAGCGCATTTGAAGTTGAAGACGACATTTTTTCTACGACTATCAAGTAAAGAGCGAAAAAACAATTTTCGTTTCCTAATAAAATTTACTTTACAAAATACTATTTATGATTTTATGTTAAATAATTTAAATAAAGTATAAATTTATTTTTTTAATTAAAACATTTTAAATATGAATATTTTATAAATGTTAATTGTAAATTACCATTTTAAGTTATTGTAAATAAAGTTGTATATTTGAAATCTCAATTTTCTGGTTTTAGTAATATCTAGGGATTTTCTCACATTCTAGTAATATCACTAAATCTAGGGACTTCTGTTGTTTTAGTAATATCACCAGACTTAGTCATAAATGACTGCATAAAACTACCAAGACCACTAAATTTAAAAAAAGAAGAATCGAGATGTAATTGTCAACATTACGTCACTTGTCGTTTAACCTAAAAGTCGAAAAAAGGAATATTTATCAAATTGAATTGTTTTTCAGACTGAAATTCCGCACAACACCAATTTCCACCCGTTAAAAATAATGCACAGCTAAACGTTATCACTTATCAGCAAATAACCAACAAGAAAATGTCCCTAACAAACGCGAACATCGTCACAGAAAACGGTAAACAAATCGCGCAGCGCCCGATGTTTCGTAAATAATTCACGATTTCCGCAGGCGAGCAATTCATACCGGCCTCCCAACGGCCGGACGGCACGTGGAGGAAAGCCCGAAGGGTCAAAGAAGGCTACGTGCCCCAAGAGGAGGTCCCGTTGTACGAAAGCAAAGGCAAGCAGATTTTGAACAGGAAACACGACCCCGTAGTGCTATCGACCGGACAAGTCGCCAAGAAATCCCCCATACCCGGACTGTACATCGTCGACGTCGATCCGGACAAAAAGAAGGCCCCCAAGAAAAGTATATTTACACTATTCGAATCGTTCGTTTTAATCGAATTAATTTGCTTTCGTAGAAACAGAAGATTTGGATAAATCGTTATCCGATTTAAAACTCGCCGATGGGCCGAAACAGAAGGGCCCCAAGAAGGCGGATAAGGAGGTTCCCGAAGCCTCGGATCCCCAGAAGAAGCTGAAGAACTTGAAAAAGCGCCTTCGAGAGGTCGAAGCCTTAGAGGAGAAAATCAAAAGCGGCGCTGTGGCTAAACCGGAGCCCGAGCAACTCGCTAAAGTCAAAAGGAAAAACGACCTCATTCTCCAGATACACGATTTGGAGAAACTTCTTCAATAGCCTAATCGGTTATCCAATTAATTTCTCTTTTTTTTTATCAATTACTGACGTTTTAATTCCTATTACAAACTTTGCATCGAAGTTCTGTTTATACATTTCAAGTTCAATAATCGATTATTTAATTGAAGACAAGTAATTAGTAGGTGTTAAAGAACAAACAACTCGCCGTATATTCAATAAATTAATGTTCGTGTAATTGCAATAAAGTAACTCGATCGAAAATTAAATAAGTTACGGTTTATAAACTAAATACTGTAAACAGCTATCACAATTATGAGCTAGTGCGATTTACTTTTATGTTTTTTTTTGCTTCAATTAAATTTAGTTAAATTCAGCACCATTACCGATATTTTTTATACTCCGTTCGCCATCAGGAGATGAAATTTTAAAAACTTTTTACCATTAATTGTAACGTCTTTTTTAGCCGTCTTTTTTAGTCTTTTTTGTGCCGTTTTTAGCGCCACTCTCTATACAGGGTGTATAAAAATAGTCAAATCCCCGAAAACAGTGCATAATCATGCTTCAGGGATCTTAAATAGATACTAAAAATCTCCTGATTTCGAACAGAGTATAGTCTCTAAGTTAAAAATTCCAAATAGCCCTAACATTGGAGTCAACCCAATAAAAAATTAATTATAATAGGCGCTACACGAGCGGCATCTGTTAGATGTACGTGATGCGTACCTTCGACTAAATGCCTTTCGAGCTTCTCCGCAGACTCTTCGATTTTATCCAAAATCAAATCGTAATATTCCGGATTATCCAATCGCAGCGTCTTGTCAGCTTTGATATTCAACACTTCGCATGTAATCCTACTAGCGAACTCCATCGCCTGATCCAACGTAAAGAACCCCAACGCGGCCAGTTTCAATCGAGGATCCCTCGTAAACATAAAACAACCTTCCTTGTAAGCGGGTTTCATGCCCCTGCGGAGCAACACCTCGCAACCGGCCCTGTCCACCGACCCCTTGTGGGCCTCCTCCATTATATCCACCATGTCCTCGTAGGTGTAATAAGGCGTCATGTCGGCCGTTTTCGCTTCGTAATCGAAGAACCGATCGATCGCCGGTCCTATGGAGGCTATTTGTTTCTGGGGGCTCCTCACGCTGGGCGATGCTATGTCGATGCTGACGTATTTGGAGACCTCCTCCGGGTAGATCGAGGCGTATAGGAAGGATATCCCGCCGCCCAGCGAGTGCCCGATCAAGGTGACGTCCTTCCAGCCGAAGTGCCTGACGATCCTGCGAAGGAAGTGGACGCCGTCCCACCATAGGTAATATTCCACCCCCGGGGGCAGGTGCGAGGAGAACCCGTGCCCGGGGAGGTCTACGCAGAGGAACGAGACGCCTTTCTGCGCCAGCAGGGGGGCTAGGTTGTCGAAGGTGCTGCTGTTGTCCTGCCAACCGTGGATTCCGATGACCGGTTGACGCGACCGGTCGCCCCACCATTTACCTGCAATGTGGTTGGAATATGACGTTTTGTTTGGTTGAAATCGTTGGGGGTGCTTACCGCTTATGTGGCCCCACGGGACGGGTATTTTGGTTTCTTCGAAGTAGTTCGAAGCGCCTGGAACGTGAGGATTTCGAATGAAATTCTAATGCAAATATTTTCTCGAAAGGTTCTTTGAAAACTCGTTGATCATTTTGATTGGTTACAATGATAGAATGATTCGTTATCAGGATGAATGTAATCACTATCTAACTAAATGTTCCTATAATAAATTTGAATATAAACCAATAGACAATTCGAATCAATTACAACAAGAGTTCAATAACTTATGTATGAATTATACATAAAATTACTATTTTAATAAATAAAATTTACCTTCATGACCGTTTTGTAATGTTACTTTGGACATTTTATTATCGATTTCAACGCACAAATTACTTTATCAATAATCGATATTAGCTATCACGCCATTCGCAGTTCGAATGAATTAAAATTACACTAGACTAGACCTTGCATTGTGTTGAAAAAACTTTACACGTTACGGTGTAATGTATTTAGTGGATTGTTACGAAAATTACATCATGCGTCAAATGAAACAGTGGCGTAACAAATAAGTTTTTAATAGGTACAAATGTATTTAAATAAGATTAGTTGGTCTATTTTCTTCCGGCGTAATGGTGGCCGACGTGATGTCGAACGCCCCATTTGAAATTGGCGTGCTTGTCTGTCTTGACGAACGTGTGAACGGGTCCTGTTACTCCGTGTCCGTGGTCCCTTTTTCCCCTCCTGAACGACGCCAGTGCGTCACCTATGGAACGTCATAAATTAGCAACGTCAGTCAATGAATGACAGATTGTATTTTATGTTGGTGATATTTTTTTTTGAGCAATTTGTGTTGGCAACAACTGCTGAATTTTATAATGAAATAAAATATAATAAAATTACCTTTTACCGGTCCTGCGTTTGATATAGTAATTAGCGCGAAAAAAATTAATATACATTTGATCTGCAAAAAATTACCAGGATTAGATTAGTCGTTTTAGTTGAAATGTAAATTGGTAATTAATATAGAAATAAATATGATAATGTGTACTTACGAAATACATTTTCGAACCGGTTATTCGACGAAACACTGAAATAATTCATTTCAAGTTCCCTTTTATACCAAATTCATTTAATGAAAATGTTCGTTTATGCGGAAAAATGATTACTTTCTTCCGTTTCATTAATTTTTTATTTGGAGAAAGCGATGACAAAAGAGAGTAATTCAAACGAAAAACCACGGACACTTTTTTGATTAAATGTCAAATAAGTGGCCTTTTTCCACTCGAACAAGTCGCAAACAATTCTTCTTTTTTTCTTCAATTTTATTGTTTACAATTTAGGTTAGGTTTACATGAAATTTCTTCCAAATAGAATGTGTTTACTTCTGTTAGAAAAATAACAACATGCCACCAAATAAAGTTAAACTATACAAAAACAAGAAACCTTCGACCTCTCAACAAAATGTTCCACAGGAAAACGCACATTCAGACGCTCCGGAGGCCTCAAATCAAGAGCAGTTCGAAATTGAATTATATTGGTGTATTCATCAACTTCAGAAAGCACTAAGCTTGGGGAAATTGAATAACAAACAAGGTTTATTTACGAGATAGTCGGTTGAATTGATTATTACATTCTGCTCTTATTTCTTCCAGTTCAAGACCACACGAAAGCCTTAAATGTTTTAATGAGCAATACTGCACCGGTAATCAAAAAAAGGCAAGTAATGAGGCTGTCGTTCGGAGACTACAGGGAAAAGATGGCAGCAGAGGAGAAGAAAGCGTCAAAAAGTAAGTAGAAATACCGTTGTAATTTCATTAAAGAAATAACGAATAAATTCTACAGATGCTGCAAAAATGAACATGAAATCGGCCGTGGCTAATAAGAAAACTGTCTTTTTAAAAAAAAGCTTATTTACTTCATCGGTTGACAACGATTTCAAATTTGATTTCAATATCGAAGAAAAAATGGAAGATATTGCTGTGACAGACACTCCGAAATCTACTAACAAAGTTAACTTTACAAAATCTGACAATACATTTATGTTCAATTTTCAAACGGATAACGATACCTAATTGCATTCGTATATTTATGTACAAATTTGTGAAAAAAACGAATTCACATAAGTTAGTAAAATATATTAAAAAAAACGGAATTATTTATTTGATATAAACTGAATCTTTCTGCTTAACCTATTCGTAATGTAAGCCGGATAATATAAATTCAGAACCATCTTCGCTTCTCTTATCATATGCTCCACATTCTGAAGGAAAGCCCTGCAAAACACAAACGAGTAAAAATCATAATTTTCCAAACACCGTTAACTCACTTTAAATTCGTGCAATTTTTCGGATTCCCGTTTTGCAGACAATGCAAAATCGCCAGGGCAGCTTCGTACAGTTTCGTTCCAATACCTCTAGAGTTCTGGCCTCGTCTCGCCTTCTCGTTTTCCAGCCACAGTTGGAAATATTTAAACATGTTTTCCGCATCACCTAAAATCCAATATCGAAACATTTCGCATTTAAATTACGATGGTAGGATGAAAAGTTCCCGGCCTCAATCATTTAGAACTGTCTAGAAACATTTAAAACGCCCCAGAATCATATAGAACTGTCTCGAACTAAATACTGTATGAGAATAATGTAATTTTTCAATTCTTTCATTATCATGCCGAGAACTTTTCACCTTGCCCTTGTAGTAATCATCCTACCTGATTCAACGTGATAACTGTAGAGGCGATAGTACACTTCTTCGAAATCTCGATGGTGCTTGTAGAGGATTTTTTCCCTTATTTTCAAGCACTTTATTAACAACTCTAATCTATTCCCTTCGTCGTCTACAAAAAACGAATTTTACATATCTATAACATGCTGTAAATGGCGACTTACTTTGCAGGTATTTTTGAGCGTCGCCGTTTATTTTCCTAAAGGGTATCAGAGAATATTTATAGCCGCATTTAATGCAAAAGCTCAAATTGGCGTTTTGCAATTCGGGTATGCAACCTTCGCATTTCGGACACAAATAGCTATCCAGCATTTCCTAAAAACAAATCGTCATTATTATTAAAAAAATACTCTCGAAACGATTAACTTACCACTTCCTGCGCGGGATCGCTGCAAATCACGCACTTGCATTCGAAATGGTACAATCCCTTACAAGCTATTTGCCTCTGCTCTCTGTTCATCCCGCGGTAATCGATACCGTAGCAATTCAGTATCTCCTCTTGCTCTTGTATATCTTCCAGCGCTTTCACAACAATCGTATCACAGATAAAACTGAAATCGACCATTACATTATACCCTACATCGACGAATTCCGAGCCAAAACACTTACAAATTCGTCACGTTCGGCCGACAGGAGTGGTTCATCATGCTAACGGATGGGAACATTCCGCATGCGATCGTTATGAGAATGTCCGGGAACAGCAGATCCGTCGACGAGTAGGTCCAATGCTCGATGATGCTGGAATTGCACGACAACTGGGCGATGTGCTTCGTAATGAGGCCCCCGATGTACTCCTCCAATTCGCTCGGATCGTTCCTCGGACAGGTCGTCTCTTTGATGTACCACGAGAAGAACTCCGTGTACTTTTTCAAGTAGGCCACCACGACAGTAGCCAGCTGAAATCGCATCGTAAACAACACGTCGAATGGCAATAAATAATTCGAGTACCAGTATGTAAGGTGCTGCGTTTTTGAGCTTGTAAATGTTCGATACCAGTCGATTGAAGTAGGGATAGTTGTCGGTTTTGTCGCCGAATTTCTTCAGGTCCGCCTCGTAGTCGCCTTTGACGATTTTGAAGCCCGTCTTGGCCCCTTTCAATACGGCTTTGAAGGCGGGAAAGGCGATGCCCAGATCGTACCAAATGTTGGCTTTCATTCCCTCGCATTCCCATCGATGGCATTCGTTCCACGACGTTAACCTGCATTTCTCGTTGCAATATACGCACAGCGTACAACTGGCACATCTGCAACGAAGCGATTAATATCTTGCAAATTACATTTCGCAGTAGTACTTACGGAACACTGCTAATGATATCTTTTAAACAACTATAGCATTTGAACGAGTAGATTTCCTTGTTTTCTTTGAAGACCGGAGCGAAGATGAAGGCTTTCTCGATGAACAGAACTTCGCCTTTTTTAATGGGATTAGTGGCGACTACGTGCCTTCCTTTCGACTTATCGTAACTGCAAATGAGTGAATTTATTTTAAAGTGTTTATACGAATCGATTTGGTACAGACCTCATTTTGATTTTCGAAGAGGCGAACGCGAAATTGCCATTCTCGCCCTCCGGGAAATCCGGAAAGTCGGAAAAGTTGTCCCTTTGCACCTCCACAGCTTTGTTTTTAATCTTGGCTTTCTTTATTTGTTTCAATTTCTCCATATGCTTGTCTGGAAAGTATTCGATTAGCCGATTGTATTTATACATTTATCGTTCTACCTCTATCGTGTACTAGCGTAATGGAAAGGAATCTCTGGATTTCGTTTATGCACTTTTCGAAATTCTCCGTTTGGCCGGTCTCGAAGAAGCAGTCCGCTTTCCTGAAGTATATCTTCGGTTTAAGATCTACAGGGTAGTAAGTGTTGAAGCACAAATCGATGTCTTTCAGGCAGTTCTACGAGTGAAATAAAACGGTAAATAAACGCAATTTCGCGTGCAGAACGCGACGAACCTCGTATTCTTTCATTTCGAACGAAACCGCCGATCTGTTGGCCAAGGCCAGGCCGTATTCTTTGCTGCCCGGCGTGGCCGTGCACAAGCTCTTCGTGTAGAACTCCAGGCTCTTGAGCAGGTTCTTTTGCGCGTAGCACTTGTTCCCCTCCTTCCGGTAGTAGAGAGACAATCGATCGTCCTTAACTATCTTGTCTTTGAACTGGTTCTCCAGCCAGGAATCGACGGGCGATCTAAAAATAAACTCGTTTATGCGGGGCGCACTTCGCCTGCAGGCGCTCCTTACAAATCGAGATTGTAGAATTTCGAGAACATCTCGAAGATGTTGCCGTCCAGGTTGGCGAACTTTTCGTTGTAGAACGCCAGGAGGCACTCCATTATTCGCGATTGTTGTCCACAGAGTACACGGGAATGAGTAATGTCCTAGACGCGCTTCTTTAGCTCGGCGGCAAGGACTTAATCGAATGCACCGAATGAATCATCAATAACATACTTTGTGCGACTTTAACGTAATGAAACGCTCGTTTTATTCAAACAAACTTGGGCTAAATAATTAATTGGATCATCTAGGTTAGACAGCGTTGACAAATGACAATTGCGAGTGACATCTAATGTCAATGTCAAATATTAAACGAACTACTTCTTAGAGATGGCCGATACTGGTATTACGTAACGGTTACTAAAAAAAAAACGAGTTACCAAGTAATAATTTAATTTAAAATAAACTCTATATAATAAGGTAATAATAATCGACTTGTTACTAATTATAATAAGCTAAATAGTTTGTACGTCACTCCACATACTGCCGCTATCGGTTTTTTCGTTCGTAATATCAAAACTGACATTTGCGCAATTGTTTAGCCTACAACTTTGCAGGAACACAGCCATCGAACGGTAGTACCCTTGCAATTGCCAGGTTTCGTTGTGCGTTCCGGCCGGCACTTGAACGAGTTGCTTCCTGATGCTCTTGCATCGATTGTGCAATTCCTGCATCATCCTCGGAGGCACCAGCGTATCCGCCATTCCCGATACGAACAACGTCGGAACACGGAGATCTTTCACTTTTTGATATGATAAGTACTGAAAGCGAAACGAGAGTTGGAAACGTGAAGAATATAAGTATTATGTTGATTTACTTTGTTTTTGTAGAAAAATACTGGAAAATACTGCAACATTCTCCATCCTAATAGTACTTTAGCCATATCGGGGATGCTAGTAAAGGTATTTTCTACTATCAAGCAAAATATTTTCCCTACGTACTCTTCTCTTGCTGCTAGATCAATGGCTACTGCACCACCTGCAACATGATATAATTAGCAATTAAAGTAACAATTAGCAATTAATTTACCTAGCGATCGTCCGAATACTATTATTTCTAAATGATTAATATCGTTTCTAGTTAGTAAATAATCCATGCTGGCTTTAGCATCCAAATACAGCCCTTCTTCGGACGGAATCCCTTCTGACAGGCCGTAGCCTCTATACTCCACTAAAAGTATGTTACAGTACAAATTGTGGTATAGGCCTACGCAGTTTTGCAATCGGTGTCCGACGTTGCCAGCGTTTCCGTGAAAAAACATCACGGTAGGCGAGTTTTTCCGTTTATCTTTGGGCTGGTATATGAAGTAGGCGTGAATTTGTATTCCGTCCGATGTTTTGATCATCACGCTTTCGTAAGGCAGATTGAACGAGGATGGTATCGGTACGTAAACTCTCGAATGCGTAGGGAGTTCGGAATTATACACTAAGTTGTCTTGGACTTGGTACAAAATACCTGGAAATATTACGAACTAAAGTATATAAATGTTACATATCGATATCTCTACTCACCTGTTAGAGCGAATAATAATAATATCATGGCGAGCACGCTTCCGTATAAATAATATACTAAAAAGCAGAATACTAAGACCAGGCCAGAATATGCCCATACTCTTAAAATCATCGTAAACAAAACCGTTGCGACTTTGCTAAAGGGCACGAAATCTCCCATTGTAGCTGGTAGTATTTTAGTGATATGGCGGAATTTAATTTTCAGCTTACTTCTACATATTAAAGTAAATATAATTGCTTATGAAAATGCATGTTTTAGGAATCATTTGTATTGTATCACGAACCTTTAAAAAATAAACAAGTCAAATTGACAGTAATGACGTAAGACATTGACACTTCTTCTCATTTCTATAGTAACATTTTATAAATAGTATTTAGGTACTCAAAATAATGACTGAATGAACGTTTAAGTTAAGATCAAATATTTGACATTGACACATTTATGTAGAGGGTAACAAGTGTTTTTGAATTTTGTTTTGTAGTTTTAATACTTAATTAATTGCTCGCAATTATTATGCAATAATTAACAAGCAACCATTACATTATAATTATCTATTTTATTTAACATGAGTACCCATTTTGCTGACGTATATTTAAATTCAAACTTTCGCCATCTCATATAGGTTAGTAGGTTTAACTTTTTCGTATTCAAAGCACTGCAATGAATTTTACATGTTAGTAGAACCAAATTAGGGATTTGTAATTTATTTGCAGGATATGCCTTCTTAAATCGACAATCAGTACCTTCCGATTATGCCTAACTTTACAAGAGGACTTTTGAATTGGACCGTAAAGACCAAAACATTGATAAAATGCGCAGGAATAGGTGGAGGTGTCGCAGCCGTTGCAGCTTCGCCGGCCATTTCAACTAATCCCATTCAAATTCAAGATACTGCGATCGTTAATAAGGCCAATGGGGTATTACGCTTCATTAGGTACGAATAAATAACATTCGAGAGATACCATCGAACAATGCAAACCGTTAATATTTTCAGATCGTTAAAAATCGGTTTGTGGATATCGTTAGATTATTATTTCTCAATGGCCGGCCTGGACGAGTCATCGAGCAACAGCAAAATCATGAAGAGCAGGATCCACCAGAGGTCCGCCGAGCGGATCCTCAACGGTTGCCTGAGCAACGGCGGTTGTTACATCAAATTAGGCCAGGGTTTGGTGTCGATGGGGCACATCCTGCCCGCCGAATACGTGGAAACCCTCAAGGTGTTGCAAGACAGGTGCCTGACGCGCGAAAGCGGCGAGTTGGACGAGATATTCACGGAGGATTTCGGCAAGAAACCGGAGGAATTGTTCAAGACGTTCGACAAACAACCGATCGCTGCGGCCAGCATTGCTCAGGTACAAACCATTCAGCTCGTAGAGCTTTTAATTCGAACGAAACCGTAGGTTTACAAAGCGACGACCGAGGACGATAAAGACGTGGCGGTTAAAGTGCAATACATAGATTTACAACAGCGATTCCAACACGACGTGATAACTGTAAAAACGTTATTAAAAATCGCCGGCGTATTGCACCCCAACTACGACTTCTCCTGGATGATAGACGATCTGGAGAACACGCTTCGACAAGAACTGGACTTTGTAAACGAAGGGAGAAACAGCGAAAGATGCTCCGAAGATCTAAAACACTTATCCTACATCTACGTGCCGAAAGTCTATTGGAATTACACTAATTCGGTAAGATTTAATCGAGTCTCGCGCGCGTCGAATTCATCCTAACATTTCCAGAGGATTCTCGTCACAGAGTTCATCGACGGGCGCAGGATCAGCGACGTGGAGCAGTTAAAAACCGATAAAATTTCTCTAGCCGACTTGAATAAGAAGCTGTTCGAGGCTTTCGGCCATCAGATATTCCAGACGGGTTTCGTGCACGCCGATCCCCATCCGGGAAATGGTTCGTATACCATCCAGGTCTATCATCCAGGACAGCGCATTTATAACTAATTTACTGTTATAGTTTTAGTGAGGAAAATCAAGGGAGACGCGCAATTGGTGTTGTTAGATCACGGTTTGTACCAACAGGTATCTCCGGACGAAAGAAGATCGCTTAGTTGTATGTGGAACGCCATCGTGCTCAACGATCACGACGGCATGAAGAGATATTCCAAAGAACTGGGAGTGGAAAGTAAACGCGTAAAATCTACTCGTGCGATCTTTAGAGCGCCATTTTGCTTGTAGATTACGAGTTATTCGCCGAAATACTAACGCAATCCCCGTTGAAGGCGCAAGGGTTCAAGCTTCGAGCCCGGCTCACCGACGAGGATTTGCGACAGATGACGGAATACGCCAAGCACCGGTTCGACAGCGTCATGGTTTGTCTGAAGGAAATGCCCAGTTCGTTGCTGTTGGTGTTGAGGTAAATTGCCATTTTATAAGCCTACGATAATTGCCGATTGTTGTACTGTTTGCAGGAATTTAAATACGATTCGCGCTATAGCACACCATCACGGGAATCCCATAGACAGGTATAGCGTATTGGCCAGAACGGCCACAAAATCGATTTATTATGAACAGTCTAAGTTAACGAAGAGATTGATTAACGTGCCGAAGAAGGTGTATTTCGAAATTATGTTGCAGTAAGTATGATTAGTTAGAAATATGGGGGTTTGTTAAAAAGGAATCGTCTCTGCAGATTACAACGGATTAATAGATGGTTTTGGGGAATGTCTGTGAGAATTTTGCACAAATTGGGCCTGATGCCGGACGTCGAGGCCATGACGAACGATTTCAAACAGATGCAACTATAAGAAATTTATTTATTTTTTAATTTACCATTAGATGAATTTAACTTGCGGTGTTTTTTCTTCTTTTTTAACAATTTCTCCTCTTCTTCGTCCGGATCCAAACCCTCCAATATCCATTTTTTTCGTTTGTTGATTAAACGTTTTTCGTAGAAATCGCCCTCGTCTAGTTTGAGATACGCCTCGCTTTTCGTTACCGAAACTTGCGTGTAAATTTTCCCCACTTCAGCATCTACAAAAAAACCTTTAAATATACAAACTAAACTCACCAAACCAAATCCTTACCATCCACTTTTAACTCTACTAATTCAGTATTTATATGTTCCTCGATAGCTTTCAACAACGCAACATCATAAGGAGTGACTAACGTAACAGCTTTACCCGTTCTACCAGCTCTCGCCGTTCTACCGACTCTATGCACATACTCTTTAGGCACTTTCGGTATCGAATGGTTTACAACTAGCTGTACGGCCGGTATATCGAGACCTCTGCTGGCCACGTCTGTAGCTATTAGAATTTTAACAGTGTTACTTTTGAACTTCGCCAGGGCGGCCAGTCGTTGTTGTTGCGGAATCATGGCGTGGAGCGCGACGTTCTCGAAGCCCACATCGTTCAAAGTCATCGATAACACTTGGCAATTCCTACAAACCGATATTGTACATTTAAATATACGCGGGTGTTGTCGAGGAACTTACTTGCAGGTATCGGTGAATATCATCACGTTTCCCGAAGCGTTGGTGCCGATAAATTCTCGAATGATTTGGGCGAGGTAGGCGTCTTTAACGTCTTTGGGACACAGCACGTAGTACTGTTTTAATTGTTCTACAGTAGCAGCGTCGGAGATAGAAGGGGCTTCGTAATGGTAGAAATCCTTATTGCTGATGCCTTTCAATTTCTCCAAAGTGTCGGTGATGGTGGCGGAAAAGAACAGATTCTGTCGGTTCTTGGGTAGATTTTTGAATATCGTTTGAATCTGTTGGTCGAATTGTCCGCTGAGCAGCCGATCCGCTTCGTCTAGCACCACGAACTTTATTTTGGACAGGGTAAACGTTTTGCAACTATCTAGATGGTCCGCTAATCGTCCGGGAGTGGCTACTACTACGTGGGGTCGTTTGGATAATTGTATGCCTTGTTCTACCATGTCCATACCTGTGAACGGAATCGATTAAAGCGTCGTTATTTTGTTAATTAGAAATTTCGAACGGACCTCCGACGATTACGCAATGCCGAAGATTCATGGGCTTTCCGATGACTGCGAATTGATCGGCTATTTGATAGGCTAGTTCTCTCGTAGGGGTGAGTATTAGAGCGAAAATGCCATAAGGGTCTTCGCATAATTTTTGGATAATAGGCAAGGCGAAGGCCAAGGTTTTGCCGCTACCCGTTTTCGCAGCGCCAATGCAATCTTTACCTTCTAATATTTGCGGTATGCAATTCGATTGAATTGGTGTCGGTGATTTAACGCCTAAAAATAAAGCAGGTACGTTGTAAAGTTGGAACAATAAGCAGTTTATGTTTATACCTATTGTTGCGCATTGTCGAATAATCCAATTATTCAGTTGTAAATCGGAGAAAGTGGTTTTTTTATCCATTTTGTAACACTAAACATTCCACATGTTTTTTCAAAACAAACGTTTGACGTTGACATTGATGTTTAATTCTTCTTTTTTGTGCGATTTGTGAGACTTTTATTGATGTGAATAATCAGTTATTGGTTTATTTGACTTTGAATTGTTTTGAAATTTATGCATACGAAAAATTTATTAAATGAAAGGCATTATGTCAAAGACAACAATCGTACAATTGACAATAGAAATAATATTTATGCATAAAAAATAATAGATAAGCAATTTCACGTTAATGAACATTTTATTTGTAGGTTTTAAGAAATTTCGTTAACCGATGCGAATATTTCGGATTAGTAATATTATTTACGGGAAAATTTGCACGTAATTTCGTTCGAATTTTCAAATACCAGCGGTAAATTTAGTGGAATTGAAGTGCAACGATTTTTGACATTTAAATCCCCAAGATGGAAGCGCATGCGCGGTAACCTACAATTTTGCTGCAGCCATTTATATTGTTCACATTTTACCAAGTGTTAAACACATAAAATCAGGTAAATGCAATTATATAAGGAAAACTATCAATTATTTTAGCGGCGGCGCGTTCAAACGAATCAGGCCGAACGTTTTTAACCGTTTAATTTTGCGAAAATGGACGTGTATTCAGAAAATCAATGTGCCACCTAGTCTGTGCCTGGGGCCTTGCATTTCACGTTTCGAAAAAAAAATCACCTATATCAGATACCAACGAAATCGCACTTACGTTTACCTATCGTAGGTGTGCGATAGTAACTTATCTAGTGAATAATTCGTATCTATAAATAGTCACCACCATTTTTACGTGCTTAATAGTATTAAGTATTATCCTCACATATGCCTTCATTGTTATTATCGCATTTCCACTGTTACGTTTTGTCGTGCATCAATTAATCGGTTGATTCGTGTTTAGGATGACTGACTCGATGAATTTTGGTCCGGATTGGATACGTAACTTATCTTCCGAAGGTACAACCGGAGGAGGAGGAGCTGGAGGAACCAAGTATCAACTAGCCGATTATCGGTAAATTCCTTTATACTACTTAAATTGTTATAGATATGGTAGAATCTCGATTAACCGTACGCCCTGAAAGCTGACTGGATAACAGAAGCTGTATAGGCCAGAGAGGTTTGGTATTTTTATCAAAAATAGTACTTGTTTTAATGTATCTACTCACTGATTGAGAGATGTAGGGCTAGATCGGATAACTGAGATTCTGCTCTATTAATTGTAGTTATATGAAACGATATTTATCGTAACCGGCCTTGTATATAGAGTGAATTCGTTTTCAGATACGGCCGCGAGGAGATGCTGGCCTTGTTCGATAAAAATCTAAAACCCCCCATCTCCATATCGAACTTCAAATGCCTGTATTCGGACACCTGTCTTCAACCGTTAGCTCTATTACCAGTGACCGAGGAAGAGGTAATGTCCGATCGATTAATAACATGCAAAAAAAAAGTCGATTGACCGTTGGATTCGTTTTTTTTTTTGTAGCAAAGAGTCGGCTGGCAGGGGCGGCCGAACGCCCTGCTGGCGGGCCCGTCGCGCGGCCGCGGGGGCTCCCTGGAACGAGGCGGTCGCATCAGCAGAGGCAGGGGCTACCAGTACGGCAGGCCGGCGGGCTACGAGGCGGGCTGGGGCAACGGCGAACAGCCCGACTGGAGCCCGCGCAAAGACTACGCCAACCAGCGGACGGCGTCGGACAATTGGCGGCGCGTCCGCAGCGAGGAGGACGAGTGGCGGAACGCGGGGGCGCCCGGCCGCAGCGCCGCCCACGACAAATGGACGAGGTCGATGAGTTGGCGCGGCGACGGCGATTCGGAGGAGCGGACGGGCCCGCCGGAGAGGGGCGGACGCGCCGGCTGGGCCGACAATAGGGCGGGCGCGATGGGGCGCAAGTCTTGGGAGAACGACGATCATCTGCCCGAATGGGCTACAGAGAATCCCACCGAAGGCGGCGGGACGTTCGATGAGAAGGGGGCTTTTCACAATTCCGACGACGAACAGGTAGTTTCTGCGAGTGTGTCAATCGATTTGGATTGATTTGTGTGCTTTGTAGCCTGATGTTAAACCGGTTAAAAAGGAATCGGGTTTCCAGAAATCGGTTTCGCTACACCAAATGTCCGGTAGGAATCAGATTCAACCGCCTCCGATGCTCTCGTCGAAATCCGTGGCTTCCCTCAAATTGGATGAAACGTGTTTGCAAAAGAACGATACCCTAAACGAAGTAAGCTACATTTCGAACCTAATTATTAACTCGCTTTAATTCACCTTATTTATTTTTAAGAACGTTTCAATGGACAAAAGAGACATCGAAGATGATCAGGAGGTGACGAACGTGCGACAGCAGAAAAAGAATTCCAACATTTTTATGGACGAACGAAAGAAATCGTTGCCTAACCTAGCGGAAAAGGTCAACAAAGAAGAGATGAAATTACCCGAAGGTTTACACAAACATCACTTACCTAACGAAAAAGTAATAGTAGCGAACGGTCCTATCAATATCAGGTGAGTAAATCTAATAAATTTTCCTATTAACGAATAATTTGGATCGTTTATTAACGCAGACCGGACGAACCGGACTTTGAACGGTTGCAAGAGGAATACGTGCTGAAATTAGTAGTGGACGAAGACCTACCCAAACAAGTACCTAACAATTACGACGTCACCAATATACAACCACCACCGAATTTGGCCACGACCGCCCCCATATTAGACAAATGGTATTACCAAGATCCGCAAGTAAGCCAATCGAATCGAAAACCATACCGTACATCGATTTGATCGTTTGTTTCGCTCGTAGGGCCAAATGCAAGGCCCGTTTTCGAACGCCGAAATGGCCGAATGGTACAAGGCCGGCTACTTCAGCAACCAATTGAAGGTGCGCCGGCAATGCGACGAGCGCTTCTACCTGTTGGGCGAGCTGATCGGCATGTGCGCCGGCGCCAATCCCTTCCAATCCGGCGTCCGGTTTCCCGTGTTGAAGGGCGACAATCTGCCGAAGATCGCGCCGCCGCCGCCCGCCGAGCCGGACATGTTGCCTCTGCAGTACCTGTCCCAGATGGCGGCGTTCCAGGCGCAGGCGCAGGCCCGGCTGCTCGCCGAACCGTGGAACGTCGGCATGCCGCCGCCCGAACTCGCCGCCCAAAGACTGATGATGCAACAACAGGTATTCGAAACGGTTCGTTCGCTCGTGTTGTTGCTTAAACTGGAGCGTTTTCTTTTGTAGGTTACGCCGGATATTCAGTATTTACAACAACAGCCGGCTACTAATCCGTTGATGCACATGATTAATCAAATGCAGCAGGTAAGTTTGGACATTTGTAGACAATCGGAAATGTATTGGAGAATGTATCTTGATGTATTCGTAGGTGAACAAGCTTCCTGGTCAAGGGATCGTCGATAAGAATCCGAGCATACCGCCGGCGATGGACGCTCACATGCAATTGCACAATTTGCTCTCTATGCAGAACCGTCTGCCGGGCGCCGCCGCCGGTGTGCCCGGCGCCCTGCCGGCCGGCCTGACGAATCTACCGCCGCCCGAGGGCCTGCCCAACATACCGATTCAAAGCAATATACCGGTCAGTATTGGCGGGAACATCTCCATGCCGAGGCCGACGTCTCGCGGCTCCGAACAGATCCCGCCTAACCAAAACCCCGACCCGATTTCTAGTCTACTAAAGCAATTGCAGCAGCAGCAGCAGCAACAACAACAGCAACAGAAGCAATCGACGAATTCGCAGGTAACGCTGTTGAGCGTAGAAAAGTGTATACGTTTATTTTTCTACATTCGAGTATTGTTTTAGGTCGAAACGCTTTGGCAACAGAACTCGTTCAATCCGGACAACGGTACGGCGCAATGGCAATCGCAGAACGACGTGCCCGTATCGATGTGGGACATTCCCAAACCGGACAACGCGCCGGCGTTGACGCAATCGGAGAAGCTCCAGCAGGCGTTGCAGCCGAAACCGGCGAAAGACAAGGAAAAGGAGCAGGAGGCGTTGGCCAAGGAGCTGAAGAAGAAGAAGGAATTGGAGGAGAAGCAGGCCAAGAAGGAGGAGGAGAAACGCAAGCAGGAGCAGAAGAGATTGGAGGCCGAGCGTAAGATGTTGGAGGAGAAGAAGCGAAAGGAGGAGGAGCGGATCAAGAAGGAATTGGAGAAGGCGAAGAGAGAGGCCGAGGAGAAGAGGTTGCGTGAGTTGGAGGAGAAGAGGCGGCTCAAAGAGCAGAGGAAACTAGAGGAGGAGGCTAGGAAAAAAGCCGAGGAAATGAAGAAATTGGAAGAGGAAAAATTGAGGTTTGCAATTTATTTGATTTAATTTGTTCTGCGAAGTAAAAAGACGCATATTTTAGGCAAGAATTGAAAGAAAAAGAAGCGAGGCGACAGGAAGAAGAGAAGAGACTGCAACAGGAACATCAAAGGCAAGCCAAAGCTGCGCCATGGTGTCAAGCCAATTCCAATATGGGCCTCAGTTTGGCGGAGATTCAGAAAGCCGAAAGGGAAAAACGGGCCATCGACGCGGCATTGCAAATACAAAGGCAACAACAGGTACTACTGCCGCCCCCGCGATTATTATCGAGTAGAATTATTAATTCGTTTGGATATTTTTTAGGAAAAAGAACAACAGCAGCAATCGCAACAAGAGAAAACCGCCAATCCGCAATTCAATTGGGCCAAGAAACCGGTCGAGGCGAGAAAGGTGAAATCGTTGGCGGAAATACAGGCAGAAGAACAGGAAAAGCTTTCGAAAGTAAGTGAAGGAAATTCTTTAACCCAAACGCATCGGTAACAAAATGTAATTGTAGCAAGTCGCCGAATCGAGGCTACACAAAGAAAAGGAACCGGCGCCGGTGACCAACAACACCGGAACGAACATCTGGAGCAGCCAGAATCTGACTTGGGCCTCGTCGTCGGTCAACTGGTCGAATTCGGGTAGGTGTTATTTCGCGTAGAGGGAAAGAAATCGTCGAGCTAATGGTTGCACCAATTGCAGGTTTTTGGGACGATTCGTCGAGCAAGCAACAACAACCGGCCGCCGCCAAACCGTCCGCCGTAACGAAAAGTAATTCGGCCAGCAATTTCACCAGTGCCAGCAAGAGCCAACCGCAGAAACCGGCGAAGGCCGTCAAACCTGCGAAGAAAGAGGAAGCGGCGCCGAACAAATCGAACCACCACCACCACAACAACAACAATGAACCCTCCACCGATGAATTTATGAGTTGGTGCTACAAGACTTTATCGAATATATCGACTAACGTGGATAGTAAGTAGACGAGAAACGCATGGATGTAGCTCGATGTATAAAACGACTTATTTTTTTCAGTTCCGACGTTCGTGACATTTTTGCGGGATATCGAATCGGCGTACGACGTGAAGGAGTACTGCAAGGAGTATTTAGGCGATAACAACGCGACGCATCAGTTCGCGTTGAATTTTTTGGAGAAGCGGCGCTCATTCAAGCCCAAGAATAACGCTCACAAGGACGATATGTGCGCCCCCGCTCCGGCTATTACTCCATCGTTACAACACAGCACCGAATTTCAGGAAGTTAAGGTGGGCGTTTGAATAAATTGCTGCGTTCGTTGTTTTAAATTAAACATTTCTAAATTTTTTGCAGGGTAAAAATAAGAAAAATAAAAAGTCGAAAATGACGAAAGTGGATTCCCGAATTTTAGGCTTTAACGTTACGTCTGCCCCCGACCGAATCAACGTGGGTGATAGAGATTACGGTGATACTTCTTAAGAAAAATAGTTTATTTGTGAAGAAATGAAAAAAATATTGTTATTAATTGTACCTAATTATTATACATATATAATTTTTAAGACAATATTCATAGTTTGATTTTCGAATGCCAACGATTCCTTAATTACTTAACCGATTGATAAATGCTTTTGATAAAATTGATTAATTTATTAATTTCGAGTTACATTAAACACAAATGAAAAAAATCACACGGGTTTCTATTCTATTTTACTATTTCAGGCAAAATACAACGGAAACGAACACAAAATTTTCTAGCATATAAAAAACCCTTAATTATTTATTACGAAAAAATTATTAACAAGTCTCACATATAAATGAAAAAATGAAGGAAGAAAAACAACTTTAATATAACTTACCTACTCGGTTATATTTTATTTAAGTATAATCAGTTTTCCATCAAGGTTCACCATCAATTCCGCCAATTTCTCGGACCGCCTCGAGTACTCTTGACGCCTCTACCTCTGCCCCTTCCACCGCGACCGCCCTGCCGTTCTAAACAAACAAAAAAAAAGACCATTTCGATCAAATCCCAGCCCCACTTCGCGCATCCGCCGGATCTTACCGAAACCCTGGAAATTGTTGCTAAACTTCCCGCTGGGCGGCTGGTAGATCTTCACGTTATCCGTCCCCCTGGCGGGGCGCGCGTGCTTGTTCGTCGCCCCGTTGCTCGAATCGAAATGTATGGGAACGTGGCGCTTTTGCGTCGCCGTCGTCGGCGCCGCCTCCGGTTTCTCGATCGCCTACAAACGACAAAAATCAAACATCACATTTCACGACAATCTCTCGCGAGACCGCTCACCTTCGCTTTCGGTGCGACCGATTTAAACGACAACTGCACGTTGCATTTGTAGATGGGCGTCGTGTAGAACAGGTCCCTGATCAGCGCGTTGATGTTGTCCAACACGGCCGGGGCCAGTTTGATCTTCTCGTCGGCGTTCTTCTGCACGTCGACCTTATCGAGCGATCGCTTGCATCCGCCGATGCCCCTCGAAAAGTAGTTCAATCTCAATCGAAAGTCCTTCAGCACGGCCGGATCGGACGTGAGGAAATCGGGACATTGTCTGGCCAATCGGTGGAACGCGAATAGAAGACATTCGACGGCGGTGAAGTCCAAATTCGGCATGTTGTCGATGTCTCCGTCTTCGGGCGGCAACGGCATGTATCTCTATAAAATCGAATCAAAACGGGGGCTCGAAGAGTATCGTGTACAACTTACTTTTAACTTATCGAATATTTGAACTACGTAAGCCGATGGCGTGTCTAATTCGCCGCAGTGGAGCGACAGTTCCGCCAGCTGTTTCAAAAACTGGTACTGCAATTGCGTGCCGTTGTCGAGTTTGCCGATATCGTCCCATTTGTTCAGTATTTGATCGCAGTAGAATTTCACGAAAGCTGTCGATTGGACGTTCGCCTGTAATATACAACGTCGTAGAACAAACTAAGGAGTTTCGAATGAATTCTTACGTTAAATAGAGGCAATGCGTATTCGGTACAAAAGAGGATCCGATCGCAATTCAGATTTTCGTCGTCGTTCGGGTAGAAATCCTTGCCCAGTTCCGCCCTGTCCGCTATGTCGTTGACCAATTCCTGTTGCCCGGCGGTCGTTTTTATCAACTTAGAAGTAGTCAGGAATTTTATGATGGTTAAAAACTCCGCTGCGGTGGAATCCTTGAGCGAAAAAGCGTCGATTAAATCTCTCGAATTAGCCAAATTTCACCGACAATTACCTGTAAAATAGTCTTTCCTCCCTTGATAAGCAAATCGTTCACTTCCGCGGTCATCTTCTCATCGATTTTCACGAGTTTTTTGTATACGAACTGCACGCATTTTTCCCTCGTCTGGATGTTCGTCAGGCCGTACATGTAGTTAAAAATCACCCGTAAAGTAACCAAAGGATCCTCCATTCGGTATACTTGTATGAACGAGTGGCAAGTCGTGGTGAAGTCCTGCCCGTCCAATTCGAGCAGTTGCACCAGTATATTGGCGATTCTCAACGTCAGTTCTTTGGAATTTTTACATAGCAACGGGAGGACCTGGATTGCGCTAATGCGGATCTGAAAATCGAATTAAATAGGTAAAAATTAACAGGAAATTAGGGTGAAAAATCTACCGTGGACTCGTCGTCTTCGCATAAATCGCACAAGGCGTTCAAAGCTTGCTCCTGGTGGTCGGGGAAGTTTTTGAAAAATTTCGAAATAATCTGCGCCGCCAATTTCTTCTCTTTCTCGCTACCTTTGACGCTCTCTATGCATTCGACGTAAACGTTGGAGAACTGCGGATATGCAAAAAGTTACGATAAAAATCTCCTACACGCTTTTAGTAATCTAACCTTATCGATGTCGTCTTTGGCTTCAGATAAAATGTTGTATTTCTCATAGAGTTCGTCCAATTTATTCGTCATTTTGCTGCGATTTTAACGATATTCACCCGTTCCGTTGATTCCACTTAACTTATTAGCATGCAATGTACCGGTCAATAATACTTAATACATTTAACGATAGTAAACGTTTGTTAGAATCGGCGGCCATTATACTTTTCTTCTTCTTATTGTAATATTAAAATTTCTTCGACGGTCTCTTACTTGTTTAAAAATAGGTTCAACAATCAATCTTCTTTTTTAGATTACAATTTAATACGTCAATGTCACAAATGTCAAGAAAAAATAAAAATGGAGTAATGAAGCAACAATATTGCAATTTTGTAACTGTCGTTTAAGTTTATCAAACGATTGCTATAAATTAATTACAAAATGCAAAATTATCCATTTCAAAGTGAGTATCACGCTAAATTAAAAACACATGATTATACCTACCTTTTCGTTCGCAGTAAACCCACCTGTGGAGAACGGCCATACGAATAAATACGTTTATTTCAAGCAGAATTTCGTGCAGCACCAGTCCGTCAACGCTCCGAAAGTGCTAGTAAACCCCCATTTCAACAAAACCGTATTCGTCAATCCGAATTACATACCAAACGACCGGGCATCGGGCACCAGGAAGATCCACATCAACCCGAACAAACCCATTAGCTTCCCGCTGAAAAACACCGCTAATAACATACACATCAATCCCAACGTCTTACGGAACATTCCGATTGCCAAGAATGCCGAAAACGCGGCGCCCCAGCCTAAGAAGAATTTGCTAACGTACGCCTCGAAAACGAAGCTAATCAGAACGCCTTTGAAAGAATTTAGCACGTACAGCTCGAGACAGGCGAAAGCACGAAGGGTACCCGTCTATTCGCAGTATAAGATCGTTAAAATTCCGAAGAGCAACAAAAAACCGAGCCCCGCTAAAGTGAAAAGCAGATTTAAACTGGACAACAGGAGTACGAGTAAAAACGTCAAATACGTCTTCTCCAATAGATTCCTCAGCATTACGGACATTGCTAAGAATATGCCTTTGAAAGTCAACAGGAACCTCGTGAATATCTCCGGGGTGTTCTACAAAAAATCGCCGATGAGATTGCAGAAAATCGTCAAAAAAGACAAAACGAAATTGAACGCGACATTGAAGAAATCCCGATATAAAATTATCAGAAACAACGCGAGTAAGAAGAAGGTTGTTAATAAGAAGAAAACGAGCAGAGGATCGATGAGAAAGTGCAACATACCTTGCCCGTTTTACAGGAAATTCGGCAAATGTAAAGGCAAAGACATGGGAAAGTGCCACAGGAAACACGATCCCGATCAAATAGCGCTTTGCACCAAGTAATAAGCTCTTTACTAATGCATTACTCGTTGGTTACTATTCGACATCTTTGCAGATTCCTCCAAGGAGCTTGCGTTGATACCAAATGTCTATTGTCCCACAACGTATCAGCCGAGAAAATGCCCACCTGCAAATTCTACTTGGAAGGCTCCTGCTCGAAGGACAACTGTCCCTATTTACACGTCAGGATAAACCCCAAAGCCGACATTTGCAGGGACTTCATCGAAGGATTTTGCAAGAAAGCCTCTCAGGTAATCCGACATTTTTCGCGCTAATCGAACGATTTTTAATACGTCCATTTCCAGTGCGACAAGCGCCACCAGTTCCTCTGTCCGGACTTCGAGAAGAAGGGCTCGTGCTCGAAGACGCGCTGTCCCTATCCGCACGGCAGAATGGTAAGAAAGTATTCCGATTACAATAAGCACGAATTTGCCAAGAAATCTTCCGAGATTCCCGCCGATTCGAATCGTCGCATCGACGATGCGAAATCGGAGGAATCGAACCCGCCGGCTCGTTACTACAACGATAGGAATTCCGCCCCGAGCGATGGAAATCGGCGGATCGATTGTAGAATCAGACCGAAATTAGGCGTGTTACCGTCGTTTATATCTTTAGAAGAGACATGAACATTTCTTGGCAATTTTTTTTTATTATATTTAAGAAGCTATTTTATGTGATGTTGAATGAATTGAATAGAATAAATTATTGAAATAAACTCGAGTGTTGTTTATTTTATTTTTTTGAATGTTAATACTTACTATTACGCCGATTTTTTGAATAAAAATTAATGACTAGATTCTTCGAATAATGCATAGCGAATAACTAATTGGTCTTTTCTTGGTAAATCAAGCGCCAGTTAGATGGCGAATTGTAGGCGAGTAGTACCGGCGCGTGCAAAAGCAACGAATAACAATGCCTGTTGATATTCGAAGACAATTCCAGCCAATTGTTCAAGTATCTAATCATCTCTTCAGTTTGTACATCGGCCGGATTCAAACCTGAAAAAAAAACCACCGAGAAACCCATCGAATTGCGTTACGATCGATTAGAAATTACCTCTAATGTAACAGCATTTTCGTAAGGCATCTAACGGTAACTTTTCGACTCCACCTTCTCTCGCTATAGCTCTATCCATTTCTTTTATAATGTACGCCCGCTCGGCCAGTCGGACCCTCCTGAAGAACACGCCCGTTGTCATTTCGTGCAACTTACACAAGTGTATCTAAAACGCTCGAATTAAACCATAAAACTCCTCGATTCCACTTACATCCTACCACATGATTCCTGCTTATGTAAAGCAGATGATAGGGCTCCGAGGTGAACAAATCCCTGCATTCTAGGATCTTTTTAACGGGAGGTTGCTGACCGCTGCCTATCATCGCGATGACCTCCCTCCATTGCTCGTACAACCGTTGGTTCCTCAGAAAGTCGAGCTGGCTCTGCAAGTGCCTGAACAGCGGCCGGTTGTGGGTGAGCCGGTGCTTGAGGTTGAACAACTGGAATTCGGACTTTTGCTGGGCGGTCCAGAAGTGCGAGCACAGGAGGTGCCTCGGGAACATGTGGGTTAGAGGCAAGATGGCGGTTCCGAAGGGCAGGGCAGTTAGTAGTAGAATTGGGGCGACCTTTTTCATGTCTCTGGGCATTTGAATGTACAGTTCCATTTCTTGTCGGGACAGATCTTGGAAACTCTTACCTGGAGTGTTCAAGAGCCTGACTATTCTGAAGAATTCTTTGGTATCGGTCACGAACAATCGCACGCCTTCCAGGAAATGTTTGTATACTTTCATAGCACCGGGGAATCTTTTCTCCAATATCGTTTCTAACTTTTTTAAGTACTCTACGTATTTTTCGACAATGTAATACCGTACTTTCTTGGCTTCTTTAGTTTTGTACAGCGGTGTATTTTTACTAAGTTTTCTTTCATTTGGTTTATTGTGATTCAAACGCGCTGAACCAGAGAGACTAGGGAATGTAATTTATTGTTATTAATAATTATGTTATTGTTGTTATTATACCTTGAATTGAGGAAATTTTTACTTGAAGATTGGAATATGCCAGAAATGCGGGGATCCCTCACTCCTGGCTTCATTATTCTCGTTATTTTTCTAATATTCATCGTTAATACTTAAAAGGTAAACAATTCTTTAATACAATTAACATTTTTAAATTAAATCATTCAAAATATTAATTTTTAAGGTTATGTATAAGTCTTCTTTTTTTAACTTGAAATATGTCAAAATTGTCACAAATACTAATAACTCATGGACTTTGCTCATTTAGTTATTTGGTTAAAATACGTCAAGTACGATAGGCAACCAAGATTACAAAACACAAACGAAATAAATGTACGAAATCAAGTTACAAAATGTCTATTTCGAAAAAATTACTCAATTTCATAGTTGGTCACATTCGGTACAGGGCTCAAAGATAGCGGTAGCGGGCGGCTCGCATCTTCCGTAAACAGTCACAGCATACACAGCGATAGAGACAACGGCCGAGAGATCGAGGCCTTCGATCAGCGTACAAGTCCTGTAGCCGTTCATGATCATGTGGTTCTCCTTGCCGTCGACCAGCACGTCGTACCCGCTGATCTTGGCCGTGTCCGGCGGCGACCATTCCACCACCAGCGTGTCCGGCGACAGCGGCGCCACGTTCACGATGGAGAACCCCTCCAGGTTCACGATAATGTAGGGCGTGCTGCCCCTCAACGGCACCGTAACGGCTCCGCCATTCTCCTTGCGTCGATCGTTCTTCGTTTTCATTCTCGATTTCGTGAAGTTCACGTGTTCCGATAGTTTGTTCATCAGTATGACGTATTGCAGCAGCATGGCGGCCTTCTTGATCTGGTAGTCCTTCATCTCGTACTGCTTCTGCAGGTGTTTTATAGTCGTCAAGAGACTCGATCTGGTGTGGACATCGTCCGATTGTTGCGCCTAAAAATTTTATTGTAATTATCGAGGCGAAAAGTAGGTTCGAGCGGGCTCACGGTTCGATCCAAACTGGCGCTTCTCTTCGCGCTGTCCCGTCGCAAGCTAATCGACGAAGATAATCTCATCGATTGAAGCGAAACGGTGGAGTCGGCGCATCGATCGTAATCCGGAGCGCTGCCGGCCAACGTGCAACGCATCAAACACTCCTTGGTGCTCGAAGCCCCCAAAGTCTCCAGCATCTCGCTCAACCCGGTAATCATCTCGTCTTTGGCTTTACCTAAAAACGCAACTATTGTAAATATACACCTTGCTGAGTCATATCTGTCATCTGTCATCCTGTCATAAAAAGCATTTCGTTCATATCGCACCTTTCTTCACCAAGCCGCGGTAGGCCAACGCCAGTTTGGAGAACGTCTGGTCGAAATCGCGCTCCTTCTTCACGAACACCTTCCGCAGCGCGCCGTCGCCCGGCCTGCGCGGCCTGCGCTTCGATTCCTCGGTCTCGGTGGCGCGGCTCTTGCACACAGCGCGCCCCCCCGTCGACGATTTCACCTTCAAAATCGAGTGGTAGGCGGGCGGTTTGCCGTCGAAGCTCGCCGAGGCGGCGGCGGCGGCGGAGGCGGAGGCGGAGGCGGCGCGCCTGGCCGAGCACACGCAGCAAGCGCACGAGTCCGAGCCGGCGAGCAGCCGACGGGGCGGCTCGAACGGCGGAATCCGCGCGAAATTCAAGAACGACGACGGCCGTTTCCTCGCTGGTTTCGTCGATTTCGACACCTTGCTCGCTACAAAACTCATTGTTTAATATCCTCGTGTTAACTACTATATCTGTATACAGATTGCTTCATTTTTCATTGCAACATAGGCAACTACAATTGAACACTTATAAAGGAAAAGAGTGACATTATGTCATTGAAACTTTTCACTCTGACAGCTGTCATTTCAATAATCTTTCTTCGTTCAACTCATAGAAATGCCCATGTTGCAACCGCGAATGAAGCACGGTGTAGTATATTATACCTTTGGAGAGTTTGTTGATTTTGACCATAGAACAGTAGGTGCAATAGCCGATCAGGAAATCTTCTTCGCGTTCGTTGGAGTGTGTCGGTTTTTGGTCGGGTTGTTGGGTCGATTGAGCGAGGTTGCACAAAGAGCACATATAGAGTTGAGGGTGGTTGATGGGTTGCATCAGATTCTTGCTCGAGCAGCATTTGTGGTAGCTTCCAGAGTCGCCGAAATTGCGTTCCTTGATTGGGGGAAAAACCAACGTTTATTGTTGCATAAGGAGAATTACACGAAAAAAAAATTACCGGATTCTTTGGTTGTCGTTTGGCGGGTTTGGCGTCGCTTATCTCGCAATCACCCATCTTGAGGTCTGGAAAAAAAAGAATTCGCTGTTAAAAAAATATTACTTCTACGCATGTCCGATGGAATGAGGCGTGTCGTTTTTTTGTATAGTTTTGGTCTTCTACTACTCTATGTACAAGGCGCGTTTACATCTAGTGCTATCCTCGTTTCTCTTCCCCCTCCGCAATTTTTATAACGATCGCGCGGGGGTGGGGAAAACGCGCTACATTTCCTGGTGGGACATTCATCAACCACATTTCGATCGCAGATTTTCTCTTTTTCGCTTCAATTTAGGTTGGCGCGTTTGCGGCTTTCGCATCCCTTAAAAAACCGAAATACATCGCATTAGTGGAAAAATCCGAACAATTCTCATTTGAAATTTTCATTACGTATTTAACGCAAGGCGGTTCTCGTCGTTCTTTCTCGTACCGGTAATTCGCGTGGGCCTTTATCACGTTTTCTCCATTAACACGATTGATCTTTCGGTTTCCTAACTGGACGTCAAGATATAGCGTTTCGTCAGTGTTTTTGCGTGAGATTTGCATGGGGAGCGTCTCGCGATAAAGGATTTATACATATATGGAAGCGTCTCAGACTCGGACCGCACTGTATCTTTTCTCATAATTCATAATCAAATTCAATTCCGCGTTATTGTTAGAAAGGAAGAATTTTAGGGGAGAATCTAAATGATTCTTATGCGTTTTAGACAGTTCTTAATGATTCTGGAGTGTTCTAAATGACTATGGAACGTTCTAAATGGTTCCAGACAGTTTTAATAGTTTGTATTACGTTCTAAATGGTTCTAGACAGTTTTTTAATTGTTTCTATTGCATTTTAAATGATTTTGGAACATTCTAAATGACTATGGGGCATTCTAAATAACTATGAAATGTTCAAAATGGTTCTGGAGCATTCTAAATGTTTCTAGACCGTTTTAATTGTTTCTATTGCGTTCTAAATGATTCCAGATCATTCTAAATGACTATATGGAACGGTCTAAATGATTCTGGAACGCTCTAAATGACTATATGGAACGGTCCAAATGATTCTGGAACGTTCTAAATGGTTCTGGAGCATTCTAAATAGCCATGGTCAGTTCTAAATGGTGGTAGACAGTTTGAAATGCTTCTGGTGCGTTCTAAACGGTCCTAGACAGTTCCAAATGATTCTGGATCATTCTAAACGGTTCTAGACAGTTCCAAATGATTCTGGATCGTTCTAAACGGTTAGTGTCTGAGAGGCTACGCCGATATAAACCCGTTTATCCTGACGCGTCCCGTTACATATGGCGGAGAAATACTTCACCTGGCGGGGCTTCGGTGTCGCAGGGATCGTTCGACGTTTCGGGTGGTTTGGCGCTCATCGGTGTAGCCGTGGCGTTTACGGTAGGCACGTCCTCTTTGCATTCGTCCTTTTTGTCCGGGGACGTCGGTCGCGCCTCGTCCTTTTGGACGTTCCCCGACGGGCATTTGATGCAAATGCACGTTTTGCACACGCAATCGGCCTTCGGCGGTGGCGCTGGCGTCGGTTTTGCGATACCTTCGATAACAACAAAATGAATTAAACGAATTAAACGGGAATATTAATAAGTACTTTTTTTGGATTCGCTCGTAGCCGCCGGCACGACGGCTCGCGATTCGCTAAGTTTGGCGGGGCAACTGCAATCTAAAAATTTAAAACAAAGTTAATAATATTCGTTTTGTGGATGTCGCGGTATTCTACTTGCCTGCTTTGCTTTGCTTGGCGCCGGGACAAACCAAGCAATTGCACTTGACGCAGTCGCATATAACGTCGGGTTTAGGCGGACATTTCGGCGGAGCTGGAAATGTGGCCGAGTTGAATTGAAAGACGGGGGTGGAGGAAGAGGATGATTCGGAATGTTTGTTGTATATGTGTGTTTTTATTCTAGTTTCGATCGATGTGTATTAGAAGGTGGGTTTAGTTATTTTTTAGTGCACACCGGACAACTGCACGTGTCGCAATTGCATCCGCCCTTATTATCCTTGGCGCCTCCGGCGTTCTTCTTGCATTCGGCGTTCGTGCAATTTTTGCACGAGCACTTCTCCCCCTTGCCGTCGTCCTTTTTTTTCACGGTACACACCGGACAGGTGCACTCCTTGCAATTGCACTCGAGCTGCGCGCCCTTCTTGCCCTTATCGTCCTTTTTTTTCGTGCACACGGGACACGTGCATTCGGTGCACGTGCATTGGTCCTCGTCTTTTTTGTCCTTACCTTTTTTGTCGTCGCCCTTTTTGGTGCACACCGGACACGAGCACTCCTTGCACGTGCACTCGCCGCCCTCCTTTTTATCCTTGCCGGCGGCGCCCTTTTTCGTGCACACGGGGCACGTGCAATCCTTGCACGTGCACGGCGCCTCCTCCTTCGCCTCCTTCTTGTCGCCCTTTTTGTATTCGCAATCGGTGCACTTGCAGCAATCGCCGCACTTGCAACCGTCGGCGCCGGCGCCCTCCTTCTTCTTCGCCTTGCTGGGGTCCTTGCACGGTTCGCACTTGCAATCGGTGCAATTGCACGGTAGCGGCGCTTTACCGCCGCCGCCGCCGCCCTCCTTTTTACCGCCGCCGCCGCACGGGTCGCAATTGCAGTTGTTCTTGCCGCAACCTTTACCGCCGCCGTCTTTTCCTCCGCCGCCGCCGTCTTTGCCGCCGCCTTCGCATTTGCACGTCGGGCATTTGCAGGGGGTGCCGCAGCCGCCCGATTTGCCGCCGCCGCCGCCTCCGCCGGCCGCCTCGCGCAATTTAATCTCGCCGGCGTCGAGTATCTTCGAGTTGTCGCCGCGGTCGATTTGCTTGCTGATGATGGTTTCGATGGTGGAGATTTTGGGCAGGGCCGGGGTGCATTCGTAGGATATGAGGGAGGACGATTGGCGGTTCGGGTCGTATTTGAACTTGCAGTCCAGACAGACGTAGGCCATTTTGTATTTGCTCGAGGCGTCGCTGGCGCCGTCCTTGTTGTGCTGGTAGAGTTCCACTAGTTCTTTCAGCTGGAAGCATTTGCCGCACTTGCAGGTTAACTCCGATTTGGCGCCGCCGCCGCCGCCGCCGCCGCTCTGCGTCTCGTCGCAGCGGTCGCTTTTTACCTAAAAAATCGACGCCCGAAAGCGTATTTATTTTATAGCAAAAGCGCTGCAAAAGTTGTTATTTCCAAGCTAGTGATGCGAAATTTTGAGCAGTTATAGCCTCGTGTGTTGGCTTTGCAGCCACCAAACAAGCGGTACCGAAAGAGTGCAAAAACAAGCATTTTTTACACCCTTTTTGGGAATTTTATCCGACTCGCTGATTTTGACGAGCAGTGTAGATGTAGATGTGGACTTTTACCTTGGGTAGATCCTTCTTGGAGCATTTGTGTTTGCAGTAATCGGTTAATTGGTTCAATTGGTCGGGCATCTCGGGGAAGAGTCGATGGTGATCGGGCAGTTGGTGATCCTGTGGTAGGCTTTGCGATGAGTTTCTTGTTTCAAAATTTTCCCTGTTGGATTTTTGTGAGTGAATTTTTGTTATTCGGAGCATCGCGTTCGGTTTCGGCGGTAAATACTTACATTTTGCATGTTCCTTTCGAAGTTTTTGTTGAATTTGAAAAAAAAAAATGGTGTAATTTTTTTTGAATGTGTTTTTAGTGTGACATTTTGATGACAAAACAAATCTTTTGTTTGTTATTTTGAATCGAATCGTTCACTGTGATTTTTGGATGTCGTTGCCCAAGATACCAAATTCGGATAAAAATTACTCGAATTTCGAAAACAACACAAGAAATTTACTAATTACTTACCGAAAAATAATAACTCCATTACACACATTCCACAAGTAATTGTAATGTCCCATCCGAAATTGTACTCGCAATTTCCCTCTCCAAAAACTATAAAACTTGTACTTTCTTTTCCTAACTTAGGAGTACACTACAGATCTGTCGATGATGCCTAACCTGTTTGTCAATAAACCCGTCAAAGTCGATAGTTCTCTCGTATATCCCCATAGCACAAAAATAGCTTGTAATGGAAAAGAAAAAAGCGACTCAAACTCACCGCAAATCGAAGGGCGAAGAATTCCACAGGAAGGCCAGCAGGACGTCGAAGGGCCCCGTCGGCGACAACCAAACTCAAACCAACAAGCACTTCCAGCGCCCCTCCAAAGATTTTTCGGAGTATCCAGAAGCTCCTAGCAGCTCCCACACCTCCACATTGGCCTCCATCGCCGATCTATCCGACCACCCGCTCTCGCCCACCACCATAAAAAAAATCAAAAAATTCGTGCCGAAAAAGCGGCCCGAAGTCTCCGCCAAACTCCGTAAGTTCTTGCAAGTTATGCAACACTCATTACACTCGTTACAGATTGCTTGTTTTCAATACATTTGCAGGGGTCCGTCGATGCTTGGTGTCGATCGATTTGATAAAACACAATTATAGATTAAAAATACACAATTTGTTTAGTAGAATTCACAAAGAAAAACTCTGAAAAATGTCCTTTTTAAACTGCGTAAGTCCTCGAGGTTATGCAACACTCATTACAAATCGCTTGTTTCCGATACATTTGCAGTGGTCCGTCGATATTTAGTCGATCGATTTGATCAAAAAATACAATTATAGATTAAAAATACACAATTTGTTTAGTAAAATTCACAAAGAAAAGCTCCGAAAAATGCCCTTTTTAAACCGCGTAAATCCTCGAGGTTATGCAACACTCATTACACTCATTACAAATCGCTTGTTTTCAATACATTTGCAAGACCTACAATCAAATTATACCCTTTATTATAATACTCTCGTTATGAACCTCTCCTAATACCACCCCCTTGGACATTTCTTAGGAAGAGTTTTAACGTCGAAGGTGAAGAAACCGATGCCGTTCATTGCGCGCGGCAAACAATCGACCGGCAAGTACCAGGACGAGTTGATCTTCGACTACCCGAAGGACATGTCGCTGTTCTCGTCGATGCTGGAGAGCAAAGCGTGGCGAAGAGGCCAGCAGATCACCAGCCTGAAGAAGAACCTCCAAGACAGGAAATCATTCTGGCAAACGTTGAACTCCAACCTGCACGAGAGGCTCTTCGTCGAAGACGACGACAAGTACATCAGCACCTGCATCGAGGACATCGATCCCGAATACAAGAGGATCGTTAAAGGTTATATCGATGATGGTGTTGTTGATGAAGAAAATGTATTTAGATACTTTCGTTTTGTAGGTAGACCGATTGCGGATAACGTGTCGTTAGGTGACTACATACAGATGAACAGGGATTTGTTGAAATTGAAAATCATGATCGGTTATCGCGAAGACGATCTAGCGTTGGTGAACACCCACTTGAAAACCGAGACCAGAATGATCGAATTGATCGAATCGAACTTTCAAAAATACGTCAATATATTCCTGGAGTTCCTTAAACGCGACTACGAAATCGCCAACAATCTATTGAGCCGCTCCAATAAAGTAGTCATCGAGTTGATGGCGGCCAACGAGGACCACCGCTACGTCTTGCAGAAGCTCCAAGGCATCAAGAGCCAGCTGTTCAAGTCGGAGGCGCGCTGGCGCCTGGTCAAATGGTACGAGAAATTCCTCTACGAAATATCCCCCTTGCATTGGAAGAAGGAGAACACCAACAGCCTGATGCGCGCCCTCCAGCACAAATCCTGCCTGGAGCTGTTCGAAGACATCAACAGCGACACCGACATCACGCTGGAGGAGATCGCGGCGACCGTCGAACGCGAATGCTGCGACGACGAGGACCCGGTGTTGTTCTTCACCGAAACCGGCCAGATACTCGACTATTTCATCTACATGGAGGAGCAGAACTTCAACAGTTTGCTCTACAACGAAGAGCTCCGGCAACCGTTGGCGTTGATCAAGGCGGAGATGCAATCGGCGGCGCGCAACTTCGACGGCACCATCGACCACCTGCGCACCTACATCGACGGCCTCGAGGAGGGCATCAAGTGGGAGGAGGAGCGCGCCAGGAACCTGGAGCAGATCGCCCACGATCTGATATTCACGCACTTCAAGAGGATCATCGCCACGACGGACGTGCTGAACATCCACTGCTTCGTCGAGGACGTCTACGAGTCGATCATCGAGCGGAACACCACCAACATGAACGCCATACAAATGGCCACCGCCATCGAGGACTTCTACATGCGCGAGCTCTTCGTCTTGGACCAGGCGAGTTTTGTAGAAAAACAAAAACTAGTTAACGATGCTAAACGTGATTGTAAGTCGTAGATTCCGGCTAGCGAAGTGGCTGTGATACAGACGGTGACGATACAGAAGACGCAGAAGATGATGATATTGGCCGAGCAGGCTCGCAAGGCCTTCACCGAGTTGGATAACACGCTGAGGGGAATGAAGAAAGGCTACGTTTCGTTCGTGAAGCCTTTGCACAAACGTAAATCGAACCGATGAAGGTTTTTGGTATCGATTTATCGACGTTTCGTTGTAGCTTTGATGTTCAGATCGGCCCCGAAGGAGGAGTACAGGCCGCCCCCGCCGCCGCCGAAGGAGAGGCCTCAGACGCAATTGGATTATCTGGAGCACTTTACCGACTATTGCAGATACTACGACAATCCCAAGGATTACGGTATACAAGTAGGCGATAGTGACGATGAGAAAGCTTAATTGTAGATTTTTAATGGTATATTGTATACAGGATGTCCCGAAATGCCAATATTCTAAATATTCTAGTCGCAATATTTGTATGTAAATATACACATTTTATTAAAGTAATCTCGCATTTCTCGCAGATGAAACTGTTCGATATTATATCGGACCGGTTTAGTTGGAGTGTATGAATACTTTCTAATTATTTTACGCGGCTTATAGGCGAATTTATCCAGCAAAAGCCACATTGTTTCGCCGTTAATTGCCTCAAATTCCACCCGGAATTCGAGCCTCTAATTGCTCTAATCCGCTTCGAACAATTTTCATTGCCTCACTTCTTACGTATTCTCCGAGTCATTGTGTGTAAATGTAACGGAGCGTTATCAACACGTAACAATAATTATTACAGATCGATTAATTTCGATTGATGTTTCGAACACCTGTTGTTTTCTATTTGGGGCTTTATCTTTTAGGATATTCACCCAGATGTACCGGTAGGAAGTGTTTTCGATCTGTTGTTTTTTTTGTGTATAGGTATAGTGTGGTTATGTACTTGGAGGCGTGACGTCACAATCGAGTTGAAAGGAGAGTAGTATATAGGTTAATTTTGTGTCGTAAAAGAGCCATTAATAACGATGGTTTTTGAAGAGCGCATTCCATTTCGAATAAGTGCGTCGGTCGATTAGAGAAGGCGATTTCTCGAAATTCGTACAAAGTGTATCGATAAATCATTTCGAGCGGCTTTTATCGCCGCTTTTCTATTGGATTTCAGCCGTTTATTTCGCTACCGGTGAATGCGGATAGTCCTCCGGATAACGAGCGGACTTTCTACAAACAAAATAGCCGAGTTATCCCTTTGATATTAGACGAAATAAACTCGCTGTTAGCCTACGAAATTGGATCAGTTTTACTTTCGTTCCGTCGATCAATCACATTCGATGGAATGCTCGAAATTCGTGGGATGGAAGGATTCGTAATTAAACGCGCGTTTAACATTTTTTTTCTACGGAAAATCCGCGCGAGATTGTATTATTATTATCTCGGGCCGGTTTGATAGAGAGTGGCCGGTTGTTCTGAAATATCGTGGCCACACGTCGTGATTTTATCATTATTTTACGTCTATTATAATATAATGCAAGAACATCATCAGGCGAGTGTGCCACTAACTGGCAGGTATTTGTTAATGCCTGTTATTAATAACTATAAAAATTTACAGCAGGTGAACCGCTCGGTTTTTATATCATATTATTTATCTAAAATACATTCAATTTTGAGTCGAAAATATTTACGTGTATACAGGGTGTTTAGCACTAAGCGATGATAAATTTAGAGAGGTTATTCTAGATTTAATAAGTGATCAAAATAGACTTATAAATACATGGAAATGCAGTCCTAAATTTACTCCACTAGTATAGCGAGATTTCTAATATTGTAATTACCGGCGATAATTGGGATTTCGAAATTCATTCGACGAAAAATCAACTTCATCACTTCAGTGGGAAAGTATTAAAGATATTCAAAAAAAAACCTATTCGGCTACTTAACCTTTTCAATGTTTTTTTTACACAACTCGCTAATAAATTGTTAATTAAACGGTAACGCGCGAGTTCTTTTTTTCTCGCTCACGATTTTACGATTGAAATGACTTATTTGATCTCGTGATGGATCCGGACGGGAAAAAATAAAAATTACACACACGCCAAACGCATGTAGGACATGGGAAAAAATCGCCGAGCGAAGAGAAACCCGGAATTTTCGATAAATTTATCATTTGCAGGCTAAATATCAACGATACATCAAATTGTCCATCTTTGATTGCCCAGATCGCACTTTTCAATTGACCAAGTCAAAATTAATGGTTTCATAAGGATGAAATGCTTTTTATGACAGATGACAGATGACAGATATGACTCATATACAATGCGCATATCAAAAGATTTGTTATGAATTATATGAGTAATTCATTATGTATATCCAAGAGAGTATACAGGTTGCTCCATTTTTGATCGCAACATAGGTTCTATGGGTGCGATAAAGACAACTTCCATTAGACATTTATAAAGGAAAAGGAAAGAGTGACATTTGTGTCATTGCAACTTTTCACTCTGACAACTGTCATTTTAATAATCTTTCTTTGTTCCGCTCATAGAAATGACCATGTTGCAAGGTGTATAGGTTTTTAACTTCCTTATTTTACGCGGTTTAGAAAATCTAATCCAGGAAGCGATTCAATTACTGCATTAAATCATCTCGGTGCAGCGATGTTCATTTCCATCGGTGTACACTATCTATTAGAACACGTGCCTCGATAACTGTAAAATATGAAATGATTGCGAGTAAAAGGGAATTTTTTTTTTCTCGACAAAACCGTTCGGCCGAGAATGAAAAAAATCCGATGAGTACGCGTGGTAAATCGTGAATGTAAAATTCAGTTTATTAAATTTTAGATAGTCGGATGAAAGTGAAATGTATCGAGTTGTATAGAAATTCGCCGTTGACACCGTCTCGTAAATTTCCATATATCGGTATATGGATGAACTGTAATTAAAAATCAACCGGAATTTTCATTGAAATATGGCCGATATGCCGCTCCTCCGGCACACCAGAGTTGACACCTATTGACCATTTTCTATTGCACATTACTGTGTATAAGCAAAATATTCACTCGAATATTAGAAAAAAAACTGTTCTGTTCCATTATTGTGCAATATGTGGAAACGGATACCAGTAAATTCGTTTTGAATGAACCATTTGTAACGGAATTAGCATAACAAGAAGTCCGTTTTTTCGAAAACAATGACTCCTCTAATCAACAATGGCAATTACATCTATCGGTTTCCATCGCAATTCTTTTGTGACGAGGAATTCATTGGTTCGTTAAAAAAAATTAATATCTTTTTTTTTTCTTTCTTAGATACTTTTCCCCGCGTCAGTCACGTTCCGTTATTATCGTAATTCGCCGTAATTATATCACGGGACGGGCGAATTAAAGGAAAAACGTTCTATCAATCCCCGGTAAATATCAAAGCGTTTATTAAGATGAGAGGAAAAATTAAGTAGAAAGCTGGAACAAACATCCTCGATATACAGGGTGTTTTTTGCCAAAAAATCGATTCCCACCTCTATTAAACTTCTTTCATACGAAATGTCATTAGTGTCAACGAATGGAATTCGATGGAATTCGATGGAATTCGGACGCAAAAAACCGTGGTCCTTTACAACATCGCCTCTTAACGGCCGTTTTAGAAACCCTGTTTTATCCTAAAATAACGGGACACTTTTTCGACCTATGTTTCCAGATCTTAGAAATATACGACCGTGCTTCTGTCATACCAAATGTCATTAGTGTCAATTTTGACAGTTTTGGTTTAAAATTAGTAATTTATCGTACAGTAGAGTAGATTTCTGTAGAATGGAGTAGAAAAGAACTATTTATGGTTATTTTTTGGAGACACGTTTGCGGGTTCATCCCTGATGAATTAATGAATATCCTATCTAGCAAAATATTCCGAGAATTTCCTATTTGCCTATCACCTGTCGTAATATTAGAAAACACTGAGATGTTTCGAGTTTAATCGATTTTACGTAGGTACTCTCAGCGGTGGATAAAAAAAAAACGAAAAGTGAAACGAGCAATCATTTTGTTATTTTATTATGTTATTTGCGTTACGCAAGGTAATTTTCTCGATCTGAATATGCCCATTTATTTCGCGCCATCATCGCGCGGAGACGTCGCACCGCGTCTTCGGGGTAATTGCGAATATTTACACATTACTCTCGAATTGCACTTGCCCGAGCTTAGGCGTAACTAGGTAGGGTATACAAAAGACACGGGCTAGATATACATTCACCTTAAAAGAAAGTTTAAATGGCGGTGGCGAGCCTTCGCTAATCTTAATTCGTGTTCGTTCTTTCGCCAAACTGGATCATTTCTCTCTCTAAAATGGTGAGTTACGATTTTTTTTAATTTTTTGAAAATTTAGTTTGAAAAAAAAAGTTGGCTGTTAAGACTGTTAGGTTTTTTTTTGTGGATTTACTCGGTTTTACAAAAAATAACGTACCCTTAATGGCGCATTTTTAACGTTTGTTTAATAGTAAAATTGTACCCTAATAATCGCTTTTTTTCACCCATTTATTTCAACGCAAAATTTCATAATTTCATCCACATATCATTGAACAATGTCCAACCAACGAGCAAGTTATTATTTTTTTTTTTCGAAGAAAGAAAGCAATTACATCATTACACGCATGCATTTCGTTGATTTTTCACGGTAGATTCACGTCATTTTCTGATTCGTTTAACGCGAACCCGTAATCTTAAAATAAAGCCATTAATAGAAACAATCCGGTTACACCGAAAACATTTTTATTGTTTACATAATACCGGAACGAACCCGCCTGCCAGTTAAGCTCTTAAAAGATTTATTCTACATTCGTGCAATTTAGATAAGCCAGATATCTAAAAAAACGCAATCGAAATGACCGTAGATTTCGCTTTAAAAGCTTCGTAAGTTATACGAGGATAGGATGAAAAGTTCTCGACCTGATATACTGCAAGAGGGCGTTCCAATCAGATAAAATTCTTGTTTCCTCTTTGGGACATTTATAACTAATTCTAGAACTGTCTAGAACCAGACGCTACAGAAACATTTAGAATTATCCAGAACCTTTTAAAACGATCCAGGTACATTTAGGACTGTGTAGAATCGTTTAGAAGGTTCCGGAATCATATAGTACTATTTAGAACCTTTAGAACGTTCCATAGTAATTTAGAACTCTCAAGAAGAATTCATTTAGAAGTGTCTGAAACCATTTAGAACGTTCCACAGTCATTCCACAGTCCACAGTCAGAACTGTCTAGAACCATTTAGAACGCTTCAGAACAATTCAGAACTATCTAGGACCATTTAGAGCGCTCCAAAAGCATTTAAAACTGTCTAGAACTAAAGATTTCGACTTAATAAGAAAAATAATGTAATTTTTCAACGGAAAATCTCTTCGATTCATTGTCGGACCGAGAACTTTTCACCTTATACCCTTTTATACAGTGATCCTACATCGAATTTTGTCGCCACTTAATAGCGCAAACACCCTGTATATTCGATAAAAAAGCGAACGCTCCGCAAGGCGAAAGAATTAACTGAATCCGGTTAGATCATATACCATTATATTTTTTTGTTGTCATCCTAGAAGTGAAAGTGTAACAACATTAGTCCAGTAGAAATTAATAAATCATCCGGGCACACCTGTTACTACATTTCTTCCTTTTATTACGCGCACATATACGTATATACCCAGTTAATTGCCGGCTTATTTATTCGAGATTTCTAATTTCGCCAGTCGACCGTTTCGTTTTCAATCTTCCAGAAACCGTCCGCCATCTTGTTAGCGGCCATCTTGTCGGCCGCCTTCGCCGCCAGGCCCAACAAGGAGAAGAAAACGACGCTGGAGGACGTCGAGCGCGACTACGTCACGACCAAGGCGCGCCTGTCGCCGCCGCCGGCGCCCCGCCACCCCGCCAAATCGCCCACCCAGTTCGGCTTCGTGCCCGCCAAAACGGCCGCCAATTACGTCCAGCAGGAGCCCAAGATCGTCTACGCCCAGCCGAGTTACCGGCCCCGCAGCCAGTACAACACCATCGCCTACTCCTCGGACCAGCCCGGCCTCGATCAGCATTCCATAACCCAGCAGTACCGATCTCAGCCTCAACCTCAGCCTCAACCTCAGCCTCAACCTCAGCCTCAGCTTCAGCTTCAGCCTCAGCCTCAGCCTCAGCTTCAACAATACTCGACGCCGGGCGTCCAGTACGCCGCCAAGAGTCAACCCCAGCAGGAGCAGGCCTACTATGTACCACAGAACGGCCACTATTTGAACAACTACGAGCAATTGCAGTACGTTTCTGATAACGCCATCGAACAGACCAACCAGCAGTACTACAATCCGCAGCAGTACTATTATTTACAGCAATATCAAGCGCCTAGTACTTCCATTCAAGCCATCATCGATCCAAAAGGTGAGCTAATTGCTCTGGTAACCACCGGTTTACATTTCTTCTTCTTTCGTCGCTTTGGCCTCTACTACTTAAGCTATACGCTAATACTATCTAATTTCAGGTGGTTTGCAGTACATAATGTACATTCCCACGTACGTAAAAGGCCAGGGGGAGGATCAGCAGCAAACCAACGAGCCGACTGCGACCTACCAGCAACCCGTTTACACTCCTGCTTACTCGGAGAAACCTGCCGATTACGAGACGTACGAAGACAAAGCGAGTAATTACGAAATAGGGAAGAGTTCGTACGTGCCTAAAGAGCAGGAGTTGGTGATTAAAAGGGAGCCGAAAAGTCTGTTGGACTCGTACGTGCCGAGTTTGCTGCAAATACAGTACTACAGGCAGGCTCAGGGGCATTTGAACAGCCTGCAGGATTCGCGCAAATTGAACGGGTACAAGTTGAAGCGATAATCGCAAGGGGTGCTTTGGTCGCTTTCGAATCGCTTATTATAAGTCTGATTACTCTATCTTGGTGCGTTGAAAAAAGTTGCGCCGGGGATTCCCAAATTATCGATTAATAAATAAATTGGTAATCGTACCGGTTTAATTGTAAAACATGTAACATGTACAGACTAAGGATTAAATTGGCCAGTTGTTGGGCAATGTTGTTAATTTTCTAACGAGAGCTGTATTATTTTCGGATTGTAATCCAATTTTACTTAACATTGTGTGTTTTTTTTTTTGTTATAATCAAGTAACAATTTGAATATTGAATAAAATAACTGTTTAAGGTTGGCGTTGAGTTTTAGTAACCCGGATTAATTGAATTGATTTGTGTTCAAAAGAAATAATGCAGTTTTGTAATTTCAAATTTACGGTACAAAAATTTTTTTGAAATTTACCGGAAATAACAGGTCTTGAAACTCAACTTTATGTTCACCATATACATATAAATATATAAATATGTATAAATATATTTATATGTATATGATGTTCACAATAAAACTAGTTTCAAGACCGGTATGAAAGACCGTGCATAATGCAACTGTCAATAAGGTCAATGTCAACAACGTCAATGTCAATAATGTCAGTAATGTCATTATTTTATTAAGTTCGAAAAAAAATAGTTTGTATATTTAAATTGTATTTTTTTTCAGTACACCGACGACGAATTAATTATAATTAACCATAAAAAGGAATAACATTCAATACAGTACGTACATTTCGCCCGACTAGTTAATTCCGGCGACTTCATTTGTTGTTGTTGTTTTTTGCAGATGTCATGAATTTTTCTGTCCAGGAATTTATGTTCGGGAGGCAAAGAATTCGACAATGGGTACCTTTAATTACACAACAGGTACTACACCAAGCGCTACTCTATCGAAATAATGTACACACCCGGTTTAAATTACACGAAAACAACAAAAACAAGTCATCGGGTTCTGTGTTTATCGTAACTATTTTTTCAGTCTCGCCTACGGCACGTGTACCAAATAATAGGCCTGAATCTCGGCACCGACGCAGCTAAATACTATTTCACGCTACATCTCACCACGATGTGCGCCCCTTTCTACACCAGCGAATCGATATCGAGCTCCAATCCCAAATGGGCTGAACTGAACCTAATGAACATGCCTCATCTATCGGCCTCCTGTATAGTCCTGCGGATATGGCAGCAGCTCAAAAACGAATCCGACGAAATTATCCTAACCTGGGGCGTGAATTTCTCAGGCTTGTGCTATTTAGGCAGTAAAATTTCCGAAATACAACCGTTCTTCTTCAAAAAGAATTCTGTGATATTTTCCATGCAAGGGGGTTTCTATACTAGTCACGAGGCCATTCGCACCGATTTACAGAAGCCCGTACCGTTTTCGAGCAGCGTTAATCTCATAGATACATCTAAAAACAAAGTTATGTATAAGAGAGTGGCCGTTAAATCGAACTACCACGATGTTCAATCTAGGTGAGCTCGAATATCGATGTACGATGTTGATTTACGAATCGGTTTGTTTCAGTTATAACGTAGAGAAATTAAGGAAGCTCCACCATTTGCAAATACAGATTCGAAAAACCGAGGCGGACGTGCAAATTCTCCGGGACAAAATCAACGTTTTGAACGGTTTCCACGAAAGGCCCGACAAAGATTTCGCTACCGGTGCTCAAAATAGTGCTGTTAGATACGCACCGCAGCTCCTCACTATGAATTCTTTGAATAAAATGCTCCAGGTGAGCCCCACGATGGCGATTTCTTTGGTGTTTTTAAAGGAGGAATATATTTTAGGAGAAACCGACTTCCGTTCAGAAACAGGAGATGCTCAGAATCAACAAGGAGATCGAAGTGTTTAAATTCAAAACGAAGCTGCTCTCGCAGGAGAAAGCTAAGAAAACTGTGATAATTAGAAACCTTAAGCAGAAATATTCCAGTATAGCCGAAAGTAACGAAGAAAGAAGTAAGCTCGATCGAATCGATTAGTTCTTTTTATATACGAATTTGTCCGTTGTAGATTCCGATTTGATGGAGAATTACCACAAACTAAGCAGAGGATTGGAGAAACTGAAAGAGTACAGGCGCGATCTAAACCACCACAAGGAATTGTACGCGGGCATTCAGGCGCAATTGCACCAACGTAGAAGGCAGCTATTGAAGGAACTCCTGTTTATATTCCCCATCGAAAAGCTCTCCAATGAAAAGTTCTCGATTATAGGCATACATTTGCCCAATTCCGACGTACTAGCGGATTGCAACGATAGCGGATTTTCGGTCGCTTTAGGCTACATAGCTCACATATTAATCATGTGTTCGACGTTCCTGCAAGTACCAATACGATATCCTTTAAATCACTACGGTTCGAGATCGTACATCACCGACAACGTATCACCTTTATTACCCGATAAAGAACGAGAGTAAGCGCTCCCTAAATCCACTCGAAATCGCTCTAACGCATCTCGTTTTCAGCTTCCCGTTGTATACGAGAGGAAAAGAGAAAGCCCAATTCACCTACGCCGTGTATCTCTTGAACAAGAACCTAGCGCAGTTCAGGTGGCTGGTGTACATGAACACCGCCGACCTCAAGGCCACGCTGCACAATCTCCTCACGTTCCTGCAGGGCCCCAAGGAGCTGCGCGCGGAGGCGGCGCCCTCGCAGATGAGACCGGACGCGGCGTCGTTGCGCCTGTTCAACATATCCAACGTTTCGGATCCGTTGTTGGAGTGCATCAGGCAGGAGACTCGCGCGGTGCGGACGAGCAGCCCCAATAGGAGGAAGTGCGCGCACGGCGAGTGCGGCAGGGGCTTGAGCGAGATCCTGGCCGTGCCCGAGGCCTATATGAACCGGCAGATCAGCTCGGATTCGTTCAGGAATTACGCGTTCGCTCAGAAAGAACGGGCGGGCGTTTGCTGTAATCGAGGCGAGTAAAAGGCCGCGACGATGACGTTGGTTGTTTACTTGTTATTGTTTTTAGGTGAGATAGGTGCGATAAAAATTTCGAACGGTAAGGAGATCGATAAATTAACCGCTACGAAGGGGATAAGCATAGAAGAAGGTACGGATCCTTTGGATGTTCCTTCGAACACTCTACCGATTGCTATTAGTTCGAATGCGAACCCGCGCGATAGGGAAGGCTCGAATAAACTTAACAATACTGGTTCTAACAGGTTGAGTAAATCGGTAGGGTCGTATTCGGATGATAAATTGGCTCTGCGATCGAACGTCGAATTGGGATCGGATCCTATACTGAGCGTTTCCGCTGTAGGAACGGCCGAACGTAAGGATATTCCTAAGGGATTGTACGGAAGTTGGCTGAGTAACTCGCCGAATGTGGAGTTTAGTAGCGGGGAAATGTCGGATTCTCCGAGAACTGCGGCTTCGGGGAAGAGTCCACTGATGGCTAGAACTAACGCCCTTCGTACTACGACTAGTTTTAATTTGGTAAGGCCCAAATAGGATTTGCTGCTATATTAGTACCGTACTCGTGTTAAAATTCCGTACTACATATTTGTATGTTCATATTCCAATGTTTATTGTACTTTTTATCGTTTGATTTTGACGAGATTTAGGGAAATTGTCAATTTTTTTTAATCCAATAGCGGTAAGTTTGTTAAACGAAGCAATTATGCGTATACAATATGCTCTTAAGTGTATTTTAACCCATTCGTACAAAGTTTTTTAAAAATTTCAACCAAAGAACATCGAATGAACTTAATAAAGCAACCATTTAGAAATAGAAATTCTGTGTATTTACAATTCAAGTTATCCATAGTTAATATAATAATACAATAATATATTTATATACAATACAATAATAATTTCATTAGTTTACAGCGTATTTGTTAACTTGTAGCAAACTTAAATAGGTCACATTTTCGTGTATTGACTAAAAGTAATTTCGAAAGAAAAATTACTCCATCCGCAAAACGTTTATTGGAATCTAAAGTAATTTTTCGGTTAAAATAAACGTGATTGTTTAAACTTTTAACTTAATTCCAAAAAAGTAAAACAAACCCCTTGACTACATGTTACGAGTGCCCCTACGATTTTTCAAGTCACCCTGTATTTGGTCAAAATAATGAAAAATGCATTACTCCGCGAAAATCTCGTATAATAAAAATAACTAATTTGTTTTATGTAAATTGTTATACAAATCTATACCGATTGCTGTAGGAAGAAAATCCTCGCCTACAATTTTTTTTACCAAGTCTCCGATTAAAATTGATGCCGTTTTATTCCCATTCAATAGAGTATCAAAATTATTTACTGATATGTCGTCAGGCGGCGCTTTTTAAACTAGATTTTATTGTCAATCTAGCGCATTAAATTACATTTTATTAGTCGCTTTTATAAACGAAGCGCGCGCGTCGCCTCACGGAAAAAACTCGTATAAAATTCAATATGGTAGCATTTAAAAAAAAAACAAAGGCCTCTAAATTTACGAACATTGGTACTACATCGTAAAATATCGGTCTATTTAAACACAAATTGGTTTTCAAGTCTTTTTTTTTCTTTTGATATTGAGATGCTTATCACTTCTTCATTTATGTTTAAATACTCCCAGTAAAAAAAGGATACTTGTACTAGCTAAAATGCGCCGAGCGTATTTTAGTTAATACTTGATATATTTAGGATTGTTACGATGGGATGGATAAATGTAGCATTTGCGTGTAGCAAAAGAGCAATTCCTGTAATTTAGAGACATTGTACGGAGTACCTATAAGCATAAATTCGGAGCAAAAAGCAACTGCTACATTTAATTCACCACACTGAATACATTCAAGTCCACACTCTATGGTTTTTATAAAAAAAATTAAAATAAAATTAGAGTACAAATGGTATTGATAAATTAGATACATAAATAAATCTATTTAGCAGCAAAATAGAAAAATATTACATTTTTTGTTTCCTCGATAATATTTACAGTAACTTGTACTACACCCGTTCGTTTCGCAAAAATAGCGACTACGATCAACCCGAATCGTACAACGCCGTTTCGATACCGTATTTCTACGAAACCGCGGGTCGCCCAATACCATTTCGTACTCCCATTTGAATTGTCATTCGCTCCGCTTGCAATCGATTTCCGATCAAACGCAAAAATCAATAACAAATCACCAGCTGCGCGCCGATGAGCGATCGCTACGTCGTCGCCGGCGAGTGGTTCGCCTGCGCTGGCGCCGCCGCCGCCGCCACCGCGTTCTGGGGCCCGTTCGTCTGGCCGGCGGCGTTGTTGCCGTACGGATGGTTCGAATTGCAAAGCACTGTATACACATTGTCCATATTGCTCAGCTTCTCGAAGAACGGTATCAGGTCCAGCAGCTCGGAGTCGTTCATGTCGTCGAACCACGAGGCCACAGGCACCTAAAAATTCATCGAATCATTCACCGGTTTGTACGCGAAAGCGTAGATGTTTCCAACGTTCCGGGATTTGAGATCTAATTAGATCCACAGAGGAGTCTTGTGGAACGTTATACAAGCAATTCCCAGAACTTTGGAAACAGCGCTCATAGAGTTATACTCTGTTAAAGGTATTGGACACTGGCGTAGTAAAAGGCCGCAAAAGAACGAAAAATGACAAAAACAATATGTCAAGTGTCAACTAGGATAATTTTCAAAATGGCGGACTATTAGAATTTTTATGACTTTTCGAGCTTTAGTATATTAGTTATTTAGTTATAACTTACAGCATTGTCTGGATGGAATATGTAGGAAGCGGGCGAATTATCGACGATAACGATCTGCTGCAGTTCCCTGCCCAATTTGTTCAAGTCTTTCACGTAGTTTCCTCGATAGAACACACAACTGTCCCTAAACAATCTCGCTTTGAACACGTCCCATTTGTCGAGCAGATCGGCCACCGGATCGGCGTACTTCGCCAACGAGGCCGTGAACAACACGCACTCGTACAGCTCCCCCATGCGCTGCAGGAACTCGTCGACGTGCGGCCGCTTCAGCACGTACACCTGGTGCAGGGTGCCGTCGATTTCCACCGGCACGATGAAATCGGCGTTGTTGATCGGCTGCAAATCAAACGAGCTGTAAGACACGCCAAAAATTCTACTCTACAACGCTACTTTGAAGCTGCTGTGCACCAGCGTCTCGTCCAAATCGATCACCATGCACTTCTTGCGCGCGTCCTCCGGCCGGGGCGGCTTCAGCAGGTAGCTGCACCGGCTGTGGTCGACGCAGGCGGCGCCGTCGAGGCACTGCTCCTGGCTGGGGGCCTTCGGCTTCTTCTGCTGGATGCAGCACAGCAGCGATCTGAAGAAGGTCTTCGTGGACGACATCTTCGTCGCCGGCGGCTGCGCCTGGCCCAGCTGCTCGATGGCTCCATCTGCGCACAGGTAATTGCTTTCAATGTGTGGAATAAGAAACGCGTAGGGATTAAAATGTGGCGATTTAACCAGTACAACTTGGCTGGATGCTTTCGTTGCATTCCTGAGAAGTCAAAGGCCTTTAAAGTGAGTTCGTTAGCGGTCTCGTGGAATAAGCGATATCGGTTTTCCTATTGAAACAATAATGATAAAAACAATGCGTTGTAAATGTTAATTATATTTAACCGCAAACAAACTAATGTGAATCAATTGATTGGTAAATATTTTGAGAAGTATCGAATATGTTGACTTCGTCATTATTTAATTCTAGAATTGATGTAGATGCGGTGTTGCCAATAGCTCTCGATTGTCCGATTTCCGAATAATTCTCGTCGCTTTCCGATAATTCTGTTATCTTATCTACCAGTACGTAATCCGGTCCTAATATATTTAAACTTGTTAGGAATTTCTTTTTAAATAGGCAATTATTACTATAACCCATCATAAAACTATTGAATTACATAGATAAAAATAGATGCACGTTTTTTTAAATGTCCCCAGAGTTCGAAATAGAGTTAGTCGAGCGGAATAGAATGGTTTCGACGAGATAGCGAATAAATAAGATGTGAAAGTATCTAAAAGAGGTCATAACGTAGAAATGGAATGTCGAGAATTTGCATATTAAAAAAACCACTGAAATAACTATCCCACTTTTTCCAGACTAAACAGGAAAACAACGAAAATAGAAAATTGCGATACGAGCAATTGTTCGAAAATAATAGGTCATAGTAGACCTTGATTGGAAAAAACTAAAAAACTCGATTCGAGTGTTTACCTCGCCTTGTTTACCATAGCTAACACGCCTACTGCATTCCTTTTCGCTTTTATTGCCCGGCGTATTAAATCAAATAGTAAAATTTAGCGTATTAAATGGCACTTAGTGCGAACGGCAGCGAGTCTAAATCGAACGAAATCATTTACCTTTTTCGGTAGCGTATGTATTCAGATGTTCCTCGTCCCTTGACACCTGGGTAATAATGGAAGATGCTTCCATTTAAACATTTGTTTGTCTACGACCGAGTGTTTACTTGTCCCTATTTCTGCCACATCGTCGGGACGCTCCAGCAGCTCGACGCGTACCTCGCGATGGTTAATTTTTCGTTATTTTCGCTAAACTTCGCAGAAATAAACTTTAACAACAATCAACATGCCCATTAAAAAACTGTTTTACCCGTAGCTGTCAAAAGTCGACGCGGGACTTTTGAATACCACCAGGACATTTAAATTTTGTTTTTACTTAATATCATCCCGAAACTACGGAAAACTCGACGATTCTTCTTGCGAACGAAGTGTGTTATTATTTCCCATCGGAAATTCATGAGGTTGTCGATAAACAACACTTTTAAACTTATAAATTACTGAATTTAATTATTTGCGACATACATGACATTTATCACGTGTGCTGACCGTAATTGACACATTGCACAGTACGCAAACTCGAACGCCTGATTGGTTCAAATTGACAACTATAAAAAACCAACCAATCAAAACAAAGTAGCGCTAAATAACTCCACGAGTGAAGTCCACAATAGTTCAAACGTACATTCAAAATTAGAAGAATTAGTTCAAATAATTTTACTATAGTCATGTCAATTTGTTATTAATGTTTATTTTACGATTTGTTTTAGCTATTTACATAAGAAACAGATTCGACTGGTAACTCACACATGTAGGTAATGTTGTAAATAACTCGTCACGATGCATTGCTGGTTGTTTTTCCTGTTCAATTTGTTTTTAACGCACACTTTATTGGAATCTACTGACAATGTCGGCGTGAAAAACCTAATGAACGAGCCGCCTTGCAGAGAAGTGAGCGTAATATGCGGCAATTTAAGCGACAACGACGATCTGCTGGTGCTCGAATGCCTGTTGAACTCGAATCCGCAACAAGTGAACAATCTAAATTCCGAATGCCAGACGATCATTTGGGAGCGAGTGAAGGACCTGATATCGTACAAAAAGGTCTACGAGCGACTGAAGCCCGTTTGCGGCCGAGATTTGACGAGTTTCCAATGCCCGAAAGACAATTATTTAAAGTGCCTGGCCAGCGACGGCGAGCTTAAAGACAAAGTGAGTAATCTTTGCTATAAAGCGGTCACCAGGCTGGAGAACATCGCTTTCACTGATTACAAATGGATCTACGAGTTCTTACGGGAATGCGAGAACGATATAAAAACCTTACATTGCGGTGTAATCGATGCGGATAATTTCTCGAATCTAAAAGTAGTAATGTGCCTACAAAACAACATACTAAACGTAGGCTCGAGTTGCAAGAAGGAAATCTTCCATTTAGCGGAATTGCAGTCTGTTAACATCAAATGGGACGCCCAGCTGAACGTGGACTGTCGCGAGGATTACCAAAGATACTGCAACGATTACGTGCAAGGTTCAGGCCGGGTGTTCCCCTGCTTGATGAAGATTCTAAACACCGAAGAATCGAAGATAACCACCAAGTGTCGGCAGCACCTCAAACGCAGAGAGAAATTAATATCGCAGGATTTCAAAATCAGCAAAGGGTTATTAAAAGCCTGCAAGGAGGACATAAAACGAACGTCCTGCAGGCAGAAAGTGTCCAGCGAGAAAACCGTCCGGCTGGCGCAAATTCTGTTGTGTTTAGAGGACTTCGAGCGCCGCAGGAGCGCCGACGTCGTCGAACTCAATCCGGAGTGCCAGGACGAGATAATCGTGCACAGGAAAATGCTATTAAACGACTACAATCTATCGCCCGAGGTGGTGTTTAATTGCAAAAACGAAACAACACTCTACTGCCAAAGCTTCAGCTTCGGCGGTAAAACTCTGCACTGCCTGATGGGACATGCTCTAAACACCGGCGGGGGCGCCACCAAACTCGGAGCCACCTGCTTGAGAGCCGTGAGTTACACCATCATTCCGAAATTAACAGTTTTAAAACCCATCGTATTCGTTTCAGTTGGAGGATTTGATGCACGAGACCGATCCGGCCGAGAACTGGAACGTCGATCCGGTGCTACGCCAATCGTGCGATCCGGTGGTGAAAATCGCCTGTAACCGCGTGACCGGAGGCAACGGAAGGGTCATCTCCTGTCTTATGGACAACATACGATCGGACGTGATGACCATCGAATGCGAAAACGCCCTGCTGGAGATCCAGTACTTCGTCGCCAGGGACTTCGAGCTCGATCCGCAGCTCTACAAAGCTTGCAACAAAGACGCGCGGAAATACTGTCACTTCGACTCGGACACGCCGGGACCGAGCTATTCCAGCCAAGTCCTACCGTGTTTATACAGGTAAACTGTTTATTACGCGTAAAATTCAACAGGAATGATTGTTGTATACGTTTTGTAGACATTCCGGTGTGGCCGATGATAAAATAGACAAGCAATGTTTCGAGGAGATCCTGCGGGTGATGAGGCAACGGGCCATTAGCGTGAACCTTCAGCCGCAAATCGAGGAGGCCTGCGTACAGGACTTGGGCTACTATTGCAGGGATAAGATCAAGAAGGGCGAGGAGATGCAATGTTTGCAGGACAATTTGGAGAATCTCGACGAAAAGTGCCAGGTGGCCGTCGACGATTTCACCGAAATGGAGGCGCAACGGGTCGAATTGAACCCGTACTTATCGAAATATTGCGCTAAAATCATACAGAATTTGTGCGCCAACGACGACGACGTCGTGGAATGTCTAATAGGTAGATAGATATCTAGCGTTTCGTTCGATTACATTACCGTTTAATTTTTTTTGTAGAAAACAAGAACCACGTTCAAGTGAAATCGGCGCCGAACTGTCGGGCGAGCATCGAACACTTCCAAATTGTATCTTTAAAAGACTACAAGTTCACGTTCAAATTCAAGCAGGCCTGCAAACCGTACGTGATAAAACTATGCGGTCGCGCAGCCACCAAAAGCGCCATCATCGAATGCCTCAGCGAGCAAATCCTCAACGCCACAGTGCACGGCTTGAAGAGCGGCGTACCGAAGGAATGCAGGCAACAACTGAAGGCCCAGCTGTTCCAGCAACGCGAGAAAATCGACTACAACCCGTCGTTGAAACGCGCCTGCGCCGCCGACATCGATAAGTTTTGCAAAAACGTACCGGTAGGCAACGCTCAGGTACTTACAGATGTCTATAAGTAGATACGAGGCATTACATTCGTGCATTTCAGATACTCGAGTGCCTGCAAATGGTGCAACGGGACTCGCTGAGCCCCTCCTGCGCGCCGGAGATCTTCAAAGCGCAGAAACTCCAAGCGTTCGACAACAGCATCGACTACGCGCTGTTGAGCAACTGCGACGCCGCCATCGATCTGTTCTGTCCGCACCACGAGAGGGAATCGGTGTTCGAGTGCCTGAAGGCCAACATGGACGAAAAAGGTTTCAACAAAAAGTGCCGGCAAATCGTCGTGCATCGCCTGATGGAGCGCAACACGAACTACCAGTTGAACCCGTCGTTGCAGAAGAACTGCGCCTTGGACATGAATAAATTCTGCAAGAGGGAGTTGAAGACGGCGGATAGGAAGCCGGAGGATTCGATAATCAAGTGCTTGAAGAACCAGTTCAAATTGTCGAAGTTGTCGACGAAGTGCGAGCAGGAGATGGCCGAGATACTGCGCGAGCGAGCTCTGGACGTCAACATGGATCCCCTGTTGAGGGTAACCGAAGCGTTTAGTGTGTATATAAACGTTATTAAATCATAGTATGTACGCAGGTGATGTGCAAACAAGAACTGGAAACGATATGTAAATCCGACGAGGATGTAAATTCCGGACGGACGGTGGAATGTCTCAAGAACGCCTTCCTCAACCGACAGATCACAGCGGCGGAGTGCAAGGTGGAGGTGGCCGGTTTGATCGAGGGCTCCGAGGCGGACATCCAGGCGGATCCGCTGCTGCAGCGGGCGTGCGCCATGGACTTGCTCACCCACTGCAAGGACGTGGAGCAAGGTAACGGCAGGAAAATCGGTTGCTTGAAGACTGTGATGGCCGCCGATCGGGAGATGTCGCCCGAGTGCAAGTCGAAGCTGCGCGAACGGTTGGAGATGTACAAAAACGCCGCGCAAGTGGTAGGATGCATTTTTAAGTTCGATTCAACTAAACATCTCTCGTTAAATGATATCTTTTTGCGAACAGGTGGAAGTGCCGGCGGATTTCCAGGACCTCTATCGCACGGTGTCTCTATCGCCGTCTAAAAACTACTTCGTAATAGTCATATTTATGATATTAGGTACCATATTCTTCGTGGGGGCGTTCTGCGGGCGGTTCTCCAAGAGGAAGTACAGGCTGTTGAAGAATAAGTGACGATTGAGGAAAGTTAGGCGGTTAAGTGATTACGTTATGTTGTAAGATTCAAACGAGCCAAATTTTTAGGAACAATTTCGAGTGTTTTTTTTTATATGATATACGCATTATTGATGTACATCAAATTTGTAGTCGTTAATTTGTATATACGATAATATCGCGGGTTCCTAATGATAGTGCCTATTGAAGTAAAATTGGTTGCCTATCCATCAGGCACAAATGACCAAAAGTATGCCTATAAAGTCTCTATACAAAGACGAGGTGAAAAGTTCTCGGTCTAGAAATGAAACACAAAGATTTTCAGTTGAAATTTTGAATTAATTTTTCTTATTTGAATTTCTATTGGCAGTTCTAAATGATTTTGGAGCGCTCTAAATGGTTCTAGATAATTCTAAACAAGCTTTTAGACAGTTCTAAATTATTCTGGGGCGCTCTAGGTTGTTCTAAATGATTCTGGATCGCTTTAAATGGTTCTAGATAATTCCAAATATTTTTTAACAAGGTTTTAGACAGTTCTAAGTGATTTTGGAGCGTTCTAAATAGTTCTAGAACTAACTATGAATTTCCCAAAGAGGAAACAAAAGTTTCAGCCGATTAGAGCGCCCTCAGTGTATCAGGTCGAGAACTTTTGACCCTACCCTCGTATTATTGAGTAAAAAAAATTGGTACTATCATTAGGAACCGCCTCGCACGTGCCATGCGGTGAATTTTGTGCGAAATTGAAGCTATTTTTACACGAAAATTCGCAAAATAACACAAAAATAAGATAAACTCGTAAATGTTATAAGACAATTTTATTTAGCACGTTATCCTTTTTAGCGGAGAACACGCATTATTTACATCGGTCATTCTAAAATCATCTGTGCTTCAACATACAAAATTTCGAACCGAAATATCTTTTATATACAGAGCGTGAGTTGTGTTTGTGCGGCCTCGAACCTCTCGGGGCGGTTTAAAGCGTTTAAAATTGACATTCGAAATGTTATATCTCTCTGCGTATATTTATATATTTTTATTTAAAAAAAGGACGGTAAACTTAAGCGAGGACGGTGCATCGTGCTGCGGCTTATTCGTGTCGAATCCTACGATCCTTTACAAAAATCAAAAGCTACTTTTAACAAGTAATTGTTATAAGAAACGAGATATCTCTTACACAACGATGAATCGATGCTGTTATAAAACAGCAGCACTAAAATATGTTTTATAATCGCTACACTATTAAATTCAATTAGTATATTTTTACACGAATCCGATTAAAGTAAAACGTGATTATTCCAGTGGAAAATCTTTGGCAACATTTTATATTCGACTAGTATAATTTAATCTAAAAAATCCAGCAACGTATTATCTACATATCCGGAAACCTATAGTATCTTTCCGTAACATTCAACAACATGTAATAAAATTTAATACAAAAAACACCAGATTAATCTCGTAGCGAGCGAGTGTAAAATTCTTAAAAACGTGTAGATTAATTCCTGTAATTAAGTAATAAAAAAATGAGATAACTACGTATAATAAATCCAATAATTAACCAGAACTTTTTTGTTGGTTAATCGTATTCGAGTCTTCACCTTCCCTTCCAATTCAGTTGCATTCGCTTCTACCGCGCGAAATGTGAAGACCTCGCAGAAACCAGAAAAATTCGTTGATTTTTTTGTGCGACAATACTACCAAAATACATCCGTAAAAACATCATTTAAACAGCGATATAACAAACGAATTTCCTAACTACATGCGGGTGTGTCGGGTAGATTCCAGAATAAACCTACTAACATCCAACTCGAATTCGGGGGAGAATTCACCCCAAGACCCTGCTGAAGAAATTCGGATAGAACGGCCTGCCGTGCGGCCTCGTCAACTGGCGTTGCCGGTTAGGCTTCGGGCGCTGCTCCTCCTCGTTCAATCCCTCCGCGCCGACCTTGGTTTTCTCAGCGACTTCCTTCTGCACCGCCGGCTTCTCCCCCACCGGTTCGCTGTCGTTGTTCCTCGCCAGGTTCTCGTTCAACGCCTCGATATTCGGATCGATCCTCCTGGTGGCATTCTCACCATCACCACCGTCCAGCAGCTCCAGCTTGTTATCCTCCACGTCGCGCTCGATCACCTTCGGCGGTTCCTTCCTGAACGTGCGGTTCAAGTGCGGGGATTTGTCGCCGACGATGGGGAACACCTCCACCTCTTTGTTGAGGTCCTCCATTTCGATTTGGCGCTCCTTTTCGTCGATGTCCCCGTCGATTTTCGCCGGATTTGGTTGCGTTTTATCGGTCGGTTTGCGCTTCTTGGGATCCGCGTTCTTGTAGACGTCTTTCTTCGACGTTTTCTTGGCGGTTTTGTTCGACAGCTTCGTCGACGGTTTGTTCTTCACGCCGTCTTCATCCTCTTTGGGCAGCGCCGTCTCGTTCAATTCGATTATATCGAACATTGTACCTACGATTAGATAATCAAACATAATTCTATCTATTTATACCGATCTTTATACCGTTTTCTATGATGCTAAACAGCTGTCCTTGACTGATAGCGCTCGGGTACTCGGCTGCAGCTTCTCTTTCCGCCAGACTCGCGTTGTAAGTACTAGTTTCCGGCGCGTCCGTTGTTGTTGTTCCGATTTCCGTTGTTGTTGTCGAGGCCACGTCCCGGACGATCTCCAGCTCGTAGGTGACGTTGTCGTTGGACGTGTTCGAATCTGCACTAGGTCCGCTCGTTACCTCCGTATCGTAGTTAGTAGCTAGAAAGAAGAGTGAATGTTTATGCTAAAAACCAAGTTTGTAAAGAGCCTTAGGTAAGTATTCCTTTGGAGGAGCTGGAGGAAGTATTGGCGAAACAAGAGGATGTTCTAGACGTGCTGGGGAATGAAGAGAAAGAGCTGGAGAGCATCTGAAAGCAGTACCTGTGAAGGTTTCGAAGGTGGAAGAGACCTTGCGGGTGCTTTCGGTGGAAGAAGCGCTGAGAGTATCCTCCGTTTCCCGCCTGTGCCTGGTCGGGGTACCGTATTCCGTGTCAATAGTGTTAGAAGTCCAGATGGCGGTCTTCGTCGATGAGGAAGTGGTGGCGGGTACCGTCGATTTGGCGCTCTTATCGTCGAAATCCTCGCTCGATATGCCGCAGGTCAGCTGCTTCAGGATGTCCTCTCTGTCCTGCAAGCGAGAAATTTCCCCATAGAGACACCTCAAGATGGCGTAAATGATTGTTTGAGGACTCACCGCGTCCCCTTTGCAAGCTATTCTTTTGGTGCCGTCGAGGCCGCAGTCGGACGTCAGCTCCAGCGAGGATTGCTCCGGGATGTAGAGGACGGTCAGCGAGGGCAGCTCGGTGAGCAGGCAGCCCCGCGGGCCCGTCGCCCACGAGGGAACTGCGAACAGTTTATTTCAATTTCGCTGGAATTGCAGGAGATGATTGATACTTACTGGGCGTTTCGCAAATGAAAGAGGCCACTTCGGGGCCGCCGCAGGCGAAGGATTTCCACAGGAAGTCCTTGGCCGGGTCCATTGCGACGCACAAGGGGTTGCCGGATTGCGGTATGGGCTCCTGCCAGTGGCCCTCTCCTGTTAAGGGTTGCAGTTTATTGCTGAAAGCAGACCGGTTTTTGTCGATATTCGAGAACCGCTGTGTTATACAGAGTTTTCATAAATGATTGGTTCCTTAAAGTTTATGCAACCAAAAGGGCACGGTTGTTATGATTTTCAAGAAATGTCCCTATTTTGAATTCAAATCAACACAGTAGCGTTCCTAAAACGGCCGCTAGGAGGCGATGTTGTAAAGGACCCCGGTTTTTTGCGTACGAATTATGTAGAATTAGCATTAAGAAAGGTGTTATTCAAACTAAAAATAGATAGAAAATATAAAAATATACTTAAATCAGCGATGATTTTGTTGTAAACATCGTGCCTCACGTATCTTCGGTTAATGTATTTCTCCATTTTCTCCTCGAAATGTCAAAATTATTTTTGAAATTTTGACAGCTTGAACTGTCGTTTCACACAACTGCGATTTTTATGTAGCGCGACGCTGATTGACATTAATGTCAGTATTCTAGTAACTTTTTTTTGAGGTACCAACATAAACATAACAAAATTACTACGTTTCATTACGAATTCGGTCGCGCGGGAAACAATCATTTACGAAGACTCCGGTAGTAATCTCACCTCCAAGTGAACGGTTTATCCACGTTCTTGGAGAGTCCTATCCAGACGTTATCCGCTATATCCAGCTCCTTCAGATAGGCCCTGATCGCGTCGTATTGGGACGAGCTGTCGGCTGCAACAAACAACAAACCGCCCCTTAAGATAATCCACTCGGTGGTTTTAATTAAAAAACTTTCTCGCCGCTCTCCGGATTTTCCTGTTTCGACAACAATGACGCCCAGAAGCGAGCAGGAACAAGATTTTCCGAGGACGTAACGCGTATGCTCGAGGACTCTCCTCCTTTTGTACAAGAGGGTTGTTGTGATAGCCCTCTCGAAATAATCAGCGGGAATTCTCGGATGATTAATGTTGCTTTAAAACGGTTATTTTGTGTTTGGTATGTAGGAAAAAATACATGTAGTTTACACACAACCCCTATTGTGTTTTATCGCGAAAATCACGTCCGTTATTAATGAATTAAACTCGAACAATAGCCGCGATAGATTCATCATCCCCATTTCGGTGGCGTAATTAAAATCACTGGACAACGAGCGACGGGCATTTAGCCTATTTACCGGGTAAAAAATCACCCCCCGGGCCGTACAAAACGAATAATTCGACAATTCGGGGCGCTATTAAAACGGGGTATCGCTGACATTGACGGATCCCTCGCTATATTAATTATAAACCAATCAATTAAATTTTTCCATCTAATTCGATGTAATCGCCCGCGGGTATTCCCCGAACGGCGATCCCGCAAAACGGGATTTAATTACTCTCCGGACGGCGACAAGTCGACCCGCGACAGGTCCGGTGAATAATTCACCGGGAGAAGGGGGCGTCGCGACGCCCGATGACGGATGGTACGGACGCGGGACGTCGCGGCGCCCCGGCCGTTGTCTTGTCGTGTCGTTGCGGGTTTCGCGCCCCCCGACTAAACGAGGGCTATCGATCCGTCGCGACGCGCCATCGACGCCCCCCCCGACGCTCCGGAAGGTCGACCTGCACCTACAAACCCGATGTATACAGGGTGGTTTGTCTATTTGTTTTTTGTATTCGTAAATTTGTAAGGGTTTAAATGGGTTTATTTTTAGTGGTTGTTTCATAATTTGTGTTTTTTTTGTAGTGTGCTGGGAAGGGGTGGTTTTTAGTTTGATCGATCGCTGCCCGGGGGTGTTTATATTTATAGAAATCGAAGGGTGAGGTGTCCGTTCGGATTCACCTCTAATCGTGCGGTCGGTTAAACGAGGGATGGAATTTTCCAAACGATTTTCCCTACCCCGTCGATGAAACGCCAAAACAACCCTTCGAAGTGATGCCGAAAGGGCTATTTAAAAATCGCAACAAACGGGTTGTTTGAGAGGCTTTAAAAATGCATAGTAGTGTTAAAAAAAACTTGGAATAATCCACGAAAATCCCCTATCTGAACTTCCATTCTCGCAATAAAACTAACTAGTCCCCTCCGGAAAGTCCAGTTGAAAATTCGAGTATAATACTGGGTGAAAAATATTGTGGTAATTTTCTTTTTGAATTTAGAAAACTTACAAAATAGCGAGATCGATACCGGGGCTGCGCCGTACGGAGTAGCCCCGATAGAGTAGCCTAATGAATTAATGACGATCGAAAAGTTTTAATAGAGTTCCCTAATGGGGTTGCGGCCGAGAGAGCTCATTAGGCTCTATTAGTTATCGCCCGCTCCTCGTAGAGGCGCCCGACCCGACCCTTTTTCGATCAAAAACTCGCCGATTCGGCGGAAATTTCGCATATAAAAACTCCGTTTATGGCCTCCATAAACTACCCGGTATCGCGAATCTAGTCGACTGGGGAACTGAAATTTCACTATACAGGGTGGTTACTACATAGCGCACCCTGTGTAGTAAAAACTGAATTAAAACAGGGGGCGGTTATCGAGTCTCGGAACGGGAAATCTGGAAGAATTAATCGCTCCGCTTTGCACCAGCTTTTCCGAGCGACTTGTAATTGACTCGGGCGATGTTTTCCGGCGAAACGTTCCGGTATTATCGCGGGTTCATTTGCTGGATTAAATTTTACAGCGGCATTTTCCTAATTGGCACCAGAAATGAGATTTTTCTTTCGAACTCACCGGTCACCAAGTAGCTGTGGTGGAATTGACAGACGGCGTCCGCTTCGAACCAGGAGATGCGGTCCCGGAAGTAGCGGTAGAACACCGGAAAACCCTCTTCCGGTAACACCCACGTGTTGCTGATGTTCACCTGGAACAAAAATCCTCCTGTAAGCTTCGCAAGAAACCCGAAAAAATGGCTTTAGAAACAACTAAAAACCACCAAAAAAGCTACAATGTTTTCGTTTTGATGAAACTTTAAAGTTAAAAAACGCGCATGTGATGTCTCCAGCTATTCCTGACGATCTGTATCTAGTTCATAATGATTTTTTCCATATTTTTTTTTGGTTTCTGGACCATTCGAAGCTACTATACCCAGCTATTCCTGTCGATCTGTACATATCTAGTTCAGAATGATTTCTTCCATTTTTCTTTGCTTTCTAGACAATTCGAAGCTACTATACCCAGCTATTCCTGTCGATCTGTACATATCTAGTTCAGTTCCATAATGATTTCTTCCAATTAACATCTCCAACTATTTTTACCTCACTGTACTTAATCTAGCTTCCTCTGTAGTTTCCTCCAATTTATGCTCATTTCATTGACTACTCTCTCTTTTAACGCGTCAATTGACGTCTCTAGCTATTCCTGTCGCACTGTAAGTGCCTCGAATTTTTCGGTTGCCCCTCGTAGATTCGTGCAATTAGGGTAGCGCATAATTTTCACCGAGCTCCAGGAACAAGTCATCGCTTTTTGTTCCATCCCCTATTTCTTCTTTCGCTGCGACCGTTAAAAAGCCCGAAGGAAATACCCGGAAAAACCCCGAGAACAGCGATTTACAAAAAAAACTTTTTACATTTTTTTGCGGTGCATAAACCGGAAGGATTTATCGAGAAATCGGTGTAGTCACCAGGACGACCCGATTTTGATTTTTACCCCAATGTTTCAACCTCACCCCGAATATTTACCCTCATCAATAAACTATACATTTAATTCCCACCGCCCCGCCCGTCCCCGGACGCTTCCCCGCCCCCCAAAAAACCGCACGAAATCCTCCAAGGACCCCGCGCGAAAAAAAAAAAACAAACAGAAAAATCTCCGCTACTCACCGCTCGTCCTGCGGCGAAACTCACAAGGACGAAGAGCACGGGAAACGCACCGAACAAAAGGCCCATCCTGCGTGAGATGTGCTCGCTCCTGCGACGTCGGGACGACACTGGCCCGACCAGCAGGACCCGGCGCGAAAGAGGCGCCGGACGCGCGGCGTCGCGACGCCCCGCGGGCGCGGGAAAATTCGAAAGTTCGTCCGAGGATCGGATTTTCGTTCGAGAGGATCATTCGGCGAGATCAACCCCGGAAGACGGGCGATTTGTATACAGGGTGAGTCGAGTTTAAGGGGGCAAAATGTAGTAGTTTAAGAGGATATCTCGAGGAGTTGTGAAAAACGCACTTTAATCAATAAAATGAGTTGAAAATACCCAATTTAGTAGAAAAATCGATTGAAACAAGCACTTTAATCAATGAAATGAATTGAAAATACCTACCTAAGTAGAAAAAATAATTGAAACACGCACTTTAATCAATAAAATGAGTTGAAAATACCCAATTTAGTAGAAAAAATAACAGAAAAACGCACTATAATCAATAAAATGAGTTGAAAATTCCCAATTAAGTAGAAAAATTGATTGAAACAAGTACTTTAATCAATAAAATTTCGTCCGAGGTTCGAATTTTCGTTCGAGAGGATCATTTGACGAGATCAACCCCGGAAGATGGGCGATTTGTATACAGGGTGAGTCGAGTTTAAGGGAGCAAAATGTAGTAGTATAGGTTTCGCTGTTTAAGAGGAATTTCTCAAGGATTTGTTGTCTCCTTAAAGCGTCCTGTATAACTATAAAAAGGGTTTTAATAGAGACATATTTTCCGGGGCAAGTGGTTTGGAAAGCGATGCGATTTTCGCGCTAGATTTAGCGAATTATCGACTGACGGGTGATTTTCCGAGGCTTTTAGAGGCGTGGAAAAAACGTATGCCGAAGGAAACGAGGTCGTCGAATTGAATCGTAGCTATTTAGATGATCATTTGTCGTCGAATTCCGATCATTTTCGAATATTTCCCGCTTTTCCGGGCGGAAAACTCGAGGCGCATGCGCGCAATAAACGTGGTTGGCGCGTCAAACATCAGCTGTGGGTTTAAATTGATGTTTAGATAAGGAAGGAAAATACAGATGCGCATACTGATAGGGCATTAGTCGGGGAGATTGTGGTGAAAAAACGATTTTCTCAAGAACAACAATAAAATTTACATAGCGTTAGTAATTTATTTAGCGCTTTCCCAAATCGAATAAAAAACGCTCCGTTTAATTATGAATACATCGTTAATAGTTGATACATATCCATATTTATATGATTCTTTAATTGGGGATGAAAGAAAAAGCGCTCCGAGCCCCCCGACTAATGTTTTCGTTGCGAAAATCGCTGATTATGGAATCCGTTTTCGTCCACCTGTGCTCGCACAAATGACGCCCGTTTTTCCCGAAAACCGATCGCTTTCCCCCCGCGATTCTTCCCCGGCAATTTTCCGAATTTAGTGCAGTGGCTTGGTGATTATTTCCGCACCGAATGCTTCGGCCGGTTCCTGCCAATTTCATTTCGAAATTTCCACGCGCCTCGTCCCGATGGCGGCATGACGGTGAGTTTTCCCCGAGGGGTTTTCACCTATTGCCCTTGTACTGTTGCAAGTAATTAGTTTTTTTTTTTTTGTAAATAGAAGGATTATTGTTGTGGAAATGTCGCGAAGGCATTGACCTACTTGTGGCCGTTGCATCGGAGCAGGCGTGGGTTGGGAAATTTGCTTATTGTAAATGTAAAATTAGATTTTCCCGAAAACTTCGAGAGAATGGCTTTTGTTTGGTGAAAATTGGCGGAAAAATGGTGTGAAATAGGCGAAATTAATACACGTTTAATGCACAGATAAATTAGTAAAAGAAAACCATACAGATGTAACAATTATTTTTTTATAATTATCGACGCTATTACTGATTAAATCCTCCGCTAAAAATAATCTAATAAACACGTAAACACTGCCCCCCAGAGGTTTTGTTGTAATAACCTTGCAGTGTACATTGCAAAAGCGATTTCCCACACACACTAACAAACACAATCATTTTATTTGCCAATAATCAATTTAATCCGACTTTTAATTCGCATTCCACAAAATCGGCCGGTTTTTTATTTATCGAAAGGTCGACTTGACGCAACTGAATTTTATGCACGCTATACAGGGCGTCCCAGTTAAAATATCCGATCGTCTAAAGTACAACCCTGTAGATATTGTAGAGATGGGAATAACATATTGAGCGCGGAACGTAACGTATGTATAACAGATCGCCCTGTAGATATTGGATGTTGTAGAGATGGGAATAACGTTACAAATAACATAACGAAATACCTCTAGACTTTTTTTTGGCAATCGAGTGGATTTTTTGACGCGAAATCGAATGCAAGTCAAATGCAGTTGGGGATTCCGGTTCGCCTGGTCGCCAGTAATGATTCCGGATAACAGGTAAACGATTATTTCCCGATAATGAATGATAAACATAACCGATTCGGCCATTTTGCATCGATAATTTTCTGTTTATTCGTCGAATTGGAATAAGATAATCCGCATTGTACTTGTAATAATGATTTTGATCGGGTTATATTTTTACGCAAACGAGGCGCCGAGAACTTGGACTTGGGATTTTCGGCGGCGTTGCCGGATCGCCGGGGACATTTCGCGGGTCCGGGGAATTCGCTGAATTAAAAGCTGAAATAAAATTACTTGTGCTTATACCTAAAGTACCTAAAAACGACGCAAAAACGCACTTATTTCATTTAAACGACTTAAGAATACCCATTTAAGTAAAAAAATTGATTGAAACAAGCACTTTAATCAATAAAATGAATTGAAAATACCCAATTAAGTAGAAAAAATAATTGAAAAACGCACTTTAATCAATAAAATGACTTGAAAATACCCAATTTAGTAGAAAAATTGATTGAAACAAGCACTTTAATCAATAAAATGAATTGAAAATACCTACTTAAGTAGAAAAATTAATTGAAACACGCACTTTAATCAATAAAATGAGTTGAGAATACCCAATTAAGTAGAAAAATTAATTAAAACAGGCGCTTTAATCAATAAAATGAGATGAAAATACCCAATTCAGTGGAAAAATTAATTGAAACAGGCACTTTAATCAATAAAATGAATTGAAAATACCCAATTAAGTAGAAAAATTAATTGAAACACGCACTATAATCAATAAAATAACTTATAAACACCCAATTCAATAGAAATAATAATTTAATAAATCAATTAATGAAATAAAAAAAGACTTACAAACCTTTTCCGAATCGCACGAACCGAAACCATCAAAAAATAATCTTTTAAAACGAAGAAATCTATTTTCCGGCATTCCACACAACAATAACGAAAGAACTCGTACAACCGTGAAACTTAGGCAACGTCGATTTTTAATTTTAGCGCAGTTTCACTTTTTATTTCCATTTAGTCGTGCGTAAAGTCGCATGGAAACCGGTTCGCGCACGTTTCGCGTCCCAATCGTCCGAGCACGTGTACCGATCGCGTGTTTATAAATATTTTTTTCCGAATTTTCCACGCGTTTCCGCGCTGGCCGGCCTTTGTTTACAAATATACCGGGTGATGAGCGATTTTGTGCCAGAGATTTCCATTGCCAAAGAAGGTTAATTGCGTCGATTCCACCAGCAACAGGGTGTTTATAAAGTGATTAGTTTTTTGCTCCGGAGCGACTGGCAATTTAAAATGAAACTAAATTTTGTGTCACTCGGTGTATAAACACACTGTATACACCTTGCTCCATTTCCGATTGCAACATGGTCATTTCTATGAGTGGAACAAAGAAGGATTATTAAAATGACAGGTGTCAAAGTGAAAAGTTGCAATGACACAAATGTCACTCTTTCCTTTGTAAATGTCTAATATGGAAGTTGTCTTTATCGCACCCGTGGCCTATACAGGTTGCTCCATTTTTGATTGCCTTTTTTGGCTCCATTTTTGATTTGAATATAGTTTATATAGGTCATGGGTGCGATAGAGACAACTTCCATTAGACACTTACAAAGGAAAAGGAAAGAGTGACATTTGTGTCATTACAACTTTTCACTCTGACAACTGTCATTTTAATAATTTTTGTTCCGCTCATAGAAATGACCATTTTTTATGATTTTTATGCGTATATGCTTGCTAATGTTTCGTGCGATAACTTGGAAAATTTTCGTGTTTGTTTGTGTTGTGATAGTAATCTTTTATTTATGTTAATTGCTTGTTGATGGTATTTTTTTTACAACAAAGAAATGCAAAATTTCGACTTTTGGATCGCCCTGTATATACAACGTACTTTCCCTATTTAGTTGCTAATTATACGATAATTTCTGTGCTATTATAACGTGCAATGGGGGGGGGGGAGTAGGGCAGCCAAATATTATTGATTTGAAGCGGTAGAAATGTTACAAAACACCCTGTATATTCGCTTCAGTACTCGAACAAACGATCATAAACTAGCCCAAAAATAACGACGGTTATGTACCGTTATCTTTTGTTGTGTTTATTTCCAAATTTACATCAATATCGGTATCTCTCCGTGTCGAAACGATAATTTATTATTTACCCTCGAAAGTTTTCCATTGTCCGATTTCACGGGCTCGGAAAAAGCTGCAGATTTTCGAAATTTTCGATAAACCTCGCGCAAACGTTTCTGTTTTTCGTCCGATTTTATAAATTTAAACGCGAAAAACAAGCGTAAATCATTTGTTGAATTCCCGGCAAACGAAACTCGAAATATTAATTCGCTATATTTTACCAGTAGGTTATTTTATCGACGAAAATTATAGATTAACGAATGTGTTACACTGCTGATTAGTTTTTTTTATATACGAGGTGTATCGAAAAGGTTATCCGGTTACAGAACTTCTTAGGGTAATGTGTCAAGGATGAAAACTCTATTTTATGTACTCATAAGTAATGTAAAATATACGAAAAGAGGTAAAAAAATCCTTTGTAATCTGATACTACTAAACTTGCGCTAGTTTTAATTAAATACAGGGCGTTTCATTGTAATCCATTCATCGCGAGTCTATTTATAGAAGGCTTAGTTAAATATGCAAAGGCCACAATAAATATCTAAAAAGAATGCCGATAGTTTGTTTACAATCGTTTATATTTTCTCCTTTGGTCATTGACCGGGCTCGAATTTTCATTACAATATGCAATAATATCAATTTAATACAATTTTTAATTGTTGCATCAACACACACACACAAACACAAGACGCACAGTAATCGTTTTATTTACCACATTTTACAATCAGATAAAAGTAAATACGCGGCCGATGGCGGTATACAGGGTGGCTCATTAGCATGGAAAACCCCAAGACATTCTTTACAAAATTTGTAGATTGTACTCCACTCTAAATCTATCCTACTCTTGAACTACTAATCTCTACTATACTCTGAATCTACTTTACCTATACTCTGAATCTACTTTACCTACTCTGAATCTACTATATTCTAAATACTCTGAATCTCCTCCACTCTGAATTTACTATACTCTAAATCTACCCTATTCTGAATCTACTTTACCTACTATGAATCTACTAATCTGCTATATTCTAAATGTACCCTACTCTGAATCTCCTTCACTCTAAATCTCCTCCACTTTGAATCCACTTTACCTACTCTGAATCTCCTCCACTCTAAATCTACTCCACTTTGAACCCACTTTACCTACTCTGAACCTACTCTATTCTGCTCTGAGTCTACTAATTTTGTACTCTAATTCCACTCTCATGAGAGTTCTTTACTGTTTTACTGTTGAACTAAATTCCCTCTGGGTTAGTATACAGGGTGGGTAATCGTTATTATGTTTGTTGCAGTTCGTTAATATGTCAATCGGTAGCACGAAGAGGAGAGACGAAGATGAAGACAGCGAAATGCCGCCGCCGCCCGACGGCGGTTGGGGGTGGATGGTGGTTTTTGGTTCTTTCATGATACACGTTGTCAGTAAGTAAATTTCTAATGCGATGTTAATAATAACAATTGTATGGTAAACTCGTGGTTTTTATGAATATTAATGAATGTTATTGCAATCGGAACGATAGGAAATTTATTTATTAGTAACAGAAAACCGCTATCTGTTTGGATTTAGCCCGGCCTTATCGGAGTTTCGATACTCGCGCAAAACTTTATCTAAATGAGTCAACAACAAATCGAATATAACATTTAATGTTGCGCTACTTTTGCTCTCTTGATATTTTGTTTTGTAAAATTTACTCGCTTTGTAACAAAGCAGCAGAGGGCAAGACTGGATGATTAACAGAAGTTTTTGGAAATTTTTAGAAATTTTAACTTCAAATTTACGAAAATAGCGATTAAATTTATTATCTAATCCCGCTATTTAAATATACAAAACTCTTTAATTTCAGTAATCTGTGCCAATTTGAGATAATTTATATCGTGGGTACACGTTTTTATTATCTTTAATACATTCAAAATGTTACACATTTAATCAGATAATCGAGTCTTATTTAAAACGACTACATATCGTACATAAACACTTGTCAGTTGTACTGCAATCTTGTTTTATAAATTATTGATACTTATTCATCGTTTGCGAGGTCATTTTTACCGCTAAAAATCGCCTGAAAACACGAGGAAGCGCGTCGAAAATGAATGTATTTATAACACTCGGAACGCGAAAAGAAATTTCCTCGTTGATGCAATCGAATTTCGAAACATCTCTTCCCTATTTTATAGAAATAATATTTCTTCTTTTACAGCCGACGGCGTCACGTATTGTTTCGGCATATTCTACGACGAATTTTTGGATTATTTTAGGGAAGGACAGGGCTTCACGTCATTGATTTTGTCCATTTTGGTCGGAGTCACACTGTGCTCGGGTAAATCCCCTTAATCAAACTCAATGACCCGTATTCAGCGCCTTACTTGAACCTCAATTGAAAAAAAAAATCTCCTTGGTTGCTCCATAACGATGAAAAACTGTCAAATTAAGGAGTCCTTAGTTACTCCATAACAACAATGTAAATCTGTCAATTTGAAACAATATCCTTAGTTACTCCATAACGACAATGCAAATCTGTCAATTGAAAGAATCTGGAAGGCGTTGAATACGGGCCATTAAAACTCTCTTGTAGTGTGCATTTTTGTTTTGTACACAGTATACAGGGTCATTCAATGAAAACTCTACAAGCATTCAACTTATCGAAAGATCCTATATAAATAATACCAATAATAAAAACGACTCCACCAGGTCCGTTATCCAGCTACTTCGTGAACCGGTACGGATGCCGGGCGGTGACCATAGCCGGCTCGCTGCTCGGCTCCGCCTGCCTGGTGGCCTCCTTCTGGGCGCAGAACGTCCTCACGCTGTGCCTGACCGTCGGCCTCGGCACCGGCGTCGGCTTCGGCCTCATCTACCTGCCGGCCATCGTCAGCGTGACCACCTACTTCGAGAAGAAGCGCTCGCTGGCGACGGGCATCGCCGTCTGCGGCTCGGGCTTCGGCACCTTCATCTTCGCCCCGATCATCTCGAAGCTGTTGAACGAGTACGGCTGGCGCGGCTCCATCCTCATCATCGGCGGCATCATCTTGGAGTGCATACTGTTCGGGGCGCTGTTCAGGCCGCTGGAGACGGCCGGCGGCGGCTCGCGCAAGAGCGTCAAGGGCAAGGAGCTGAAGCCGTCGGAGGCCGTCGTGGATTTGCACGTGTCCGAGCGGGACGTGCGCGAACTCACCACCGGTTTATTACACAACGGTGGGTACGGTAGGTTGATCGGTGCGCCGATTTCGCAACGCTGTACTTAACGTTGTATCTGCGATCGTAAATGGGCGAAATGTTTGTTTAGGCGCCGTCAACGGCAACATGCACCGGCCCCACAGCGTGGCGCACTTCACCATCAGCAAGCCGACGCGCGCGGAGGCCAACGGGGCGGCGGCGGCGGCGGCGCCGTCGTCGGAGAAGTTCTCGCAGAGCGAGACCTCCAGGCTGGCGCTGAGCCAGCCGATGCTGACGCAATCGGAGGGCCGGTACCGGCACCAGTACCAGTTCGGGAGTCAGGGGTGGAGGCGGCACGGGCCCTTCGACCGGCCCGACGTGCTCTACCAAGGCAGCTTGATGAACATACCTTCGTACAGGTCCAAGTAAGCCGACTGGTCGATTATTAGATTGTGTATTTTATTCGGAATCGGTTGTCGATAGGTTGAGCTTGAGGAAGGGCGAGTACGGGGAGCTGATGGAGCGCCGAGATGGCGAAGAGGAGGCGGCGCGGGCGAAAGTGTGCGGGTGCGTTCCGTGCAGCGAAGAGGTACTATTATTAACCACGTAATTAACACGTTAAAACGAGTATTTCCAGGTTAGGGAAATGCTGGATTGTTCGCTATTCCGCGACGTGATCTTCCTGTTGTTCTCGTTCAGCAATCTGCTGACCAGCATCGGTTTCAACGTGCCGTACGTGTACTTGGTGCCCAAGGCGAGGGGCCTCAAGATGACGATCGAACGGGCGGGTATGCTGATATCCATCATCGGCGCTTCGAACACCATCGGCAGGGTCATACTCGGTTATATATCGGACAAACCGTGGATCGACAGGTTGTCCATCTACAATTGGAGTCTCACCATATGCGGGACCGGTGAGTCGTGAGCTGTGTAATTCGATGGGGCGATTCTTAATCGAGCTTTTTGGTTCCAGCGACTGTGATTAGTGCCTTCTGTAGTAGCTTTTACACATTGGCGATCTACAGCGCCATTTTCGGTTTCACCGCCGGCGCCTACGTCGGCCTCACCTCCGTCATTCTGGTCGATCTGCTGGGCATCGAGCGACTGACCAACGCCTTCGGACTGTTGTTGCTCTTCCAAGGGATCGCCTCGTTGGCCGGGCCCCCTATAGCAGGTAATTTCCAAACGCATTCATTTACATCCAACTATAAATATATTTCAAAAAATAGGTACATTTAAATATTTAGCGGATAAACACAACAAAGTTGCGAAACTAAAACTTACTCATTACAAATTAAAATCGTGGCCTAATACAACGGAACTTACTAAACAAATCAACCTTAAATAATATAAAAAAAATAATATAAAATCGTAATTATAAAGTAAGCAAGTAACAAGTAAACTCAAATCAACTCCATCTCTTCCACTTCGCTGTCCTTGCGATCCGACGAGAAGCTCCGTCGCATGCTCTCGTAGTACCGCTGGTCCTTCGCCCCCACGCTCGCCCTGATCTTCTGGAACGCCTTGGCGAAGTGCTCCCCGTTGACGGTCACGTCGCCGGCGTGTCCGTCGGCCGCGACCAGCACGTCCTTCAGCGCCGACACGCTCGCCTCGCGCACCAACGCCGCCAAATCGGCCCCCGTGAATCCCTCGCAGTACTTGCACTCCGCTATCGTCTCCAGCGACACGTCGGCCGCCAGGCGGGGCTTCGTTCCTACGATGCAAATTCAACGTAAATTCGAGAGTATCAATTGGAACGAGAGTACATACCGTTTTTCGTGAGCGCTGCTAATATTTCGGCCCTGTCGGTGGCGCTCGGAAGTCCTACGTACAAGGCTTTGTCTAATCTACCCGGTCTTAAAACAGCCGGATCGATTATATCTATTCGGTTAGTAGCTGCTAGTAGAAACACGCCTTTCCTACCCGATACACCGTCCATTTCGGTAAGAAGTTGGTTCACTACCTAAAAATATTATTATTATTTCAAATTAAGCAATTGGGCTTAAATGTATAAGTACCCTGGAAGTTCCGTTATTGTCGCTGGAACTCCTCTTCGGACACAGAGCGTCCAATTCGTCGAAAAATATAACGCACGGTGCGCTGTTTCGCGCCCTTTCGAACACCACCCTGACGGCCCGCTCCGATTCGCCCACGTACATGTTGAGCAATTCCGGTCCCTTTACGCTGATGAAATTGATCGCCGCCTCGTTGGCGATGGCCTTCGCCAACAGGGTTTTACCGCAACCGGGCGGTCCGAACAGCAACACGCCCGCGGGCACCGTGATCCCGAGGCTCTCGAACTTCTTCGGATGCCGCACCGGCGCCTGAAATTCACATTGTAATTATTAATCGCGATTTAAAAATGCTAAAAGTCCGCCATTTTAAAAATTATCCAATTTGACGTATTGTTCTGTCATTGTATTGTCATTTTTCGTTCTTTTGCGTGGATCCGAATTGTTCCGAACTCTTGCGGCCTTTTACTATGTCAGTATCCAATACCGCAAACGAAGCCCCCTTTGCCAACCTTTAGCGAGTTAACTTATTAAAGGCGTATGATAGATATACATACCACTATAGACAACTGCAGCTCCTGTCTGATGTTCTTCAAGCTGCCCACGTCGTCCCACGTGGTGTCCGGTACGGTAACGAATCCCTCCCGCTTGGCGGACGGTTGGACGTGCTTGAGGGCCGCCCTAAAATCGTCCATTGTGATGCACAGCAATTCCAGTTCTTCGTCGGAGAGGGGCAGCTGGTCGTGCAACCAAAACAGTATCTCCTCGAGCGCGCTACGCTCGGGCTGCTGCGTCGGTTGTTTCTTCGGCGTCGCCTTCTCCTCGTCGATGACGACGATCAGTTCGGGCGTCGCGGCGACCGGCGGCGGTTTCTCCGTGGTCGCCGGTTCCGGTTCGTCTTCGACGACCAAATCTTCGGTGCTGTCGGCGTCTTTGTCGGGCGCCTCTTCGGGTTTATCGTTGGTCGAACTCGCCGTTTCTTCGACCGGTTTCGACGCTTGAACGAGCTTCTTGGAATGTAAAGCTTCCTCTTCCGCTTCTTCTTCGGCGTACTACAAACAAAACGATTAGTCTCATTGGATTATTCGTATCGATTCGCGTTTAAATACCCTCGCTTCTTCTTCTTTCAATTGCCTTATCATTCGATCGACCGCGATCATGGCGGCCTCTCGCGTCAGTGCTATCAGATCGGCTCCCACGTAACCGGGCGTGAGGCTGGCCAGATGATCGTAGTCGAACGTTGGTTCGAGTTTCAACTTTTTCGTGACGATTTTCAATATGTCCGCCCTGCTCTCCTTGTTCGGTATGCCCAAGCAGATCTCCCTGTCGAATCGTCCGGCTCGTCGTAGCGCCGGATCGATCGAATCCGGTCGATTCGTGGCGCCTATCACCAGCACGCCGTTACCCTGGCTGGATTTGTTCAATACTGGAAATAAAAAGAATCGAGTATAAATCGAATAGGGCGGGTAAATCGAACGCTTACTGTCGAGACACGTTATCAGTTGGGCCACCATCCGTTTCTCCATGTCTTTTTGGGCCGTTTGTCGGTTTTGCGTTATCGCGTCGATCTCGTCGATGAACAATATACAAGGCGAGTTCAAATACGCTCTTTGGAATAGGTTTCTTATTCTTTGTTCGCTCTCTCCTAGAAATGAATCGTACGGTTAATTTCATCGACGAATCAATCGATATCGGTGTATTTACCCGACACTCCGGCTACTAATTCAGGGGCGGTGACTTGAATGAGCTGCACGTTGAGCTCCCCGGCGATCGCTTGGGCCAGCATGGTCTTACCGCAACCGGGCGGACCGTGCAACAGAAACCCCCTCGGCGGCGTGATCCCTATCGTCTTGTATATCTCCGGATGGTGGATGTGCAACAGCAACTTGGCTATCTCCTCCAGCGTCTTGTCCATGCCGCCGATGCTGGCGAAGGTGACTTCGCCATCGCGCACCGTCCGCTTCGGGGCCCCGTCGACCTTGCGCTTTTTGCTCTGCTGCTGCGCGTTGGCCGGCGTCGCGTACGAGCGTTTCTTGGTCCTCTCGCTGTCGTAGCCCGGCTGGAAGCCGTTCTTGTTGACGGCGTTCTGTTTCGAAGGCACCTCGTTTTGCTGCGATTCGGACTCATCGTCGCTGCTGATGTCGATCAGTTCGTTCTCGTCCACATCTAAAGTAGACGCTTCGGCTTTTTTGTATAGGCTCACCTGCAACGTACGAAATGAACTCGTTTAGTCGGTAACGCTATGGGTAACTAGTAAAAGGCCAGTACAATGATAACTACTACAAACTAGTAAAAGGCCAATAGAGTTATGGGATAAGCGAATGTTGTTTGGAGACTTGCCATTTGATTGTTTAGCGAATTGTTTTCCGCAACTTCGCCGAAATCGATGCTGCTTTCGTCGCTGTTGTCGGCGCTGTTGTCCTCTTCGACCCCGTACTTAGCCAGGACGATGTTGTAGGCCTTCTTCACGGCCGCCCTGAATACCCCCCGTTTGCGGTTCGCGTACTCCCTGTGCTTCTTTTGCAGCTCATCAGATATCTCGTTGATGTCGACGTAGGTTTTCTCCGTGTGCGTTTCCAGGTAGTCTTGGACTTTGTGGATCAGAGACGGATCGGCCGTGTAGGGCATTGGGTCTGCGTTATTAGGAGGTCGACGGCGACTTCCATAAAATAAACATTCGTGGGCCGGGCGGTTTTGCGGTCGATCACTCGCGGTGCGTTGTAGTGGCGAATTCGCGGCTCGGTTGTGAAACGGTTGAAATTTATGGCGAATTCGACCGAATTTAGGTTAGCTTTGGTGTAATTTATTTATCGTCGGACCGGAAAGAGTCGAAATAAAAATGGCATCGACCGCTGCGGCGATGTTTGCGAGCGATTCGAATCGATTCTCTGTTACGTCAGAGCGGATCGATTGTTTATGGAAAAGAAGAATTTAGATAAATTTGTAGGTTTATTTGGCTAATTTCGCAAGATTATTTATCGGCGTTCGTACAAATTGGTTATTTTCTTCTTATCGGGATTAATTGTGATGTAAATTTGCGTTTATTTTCGTAATCGATTATTCGATTTTTTTTAATTACGATACGCCATTCGACAGCTGACAGCTGGCGCATATGTTTCCTTCTGTTTCAATGCTGCCAACATTATGAAATGGTTTTGTTTACAGGTTATTTTTAAATATATGTCAGTTATAAATAAAATGTTTTTTTATGTTTAGGATGTTTGAAATTTATTGTTTGTTCTTTAATTTAAGGTGGTCTCTACGAGATTACGGATTCCTACAATCCAGGGTTCGTGTTAGCAGGATCTGCGATAGGCATGAGTGGTTTAATTTTATTCTTAATTCCTCCGGTACAGAAATGGCAGGCCAAGAAACTCAAAAAGAAACAAACAAACATTCATTTGTAGTTTTTAAACTTTATCCCCTATTCTGCAATTTGAAGCATATTTTTTTCATTATTTAAGAATGGAATTATCACTCAAGTTTTTAATTTTTTCACATATCAATATTATCGAACTGTGACGATGGCGTGCCATAATAATGTCAGGGTACTTACACAAGGTGTCTTGCCCACGATTGTATATTGTACATATTTGTACGCAATTTTTTATATTGTATATCTTCCAAAAATTAGATTTAGTACCACTGAATAGGTTTCGAGTTCTAACGACTTTTTTATTATATTCTTATTCTAAACTCCTTCGGGGGGTTAACTTAACAGTACACGCAGGTGCATGGTGTTGTACAAAGTACGATGTCTTCCAGATCTCGAAAGGTAGAGGGAAAATATAAATATTTGCGTTTAGCCCATAATTTTTAAGTGTACCCGTCAAGTTAACTCTCTGCATTCTTCTAGCACAAATTTTACAATTTATGATACAAAAATAAATATATTATGTAGCGTTTTATGGAAATATCTACAAGCAATTCTCGTTTCCTCTGAACTGCCTTGAAAATGTATAAGAAAAGCATAATTTTTGTACATACACTTATTTTTTTTCAAATACTTTGTGAAGATAACTACTTTGTATAAATAAATAATTTCTCTTTTTACGCGTTTCCGATTTATTTACTAGCATACACATTTAATCCTCATCTTCATCGTTCCCTTTTTTCTTGAGACTCCCAAACACCTCAGACGGCACGTTTTGTTTCTCCAACGGTATCTCCTCCTCGTCCTCTTCCTCCTCATCATCGCTTCCTATATCGATTTCATCAGGATTCACCACCTTATCCTTATTATCCCCTTGGGTCTCCCCTCTGACGAACATGATATTGCCCTTTTGAGCCGCCGAGCCCGCCATCTCGGCCGCCTTCGCCTCCAACAGCCGCATCCCGTCCTTCACGCCCGGCGCCAAATCGGCCACGGTGCCGCTCGAGCTGCCCGCCGAGCTCAGCATCTGCGCCGACATCATGTTCACCTGAAACCCACCATTCTGTACACCTCGTTCGAACGCCCGTAGACTCTCACCTGAGTGTTGTAGACCGCCTGGACGCTGCGCTTGATCCGCAACATCTCCCTCATGGTGTCCTCGTTGCCGTGCCGCACCTCGAACTCCTTCCAGATTTGCCAGAATTCGGCGGTGACGCGCGGATCGCAGATTTGGCTGCAGTGCGCGTATATCGCCCTCGCTCGATCGATCTCGCCTAGTAAGTCATTTCTGTTAATTAGCTCCTAAAAATTTCGGCGTTTATTTACCTAATTTCGTTTCCATATCGGCGAATCTCAGGCACATCTCTCTCGTTTTATCCTCCGGAAGGACCTCGATGGCTTTCTCGTAGATCTGCCTCGTTTTCGGTATCCCGTATATCTCGGCGGCTCGTTTGATGTATATGTTGAAAATGTCGAACATCTCGTTCTCCGGTACAGCCTTCGTGGATCTGGAACGATTCGTTTTATACATAAATACATTACTCGTCGAGCTAGATAGTTACCTTTCGTATACAGCCATGGCGTGCCGGGCCATTCCGTGCTCCTCTTCCAATTTGGCGTACAACAAATAGAGGTGTTTGGCGAATTGCGGCGGACAACCGTCGAGGCATTGCTCGAACAGATCGCGCGCCCTCTCCAATTTACCGCCGCCGTAGCGTTTCAAAAACTTGGTCAAATAGGTGTTCCATATGTCGTAGACGTTGGGCCACTTGAACAGCGATATGCCCTTCTCGTACGCCCTGAACGCCTCCTCGAAGTAGTTGTTCTCCTCGAGGAACACGCCGTAGTTGATGATTATCTGCGGCGTGGCGATCTTCAGCTCGATGATTCGATCGTAGATGGCCTTGCAGGATTTGAAGCTGCCGAAGCTCTCCTCCAAATCGGCGTACATCGACCACACTTTGAGGGACTTGTACAGCCTGCTTTGGACGGTTTCCGTGTCGTCGTGATAGGCCACTTTCCGGCTCGGCATCACCGTCGCCCTGACAACGAACCGATCGGTTATATAACCTAACTTGCATCATCGATTGGTCGGTTACCTTTGCATGAGCTTCAAAGCTTCGTCGTAGTTTTCGTTGCGGATTTCCATTTCGGTCCATTCGCACCACACGGTCGCGAGATCGTCGACTTTCACGTAGGGCACCTGCGAGGCCTTCTCGAATATCAGCCGGGCCTCTTCGATTTGATCGTTGCCCTCGTAGAACTTGGCGAATTCCACCCACAGCGTGTGCAGCTTGCCCACGGCCAGTTTGGGATCCACCGTTTGCACGGCTTCGGTGTACGTGTTGATGATCTCGTGCGGTTTGCCTGATCGAAAACTATTCGAGTAAAAGCGTTACTAGCGCGATTTTACGTTACCTTCGTAGAGCTGTACGCGCTTGTGCCACTCTTGCACGTTGTGCGGATTCTGGCGGAGCAACACCGAATTTAAGAGCAACAATCGGCGTTCCATGAGGTACTCGAATCGCGCCAAACGCAGCTCTAATTCCGTATCGTCGTCCTCGCTGGGGTTTTGTTTTCCGGCCACTTCTTCCATCCGTTTGCTCAGACTTAACTCTTCGAATTGCGCATAAGCATCGAACACCTTCAACAAAAGCTTTTAGTTTATACGAGTACTTGTAGAATGTACTTTAATGAGTACTTGTGTGAAATCTCTGACGGTCGTAACGGTTTGAATGGCCTCTTCGTAGATGTCCCTAGCCCGCTCGAATAAACCGCTGCGAACGTAGTAATTGGCCAAGGAGTTCCACAGGTGGCCCAATTGGTCGGTGTACCGGCGCAGGCCGCCTCTGATGATGGCGTCGACGTTTAGCGAGCGGACTTTTTCCGGATTTTTGGAGATCAACTCGCACAGCTCGTTCCAAAGTTGGTGCTTCGATTTGCCCTGTTGCGACACGAAGTTGTCGTCGTTTACTATTTTAGCCGTGATTATAGCGGCTTCGTCTAATCGTTCCACCGACGCTAAGTAATCGATGTACTCTTCGGCGTTTTCCGGACACAATTTCATGTACCTACAAACCGAAATTGATCAATAAATAAAGAATATGTTACAGTTACGATTACCTTCTGAAAACTCGAACGGCAGTTTCGGATATATCGTGTTTCTGTACGAACTTCAAATACAAAGGCCATATTCTGTTGTGCTGCGTAACGGGTAAGGCTCGAAGGGCCCTGTCGAAGACCTTTCGGGTTCTCGTTATTTTACACTGGTCGGTGAGGAAGGTGCAATAATCCATCCAAATTCGGGGCATCTTGTGCATGAACACCAACGAACGCTCGAAGGCGTTGTTTACTTCTTCGAAACCCGGATCGGTGATGCATTTGCTTTTAATTTGATTCCTCCTGGTCCGCAGGTAATTGTACCACAATTTGTACGAACCCGGTAACTCCTTGAGCGCCCTTTCGAAGATTATGTTCATTTCGTTATTAGGAGCCGCTTTCTTGTGGTCTATATATCGAAGCCAGTGCTTCACCGAGTAGGGATTCCGTAAAATTTCTTCCTCGTAAGGCAGATCATCGTCGTTCTGGAATTATTGAAAAGTAATACAAGATGATAAATTGATTGATTAAATGCACTTACGAAGGTTATTTCCATAGGTTCTTGGTTATTTCCTGGCTTTAAAACCATTTTTAATTAGTTGTATTGTTCTCAAAAGATAAACAATTTTATTTTAGGTTAGTTTCGTTACGTTGACGTATATGTCAATTTTTGGTCTCTTACGTAATCGCATTGCAGTAATCCAAAGGAACGTTTTTGGTTGACGTTAGTTCAAATCGTTCATAATTGGTGGTAGATAATATGTACCCTTCAGGTTGTGACACCGGATTTCTTTTAAATTTTTATTAATTATTCCGATTATTTTAAATGTGATTCGTTAATTTTACGTTGGTTATTAGTGAACGATCAGATTGGGACGTGTCGAAAAGAGATTCGCGTTTTCGCGTTTTCGGAGAAAAACATAACCTCTCTCGTCGGTGTATTAACCATTATGTCATTTTTATTTAATAATGGACATGCCAAGCAATATATAAACAATTTCAAACAAATCGTACCGTTCAACATACAATTATCCACAACGCAAAAGGTAAACTATTAAATCTATTTAATACAGCGAGCCGAAAATGTATGCACAATTTTCAGGTGGTCATAGGATCGGTGTCCGTAAGCGTAGCGGTGATAGGAGTGCTCGCGAGGCTCCTACGCAGGAAAAAGAACACCCTCGACCCCTCGAAGTTGCCCAAGAACATTTTCAACGGCAAATTCTCGCGCTTTTCCACCGTACGGAGCCCGCACGGAGGTGAGTTCGCTACCCCACCGCGTAACCAGCTCACCGAGCGATTCCCCTGTTTTAAGATGTCGGCAGCGTGGCGAGCAGCAGCAGGCGCAGCGAGGCCTTCAGCCGCAGGAGCGACAGCCACAGCGCGGCCGGAGACCGTTCGACCGTCCGGCACGGGTCCGTGGCCAGCGGGAGGGCCTCGGTGGCTTCGGGGAGCGTCGTGACCGGCGGGTTGCCCGCCCCCGACGGCTTGGACACCACCAATTTGACTCCGCAGCAACTGGGCGTTATGGGTGAGTTATTTTTTTATTCTGTAATAAGACACTCGAACGATCGATTTAGTATTTTTTTTTTACCTTTATTTCGTAATGAATATCTACATGTTACAGGAATGTACAATAATAGTTAACTAAACAAATATAATCTTTACACAAAAGTCTTTCAGTCGAATATGAATCACAATGAACGGGATGTATAGCTAGTTTGTTTTCTTTTTAATTAAGATATTATAATATTGTCGAAATGTTCACAAAAAGCGGACTGATATAAATAGTAACTTTATTTTTTTTAAAATGATATATCTGCGAACGTGTTAAAGCGTTAATTTCAAAAACAGGGAGATTCTTATTTTTTTTTGTCGAGAATATTGTTCCCAATTAGATAGATATGAATCACACACCACGCATAATTAAGAATTAACTTTAACATATATATACATGATTTTTAATTACACATATCAATTGCATTTGTACTTAATTAAAAATCGGAAAATTCCTGCTCCTTTATGTTGTCGAGTTCTCGGCAGGCTAGCGTGTTTTGTACCTTATTTAAAAATACTGAACAATTTTAGCAAAAATATATGCCATGCAACTAATTTCTACCTTTGCTTCATCTCTATTATTTATCATCTTCTCGCAAAATATATATCTTCTTGCATTTTATTCTAAGTCTTCGACGATATTTCGAGCAATCTTATTATCACCGTCTAGAAATCAGGATTGTATCCAACGATATTTTTTAGGCCTTTAAATAAAATAAATCCATTAATAAATTAGCTGCTCTAACTGATTTCTAGAATAATAATAATAATAATAACTTTTACGTTCCTCATCAATACGAAACAAATAAGTTTGGGATAATTTTTTGCTTTTGGAATCCATCCGAAACTGTCCGTTACAACAAATATAATTTACTAGACAGTTTGAGAACCAATCGGAATTTGTTTTATCACAAAACTATATACAAAATTCTATGTACACTAAAAAAAAATCATCGACGATCATACACTACAACATAAACAGTTTCGAAAAAATATTCGCGATTCGAACAAGGTTGCTAATTAGTGCGAAATGAACTTTACAATCGTCTTCTGTCGCTTCCATTTTTGGCAAATCGGGCTAAGCTGATAGAATAAGTTAATTATCGCGTCTCATCTACGCGAATTTCACCGCCATCGCCGCCAGCAAACTCGTCGATAGCGAGATGAAGATTATCGAAGAACCGGCGGATTTGCTCGCGCCCGTTTTGCCTCCCTCGCCCTCCGCATTTCGCTCCTCGTCCGATTGCATGCCGCCCTCCTGCTTCTTCTTCTCTTCGGAACGAAGATTATCGGCTATCTTGGCGTCCTGCACCAACGGAGTTATCTGGAACACCGAGCGAATGTTAAGCCGATGATGAGAATGGAAGAGAGTTGATGGCCGATGAAAATGGGGTTGTGAAGGCGAAGGAATCTGCTAATCGGGGATTAGTTGGTAGGGTTTTTGTGTTAGGAGTGTAGAAGATCAATGAAAATGTGGTTAGAAGGCAAAGGAATCTGCTAATTGGGGACTAGTTGGTGGGTTTTTGTGTTAGGAGTGTAGAAGATCAATGAAAATGTGGTTAGAAGGCAAAGGAATCTGCTAGCAGTGGACTGGTTAGATTCAAGTTTGTAGGTTTTTGGGTTAAGAGTGTATGGAGTTGGAGCTGAGGGATGCAAAGGAATCTGTTAGTAGAGGACTGGTTAGATGAAAGTTTGTGGGGTCTTTGTGTTAGGGGAGACATTAGATCATCAATGACTATGAAGGTAAAGAAATCCGCATAGCATGGTAGAGTAGAAGATCCTCTCACCTCCTCCGATATCGTGGTAACTTTAGCCGTGGTGGTGGTGGTGGTGGTCGTGGTGGTGGTGGTGGTCGTTGTGGTGGGCACCCAGCTGTTGTTGTGTACGAAATAAGCGGGCGTGTACTCGGCGACGACGTCCATCATCTTGTTCTCGCGCTTGGTGTCCCTGATGACGATCTCCCTCGTTTCGCCGTCCTTGTAGCGTTGTACGAGGGTGGCCGTGTAGGGGATCTCCATTTCGGTGTAGTTTCCGCGCACGGTGACGTTGACGGCCGTGCCGGCTTCGAGGTAGCTGCGGAAAAGAGCGATTAGACGAAGCGATAGAAGGGGATGTCTTGGTGGTTACCTCTTGACGGGCGCCATTTCTTTGATTTCGACGTCCCTGGGCAGGCCCCAGGTGCCTTGTAGGCGGGTGCCGTTGCGGAAGTCGACGGCGAGAGGCAGGCCGGTGGAGAGGCCGTGGCCTTTGCCCCAAAACAGGCTGTACGGATAGGCGTAGGTGATGACGCTCTCGACCATTTGGAACGAACTCTCGGTGTTGGTGAGTACGGCGTGGCCCAAAACGCGTTGCTTCTTCGGAAAACGTTTGTTGATGCGAGCCAACCTGCGTGGTATAAACGATTTAGCGAGTCCTGGTGGACTATAGGAAACTGTTAGTTTACTTGACGTTCTGCAATTCGTAGCTGACGGGCTCCGTTTCCACCAATATCTCCCCGTCGGTGTATTGTATGGCTATGTTATTTTGATCCACCACGTAGAATACTCCCATATTCTCGGTGGAATAGGCTCCGACGTAATGCGACAACGAACCTGAATGGAAACCAAGCAAGTTTATCAACTTCCCTACCCGATTGTGTCTAATACAAACCTGTTTTGTTGTGGCTGTTGGCCTTCCTGCGGGCGACGAAGCTGCGCAGGACGTTCTCGCCGCTGGTGACCGATCCCTGGGGGATGAGCGTGTATTGGGCCTTGTCGGCCCAGCTGAGGCGGGCGCTGTCCTCGATGCTGACGAGCACGTCGAATTTCTCGTTCTCGGAGACCTTTTGGTAGAGCGAGACGACGCAGACGTGGCTGTCGGGCCGCAGCTGGCCCGATATCCAGAAGCCGTTGAAATTGGCGCGACAGACGTAGACGGGCTCCTGCACCGGCTGGTCTCCGACCGTTTCGTTTTCCAGTTCGGAGGCTTCGTTGCTGCGTTTTTGGCCTGCGATCGATGCGAGAGAGGTTTTTTTGATTGGAATTGATGGGAGTTGATTACTGACCTTCTACGGTTTGATAGGCGGCGACGACGGCGTTGTTGAGTAGGAATTTGTCGTTTTTATTGTAAACGACCCATTCTAATGTCGTGGAGGTGATGACTTGGTCGAGGTTTTCGGCTAGGATGTGCACTTGGGGTTCGCCTTTGGTGTGGGCGGACCAAAACGTCGCTAACATCAACGGCCAGTAGATGTATTTCATTTTTTCCGCGCGCTGAAATTTGAAACAAATAAATTATAAAGCTGAGGTTGGTTTGAATTTGAATCGATCGAAACGATCTAATATATATCTAATTAATTCATTAAAATATGAAGTGTTTATTATTCGTATATTCATCGAAACGATCTAATATCTATCTAATTAATTCATTAAAATATGAAGTGTTTATTATTCGTATATTCATCGAAACGATCTAATATCTATCTAATTAATTCATTAAAATATGAAGTGTTTATTATTCGTGTATTCATCGATTCGAAGTTTTGTTTTTATAAATAGCTAATTGGATTTTTCCTGTTAATTTCGAGATGCTCCAATTATTAGATATTCAAGGTTGGCATCGCATTAAATCGTAATAATTCATTTGATGTTGCGCGTACATCTGCTCTATTATATATGAGCGAGCATCTTTCCAATTCGAAACACTTGTAAAATTGTGTAATTTGCGTTCGCTACACTTGTAATCAATTCGAGTAAATCATGTTTATTTATACCTATAATAATTTATTTTTTTTTCGTAATAGATAACACGTTATTACTTTGTAGTTTATTAATATTATATCGAGCGATTAATAACGACCCTCTTGGGACTCGCTGAACCAATCGCAGTATTACCAACCACTCGAAAACAAAAATCCCTAATCGTGGTAGTTTACAAGGGTACGGTAAAAAGTTCTCGACCTGACAAATAAAAAACCGCGATTTACAGTTGAAAAATTACATTGTTCTTCTTGATAAGTCAAAACCTTTAGTTGTAGAAAGTTCTAAATGATTCTGGAGTCTTCTAAATGATTCTAGAGCATTCTAAATAATTGTAGACAGTTTTTAACGATTCTGGGGAGTTCTAGAATGACTGTGAAGCGTTTTAAATGGTCCTGACGCGTTCTAAATGATTTTAGATAGTTTAAAATGCTTCTGGAGCGTTCTAAATGGTTCTAGACAGTCTTATAAACATGTTCCAAAGAGTAAACAAGAATTTTTGCTGATTGGAGCGCACTCAGTAATGAAAGATTTTATTTTTTGTCCTGTTATTTTACTGGAGTGTTTGCTTTGAAATCTGTCCAAATACACCGGCTTTGTTTTGTTATTATGATAAATTGTTTGATTTACTGGCCAACCCATACAAGGTATATTCACCTATTAAGCAAACACTCTCTCCAAGTCGCAATGACATCATCGACACGTTTGTTTTATATATATTTTTTTAATGTTCAAAAGGAAAATGTGCTTTTGTAAAACGAGTTACGTTTAACAGAACATTTGCATGTTGTACTATTACTTCACGAGCGAATATACAAGCAGGTGCGCGCGAGAATTTATTTTTCTTCAATCCCACGACCAGGAGTACAAAGTTGCCTTTTCTGGGTCAACATAAGCCGGGAAGACGTCGGTTTTAATGGCGCTTCTAACGGCCGTTATATCCTCGAACGTAAGGAACTCTAGAGAGGAAAAAAAAATAACCGAGAGACTCGTGACCGGAGCCATTAGGCGAACGCCGATTCGGAAAAAATATCGAGATTAAAACGTCGTTCGATAACCGGTGCAATTTGTACGCTCCTTATTTTTTTTTAAATCGTTTCCGATACGTTTTAAATCGCATAGGGGCGAGCGGGGTACATATCGAAACCGGTCCGTATCCGTAAATTCAATCACTACATGTTTATTAAAAGTTGATACGAATCTCTCCCCTATAATTCATCATAGTTTCTGGTATACAATCGGCCGTTTAAAAATTAAATAAGGCGCGTAAAGATTGCGGAAAGGAACCGACCCTTCTTCGGTCTATATAGGGGCATTTGTGCGTTTTACCCCTCGCTCTGAAAACCGTACGAAACTACCTGAAATTCGTGCGATCGATAAAATACACAACAGCCGTCGAGTCGTCGCGATTTCCAACTTAAATACCACCTTTTTTTTTCAACCACCGGTGCCCTTCAGACGCTTCGATCCGTCCGGAAAACTTCTCTACTTCACCCCGTATATGTGTGCATATAGTTTACTCGATTATTCCTCTCGTGACGTCATCGCTGTGTTAACATGAATGATGCATTTATTTGATGTGCATTGAAAATCTAATAATTCACACGGAGTCGATTCGTTTGTGTTGTTTGACCTACATTTTAAAATATAAATTGGAAACGCGCGAGCTGACATTTTGATTTAGTATCGATAAGGAAACCTTCCAAAGAGGAGATTCGATTTAAATGGGAATCAATTATAACCGTATATACGAGCGGATTATTTCTCGGGTTAAATCGATGACTCAGAATATTTATATTTATTGTTCCGTGATTGATTTACGACGGATTGAGTATTGTATACAGGGTGGTGGGTAAAAGTTCGTTGTAAATTTGAGGTTATGTGGCGTTTTTATTATTATTTTTTTAACAAGATAAGAATTGGTTTACGACGGTTCGCTAAGTAGTGGAACAAAAAGCGGTAATTAAAACGGCAATTAACTATCACTGTATCCCGCATAAGTGCTAATTTTCGTATCTATTCGAGCAGAATGTTGCGAAAAAATGTAAATGGTTGAAAATTATCACTTACAGAGGATTCTAAATAGCCTCTAGTGTTCGCAGAATGGAGAAAGTGTAGGAGATTTCGTGTTTTATTTTTGGTTAAAAGTAAGTTAATTCTACCTGGGAAATTTACAATTGCTTGTAAATAATTAAAATACCCAAAAGAACAGTCCTAAATGCTCCTCAAAATTAATTTCGTGACGAATCGCTGGTTTTGTATCGGGCGTTATCGAGGCGTTTTGTTTACCAGATAATTCGAAAATTCACTAATGGAACATTCGTAATTGAATTTAAACGAAATTATCGAATGTGTTCGACATAAAAATAAAATTTCTCGCTTACGTAACATTTTAGTTATTCGAAAATTATGTTAATAAGGAAAATAACGCTCGCTCGTAATCCGAAACGACGATCCAAATAATTATTAATAATAGGCCAAGGACTTAATAATAACGAAATTTTGTTAGTGTACATAAAATAATTACGGTTATATTCGATAGTAAATTTTACATTGCTCATGTTAACTCGGCATCTCCAGCTATATCTAATGAACTGTAGGTGCATTTCTATCAATTAACACTACTTTTGATTTTCTTTCTTATTTCTATATAGGAAATATAAATCGATTCGGAACACCATATGTTATTTATGGGTCGTTTAATTAATACCTACTTACTGAGCATGTACCAATTAAAATAGTTTGTTATGCATTTTTTTTATTTAACTTCTAATAGACTTTAAACGGAACGCAATTTTTTCCAAAGCGCGCAATTAAAATAGTGCATTATAATGCACTTTTCATACTCTAAGACGGAGATTATATATCGAGATAGCCGGGATGCGCTTTAATTATTTCGTATCATTAAGGAATAATTATATAATTAGCCGACTCATTTAGTAGCAAGTTTATACGGGGGAAATTGGAACGTTCTAAATTCCGCCCTCGGCCGCGGCTCGTTTTGTTTGCTCGAACGTAGCAATTCCATTTCCACCGCACGGGGGCGGCTTTCGTCGGCATCAAAGCATCCCCCGGGGGCGATTAGGGAGCGAAACACGTTCCAAGGGGGGCGAGTGGGGTCGTATATAAAGGGGGCGCCGTATCGTTAGTGGAAATTGGTTATTTCGTAACGGTTATTCGTTATCTTGCATCGCGATGTATGCGTTTATTTTAATATCGCTTTGTTGTTGTACATTTTTCGGGGTCGTGGACGATTCAATTAGCGCGTTTCGGTCTCCGTTTCTTGAGTTATTCGGTCACGTTTTAATTGATGCGAACGAGAAGACTCGTGGTGTTGATTGAATTCCCTCGTTGTCTTCCCACACACATGTCGCCCGGTTTTTTTTTTTGGTTTACTTGACCGGAATATTTTCGTTTCGAATCTATTAAAATATTACTTTTTTTGTTGATATAATAAATTAATTGACGAAACCGCGCCGAATAATTCGCAAGGTTAATGTTAATACGCGTTTAAATTGCACCGCGCCCTCTTAATGATTGTTTTCGTACGAAAATTTCGTGGTAATTATTTTATTTGGAATATAGATCAATTATAAATTGAATTTTGGATGTAATTCCCGTACTATAATAAACGTTGTGGTACTGAAAAGGCCGATAAATATGCAAGAAAGTGATACTTACATAAATATTATTCATAGATTTTATTTTCCATACAAGGACTAGTTTGGTTTCGTAATCTTGTATGTAATAGTGCAGGAATTATCGACAAAAAATTGTATAAAATTGTATTGCAGTTCTATTCAGTTCTATTCAGTCCTCTTCAGTTCTCATTAGTCTTCTTCAGTTCTCATCAGTCTTCTTCAGTTCTCATCAGTCCTCTTCAGTTCTCCTCAGTCCTCTTCAGTTCTCATCAGTCTTCTTCAGTTTTCATCAGTCCTCTTCAGTTTTCATCAGTCCTCTTCAGGTTTTCATCAGTCCTCTTTAGATCATCGTCAGTTCTTTCGGTTTCTTTCGATTTCGAGTTCTCTTGAATTGTCCTGAATTCTTATGTTCTTTTTCTTGAGTTCTATTGAATTCCTATGAGTCATCTTCAATTCTCTTTAGTTTCCTTAAATCACAAACTGTTATAGAGGTGGAGACGAATTCGAATAACAGTTCCGTTCGTAACTAAACTGTAAATTTTTGGTAATTTATAGAAAAAACCGAGAAGGCGTAATATAATGTAACGAATTGTTATTTAATTATCGTTTCTTTCTATGTACAACGCACGAAAAGGAAACGCCGAATTACCGTCCTTCATCCGGTAATAGAAAAGGTTTCTTCGACCTTTTTAGAACTCGGAATTAGAATCAGTTACCAACCATTGTTACTCTAACCGTTATTATTTAACAGTATAGGGTTGTTAGTTGTTCGGTTTGTTTCTGTACGAACGAGCACTCGTGTCTTTAAGCGACCGAGTAAATATTTACACTTCAACTTGGAGTTAATTTTTTTTTATTAGAATTGGAGTTAATTTTTAACGACTTAACCGTATAGCGAATTTGTGGATGTTTACGGAATGTTGTACATATGGTGATGTTTGCGTGTGGAAACTTTGTTGCACTTTGGATGTGCAAGGAAAATTATTGAATTACTTAAAGGGATTCGTTTACTTTCTTGCATACATTTCGAGCGAGATAATGTAATTTTATCTTGCTTACAAACACTTATAAGATTCCGTGGGCCAGCTGGATTCGAAATTGAAAACTTGCACGCGAAAATGGAAGATAACGAAGCGAAAAACGCGCCAAAATCTTCGCGCAATGCGGGGGTTTAACCGATCGAATTCGAAACGAAAATACCTGCATCAAAATGCCTGCTACATTTCGCGTATTATACAGGATGTTGTGAACCGGTAATCGCTCGAATCTACGAATGTAATTTCGGATACGTGACGTCCATTATAATGCTAATTAAATAACGAATTTACGCTCAACAACTGTAATGTTTTTCGCCCGTTGTATTCGCAATTTTATTAATCGAATCTAGTTTCCCATGTGCATCAAAAAAGAGTCCAAGTGGCGGATGTAGGTGCGCGAAATTTTTTGCAAGCGCACAGTGGTCGTGAAAACTCGCGTACAAACCAGCCGGACGATTTTTTTTAATTAACTTTTGTTAGAAATAACGTAGTACGGTTCTGTTTCGAGTTCTAATTATTTCTATCGCACATTGTTGCGTGTACCTGTCGCGCTGAGGCGGTTTCTCGAACTTGAACTCGGCCGGATTTTCGTCCTTCGGGCCCCCGTTTGAAAAAGAATCTCCGGTTCGATCGCGCGCGCGATTAGAGTGTACAGGGCGATTGAACCGTCGCGGAAATTGCCGTCGATTTTCGGATGAATTTCATCGAATTTCGATGATTTTGGACTTACGCAAACTCTTATAAATCCATTAAAAAATTCAGCGTTATTTATAGAAATTAATCAAAGTTACGCAACTAAACTCGAATCTCTTGCAAGAGACATTTAATTTTTTTTCCGTCCGTTTCGTCATCGACGGAGAGAACTGTTATAAATTAAAACGGTTCGAAACCGGTACACTTAACAATCATTCCAGTTCTCGTATAGTACGGGACGGATTTCTATAAATATCAGGAAGAAAAACTGCTGTAAATGTTAATCAATTCGATCATTAGGAAAATAGGTCCATCGATTCGAATTGTCCGAATAATTAGGCCTTTCGAGTTTATTAATTGTTGCAAATTCGATCTGGATTAGAGGTCTTTTGTTGTGGATCATAATGTCTTTCTAATCCAGATCAGTAGGCTCTTTGATGTGGTTCATTTGGTATTTGTATGCGCTTCATAAGGTCTCTTGTTGTGGATCATAAGGTCTTTCTAATTTAGATCATTAGGTCTTTTTAATCTGGATCAATAGGTACATTAAAGTGGACCATTAGGTATTTCCAATCTGGATCGATTCGTTCTTGTGATGCGGATCATTGGGTCTTTGCCACTGGATCAATAGGTCTTCCTGGTCCTTTTAAATTCTAATCTAACGGTGAATAAAAAGACCTGGTGTAGTAGAGTTGAATGAAAAAAACCAGAAGGCGTTACGAAAACCGGTAATTTCGGGCTCGAAAGCCCGCGCATCCTCTCGCTCGGTCCGCCTACGATATAGGTTTTTTTTTTTAAACTCGTTAAAGTTTAAAAGTCTCCGGGTTGGGCGGCGTTGCCGGCTCTCGTCGGATTTCCCTCCGGGTGGAATTGTTACGGTTTCGAAACCGTCTTTTGCGACGCCCCCCGTACAACTTCCTTCCTATTAGTCTACTTTACTTTCTCGTTTGACGAAACGATTTTTTTTCTCTTCTGTCGATTCCGCGAGATTATCATCGCGACTATTACTTATTCGGTACGAATACAATGCGATCGAATCGTGACGAGAATAATTATAATTGGTAGAGTAAAGGTTTGTAATAAATCAGAAAAAAAATAACGATGAGAAGCGCGGATATTCGTGCGTTTAGATTAGGTTGTATACGGGGTGTGTAATGTTTGTTCCGATTTTTGTTAATATCGATCTTAAATTGAGTGTAATTAATCTCTCGGTCGAGTGTGATTTACTGACCTTTATAGCCAGTTTGTGTTTTGAATTCATTAGTATTTGATTAATTTTTATGTATGTTCATGTTATTTTATCGGTTTTTGATTGTGTAGGTATGTAAGGTCTTTCCAAAATCAATTGAATAAGCTTCAACAACTTTCTTTAAGATTGTTTAAATGAAATGTGATTAATCAATCAGTGTTTTAGTGACCTTTATGTTAGGAATTTATTAATATTTGATTAGCATTTTTGTGTGTATCTACTATTATTATAGAGTTTGTGGTGTTTGCAAAGGCAATTGAATAAACTTGCGATATTTTGAGCATTTTTACAAATTCTTTCGAGTCGGCTCGGTAAAGGCTACGATTGTTCGAATTGTTACAACATTTAGATGACCTTAGGACACGTTGTCGCGCTTGTCGCAGTCATTTTTAATAATAAACTTGGATAATTTGCGACCGTCGTAGCGGCGAAACTGCGCCGACTTACCTTCCGCTTATCCACCCGGCGAATTTTAATATCCTTTGTATATTTTTCCCTCGCTAAACGAAAGCCAAAACTGCACTGATCGCGATAGATTACGATCGCACTATTTCTATATGTATATCGGTATTGAACCGTACCGCGAGTGAGGTTACTGTAACTCCGGGTAAACGGTAACTCCGACTGATGTGCGTGTTACCCGTCGGTGGTTTCGATTTTAAAAGGATATCGATTTTGAGCGAGGAGCGAGCGCGGTTGCCAACTGCACCGATCAAGGACGACTGTTGGACTGAAACTGAGGAAAGACTAAAGCCGTAACGTTTCGGCTGTAACGCAGTAGGCTGCGAGCGTGTTCGAGTATGGCGGGAATCGACGTTGCCGAATGTCCGGCGCTCGATTTCCCCAGATCCGGGGATTTTTTACCGGCGCGAAAAATGTCACCCGGAAAAGTTCGATGTAATTTAATTCGAATTTTGTTCGTTTGGTAGAAACACCGTAGTGATTCGACGCTCGCTTTTCTTGAAAACAAGACTTAAAATCGCAAAATAAATGCGAATAAAAAATGTTAATCAAAGAAGCTCGGTTTTAATCCGCCGGAATCGACCGGAATCCGGAAAATAAACCATCCGGAGCGGGAGCCGGACGAAACCCCACTTCCCTATCTGCGCTCGACCGGTCGCGGCGTTGCCAAACGTCGAGAAATTTCCCGTTTCCGGGTACAAATCGCGTCGCTCTAATACGCAGCGCTTTTTCGACGCACCCCGTACAAATATACAGGTTGATCCATTTTTGATCGCAACATAGGTTATATAGGCCATGGGTGTGATAAAGACAACTTCCATTAGACACTTACAAAGGAAAAGAAAAGAGTGACATTTGTGTCATTGCAACTTTTCACTTTGACACCTGTCATTTTAATAATCTTTCTTTGTTCCACTCATAGAAATGACCATGTTGCAATCGGAAATGGAGCAAGGTGTATATAAGACACTGTATCATAAGTTTTGCATAAGAAAAATTTAAATCGTGGGCCACAGAGAGATATTTCTCGTCTGGCCATTTTAGCGCTATATTTAGAACAGAAACCAGAGGAAGACGTCAATTGTATGCTAATGCAAATTGCACCTTCTTAAAGTATTTAACCTTCGCAATGATATTAGTGATAGTTCAAAACGTTCGCATATAGTTTATTCCCATCCGCGAATACAGCGTAGAAATTCTAGGGGAAATGTTGGCAGCGCTGGTTTCCTAACCAGAAACTCAGTTGCACGCTCGAGGAAAGGTTTTATTCAAACTAAAAATATATACAAAATATAAAAATATACTTAAATCAGCGATGATTTTGTTGTAAACTCATGCCTCACGTATCTTCGGTTAATGTATTTCTCCATTTTCTCCTCGAAATGTCAAAAAATAATTTTTGAAGTTTTGACAACTCAAACTGTCATTTCACACAACCGCGATTTTTATGTAGTGCGACGCTGATTGGCTGAGATAAGTTGATCATCCGACGGTGCGGCGCAAAAGTGGAGCTCAAAAAGTCCTCAAAAAACGAGACACATTCTCTAATCCATAAGCCTAGGCTGTTTCCAGACCTTACAAATATAGGGCCGTAGTTCGATGATACAAAAACTGACAAAAATGACATTTCGTATGACAGAAACTTAATAGAGGCGGGAATGATTTTTTTTTGGTATAGAGTTGCTGTAACGACTGTTACAAAATAACCGTTATTTTTTCGCGTATCAACTTAGAGCGCTAAACCCTCGGAATTTCGCTACATTTATGCGTTCTTTTTTTTTGCAGGTATGGAAGCCCTGGAGACGTGCATAGGCTACTGGGAGGACGCCCTATCGGCGTACCGCGACTGCCCCTGTCCGTCGGCCGTCCTGGGGCCCGAGGAGTCGGCCTTCTGCAGGGACCTGCGCCAGCTGCTCGACTTCGCCGTCGAGCTGCAGGAGAACTCCGAGATGCTGTTCCTCGACGAGATGTCGGTGCTGTTCCGGTCGGAGAGCGGCGCCCGCGACGCCGCCCAGGAGGCCGACCTCTCCGGCGGCGAGAGCTTCGCCTCCGCCAGGGACGTGGTGAGAACAATTCGCACCAGATAATATAAAATACGTTGGTTTATTTGTAGCGCTAATCACCCTGTACGATATAATAGTCTGCCTAAATAGTCTAGTTAACTGAGTATAACCGAATACAGGGTGATTAGCTTTATGATTGATTCAGCTGGTTCACTTTAAACTTGCTCAATAAATTTGACATTGTACTCGTAAATCGTTTGGTAAAAAAAATACATGTCTGGAGCTCGGTGTGTGTGTATTTCCCGCCAGGTGGCCGATCTGCGGGAGTTCGAAGAGTTCGCCGACGACTTCCCCGAAGCGGAGGCGCTGCGTTTGTACCAGACGGCGTTGCGGCAGGTGGAGAACGGCGCCATACCGAGCCGGACGCTGCGCACCGAGACGGTGCGATGCGCCAACGACGGCGAGTACCTGGCCAAGTTGCACTGCCTGCGGCTGGCGTTCCAGCACCTGCTGCGCGACGCGCCCACCTACCGGTGGTTCGTCGACGCCGGCCGGCAGATACTCGCCGATCTGCTGCTCTACGCCGACAAGGACCCCAAGGAGTTTCTGATCGGTGAGTCGCTCCTGCCGGAGTCGCTCGATATAAATATCTGTTCTGTGTAGGTTACGAGGAGATGATCAACTTCGCGAGGGATCCGAACAGTTGGGACGACATCAAAGAGGAGTTGAACGCCAGAGGTATCAAGGCGCTGACGTTCTTCGACATCGTCTTGGACTACATCCTTTTGGACGCGTTCGAGGACCTCGATAATCCTCCGTCCTCCGTCATGGCGGTCATACAGAATAGGTGGCTGTCGAAAGTACGTGGACCATTATAGTTTTCAGAGATATTTCTTCCAACTACTCTAAATAAATATACCATTTCTACACCACCTCGAAACTGTACAGACTCTAGACCATTCTCTCAACAGTTGTCCAGAACTAGTACATCTATAACTACTAAGCTACCTTGTTAGATACTGGAGCCTGGAGCATCTTCGTACGTTTGTAGGAGTTTCTGTTAGCCTAACATTGTGCTGTTGATCGGTTACTTTTTAAGTAGTTGCTGGTGCCTGTTGGTTTCTATTTGATGGTGTAAATGGATCGGGTTTTTTTGTTGTAGGGTTTCAAGGAGACGGCGCTGACGACGGCGGTGTGGTCGGTGTTGAAGGCGAAACGTAGGAAATTGAGGTTTCCCGACGGGTTCATGGCGCATTTCTACACCATATCGGAGCAACTGACGCCGCTGCTGGCGTGGGGTTTCCTCGGATCCGACGAGATGCTGCGGGATTCCTGCGTGTATTTCAAGGACCAGGTGATTGGAAGGTCTTGCGCGCGCGCTTCTGGTTCAGCGGTGATGTTTTGTTCGGTTTCAGGTCGTCGGGTTCCTGGTGGATATATTCAGTTTCCACAAGTGCAAGTACACGACGGTGGAGAAGCTGGCCGAGGACGTGTTCGCGTTGTTGAAGACGAGAGTGGAGAACGTTTGTCAAAGATTGAGCGTGCAGTCCTGAACCGGCGGATGCGGCTAGTAGAAATTTTCGTTATTAGATGATAAGAGGATGCGGAGAGTTTTTGATTGTTCTCTCTTAGTTTTGTCGATGATAAGCGTAAAAATGTTCGAGTATTATTAGCTTTTTTTGTTTTAGTATAGGCGAATTTTTTTGTTTGTGTACATAATTTTTTAACGGTTCGTTTTCCTGATAATGTATGATTTACAATAGGTGAAAAGCGCAAGAGATTTTAAAGATAGTTTTTAAGATGCAAAAAAAACGTCTACAGTTAGACATTCCTGTGAATTTTATGTAAAATAACAACTTTGTATATTTTTTGTAATTTGTAATTGATTTGTTATTAAAAAACAACAAAAAAACCTAGTGAGATCGCAAATAAACCAAATATTAAAATACTTCAATAGTAGTAAACCGCACATTTACATTAAACGTTCTTTTATTAATTTACATTATCAGTCAGTCGATTATATTCTTACAAAATTTACAACCATAAACAATTACTTATCTCTAGAGAAAATCGTTGATTAATCAACAATTATTTTTTCTGAACCGCCGATCTGGCAAAAACCACCACCAACGGTTTCTCCTTCAATATGTACCCGTTGGTCTCCTTCACGGCTTTCTGAGCCAACTGGACGCTATCCAAAGTCACGAAAGCCTGTCCTTTCATTCTACCCTCTTGCATCAACCTGATATCGAACTGACTCGGTGCATCGCCCTCCGTTATTTTGTACCTGCAATCAAATAAACCTAAATAAATTGTACACTATACAATACACCACATCGTACCTATTGTAAATATATTCCAGGTCCTTCAGCACCACCGATTTGGCGCAGTTTTTGATGTAAAGCCTGCAGGTGGGAGCGCCCGGGTGGTAGTTTTTGAACACCGGCAACACCCCCAGGTCTTTGTGGGGTATACGATTGCCCGCTAGTTCCTCAGACGTGATGCAAGTACCGTCCGGTTTGTGCTCCGCTTCGGTGGTGGGATTCGAAACGGTTTCCACACCACCGGTTTGTTCTTGTTCCGGAGATTGAGGCTTCCGGCTGGCGCAATCCGCCGGAACTTTCAGCTCTATTTTCTTTTGCACTTGTACTTCCACCTAAAAAAACTCGATTACATTAAAGTTATATGTACCTACTGATATTTATACCTTTTCGAATACGTTTTCTATTGGTTTGCTAACACCCGTTGGTTGCACTACAGGCAATTTGATAAACTTGGGCCTCTTGATGGCTTTTTTTTGAGTGCTTTTCCTCTTCATCGGCGCGTATTCTTTATTCCTAAACGTATCTTCGGTGTCGCTTTCTAGCTCCGATTCGGAGGAGCTTTTGGGGGAATTGCCTTCGGGGGGCTTCGCAGCGGACGCTTCTACTACAGGGTGTTGCGCTGGATTGATAGTCCTCACGGGAGGCTGTTCGACTGCAAACGGGGGCGGTAAGTTCATCCTGTTCATCAAATGCAACACCTGTGTGTAGAACCTCGGTATAGTGAGCAGGGCGTGAGCTATGTTGTTGATGGTGGCCCGATTGGCTTTAGGGTAAAGGTACTTCAAATGCGAGGGCGGCGGCTGGTGGAACCCCACGTTGTCGTTGAACGACGTCAGTTTGTTCACGAAGGTTTTGAACGACTTCTTGCTGCTGATGTCAGAGTCTTCGATCTTCTTCTGCTTGGGCTTGCCCTGCACGATGTCGTTCTCGGCGTATTCGACGCTGAGCCTGCAGTTGAGCACGGTGATTTGGTGGAGCCTGAGCATCACGTTTTTGGCGAGGTCTTCGCTGTCGAACTTGCCGTACACGGTCGACTTTTCCTTGGCCCGCGACGTGAGGACTTTCACTTTGGTCGCGCCGAAGTGCTTCACGAAGTCCTCCTTTTGCGCGTCCGACAGCTCCTTCGGCAGGTTTTTTATCTTTAACGTGTCTTTGCAAACCATTTTCGCTTTTTGTTTATAATTGCGACATTATTTTTAAGGTTATGGTCAATTTTGACGTTTTTGACGCAAGACTTTTTTGTTCGTAAATGGTCCTTAACAGATAAGTTATTGTGCTAGGTTGTCAAAAGTGACAGGAAACGCAAATATCTTGTCAGTTCGTGTTCTGTGATTAGGTATAATAAAAAAAAAGAAGTAGAAAAAAAACATGTCGAGGGGTTTGAGTTTGCACTATGTAAACATTTCCAGCAAACAAAAATAGCGTTATTTATGTTCATTTTGTTATTTCTTAGACATTCGGAATCGTTTATTTGTCCGTGAAATGCTCATTGACCGTGACCGCAACTCTTTTCTTTTTCTTTCGTTCAGTTTACTTTTTTTTCCTTAATATAGAAGTGCGACATTCGAGAGCTTGAACACCAAGTAAGTCGTCTTTAAAATTTAAAACTGCACTTATTTATTTACGTATTTGAATACGCACATTTATTTAAACTGATATTGTTAAATTGGTTGCCTAACGTTAGTGAAAATTTCTTTAATTTCTGAAGGTTAAAGATAGATAAATTAAAGAAATAGAGAGGATTCAATAAGTGCGGAAGTGCTCAATAACTAAATAATTTAACAGGTTATTCAAATATTTAGCACAAATTAACAAGAAAGAAAACAACAATGAACGTTTAAGGTACACTTTTCTATTACAATTACAAATCCTGTTCTACCACCTTAATATTATCATTGAACTTTCAACTCAATTGGCGCTAATAGAGATATTTAATGTCTCTATTGTGTTACATTACGCCAAATTATCCAGTTCGAACGCAAAACGAAACGATCCAATATTCAATACGAGCTCCGTTATCTCTTCATTGGTATGCACAAGTATAATTTACAACGCTTTTAATCAAATTCTATTTTTATCTACTCTTGTTCATACGTTGCAAAATAATCAAGCGCTCGGCGTATTGCTACTTTATTTAGCATCGCTACAACAAGGTCTCCCGAAGAGCAAACAAAACAACTCGAAATCTATCTAAGCACACATCACCAGTTATCTATATACATAATTGTTTGTTCGATTCAGATGACACGAAAGGGAATTTTCCTGCTGTTTCTCTGCACCCTTCCGGCCACATTTGGCCGGTTGCCCGAAGGCCAAGACCTCAGGGAGCTCAAGGAGGACGAATGCTACCAGCAGTGTTTCCATCAAACCGAAGACTCCTGCCCGGACGTGAACTCCCCGTGCAGATGCCAGCAATTGGCCAATTGCAAGAAAGCCGTCGTGTGCTGCGACATCAACGATCAAACGCTCAAAGAACAGCTAAAATGCGCCAGTAAGTCTATTAACCAAACGAGGGCGGGTTTTCGCTAATTTAATGGCAGATTTAACGCCTAGACAGCACGAAATCGAGGCCCTACACATCCGAAACGCCACGCTGGAGGTGCTCCACTTGAACCTGCCCGAATGGAAGTACCTGCGATCGATGACCATCACCGATGGTTACGTGAAGAACGTCAGCGAGGCCTTCCCCAAGATGTCGATGGTCTCCTGCTTGAATCTATCCTCGAACGGTATACAAGACATCGAAATCCGGTCGCTGGTGAACCTCTACAAGCTGAGCTACTTGGACTTGTCGCACAACAATCTCACGCAAGTGCCTAATTTTAAAAAGAAAGGCGGCGTTACGCTCGATATTTTAGGTGAGTTTCTTCCTATAATTAGATAAGATTGTAAGTGATTGAATTGCTTCAAAGGAAATCCCACGATATCCTGTATGAGCTTGAGCGAAGCCATCAGCAAATCCGTGATAACGTTCAACAACGAAAACTCTACATTTTGCCAAACGACGAAGGACTTCTATTGGTTCCAATCCAACGATCTGGTCAACGTGTCCGAATTGAGGCGGATCAAAGAGGTAAACTCGAATACCGAACGCTGAATTGCTTCATTAAACGATTAATTCCAGTTGGAGAATAATTGCATACCGAATTGCACGTGCAGCCCGTACGTGCTGAATCTGGGCACTAAAGTACCGAGGGTGCATACGGTGGAGGTGAATTGCACTAACAGCAATTTGTTGAGACTGCCCCATCAGTTGCCGCCTCACACAGCCACCTTGGACGTTTCCAACAATAACGTGAGTAAATTGATTCGATTCCTAACAGGGCACTGTCCTCTGCGGAGAGCACCTTCTATAATCTAGGGTTAGAGGAAAGTCCCCTTTCTTCTTTAGAGGGAAGTATCCCTGTTGTGGCCCCCGGAGACATAAACGAGCATCCGTTGTGTTAAAATATCGTGTTTGTTTTTCGTAGATAACGTCTTTGAAAGAGCTGAGCGAACCGTCCTACAAAGAGTTGATATTTTTACGAGCCGATAACAATTTGATAACGTCGATCGAGCCGCTAGAGGGCACCCAATTCAAGAGTATATTCGAACTATTGAGTCTCAGGAATAACAAAATTAAATTCGTAAGTAACGAGAATGGTTTATATAGCGATCAATAACATTTGCCAAGGTTAAAACGGAAATAATTGTTCGATAGCGATTCATAGAGAATATAGAGTGGAAAAAGCGTGTAGTTGTAATTGAATTTTGTGCATACTGTCACTTGTCATTACCAGTGTTGTCAGAAGTAGCAGAATTCCACCACTTTTAGGCGCTTAAATGCCTAAAATTCTATCATAAAAGCTGAAATGCTTAACAAAATGACTGAAATTTTCTATCACTAATTAGTATCAAAAATAATAAATCATAATTTATATATCTTGAATTTCATATCGAACAGAACGATTAATGTCGCTTTATGACTCTTCTACCTTAATAAATGACATGCCAATGTCAAAATTAATCTGTCAAATTCAGTTTGTTTCATTATTTTCACGCGCATCTCTATGCTTTTGCCACTCTATATTTTATTTAATTATTTCTCTATATCGCAACCGATTTCATTCTTCCATTGAGTTCTTCTCTCTTGGTTATTGATTGGAGCTTAAAGCTTAAAGGCCTCTGCCACTATGGCTATTCGGCCATTCTTCAATTGAGCCGAGATTGTATGATTTTAGGTGACTTCCGGACCTGTAACTGCATGCATTTAATACACCGATCGTTGTTTACAGATCGACACCTATTTATTGGAGTTCTACAGGCCCGCCGTGAGCGTTCGAAATGTTTATTTGGGCTTGAACCGGTTGACTTGCGATTGTACGACCGTCACGGATTTCAAGGTACAAAGCCACGCAAATGCGAATAGACGATTTAGTTAACGGTGGTAAATTCCAGATGTGGCTGCAAACGAAATCCGACTTTATAAAGGACTACAAGGAGATCATGTGCGATACGCCCCAAGGGGACGTCAGCGTGATCGAAATAGACCCGTCGAAGTACTGCCAAAGCGACGAAACGTGGACGGATTATCTCTATTACATCATAGCCGCGGAGGTGTTTCTCCTGGTCAGCCTCGTCACCAAAGTGTCTTACGATTATTGGGTGTTCAAAACGGCCGGTTATTTACCGTGGCCGGCCAGCAAAATGCCCAAGTTGCCTTGCGATTGGCTGTGCGAGTGATTTTATTCACTTATAGGGGCCTATATAGGATTTTATTCACTTATAGGGGTAAAAAGTTAATAAACTACGTCATTCGGGAGTTTCGACCTTTTTGGGATACTCTGTATATACACAGGGTGTTTTTTTTACACGGGAAAGGGTAATTCTTTGCTAGATAAAGCGAGTTAATGCACTGAAAAGCGATAGAGTTCTAAAGAGAAATTTAAAATACGCTCGAAAGAATGGTTTATGTAGAGGATGTGCATATAAGAACACCCTGTATATGTGAATCGTTTTTATTACGAATCTGCTATGTAGATGTTTATCATATCAATATTTTTCATACGATGGACCTCTCTGATTTTTTTTAAATGGTTGTGATAATTATGAATTAGTCGTTTATATTTTTAAATTACCTGTATTTTGGTTGTTTACGGTTTAAATTTGTGCCATTGTTGTTTTATTTACCGATGTGTCTTTTTATAAGTTGTATACGTTTATATTTACTGTGTGTTAGATTTTATTTATGTCCTCCCAGAGGTTTTTTTAATCGTGCATATTTTGCTTTAATATAAGATTAACGATTTCTTATATTTGCTCATTTTTTTGTGTTATTTACGATTGTATATACATATGAAGTTTTAATACAGGGTCTTTATATTTATTTAATAGTTTTTATTTGGTAACACTTAAAAAAATTGTCAAAAGTGCTCGCAATATGGTTAATTCTATGAGTTGAACAAGACTATTAAATTAACAGTAGTTAAAATAAGAAAGGTGTAATTCCTCAATATCATTCTCTCTTTGTCCTTTGTATGATACTAGTGGAAGTTGTCTTTGTTGAACCCATAGCTTGTATTGCAAACAACTTTTCACCTGCCTGTGTAAATTTCAATTACGAAAACGACAAAATCATTTGAAATAATTGATAGGTGCAAATTTATGATATAATTTTAGCGGATCTCATGATAATCTTGTCATTATCAACTGACCGTATTTGCTCTACTATATTCTTTTTTTGAAAACATTCCAAATAGTTGAACAAACCTCGTCTGTTTGATGTAATAATTCGATCTGTAATTTTTCATTGGAATAAATTTCCTTTCGCTAATTCGCGCGGCCTTGATAAGAACTTTTCACTTCTATAATAATGGGACATTTAAATATTTCCTGCGAGTTATTTTCGCAAAAGTCGTAAAAATTATTTTTTTCTTGGGAAATTTAAGGGACGCGCATAAAAAATTAATGGCGCTTTTAATAACCTTGATACAAACTAATTTAAATTAAACTATAGTTTTTTTATTGTTATCTTTTCGTTTTTTACTACCGCGAGCGCAATAATACAAACTATTATATTTCCTAGTTCCTTACGTTTAATTGCGAATGTTTACCTCTCAAACCGCAATTCTACATTATATGCGGAATATTCTATTATGCAGGAACTAGATAGTAAATAAATAATAGAAAAATAGTACTATATACAGGGTGTCCCGCGTAAGAATCGACACAGAGTAGGGGAGCCTAAAATATGATATTTACAGACCTTTAAAGTGAAGTTACAAATTAAAAAAAATATCTCAGTAATACTTAAACAATTAAACTTGGTATAAAAGTATGCTAAGTAAAAAAAAAATCTTATACACAGGAATTTTCCCAGTTATGATCAATTTTACAAGGAAAAAAATTAATATTAACCACAAGACGATATTGGCAATTAACAATATCCTGAAAATTCTACACGTAATCGTTGTTTTTCAATTAAATTCTTCAACCACAACGTAAATACATATTCCTATAATAAAACAAATATCCGTTTTATTTCGAAGATACAAAAATTATACAAAAAAGCAATAAAAAGCATCTGTCGTTCGGCTGTCATGTAGCTGTCAAAGTTCATCCGGTGCTGCCAACTTAAACTCCAACGTCACCGCGCGATTTATTTGAAATGGCAAAAGTACCACAGGCACTAGGGATATTTTGAACTGCGTGGAAATCACTAAAAGTGACGTCATTGTAATTTCAAACCGTACGAACTTTACTAACAAAAGACAACTTCCATTAGACACTTACAAAGGAAAAGGAAAGAGTGACATTTGTGTCATTGCAACTTTTCACTTTGACAACTGTCATTTTAATAATCTTTCTTTTTTCCACTCATAGAAATGACCAATCTTTTAGTATTTTAGGCCCATTGCCCTGTCTCGTTCCTTACGCGGGTCGCCCTGTATATTAGCTTTTCGATCTCGCAATTGATCGACTTTAAAAAACAACAATTTAATCGGGTGGAATATATATTTTCGCGACACCTATATCTAGTTTTCGGCACGCGGAGATTCCTCGAAGGAAAACATGTTTTTCTCGGGCGTACAGCCGGAAAGGACGGGGGCCTCGCGTCATGTCGAATGCACGGAACATACGAAATTCATCAGCGACATCGGCGTTCGAAATAACAAATCGTAAAAGGTGATAATTGCCCCGGTAAAATCTCTTTTAATTCTCCGATGCGATTATATCACGTGAGTTGGAAATAAAAGTGGGTAGTAAGAGAAGCGCTGTCGCGATTCTAGCCATTGGCAGTGACCGTGCTTGTACCTTTTACTTTAACCGATGTTACGCGGCGTTTGAAAAGTTGTTTGTTTTTTTTTTCTTTTATTTTGATTTTATTCCGTGTGTAAATGTTGTGAGTTTCGGGTTTCGTCTTCCTGCGCGAGATTTTCCTTTTTTTCCCGCGTTTTTCCATTACCTAAACAGCTTCAAAATGGTCCATAGTAACAAGTACGATTTGGAAAAGAAAATTCCTTCGTTGGAAAAATCATCGCTTTTCGGTAAGTTAATTAAACTTTTTTTACATACTGTTTTTTTCTTATTAATCAAACTGCAATAAAATTACATTGGAATTTATCATGAAAAAATCATTCTCATTTAACATTTCAAACTTGCAGTCAATTTTCATATACCTACCTGAACTTTAATTGACAATTACCGATCAATTACTGTGTTATTGTTGTTCTGATAAAACATCAGTAATTTACCAAAGAGTGAACCACTGTGTAATGTAATTTACATTTAGATTTTTGTTTCGTAAACCGGCAAAAATTTATGCAAATGCTTTCGAGAATTAACATAATTAGCTTGTTCATATTTTTCCGATAAGATATTGCAAAAAAAACGTGAAAAAAGTTCGAAATTTTGCACGATTAAATTTAGCGAAGAAAAAAACGATCATTCATTGAACGTAACTCAATTACTATTTTCCCACTATATATTTTTTTTACTACCTTTTACTCATTAATCTTCATTCGATTTTTTTTATAGTCATTTTGTGATTTTTTTATTATTTATTGACGTGGAAATAATGGTCGGTGAACTTTGAAATAGTGCAATCTGATCATTACCTATACTACATGATTTGTGATAAAACTATCATTCATTTTAATTATACAGGTACCAATATGCAAAAATTGTTTGCAATATTTTCTATGGGTGCAACAGAAACAACTTCCCTTAGTCTCATATAAAGGAGAAAGAAAGAGCGATGTTGTAAACAAATTTGCACTTGTCTGAGTATTAAATTTTGTTCTTTAAATTTTAAACGAATTCGGTCCACTTTCGTTTTAATTGGTCAATTTGAATTCGAAATTTATGAAATACTTTATGTAATTTTATTGGAATATTCGTGAAAATAAAATTATTTCGAACGCTGAATCACGCCGTGAATTAAATATTTGCGAATTGGCATCAATTAACATTTTATATTAAAAACGATTATAAATAAATTCGTAATTTATTTTTGCGTACAAATATAATTAAAGAAAATTTTTTTATTGATAATGGTCCTCCGAATTTATTAAAAATATGTTTTTACGTGCATTTTAATTATTTACCGATTGAATCATGCCTATAATTTCAAATATTTAAGTAAATAATTAGTTATATTCTGAGAAGAAAAAAATCTTATAACAACACAGGAATTTTCACAGTTGATATAAACAATCAATTTTACAATCCATTTACAAGAAAAAAATGTTAACCACAAGACAATATTGGCAATTAACAATATCCTGAAAATTCTGCACGTAATCCTCATTTTTCAATTAAATTATTCAAACCACAACAAATTCATATTCCTATAATAAAACAAACATCCTTTTATCTCAAAGATAACAAAATTATATAAAATCCATTAAAAAGTATCTATCATCGAGCTGTCAAAAGCGATTAAAAACTATCTGTCATTCTTCTGTCAAAGTTCACCCGGTGCTGTCAACTTAAACTCCAAACTTCGCGCGATATTCCGAATTCGGTCTAGAATGCCGTGTAAAACATTTCGAAAATATAATAAAAAAAATATGCATAATCGATGAAATTTTTCCATCGAGTTCAACAACTTTCATGCCTGCTCGACTTTGACATTGACACACCTTATGTAGCGCGAGGTTTAGAGAAAATTCGTTTTCAGTTCATCACACTTCATACGAATTTCGTAATGGCGGATCGGAGGTGAGAGCGTGACTAAAGTTTAATCGTTTTCATATACGAGGCGATCGAATTTAACTCGCATTGTCCTGATGATGGTTAGATTATTATCGAAACTTTCTTTACTTATTGTTTTGCTTCGTTCGCGAGGAGAGAATACAAAAATTATAAAGGATGTTATTGAAAAAGTAATATCCTAAATTGGACAATTGCGAGGTTACTTTTAACGCTATTCGCATAAAATTATCATTAATTATTTTAATCATTATTTGTTGCTGCTCGGTAATTAGATAATTATTAACTAGACTATTTTAAAAATAGTTTCTGTTTTTGTACGAATTTATTTATCTGCTTTCACCGCATTTTTGAAAACCATAAGTGACATTTTAACCGGTAATAGTTTATTTATTACAGACTCTATTGGGAAAACTGGCATTTCTGCGAACCGCAATGAATTGATTCATGAACTTAGAAATAAATAATCCAATTCCGGGTTTTTGTGCATTACATAATTGCATATACAATAGAATGCATCGCTAATCGTGGAGTAATTTCTATTCGAGAGGAAACGTTATTTTTTTAGCTATAGAAAAATCTAAAAGAGCGCTCCACTTTTCGAACTACCGCAGATAAAAATACTGCGGTCTAAATATATAAGAGTAAAAACGTACCAATTATAACTCTGGCTGGTGATTATGTAAAAAAAATTCGACATTTTCTTTTTTTTTTGACGTAGGTAATACACTAAAAATCGACCTTATTTCACGGCCTTTCGGCGTCGTCTCGGATCTGCCAAGTCGGAATTTTTCTGCGTGTAATTGCAAATCCTACGCAACTTTCGTCGGACTTGCAGGGGGCGCAATCGATCGGAATTTATCACTAAATTGAGCGATTCGAATTTGCATTTATGCACGATACGCTATGTAAGCCAACCTTGGCGCTTTTTTTATCATGATATTTTTTAATGGAAACCTCAATGTTGGCTTTGAATTGCATTTTACAAATCTACCTTGAGGTGTATGACTTGGACAAGCCTTTAAAACTTAAGTTGGTTTTGTCCTCAATCGGAGTTTTTGCGCAAACGTATTTTTATATGCTTTAATTCGGTGCTGGAACAAATCTAATCGGGATTGGAATTTATTAGGAACGGTATATTGTTATTGTGGGAAATTACACGAGAAATTGCATGTAATTATTCGTTGGTAGAATGATTTTGCATCAATTCCAGCATACGGAAGAATTTATGTTACTAATCCTTTGCTAAATCGTAAAATTGATAAAACTAATCCTTGTTTAATTCTAAGTTCTTTATGCATATATGTTTTATCACTTTATAACTTGTGAAATTCGTCGCAAAAATTTCGTTTTACAATCGGTTCTTACAAGGGTAATGTGAAAAGTTCTCGGCCTGACAATGAAAGACAAAAATTACATTATTCTTTTTATTAAGTCAAAATCTTTCGTCGGAGATGATTCTAGGGCGTTTTAGATTATTCTAGAGAGTTCTAAATGATTTTGGAGCATTCGAAATGGTTCTAGACAGTTCTGAATAATTCTAGAGCGTTCTGTACATGGTTTTAGAGAGTTGTAATGCTTCTACAGCTTTCTAAATTGTTCTAGACAGTTCTGAATAATTCTAGAGCGTTCTCTACATGATTCTAGAGAGTTGTAATGCTTCTACAGCTTTCTAAATTGATCTAGACAGTTCTGAATGATTCTGGAGCGTTCTAAATGATTCTAGATTATTCCAAATGTTTCTAGAGTGTTCTAGAGTTTTCTAGTATCAAGGAACAAACAAGAATTTCTAATCTTTTCTACTTGCTAAAAATGCGTTTTGTTTACAAGTAGTAGGTAATATGAATCAATTTAGTTCATCTAATTACCTACATTTACATGTTTCTCACGTAATTTACGCTTGCACAATCACGAGGCACACTTGATTGTGTCGAATATTTGTGTTTCAGTAATGGTGGCGTTTGCGCTCGTTTTTACCTTAATTATAAACGGTGATAAATATATGTAAGAAACAAATGTAGACAAAGCGGTCATTTCCTGTTTAATTCGCCGAAACGGCAGTGACTACAAGGGATTTCTAATTGAAAGATTGTTCATGTTTAATTAAAAAGAATGGCGCTCGACCTTCTCTAAAAACGCTCTCCTAGGAAAAAGTCCAGCGCCATATAACGTGACCGATTTTCCGCTCGAATTATTCGCTCGCCCACTCTAATATTATCAGATCCAAATTCGCTAATTGCATCTAATCGAAGCGATTATTACCTAATTACGAATGCCAATCGATGCGATCGCCCGCGAAATCGATTAATCGAATAGCTTTGACGTGTAATGTGTGTTGCCTATACTCCAGTAAAGCCGATTTTCTATTTAAATTTTTTTTAATTTTAACCCGCGTTTCTGGCACAAAATGGGCCGCTTCTATTTATAAAAATGTGAAACTATTCCGTGCATCTTTCCACACGTTTGACACGATACGTTAATTACGGCTTAAGGTATTTAGATAGCCGCTTCGTGGAGCGCAATATTTCACAATGTTTGTCTCGGCAAATACAATAAAATCAAATCCAGTCACCGGTTTGTGGAAATGATTTTAATCTCTTTAATCCGTCCTAATTAATTAATTTGCTGATGTTATTTTATTTAATTCCCGCCAACAATCCGCAAATATGCCGGTGAACGTACGTCTGTGATTAATTGGGTTGTCATGCGCATTAATCAAATGTTTACTTTTTTAGTTGCCAAATCGTCTACGATTTCTGTCAAACTTGATTCATTTACTCTGGTAACGGAAATAATTGTGACGAATTAATTTTAATTGAGGTAATTATCTGGTGCACTGAGGTAACGGTATTTACGTTGGGGTGTTATTATGTATAGAAAATAGTGTTTTTTTTTTCTTTTTTGTTATATAATTGTTGGATGTTATTGATTCGTCGGAGGAAATTTGAGACTTGGCAACATGGCGCGCACATGTGGAGCGGGGAAAAAGAAAACGTTGGCGGAAGAAAAAGTGGAAGTGGATTCTAAATTCTGTTTAGCTGTGATTTTTTTTAGCTTGCGAAATTATGCACGGTTAATTTTGAAGTGTATCGTTAAATGGTGGTGCGGTTATTCCGGTGTGACATTAATTTCTATCGAAGATAATCCGAGAGAATACCTAACAGAACACACGTTATTTTCTATAATTATATTGGTTTTTCCTCACAGACATTTAAATGATCGATTATGACATTTTTCCATAAACCAACAAAATCCACATTTTTGCACATTTATTCGAGGAAAAAGAAAAGACTGAAGTTTCTCTGAAAACCAATCGAATTTTCCGGTAAAATCAGTACAAATATTCCGGTTTCTCAGCCACAGTAGTATTTATAGTTTAATTTGTTGAAATTTTATTCGCTTAACAGTTAGGTATATTTATATTTTAATAATATTTATAATGGGCAGAAATAGCCGCAATTCTTATTTAAACACTCGGTATACCAACGTGTTGCTCAGACAAGACGATACGGTAGCGGAATTGAAAAAAAAACGAGGTAAGAATTTGTCGTCGTATCGATTTTTTTTATCTTTTTATTATTTCCATCGTACGCCGGTATAAATTGAGGTTATAAATCTTACGTGCCGGTTTTCCTTTATATACCTTTTTCATTTCATCTTCAAGATTTCATACGAAGATAAAATGAAACGACACGATACCTGTCCGGTAAGCGTCAAAATTGACAGTTCGTATACATACGTCAAATTTGATGAGTACGTCGTAAATTTTATGCAATAATTTTATAACAAAGTAGGTCGTTTAAAAAAATGTTTGTTTAATAAATGAAAACAATTCTGCCGATTCGTTAATTTTTATGATGGAATTTTACCTTGCGCGACAGTTACATATCAATAATCATTTTAATTGCAATAATTCGACAATTATTCCTTTTCCATCGGATGTCCGTAATTTTCTCTTCATCAAAGTAGCGTGGGAATTGCCAAAGCCTACCGTACACATTCGTGGACTCTATTCAGGAAGATATCTAGCCAAATCATGAAATCCTAATCTAATTACTCGATAAGCATACTAACGTAAATTGTATGGATTTAAGGATGGTTCGGAACAAGGCACATGGTCACCTTCATGCTGTTCCTCGGCATGGCGAACGCCTACATAATGCGCACCAACATGTCAGTAGCCATCGTCGCCATGGTCAATCACACGGCCCTGGGCGGTTCCTCGCACGATACATCCCTTTCGGTCGACGATGAGTGCGGAGTCATCGCCGAAAACACCACCAACGAAGGCCCTACGGTAAGCTTTTAACCTGCTAAAGTAGCCCGGCTCAAAGTAGCTTATTGTTCGCAGGGGAAATCCGAGCTGGACGGGGAATACCCGTGGCCCACGGACATCCAAGGCTACGTGCTGAGCTCGTTCTTCTACGGCTACGTGATCACGCAAATACCGTTCGGCATACTGGCCAAGCGCTACGGGAACATCTACTTCCTGGGCGTCGGGATGCTGATCAATTCGCTGTTCGGGCTGCTGGTGCCCGTCTCCGCGAGAATGGGCATCTGGTGGCTGATCGCCGTCCGGTTCATACAAGGGCTAGGCGAGGTGAGTGTGTGGCGTACCGGCTCGCGCTCCGGTACTAGATAAATTTATTTCAATCGAAAAACATTTCTGGCCAGGGTCCTATTGTCCCGTGTACGCACGCTCTCCTGGCTAAGTGGATACCGCCGAACGAGAGAAGCAGAATGGGAGCATTCGTTTACGCAGGTATATTGAACATTTACATTTATCGGAAAATCGATGGGGATCTTGCCGAGTTTATTTTTTATTTACTAATTAATTCGCTATCTAGTTATCTAAGAGTCTATTGATATTCGATATGTGTATTAACACGAAACGCGATAGGTATATCTGTTATTAGATGGTTTGTTTGTTGGTAGGGGCGCAATTCGGAACTGTGATATCGATGCCGTTGAGCGGTTTATTATCGGAATGCAGATTCGGGTGGCCTTCGATATTCTACGTGTTCGGTACGGTGGGCACCATTTGGTGTGTATTCTTCTTGTTGATGGTGCGCGAGGATCCGCAAAGCGATCGCAAAATAAACGTGGAAGAACGGTTGTACATACAGAAAGAGTTGGGGAGTAAAGCGGGCTTGCCGGTACGTGTAATTTGTTAAAAGAAAACGAATCGTGATTAAATGGAATGTTTGTTATTAGATTCCGCCGATACCGTGGACGTCTATATTGAAATCGTTGCCGTTTTACGCGATTTTACTGGCCCATATGGGGCACAATTATGGGTACGAGACGCTTATGACGGAGCTGCCGACTTACATGAAGCAAGTGCATCATTTCAGTATTAAAGATGTGAGTTTTTGTGAATTATTACGCAGTTATTTCGTACGAATGTTTTCGTATTTACAGAACGGCGTATTGTCGGCTCTTCCGTACTTGGCCATGTGGATTTTCTCAATTTTCATAAGCCACGTCGCAGATTATCTACTTACCAAACCGTACTTTACCCACACAATCGTACGAAAACTAATAAACGCCATTGGTAAGCCGAGCAACATTACAATACGAATTACAAGTACAGTAAATTTGTAAAATTATTTTAGGTCAATACGGCCCCGCCATAGCTTTGGTAGCCGTAGCATTCACGGGTTGCGACAGGTGGTTAACAGTGGGGATTCTCACGGTAGGAGTCGGTTTGAACGGCGGAATTTACTCGGGCTTCAAAGTGAACCATTTGGATATATCACCGCAATACGCCGGCATTTTGATGTCGTTCACCAATTGCATGGCGAATTTGGCGGGATTGTTGGCGCCCATTTACGCCGGACACGTCGTCGTGGGGACGGTAAGATTGTTCCCTTTCGAGCGCCTTTTACGGGGGGTGATTGTTGTGGGTTTTTGTTTGTAGCCGAGCATCGCTAAATGGAGGACCGTTTTCATAACGGCTGCCAGCGTGTACGCGTGTTGTTGCACGTTTTTCGTGTTCTTCGCTTCCGGGGAACGCCAGGCTTGGGACCAACCGCCCGACGAGGCCATATCGAAGAGGGAGAACGATCGGCCCGAGGTTATCACGACGCCGGCTTGAGGAAATTGCGCGCTTTCAAATGGGGTTTTTTTTTTCTTTCTGTTTTTATGAAGTGGGCCAGTTATGTTTTTAGCTACGTTTAATTGTACATTTACAGCTAGTATTACTATCTACGTTATTGTAAAAATATATTTTATATGCGAACTTACTACATGTTACTTTTGCGAGTTCACTGTTAGTTTTGTTTAGCCGATGAAACGTTTTGTTTTCTATAAATTCTGTAGCGTTATTTAATTGAAACGTTTATAATTTTTTAGTCGAATCGAAAAGTGAACAAGGTATTAATTCGGTCCATATGCAAGAATTTAATGTCAACGATCTGTGATTATATCTTTTACATTGCCTTGAGTTACCTTAACAACGTTTACTAACAAAAAAAAATTATGCTCGAATTGTTTATTGATGAATATAGCAGTATTTTCAATTCGTTGTTTTATTCGTACTCCAAATAAAACTTCTCTTATACAGCTCTTCAAACTATACAACAACATGAATAAGTAAGAAGATGGTAAAGTGGAAGTACATTAAAAATAGTTTCGGTTTTCAGAAGATGTAAATGGCCAAAATTGTTTAATTTTCAATAAAGTTTCTATTTTTCTTTCACCTTGCGAAGCAAAGATGTTTCCAAAAAATAAACGTTAAAGCCAAATATTTATTTTTTTTAATATGTTACCGACAGAAAATTACTTTTCATAATAGAAAGAACTTATTAATCTAACGCATGCTACTTTTATAACAGATATCAGAACAATTACTAATACTAAACCCTATCAAATTATTTTGGAACCACAACGTGGCCCATCAAATAATAAAATTAAATTCTTTAACAATATGAAAGTTTAATAGATACTGTACATAAAAATAACACATTACGATTTTTGTGTACATTATCATTCATGGTGCATATCTGCATCGCAATCAGAAATCATCTAATATAGTGAATAATAAAAATTCATTTACTTTATTAACATAGCTACAGAAACTATTAATTGTATTTAGTTTTTCACGTTCGCAACAAACGTAATCAATTATCAAATAAATATTGTGTATGTATATATTATATACAGAATGCGTCGTAATTACAGTCGCATTCTGTAGGTCAAAGCCACGCTATTTTAGTTCTCAGTTTTAATAACTACCTGACCGTCCTCAACTTCTTCGACCACTTCTTCACCCTCATCCTCTTCCACCATTACTTCATTTACGTTTTCTTCGATAGTCACCTCATTACAATCTTCTTCTAAGGTTACCTATAAAGAAACGAATTACATAATAATTTAAACGTAACGACAAGTTTCTTCAAGCACTACCTCATTGACGAAAACCTCCTCAACTTCCTCTTCAGGTACATACACCTCTTCGCCATCCTCATCTACAGTAACCATCTCGGTTTCCACCATACCATCGGCGCTCTCGTCGTAATCCGGCACGATTTCCTCTTCGATAATCGTCCCTTCCTCTTCGATCTCCTGCTCCTCCATGGTCCCTTGCTCGTCGTCGGCGGCCACTTCTTTCACCACCTCCACCATCGGCGCTTGCTTCTTCGTCTTCAGCAAGTACTGCTTCGGTATGTCCGTCGTTTGCGAGATCACCTTCAGCACGATGTTCTTACCCGAAGCCGTCTTCACCACCACCAAGTTCGAAGGGAACGGGCTGCTCGTGCTGCTCGTACTGCTCGCCGTCGTTTGGCTGTTGCTTTGAGGCGTTATGAATTGTACGTTCTCCGATTTGCTGCAAACACACAAACGCAGCTACAGGCATCGTTAACAATCGCTCGATCAGCGACTCTTACATTTTATCGGCCGAGTTAACGGTCAGACCGTAATGCACGTCGGCGTTCCACGGGTTGAATTTCCTGCTGCCCGTCGGGGTGGTTATGTTGACGTGTTGCGTTTGGGCCTCGACGAATCCGTTGGTGTCCACTTCGTATTCGGTGTCGCTGTCGACGCGATCGAAGCGCATCATCTTCTTGCCCTTCTTGTAGTAGATGCCTCCGATGGTGGGGGTGCCCAGTTCCATCGAGTTCCTCGGCGACGAGGAGGCGCGCCGGCGTCGCGTGATCGTGTACTGCACCGAATCGTAACTGCAAGAGAATTAAAGGAAGGGGTTGTTTCCGTGAATTCAAGTCTTTCCATGGGTTTGTGTATATATATTGGGGTATATTTTTTTGATTATTATGGGGATAAAAGTTTATTACCTCAATCTGTCGAGATCGCCATGGAAACGAGACCCAATTTAGAGAAAAAACCCCCGAAATAGTGTCACCTATTTTGCCTAAAGAATGGTATGGTAAAAGACCACTCACCCTTCGCGCCTCATCATCTCCGGCAGGTATCTCCTGCGGGCGTTGATGAACCAATTGCTGATTTGCAATACGGTGAGATTCGTTTCTTGCGATAGAATGTGCTTCTCGATTTCGGTCGGGTAGGCGTTGAACCGGTGATCGTACAGCCAGGTTTTCAGTATCTTGACGGCGTCTTTGGGCAGGTGGCCGCGCCTTTTCACGGTCCTCATCGATGGGCTGACCATTTCGTATTGGTACATGACGGGCACCTGTTCCTCATCGGACGCCGTATCGTTCTCGTCGTCGGCGCTTCCCACCGGATGGAACTGGTGATCTGCTTGATATTTCAAAAAAAAAAAACGTTACCAAAACCATCCAATAACACTCCAATACGAAACTTACCTACGACTTCTCGAATTGTAAACTGATTCAACTGATTAGCCGACATTTTGATGCGATTGGTCGATTGAATATGCGAATGTTACCAAAGTCCTGTGCGGCGATTCTCGCGAATAACTTCTAAATGTGCCTGTAAGCGGTAAAATATGGAAGTATTAGCGATGGATTCGGACGATTCGGAGGCATGGTAAACCGAGATGTTTTTACGCAAGAAAGAGGTGGTGACGTCATCATGGACGCAGATGCTTGGGCGTGTGGAGGCTTTCGTTGGTTTTTTATGTAATTTGTATCGAAAATATACTTTATCCCTGGTGCATTAACGCTTGAAATGTGTTTATAAACGTCTTTTGGCGTTTGATATGACAATTTTTTGACAAAATGTCAATATTGTCAATAAAATGTCACTGTCTAGTGTCTAAGAGCTATGAGGACGAATTTCAAATATAAATATGGAAAAATAACACATTTTTCTTGCGTTTACAGCTAAATGTATCGATTAATATGGAAATATAACGAAAATAACGACTTACAAAGGTTTCGTCTCGAGGCGTCTACTTTCTCACTAAATCGCCATAACTCGTTTGAAAATGCTCGTTCATTTCCTATACTGCGCAGTAAGACAAACGGTGCTATCGAGCGGATTCAATTGAGATTGCACTAAAATCATAAAAATAACTAAAACAATTGTATTATTGCCTTATTTTTTAACTTTTTAGAGAATCAGCGTACAAAATGTCGTCGCGATCAAAGTATTTTAAGGATTAATCAAAAATATTTAAATTTTAAGAGTCGATCAAACGAACAAACCCAAGCGAAGGTTGCTCTGTTCGTTTGACTGTGTTCTCGCTCCAAACTGTCACTCGGAGCATTACAAAAAAAATATTTTTTTTAATTGATAAAATATTCCTTTAATTGCGATAATTTCATTATCAAATAGCAATTTTCAACAAAATAAATTGCCTATTTTGATTTAATTAAATTGATTAATACAACAAAAGAATTGTTAGAGCGGGAAACGAAAGAACGAAGCAAAAAAAATACAAACGAACAAAGCTCACTTAGGGTCGATTATCGCTTGATAAACGGACCTTTTATAGAATCTTGCCAACACAAATAAATAATCACTTTGAAGTTGGAAGTTGGACCTGTCATGGCCACGGAACATATGACATTGTAAAAGTAAGGTTGTGTTCGCGGCAAAAGAAGACAAAACAATGAAAACGAGTATTTGAAAAAGGTGCGGCGAGGAAACTGAACAAATCAAATTATTTTGAACTGTCTGGGAGATAACGTAATTTATTGATAATGGTATTAAAGGTCATAGTATACGACAAATACGCCAGTAACATTAGTTTTGTCTCGTGTTTGTTCGAAGCAGTTGTATTTCTCTACTGTATCGGCTTTTATTTGAATTAAATTTGTTGAATATGTCGGAAAACGGTGTGGAAGGAATTCGCAGGCGAACGAAAAGCGTCACGAGAGCCGAGGAAATTCAAGCCGAAGAGAAAAAGGCCAGGAAAAGTCAACCCGACAAACCGTATGTATCTTTTTTATTCCATCATTTTTTATGCAAAGCAATAAGTACAATGTTTAGATAGATAATATTTCAAGTTTGTTCATTAACGTTCGATTTAATTGAATTATTTTCAGATGCCACCAACCGAGAGACTCTCTATTTTCCTGGAATTCCGGTTTCGATAATTTCACCGGTTTCATAAATTGGGCATTTCTTCTACTCTCTATAGGAGGCGTAAGACTGCTACTCGAGAATTTCTTAAAGTGAGTATATTAATAGAGTTTAAATTTTATAATAACAATTACTTCAAAATGTATGTAAACAATTACATAGTTCCTGTAAACACATCATTAAAAACGCGATTTTATTATCTGTAAATAAAGATTCGTTTATTTGTATTCAATTTTAATAGCTTGCTTATTAAATGGAGGCTATTAAATTTTTTATGTAATTTTTATTGCAGATACGGAATCAGAATAGATCCGATCCAATGGCTGTATATCCTAACTGGTTACGATGATCAATCTGGATCGGAGCATCCAGCTTTAATCCTTGCTATATGTTAGTAAATATATTTTTTTAGGTTTTATCGCTCATTTTATATTTTTTGTAGATTCAAACGTGCCTGTAATTTTGTGCCTTTTAACCGAAAAGGGCCTAGCTACAGTAAGTTATAATTTCCCTTTCGTTAGAGCCCTGTAATTATTTAATTTTTGTAGGAAATAATACCAAACAAGACTGGGATGTTTGTACACGTTATTAACCTTTTAGTTTTAATATTACTTCCTATGGCAGTGATACACGTTAAAGATACTTTCAGTTTGAGTAAATTCCCTCGTATACTAACATTTGGAATATTTTATTTAATTAGTTTTTTTCTAGTTGGCGCATCCGCCGTCACCACTTTATACAGCGTGTTGTTTTTGAAATTGTGGTCGTACGTCCAAGTGAATTCGTGGTGTAGAATAGCCAGACAGAACCACAAGAGCAACTTGCGAAGACAATCGTTGTCCTACAGCAACCTAAGAAAAGGCCCCAGTAAGACCGATACTTTCAAAACAACGACTCACCACTCACCCCTATCGATTCTAGACAATAGCAGCAGCAAGGAAGAATCGACGGAAGACCTCAAACTGGCCCACTACCCGGATAACCTCCACGTAAAAGACATCTACTACTTCCTGCTGGCGCCGACGCTGTGCTACGAGCTGAACTTCCCGAAGACCGATCGCATTCGCAAGCGGTTCCTGTTCAAGCGCATCGTAGAGGTGGTGCTGGGCGTGCAGTTGATCCTGTGCATCCTGCAGCAGTACATGATACCCACCATAAAGAACTCGCTGATACCGTTCAGCGTTTTGGACTACACCAAAAGCACCGAACGGTTGCTCAAATTGGCGGTAAATCGAACGAATCGTTCGAGTGAAACTCGATTAAATGATGCTATTGTAGATTCCTAATCATCTGGCGTGGTTGTGTATGTTTTACATCATGTTCCATTCGTGGTTGAATCTGCTCGGGGAGGTGCTGCATTTCGCCGATAGGAGTTTCTACGGCGATTGGTGGAACGCTAATAATATTGATACGTTCTGGAGGAACTGGAACTTGCCGGTGCACCGGTGGGCCTTGCGACATCTCTATTTCCCCATGATCGATATGGGTTATAATAAAGTCGTGGCTAGTACGGCGGTGTTTTTTATCAGCGCTTTTTTCCACGAGTATATGGTAAAGGTGTCGGTTTCGATTGGATTTCGAATTAATTTGGTGCGTTTTAGGTGAGCGTTCCGTTAAAAACGTACAAAATATGGGCGTTCGGCGGCATGATGGCTCAAATTCCCTTGTCTTTTGTGTCTAAATCGATCGAGAAGGCCTACGGTTCCAGGTTCGGTAACTTGGTGTTCTGGTCTTCGATTATATTGGGACAACCGCTGTGCATTATGATGTATTATCACGATTATATCGTTGTTAAATACGGTGAATCGTTGTTAGAAGAGTATTCTCATCTTTAATCAGGTATGTTGATTAGTGAACATGAGTTACGATATGCCAGTGATTGTTTGCTTAAAAAAACACATTGTAAATATTAAAAAGATGTGTTTAATTGTATTTACATTGTTATTATGAAGTGTATATGTATTGTTATATTTTATTAAAGATTTTAAAGTTATTTCAAATTATTTTAAAAAAAATAGCGCCATCTCTTAGACATCATTACAATTACAGATTTCTATGACATTAATTTCTAATAATCTAGAGATGGGATTTTTTAAGTCACGTTTACGGTATTTGGAACTGTTGCTTTAGTTTTCAAAAAACCTGTGAAGTGTTTCTTTAACATAAATTGATATATTAATTACATCGTTTTATATTAAATCAAATTTTCCAATTTTTCTCTCAAGTTTTAAATAAATTAATAGCGCCATCTTTTAGACGATCATTACGCTTACAGATTTCTGTAATGACATTAATTGTTGATAATCTAGAGATGGGATTTCCTAAGTCGCGTTTACGGTATTTGGAACTGTTGTTAGTTTTCAAAAAACCTGTGGAGTGCTTCTTTACTATACATTAACGTATTAAGTATATCGTTTAATATTAAATTAAAATAAAAAAGATTTACGAAATGATGAATTTCTTAAATTAGTTCCCCAGCTAATTAAAGAGCTGATAACAATCGCCATGCGCCTGTAAGTACACTTATGTTATTTTCTTCTAACACCGTCTTGAGATTCTATCGAGAATTCCTGACGCTGCGGAAACTCTTCAGCACACCTGAATAATTATAATACTTTTAAATTGAATGTACCAAAAAGAAGCTTCCGCCATAACTAGTTAAGCAGAGTTAAAATGGCGGAAAATCGTTCCCGTTTCGAGTCGCTAGTACGTTAAAAATTCCATCGGCGAAATATCGGAATATCCGCAGTTAGACAGACACCTGGAGAAGCGGCAAATATAGGTAGGCATCCCGAAATCGCCGGAGAAAAGGGTCATCGTAACGAATAACTAAATCAATAATGTAGGCGCTTATCCACGGAAAACCGGCGAGAGTCTCTCGGGAATTCCGAAACGCGCATGTTCGAGAAAAACCTGAAAACTGAAAACCTCCGACTGGAGTAGAGCTGGAGGAGTTTCAGTCGTTTCAGTGACGTTGACGCGGTTTCAGGCGGTTTCCTGCCCGCTCTAAAACCCTCCTATTTTTGCTCTAAATCTCCGCCGCTCGCATAAAACGCGACAAACGCGGACGCGTCGTCGAAACTCTAAGTGCTAATGCATTTCGAAAACTATTGATATTAACAATTAACGCGGATATGATTAGGTGTTCGTTTGGGAAACGTCGTTCGATCAAAGGGTAGGTACAGGTGTACTGTATTTATTTATTTAAGTTTATTTAATTTTAATTGACACGTTCCAGAAATTGTGTGCTCAATCAATGGCAATTTGTATGTTTTTTATGTAAATATACATCGTGTGTGCTACACGGTAATCCCCGATTTATATTTCTATTATAAATAGCAGGTTTCATATACGCTTAGGTATCGATGGATAGTTTTATTTTAAGATTACCCACAATTTCCACCGAGTATCATTTAATACATATATTTAACTTTCTCCGCGCTGTTATTATCTATTTTTCGGGGGAAAATTAATAGTGAGTTATGAAAAGTTTATTGGGAATCGTAGCGAATCCACCCAATTATCCGAATACCTACCAATAACTCTCTTCTGCGAATCGAATTCCGCGAATTCCGGAATAATTTAGGTAATTTTCGCGTAGAACGGATTTTAATTAAATTCCTCGGCAAATACACGCTTAAAGTAGAACATAATTTTTTCCCTCCATCTACGACTCGGAACGATGAGGGAGAAATCCAATTTGAAATAAAAGAAATAACTCGAGAGGAAGGAGAGAAACCAATCATAACTTTCGTACAGCGACTAAACTTCCAATTTTCGCGTTAATAACGCTCCTGGATTTTTTTACTTTTCATTTAAAACCCTAAAGAGATTGTAAAAATTGGGAAAAATCGCTTTGTAGATTAGCGGTTTTATTAATGTCGCATAAAAACCTGCTCTTTTTTTTACGGGAAAACCTTTTCTCGTTTGCCAATAAAGAAAATTTAAATGTCCTCGTAATTAATTAAAGAAACCAAGTGTTTGGTAATGATTAGAAATTTCTTATCAGTAGGGAAACTTTTAATCGAACTTTTTATCAACATGAAAAGTACGAGTAATTAAAAAAAAATCGCCAAATTTAATCAGTAAACAATTTACAACCAAAAATAGTACAGTGAAACATTCCCACAAAAATCGCCCGTTTAAACTTACAATTCGTGTTCCAGATTCTCACGCTAATCCGCAAACAATAAAACTACATAAATGAATCGACCAGCAGAAACGAGCACATTCGAATAAATACGCGCCTGATAAACTAAACAAACCTCGAGGAAAAATACAAGCGCTAATCCGATGGCAAACAAGTCGCGACATTTTCGGTACTGTTACGCGATCGTCTAATCGCGCGATCGGAACGCGAAACGTTGAAGAAGAATAAAGTACCGATGGGCTGCGAATTGGGAAAACTCGCCGGCAGGGGCCGCTCGGACAACAACGGCAAACCGGACGACGTCGGGCCCCCGTCCCAGCCGCCCCCGATCGATTCGAGGCTGCCTCTCACCGCCAAGCAGAAGTACAGCCTGCTGGCCTCGTGGAAGGGCATCAGCAGGGCCATGGAGAGCACCGGCGTCTGCATGTTCTTGAAGTGAGTAGAACGAACATTCGCGAATATTCGCGAACATTCGCGCCTCGTCCGCACCAGCCTTAAGCACCGGACCGGTTTCAGGTTGTTCGAGGAGCACGGGGAATTGCTGAATCTGTTCCAGAAGTTCCAGAAATTGAAGACTAAAGAGGAGCAGGAGAGCAGTTTGGAGCTGCAGGAGCACGCCACCACCGTCATGAACACTTTGGACGAGGGTATCAAGGGCATGGACAATTTGGACGCCTTCTTCGAGTATTTGCACCAGGTGGGCGCCACCCATAGGAGGATACCGGGATTCAAAGTCGAATATTTTTGGGTAAATTCACTCTTAGTTACCACATCAATTGCATTATTAATTCGATTATTATTCGTTGCAGAAAATCGAGAAGCCCTTCCTGGAGGCGGTGGAACAAACGTTAGGAGACAGATATACGGAGAACGTGGAGAACATATACAAAATAACGATAAAATTCATTATAGAAACTCTAATAAAAGGATACGATAATGCGAATATAACAAATAACGATAGCGGAAATAACGACAACGCGCCCACGTGAAGTTGCACCTTTTGAATGCGAACTCGAGCGATTTAAAGCCATTTACTGAACGGATTTCATTTTTTTTATTATAGAACCAAAACCGATCATCTCCATTTAGTGTATTTTGAACGTGTAAATAATCGTATACGTGTGTATGTATTTTTTTTTTTTGGTGGAAATGATAAAAAAAGTAACTGTTTCAATTGACGTAAACAATTTAAATTAAGGCGCACTTTTACCTAATTACGAAATGACCCTTGAATGTTGAGCACTCGACGAATAATTCAATAAATTCTCCCAATATGAAAACAAAAGCAGTTGATGTATCAATTGAATATTTGAATGTAAAAATTGTAAATTTTCGTTATTGGATATAAATGTACAATTTGAAAACGTTAAATTTATATAGTTGTAATATTTTATATTTGTAATGACTGTAATATATGTTAGATATAATATACCTTATAAAATTATTCGTTTTTTGAAATAATTATCAATTCAAAAATAACAGTTACGTGGGAAACTCCACCTCTACGCGCAACCTACTAACCTAGTATTACAATTAATTTAACACGTTTTGTTTACTTTTGCTCGACTAATTACTACAAATATTTATTTTAATTGTTAAAATGCAGAATTATAACATTAATAATAAATTAATAAGTAGGCAACACAAATAACAAGCTGTACATATCAAGGTAGCTAGATTACAAAGGATTGAGCAATGTTGTACAAAATAATCTCATTTAAAGCCTTACTTGTTTCCTGAAAAAGCTCATTTTAGTAATTTTGTATTATACAATTCGTGCTTGATGAAACACAACGTGATTATACGATAGAACAATAAAAAAATGTGATTAAAATTTAATAAGCAAACCTTTGTTATATCAGTACCTTGGAAAATATGACAGATTCCTGTAAATTATTTGACAGCTGATGTCAAGGCGAACGTCAAACGTCAGTCGCCAAACGACATCCGACAACGAGAAACGAAAAAGAGCAATATAGAGAGTTGTGCGTTGAATTTCCATTGTCCTTCCGGAAATTTCGGGCTCGCTCCGCCAAAACCATCCTCATCGAACAAGTGAGTATCTAACGCACCGATCGACACCGAAATATTTCGCGTGACAATCGAATAAACCCCACGATATTCAGCAGATGTCAATTCAGTGAGTCACGCAAAAATACTTTTCAACATTATTTCGAGACAAATCGCAATAACGCCAGTGCGTGTCGATCTATTTCAGGGACGGCCCGACCGACTGAACGATGTCCTCGAGCCTTTCAGCGCGCCTCAAGCACCCCAAGAAGCACGAATTGTCCAAATCGTACAGCGAGGCCCAACTGTTGGCCAACAAATTGAGACAGGACGGCGTCCTATCCACGGGTAATTACTCAATTATTTCTACGTAAACACGCGCTCGAATCATCGCTATTTTCTATTACGATGTGTATTCGAAATCGATGCTCGATCGACCATCTTATATTATTTTTTAGTCGAAGATGTTCTACACGCCGTGGATCAAGTAGCCGCCTTGTTGTCCTCGAATCTAGGAGACGCCCAAATTTCTTACAAAGACAGTGTCATCAATTTATGCCAACACCTCAAGGTATCCCGTCACTACACCTAACCGATATAAAATACACGAATTCTCGGCAGTGACGTCACTTATCAGCGCTCTAGATTCGCCGGAGGCTCTCGAATGACGTCACCGTCGACAGGACTCTAATCCTTGTATTGTACACGAGTAATACGTTTACTCAACCGTAGGTCTATGGCGCCTATCTGGAGATCCTCTACAAAGAGCAGCTCGATCACGCGTTCAAAATATTTAGGGACAAGGCCCAGGACGATGTCCAAGTGGATTTGTTGTCGCGTCTTCATCTACTCGAGCTCATCGAACTCAGAGCGAAAGGTTGGAAGGGCACCGACGGCATGAATACTTACTACAAGAAGAAAGTCAATCAATTTGGAAGTTCACAGGTGATAGAGAGTATAGTGTAAAGTAGAGCTTAGAGTAGAGATAAAATGGTAGTAGTAAAGTGTATAGTAGAGCGAGAGTGAAAGTAATTGTAGTGAAGAGTAGAGTAGAGTAAAAGTGGCGGTAGTAAAAAGTAGGGTGAAAGTAGTGGTGTTGAATAGATTTGTTTGTTTGTCAATAGGTAGATATGGCGGAGTCGATATCTAGTTTGAATGAATCTTTGGCGGCGTCGGTGGCGTCGTCGCCGCCGCCGGTTTTGGCGCCGGGCGAGGTGTTGAAACCGTCGGGGAAATTTCCCAAGCCGACCAGGATACCTGGTAAAAAATATTGCAAAGACGAGGTGGTTATTAGAAACGCGGATTCGGGGAAAGGTAATGTTTTCTTATTTGCACGTATAGATTTATATTATAAAAAAAAGGGGTAGTTTGTTTTGTAAAAGAAGCTGCATGATCTCGAATTGATTCGAGTATATATATAAAACGAGATTTTGTCGAAAGGTATAGTTGTTTTATTATTATTTTGGTGTTGTAGTAATGGGTATCAAAGGGAGGCGAGTACATATGATAGAGGAATTAAGCGAAACTATCATATCGTTTCAAAGAGGTAAAATTTACATCGAATGTGATCGAATCGTTTCTTGTTCTTTTAATGCATTTTTTTGTTCTGGAATTAACGCCGACTTATTTTCGCCATCTAACATCTGATATTTTTTCTTTTATTTTACCGTTACTTTTATGTCCGAATAATACATAATCAAAGGCCGGAATTCTTGATAGTGACAGCCAATCGTAGCGCTCCATTGTGTTAACAGCCAATAAGAACTCCCGATTAGCAGTTGCGTCACCGACAAGAATTGTAGCTGTCAGCATTAACTTATTGTTTTACATTTTTTTTGAAGTTTTGTACGCACTAATGAGTAGATTTAAATAACTATACAAAAAAACCGAATGGTACTAAAACCTGCACATTACTAATTCGCATAACACGCATACATTTACTCGTTTTTTGTTTTTTTTCTCGTTTACTAGTTAACCCGGGGGCGAAAGAAAGACTGGTACAAATAACCGGCGCGAACGAGGAAAGCATAAAGTAAGCGCGCCAAAAAATTCGATTAACCGTTAATAAACGAGCGAAATTTTAGTCACGCCAAGCAATTAATCGAGGACACGATCCGGAGGAACGCTTCGCCCGTAAGGGAATCGACCATATCGAGCGGCGGGGGTCCGTTGACCGGCTCCAGTTCGAGCATCAATTCCTCGGCGTCCGACGACAGCGCCTTGCCGGGCTCGGCCCGAGCCTCTCGCGCGCTCATGCACAGCTTGAGCACCAACGACGCGAACCTGGGCGAATACAAGTACACGGTGATCACCAACGGATGTACCATCAAGATAACCGGCGATAACTTGGATTTAGTTAGGGTAAGTTGGGGATTTTGGTTAACGAATGTTGGCTACACTGAAATACTGAAACTGACTTTTGTTTTGTGTTTGACATGTAATGTAAATGTCACTAAATTTACAAATGTATTCTAAACTAGTTAATCGAAATTAATAATGAAAATACTTACTTTATATAGCTAATAATAATCGTTAATAAATTGTTAAAAGAAAATCTACAGAATTACTTGATCTGTGCGAAAAAGTGACTAACTAAAAGTGCAAACTTCAGCGCGTTGTCAATCAAATGAGCTGTCAATTGTCAATTTTAAATAAAATTTTAATTTTTTTTTTTCAGACTAGTAAGCTCGTTCTTGATGAATATTTCTCCGGTGAGCCGATACACGATGTGGCCCAGTTTTTCAGCTTCGACAGTTTGCCGCAGCCGATAGTGCCCGAAGAGTTTCCGGAGACTCCGTTGTCGCCTCCGGAGTCGCTGCCGTCGCCCGAGGTGGTGGCCAACGGAGACGCCGACGATGCCGGTAAGACCGTCGAATTTCCGTTACGTAGAAAACCATTCCATATAGAAAAATGAAAAGCTCCTAGGAAAATGTTTTTGATTGTGTTCTCGTTGTGTAGCTACGGGGAAATTGAGAAAGCCCCGATTGTCTATCGAAGAGTTGCTTAAGAACCAAACGAAGGCCGGCAATGGGAAGGAAAAAGATAACGAGAAGGATAAAAAGGGTGCGAGAAGCGCGAATCTCAGTTACACCATCGAATATTTAGCTAATTTAGCGATGTCGCCTCATTGTCTCGCCCAACCGCCCGATTGGGAGAAAATCTCCCAAAATTATCCAGTATTGATAAGAAACGTAAGTACCTCACGTATAATTCGAGCGGAATTTCTAGGAGTCGTGATTAATTTTTTTTTGTTATGGAATGGTGATTATGTTTCTAATAACGTAACCATTTTTTCACCGTCACAATAACATTAGCGGCCTCTTGCCTTACAAACATTCAGCCAAAACGCTTTTAGTCATTTTAAGACTGCATTTAGAACGAAGTAGGATCGGTAATTGGGCATAACAAATAAAGATTAGTATTGAATGTTAATAATTAAATGTATTTTTGGATTTTAGGACGTTGAATATTTCGATGCTCAAACGTACCTATCGACTAGAACGACAGAGTCCACCGGTGTTCTCAGCGCCAACGATTCGGATCCCAGCGAAGTTTGACACAAACCGATCAAACCGAATATTCATTCGACTGTCCGGTGGTTCTGAAACTACTCCGTGTTTCCCCTAAAGGAGAAGCAAGTACTAAAAATTACTCAGTATACACAAAGTGTCACATGTACCTTTGTGCGTACAAATTGCGTTTTTATTTACTTTGACTAGATTTTTTCTATTAGTTTTCGTTTTGAAAAAAAAAATTGAGTTTTATTATCGATTAATACTACTTAGTTTATCTCGAATATGATTATTTAAGTTTTTTTTTCACATTTAACTTGACTGACTCTTATTTATGTGTACGTTTTCATAGTAAAGATATATGTAGGTACATCAAAAATCTTTTTCGAATAAGATTTTTGTTACCACAACGATATATTATATTAGTCATATATTTTTGTGATACTCGTAGTCCTTTTACTGAATGTTTCTCGTTTATATTTAATAGAAACATCCAGTAATTATTATTGTTAACATTTAACATAGCAACGTATAAAGATTTTTTTATTTCGTTGAGTATAACAAAGTTGCCGTATTTAAAATTTATCTAGCAATTCGTTATTACGTATGAATTTATTGTTGCATTTTGTTTAGGATTTGTTTTCGTGTTTAAATGTATTTAACAGTGAATAAAAAAAAATTTCAATCAAATTTTATTATCGAGGAAGGTGATTGAGGTGAAGAAAGTTTACCGATATTTTTCCTACAAAATAAAACGAGATCTTTATGAAACAATTTGTATCCATCGTTTATAATCACTCAAAAATTCATACATTACAGCACTGATTACAAATTAAATTTTTTCTACAAATTCATCGAATTGATAAGTGGGACATAAAACGGTTCATAAAAAAAAGGTCGCTCTGTAGTTTCGTGTAAAAAATATAGCCGGGTTAAAAATACGCCTTGCGTACGCAGAAACGCTCGAAATCATACATTTGCCTATAAAAAAAGTTACGGTCAAAATAGGATTATCCACAAATTGCCACGTTGAATTTCAGAAAATAAAATAGCATAAATTGTATTACTTTCCAAGGAGTTATAAAAATAGCAGCGTATCAAAAATCATTTATTGGGGGAATTCTATATCAGACATTACAAATTGGTGGCAATTTGAAAATAATGTAGTCTGCGTTAAAATAAATTCAAGAAAAAGAGCGCTTGAATAAATTTAGATAAGTTTCTATACCATAAAAATAGTAAGTAGCAATTAGCAAAAGTTTTGTATACTTTGTATTTAATATGTAATACCATTCTGTGATATTTTCGCATTTTTCTTATAGAAAAAAATGCAAAAACATTACAAATTGTGACCAAAAGAGTGAAATGTAGAGAATTTTAAGGGATTCCCGCTCTTTTTCTTGTTTTATAGCACCAGTCGACCAATGAATGAAAAAATCTAAAATTGAATTAAAAAATTAATTACAAATATCATACTTACAAGAAAACACACTGATCTAATTAAAAAAAAAATAAACAGTTTAGACTAAGTCCCTATATTTTTAGCCTACGGTAAACGCTTTATTGCCCTCCTGTCTCTCCATATATGCTCAAAAAATTATTAAAAAAACCGTTTTGAAACTATTACAATTTACAAATCGTGAAACACTATTTAATGTACTTCTTTGCATTAATATCTAAGACTTTCCTGCAAAAAGGTTTACATTTTACATTACAAGACAACTCTTTTGTACATTCAATTAAAAAAAAGGTAAACCAAAACGCCAAAACTATTGTGATAAGATCAAAATTAACCAACTTAAGCTAAATTTATATCTATCTTTACACAAATAAGAAAAAATGGACATGTTTTTATACAAATCGAAGGGGGATACGTAATAAGTTAAATTTTAGTCAGGTACCGCGACTCACACGCAGTTTTCGCACGGTCACCAAACTAGTTGGAGTCCTTTTTTCATACAAATATAAAAAAAAAGAACCCATTTTGCGTTTTTGCATTTTCGTGACAAAAATCGCGAGGTAGCCTGTGGAAATACAAAATTAAAAAAATTACGAATACAGTACTGTTTATTTCTCAATGTGAGTTGATCTATATATTTAAAAAACGGTCCTGTATTTTAACGAGGGGGCGGAATATTCAGATTAATATTTTTCTCTTATAGACACGCACCAAAAATTACCTAACTATGATAACTGAAAAACCGAATTAAAAAAAAAAAACAAATATGAAGAATTAAGTCCACAAAGTAACTCGAGACTTTTTACACTAAAATAGATTGTCCGTCAGGGTTTTATATTTTTTTCACACGGGTCGACGGCGTCCCCAACTTTATTATGCGTCGTCGTCCTCCTCCTCGACGCCTTCTTCCCCTTCCACGTCCTCGTCATCTTCTAAAAAAACGCAAATAAACATCAAGTAAACAATCATTCGACAATAATCCTTCGTTTTACCTTCCCCCTCGATCTCCTCATCATCGCCCTCGTGCAATTCTTCGTCGCCTTCCTCCTCTTCTTCTTCGATACCTTCCTCCTCTTCTTCGTCTAGGTCCTCACCCTCCGAATTGGCCCCGTTCTCCTCTTTTTTCGCCTTCTTCGCCTCTTCAATTTTATCCTAACCAGATAATAGAATATAAATTTAATATCCCACAAATTGATTTGCTCCTACTAATAGTATTGCAATAAATATACAAGGGTCGTTAGAGGTGTAACTTCTACCTTTTTTCCAACAGGTATAAATATACTATTGAGCTGTTTTTAAGCGGGAAATTTATTCCAACAGTAACGGTCTGTTGATTCCAAGTATTACATATTTTAAATATAAAATTTTATAACTCTACAAAGTTTAACTACAGGGCATTTTGTTAGTATAAAATAAACCACTTCATTCCAATACTTTTTTAATATGAAGCAAATTAAAAAAGCCCCTAAATAAAAATAAGCGTTCGTTATTACTAACAGATTGTTACGAATTCTCGCGCTAATCTCATCGGCTCGATTTTACGCAGAAATTTATGTAATTTTATCGAAACGAAAAATATTATTCGGGTTTAAAGAAAAATAATAAAATTGAAGTGTGTTAGCCTCGATGCGAGGTATCAACAATGCCGCTATTGATTTCGCCATATTGAAAACGCACAAGCCGCGCTAGCCTCCCTGCCGGGTGGCCCTGTTCGCGGAATAACTGGCGGGACGGCTTGTGTTTACCACAATATTATACAGATTTTCGCCGTTTCATCAAAAATATGGGAAACAGAAGGAAAAACGCGTCGATTAATAATAGCGAAGGATGTTTAAATTGGTAATAAAGCGATTAAAAATAAGAAAGCGTCACTTTCTAGAAAATCAAGTCGGCGTGGTCGTCGTTATAAATACTCACATGGCAACAAGCTTTTATATCAAACATAACAAATAACCCAAATAAACCCAATTTAACGTTTTAGTTTATACATTTAGAGTACATTTTAATGATTAGATAGTTTATAAGTTTTATATAAATATTGTTTGGTGGAAAAACCTACCTCTGCCGCTCGCTTCGTTCCTTTCAGGTCCGTCGTCTTTCCATCGGCGGCGTTTTTTTCGTTGTCTAATTTCTCTACGGCGACCTCGTTTTCCGTGGAACTCATTTTCGATGGGTTTTATATAAAAATTAGTGCGATAAATCGGACTTTTAGGTCAAGATTCACTTTAGAACTCGCGACGTTTACGATTCGAAGCACCGACGCTCTACTGACCGGCTCCGGCTAACCAGCTTTGTTCGAAAACTAAGATGGCGACCGTTCGGGCCGAGTCGAGCCGTTGACGACCGATTGACCGGCTTTCGTTAAATCGACGACTTTATTCAAACTAATCGCGAAAACCGTTTGCGGATTTAATTTCTATTATTTTAGACGCGAACTTGGCCGGTTACCGCTTGTGATTTTTTCGCAAAAAAATGTGAAACTTTCGAGTTGGAGGGGTTCGTGTTAACACGAGTTTGACACGACTTCTTTTTGGATGTTTACATAATGCCGTCACCAGGGAGCGCTTTTTTTAAATTTTGATTTTTAATTCATACAACAGCGAATGCAAGTCTGTATTCGAAACGATTCCACGATTTTTTAAAGCTACCTGCTAGTAACTTAATCGTAAATAGATCAAACGAATTTAATTCATGTTCGTATTGTTAGTCACGTTTTCGTCGTTTTACCGCCTACAATCGGTCAAATTCGGATGTAATTCTACCGCTGCGTTGCCACGTTTCCAACTAATTATAAAAATTTTAAATATTTTAAAATTTAATTTTCTCTCTCATCATATCGATCATCAACGCTCTTAATATTTAGTTTGTACAATATTTGTGTTGGTAAATAACGTTTTCTTATTATATGAAATTTAACATACCTACCCATGTACTCGGCGATTTATAAATAATATGCTGTAAGAACTTTTATGTTATGGATAAGTATGATTTATGTTCATTAAATATTAGAGAGAATCACCTTAATTTATCGTTGACAACAATAATCTGTGCGAAAATACACTTTTTTGCACTACGTGGTTGCCAAAGTTTTAGGAATCTGACTGCTGGTCTTTACCAAAAGTTTACTACAGTCAGCTTAATTGAAAAAAAAAATAATCAATAAATTCCTGTAATAATATTTCAGTTATTTTTAAAAATTATTTTGTTATTTGTAATATCAATACTTTTTGAAATCATGTTTATACGATTAATTTGTTTACATGAAATTTAATTTCTAAAGAAAAAGAAGGATTAGATGACACATTTTGACAATTATGTCATATCATATCATCTGTCAGGTTTTATTGTCTTTTATCTTTTAATTTTTAACTTCGTGCTCTAAGGAATTAATCTATTTAAACTTTATTTTTCTTAATTTTCCACTTAGTATCTAGTGCAATAAATATCACGGCAATTCAAAATGATCGATACCGATAGATTGCGAAATTGGCTTAAACAGGTACCTTTTCGACTAGAATATCTCGACTGTTTTTAATAATTTCCATTGTAGTATCATAATCCCGATGTCGCCTATAGAGAAATAATCAGCGTTACTAACCAGTACAAAGGCTTACAACCGGAACAAAGCCTTTACAGTAAGTAAGCTTTACACTAGTAACAAGAAAAATTAATATTCGTTTAACTTTTGTAGATTTCAACGATGGATCAATGATTGAACTGGTTAATTTAAGCGGAACGATACCTGTTAGATACAAAGGAAGCGTTTATAACATCCCCATATGCATCTGGTTGATGGATACCCATCCCCAAAACGCCCCAATTTGTTACGTGAAACCCACCTCGGATATGTCCATAAAAGTTTCCATGTTCGTCGATCAGAGCGGGAAGATTTACCTGCCTTATTTACACGATTGGTTACCGGTTAGTTTGCACTACAAAAAATTAATCCAAACACCTCTTATATTTCTATTATAATATTGTTTTTCAGAACGAATCGGATTTACTAGGCCTAATTCAGGTGCTAATAGTGACCTTCGGCGAGCAACCTCCGGTGTTTGCCAAAGCCAGTGATCCCTACTCATCGAACAGTAAGTTTGTTACACTTCGAAGCGTAAACAATTCCTTATTTACATCGTTATACAGCCTTTATGTCCCAACCGTCGGGCAGCTACATGCCTCCCTATCCGACCGGCTACCCGCCCGCGAACAACTTCGGGGGCTACCCGCCCTATCCCCCGACCAGCAACAACGCGTACCCCGGCTACGCCCCCTACCAAACGCCCTATCCGCCCTACCCGGGCAATAATTTCGGCGCCCCACAGCCGCCCGTCGGCACCGGCACGATCAAAGAAGAACACATCCGGGAGTCCCTGATGACCGCCTTGGAGGAGAAGCTGTTGCGCAGAATGAAGGAGCAATTCCAACAGAACCAGGCCGAATTGGACACGCTGAAGAGGACCCAAGACGAGCTGAGGCAGGGCAAATCGAAGTTGGACGGTATACTGAGCAGGCTCGAAAAGGAGAAGGTACTTGTAAATGTATATAAAAAGCGCCAGTTTGATCATATTAATCATTCCAGAACGATTTGGATAAGAACATCACGATGCTGCAGGATAAAGAGCAGGAATTGGAGAAGGCTATAGAGAGGATCAGCAATCAGGAATCTATAGATGTCGACGATGCTGTGACCACGACGGCTCCTTTGTATAAACAATTACTGAACGCTTTCGCGGAAGAGGCCGCCTTGGAAGATACGATTTATTACATGGGCGAGGCGCTCCGGTGCGGGGTGATCGATCTCGACGTGTTCCTGAGGCAAGTCAGGAGCCTGTCGAGGAAACAATTCATGCTCAGAGCTTTGATGCAGAAATGTCGACAGAAAGCCGGCTTGAACGTTTGAATACTCGTAACGTAAGGAAATCGTTGTTTAACAACAGTAATCGTTAAGATTGATTTTGTATAATAATGACCCTTTCAATGAATGCTTTGTTCACTTTAATATCGTTTTTCTGCAGATAAACAAGTTGCTCGTTTTGCCACTGTGTTGTTTGGGTCTTTAAGAAACTTTTAAGTTCACGTTCATTTTTATTTGTATTGTTATAGGAATATGTAATCAGGAATAATAAAATTATATAAATGTTCTATAAAATTTGTGTTGTTTTTAAATTACCGCAACTTTTGACAACTCTAAGTTAGTCTAGATGGCGCTATGTGTATAGAAGTTTGTTAGTTGGTGCTTATTGGTGACAGTGTATACAAACGAACAAACTTTTAGTAAAAAAAAAATTGTGTTGGCAACAATGGTATTTGTCTAAGCTTATTGACGTATACCATTTCTTCGATAAAGTGGGCCGCATATCGCCGTCAATTAATCGCAATTTTTAATCGCCTACCGCCCGAAACCCCTCGAAATGGATGAAGAGTACGATTGCATCGTGTTGGGCACGGGCCTGAAGGAGTGCATCCTCAGCGGCATGCTCTCGGTGTCCGGCAAGAAGGTGCTACACGTCGATAGGAACAAATACTACGGCGGCGAGTCGGCTTCGATTTGCCCCTTGGAGGAGCTCTTCTCCAAGTTCGCGGCGGCCCCGCCGGACGAGTCGTACGGCCGCGGCCGCGACTGGAACGTCGATCTGATACCCAAGTTCCTGATGGCCAACGGCTCCTTGGTGAAGCTGCTCATCCACACGGGCGTCACTCGCTACTTGGAGTTCAAGTCGGTCGAAGGCAGTTACGTCTACAAAGGTGGAAAAATCGCCAAGGTAATTCCGATTTATCGCCCTATTGTTTCGATTTCTAATCGCTCATTTCGTTGCGCGAATTGTACGAAAAAAAATCGGTTTTATATGGTAAATAGATTGTTGATGTTTGAGTCAACGTTCCGACGAGAATGTTAATATGCCAGTTATTAATCAATTAAATTTCCATGTAAAAACCAAAACTAATTTCAATGTAATTAATCTAATTGATCTATTCGCTTAACGAAAGACACAAAACAAACTACAAACTTCATTAACTATTCTTTAATTACTATTAATTGCTTGATTAAGAGTATTACTCTACGATTTTTGATTGATCGATAAAATTTCTGTTTAATCATTCTCACAATTTCTTGCAGTTAATCATCCGTAGAATTACTTTTATACATTTCACGGTCTAGTTAAGTGTATTCCCAAGTCACTAACACAATACATTTTTAAGTAAATACACTAAAGTAATGTAAATATTATCAAGATTCTTAATCTACAATCATACTAATGCTTTGGGTGCCATTTCGTAAGGTTCCCGTCGATCAAAAAGAAGCGCTGGCCTCCGACCTGATGGGAGTGTTCGAGAAGCGACGGTTCCGCAACTTCCTCGTCTACGTGCAGGACTTCCAGGCGGACGATCCCAAGACGTGGAAGGACTTCGATCCTAACACGCAGAACATGCAGGCGCTCTACGAGAAGTACAGCCTCGACAAGAACACGCAGGACTTCACCGGCCACGCGCTGGCCTTGCACCGCGACGACAGCTACTTGAACAGACCGGCGATAGAGACGGTGAACCGCATCAAGTTGTATTCGGAATCGCTGGCCAGATACGGGAAGTCGCCCTATTTGTATCCGATGTACGGTTTGGGGGAATTACCGCAAGGTTAGAATTGTAGTAAATTGGAATTTGATGAATTTATAACGGTTTTGTTTGTAGGATTCGCGAGGTTATCCGCTATCTACGGTGGTACGTACATGCTAGATAAACCGATCGATGAAATCGTATTGGGCGAAGGAGGTAGAGTGGTCGGTGTACGATCCGGCAACGAAATCGCTAAATGCAAACAAGTAATTAACTAATAAACAGTATAGAACATTAAAACAACTAATTAAATGTATTTTTGTTAGGTGTATTGCGATCCTACATACGTTCCAGACAAGGTGCACAAGAAAGGCAAAGTAATCCGATGCATTTGCCTGCTAGACCATCCTATAGCTAATACGAAAGACGCCCTATCGACTCAAATCATCATTCCGCAGAAACAAGTCGGTCGCAGTTCGGACATCTACGTCTCGGTAGTCAGTTACACCCACCAAGTGGCTGCTAAAGGTAAACGAAATCGAATCTAATAAACAGCCTTTTACCCAATGCCGCATTAAAGGTTGGTTCATCGCGATGGTGTCGACGACGGTCGAGACCGACAATCCGGAGGTGGAGATCAAGCCGGGCCTGGACCTGTTGGGCACCATACGGCAGAAATTCGTGTCGGTATCGGACTATTTCGAGCCCACTGATGATGGGCTGCAGTCGCAGATATTCATATCGCAATCGTACGATGCCACTACTCACTTCGAGACCACCTGCTTGGACGTGTTGGACATCTTCAAAAGGGGCACCGGCGAGGAGTTTGATTTCTCGAAGATCAAGCACGAACTCGGAGACGAAGAACAATAAATTCAGAAGAAATGAAGGGTAAACGTTGGTTTAAGTGAGCAGTTATGTAGGTAAATATTAATATATGTGGAACTATTGTTTCTTTTTTTTTTGTTTTTGAAATTTAATTTGATGGTGGGTTGAAAAATATTTCCGCGGTTTTTTATTATTTTCTTTTAGCTTACATACTTTTTTTATGTGTATATTTTTTTTGGTCACGTAAATGTTAAGACGAAAATGTTGTAAAAAAGGAGTCATTGATTTTTTTTAATCGCGAATTGAATAAATCCTTTTTTTTTTAATTGCGAAAATGAATTTATTACTCGTTAAACGTAAGTTATCTGTGAAGTTGTATTTATATAAATATATTATAGCTTTTATTTTATTTTTTTTAGTTAAATGCTTGTTAAATTTTCCGCAAAATTTCTAAAATACGGTTCAAACTTTTCCACCACAATAAATAATCATTGGAGTAAAACGAAAATCCAACCGTGTTTTGGAATTACCTAAGATGATAGTGTAGCTTAGGATCTCGTACAGGCACTCGCTTCGATTTTACTAGCGCAAAAAAACTAGTTGTGGTGGCATTGTATTATCTTGTCGTACTATTTAGGATATAAATGTAAGTTATATATGTTAATTATCACACATACCTCGGGATATTCCTCAACGGCCGGACGAGATCCTTCGTTTTGTAACGTTTTATAATTACCGAAATGGAGATAAATAAACGGCTTTACACGCCCCGAACCTAAATAAAATACTTCTCCGACGTTTTCGTGATTTGCTCCTTTTTTTTGGCATCCTTTTTGCGAGAAATATTTTCGTTTAGGCGAGGAACTCGAAAAAGCTTTGGCATTCCATTTGATTTAGACGCGATTCTTGTGTTTCGTGCAATCGTATTTCTCATATTTTGTATGCACAATGATTGCGACTCTCATTTATTGTTTCCTGTAAAGACGAATAAACTTTAAAATATAATAAATTGAGTTTTATTTGGTACAAATCGAAAAAATTATGAAAATATATAAAGTTTCAATTAATCACTAGAGGAATCTGAGCTTCGTCGTTTCTTCTTATGCTTCCTACGTTTCTTCTTATCTCTACTATCATCACTATCGCTACTTTCCTCCTCATCGCTGCTGCTGCTCGAACTCTTCTCTCGTTTACTCTTCTTCGATTTCTTCTTGTGCTTTTTCTTCTTCTTCTTGGCTTTCTTGAGTTTCTCCTTTAGCTCCTTCTCCCTCAGCTCCGTCAGCGGCGTCAGATAGTCCTGCTCGGATTCGCTGCTGGTGCTGCTCACGTCCAACACCACCTCCTTGTCCGGATCCACCTTTATGAAGTTCCTGCATTGGTACGTCAAGTGGCCGGCGTACCCGCATTTCTTGCACGCCGCCCGCGCGTTGGTCTCTTTGCTAGGCGGAAGCAATTTCGAACCGTATTCGTTCATTTTACTTGTTTATTTTCAAACTCAAACAAATTTTTTTGGTTATATTCTTCTTCTTGTTCTAGAAGTTTGATTGACGTTTACAAGTTAGGGTTATGTGTAAAAAAAAAAAGAAGAACTGAATTGACATTGACAGTTTGAGTTTTGACAGGAGCATTGCGCGATTGTTGATCGAGTCGAGGTTGAGGAAAACTAAAATTAGTTTTTTATTTTAGTTAGTTAACGAAGTGTCGTGGAGCGAGTAGTACGCGCTAGTGTAAAGTGTAACGATTGTACAACGCGTGGCAAATATCAATTCCGTTTCGATATGTTTGATTAGTTTCGTCCAAGGAGGAGTTTCTTCAATTAGATTCGAAGAGGAAGCGATGGATTTCTTCTGAAAGATATGAAATGTAAAGGTAACGGTGTGTTTTGATTTAACATTTCGTCGTTTCTTTTTGCGAGCGACAGGCGATAGATTTCGTTGTATTTTGATTGGATTTGAGGAGTTTGGATTGTTGGAAACGGATTGAAAGTTGCGGGGACAGCTGTTGGGGATTTTAACTTCCAATTTCAATGTCGTTCGTGTAATTTATTACTTTTTTTTTGCTCGGGTAATGCAAAAGGTAGTTCTATTGATTGGTGTATAAACAATTAATTTATCAACCTTTTTGCTAATGTTTAAATTGATAACTACACAGCTCTCCTATCATGAGTATTATTATAATCTCTTGAGATGTTTTTGGGAGTTATCGTTCACCTGTATTTACTCTAAATTTATTACAAGTATATTTTTTATCGAATAAGATAATAATTTTTACCTGCTTCTAAAATGTGGCATTAGAATTAACTTGTGTTTTATTGCAGATAACGGTTATTACAGGAAATACCTTTGTTTGTTTTATTTTAGTTCGTATGAAATTTCGAATGTGAAAATCATTTTGTAAATAATACATCGCTCCAATTTCTAATTGATCCAGTAATAAAACGGCTTCAACTTTAATAATTTGAGGTCAAATTGCTGGTACTATTACAATATTAACTGTTTATTGTTGTGCATCTTTTCTTCCTAACTGTTTGGCTTATTAAAAATGTAACTGCACGCTTGTAAATGCGAGAAAATGCTAAAAACAGTTTACTCTAAAGGTATTTCTTGCAACGAGTATAATTACTTAATATTTGAGCCCTATCTGTGGGTTTTCTGGGAAAAGGTTCGTTTTGTCCCATCGTTAATTTATCTTACTCAACATTATCGCAACATGTTTGTTCGTCGAATACACGTCTATATTTAATTGTTTACACATTTATTTATTTAGAATAACATTAACTCGAAGATAAATTGTTGCTGATACACAGGGCGGTACTTAGTGAAACTTACGCACTTCTTTTAATTCGAGGCCTCAGCTGCTAAGGCTATTCGGCCTGTTACTCACCCTGTAGAAATGGAAATGACGTAACGTAAACATTAGCGTTCCCGTGAATTTTCTGAGCTAATTGAGGTCAATCGTATCCGGAAAAAAAAACCGAAATTCCCAAGTGTTTTTATCTCGATGTTTTCGCGGGTTAAATTTATTTCTGTTTACCATTGCGCAATCCAGACAGGTGTGTATTTATTTATTGGTGATCGAACCGGAAATGTCGAAATGTCAATATGTAACAAACGTCAAAATTGTCATAAGTGGCATATATGTCATGTCCAATGGATTTGTTACTATAATTATTAGTTATAGTTTTAATTAGATTTCGTAACGGTGCATAAAAAATGTAAATGAAAGTATTATTTAATTAGTAACAATATGAGTGGCGTGAAGTTAGCAACAATTTGACATACAACACCGCCTGTCATACAATTCAAATGGAAAACGGTTCTGCGATATTCTGTCAAATGTCATAACTGTCATTTTCGAATGAGAAACTTTTTTTTTCGCAAATTCCACCTCGATTCGTTCGATTTATTCAATTCAATACGGATACGAACAATCCCTGATCAACTCCTGCAACCTGCCGCTGTCGAAGAGCGTCTTGCATTCGCTGCAGCCGCCCAAGCAGACGCTGTTGACGAACACGCGGGGCACCGTCCGGCAGCCGGTCATCTCGCCCAAGATGCTCTGGATCTCGTCGCCGTCGGGCCGCCGATCGAGGACGATTTCCGTGTAGGTGGCGCCGCACCGGTCGAACAGCTCCAGCGCCGATTTGCAGTAGTCGCAGTGCGATTTCGTGAATATGACGATGTTGTCGCAATCGACCAGGTTCCGGACCTGGGCGCGTTTGCCGAAGGAGGCCGCGTCGTCCGACGGGCCGGAGGCCTTTACGTACAGGAAATTTAGCAAATCGGCCAGCATGGTTGGATGCGTTAGATTGGATTATTGCCGATTCGTATGTACAGAATGACAGGTTGGTGACAGGTGTCGTGCGTTGCCAACTTAAGTTGTGATCGGGACGAAAGTTCCCTATTAGGATGTAGAAAAAGAGAAATTAGTTTTTTTTTAGAGAGGATTTGTTGCAGGACGTTCTGTATGCTTATGTAGTGATAGACACAAAGGAAATAATTCCATATTTATTTCCGTTTATCAGACGATAATAAAATAAATAACTTTATTTTTTTTCCCTTTAATTGTTTAAACTTAAATAAAATTAGCAATTGTATAGCCTAATTATCGCCCTTATCGGTTAATTAATTTTAATTTCACTTCATTTTTTAAAGTCAATGGAATGGTATTACAAGGAAAATTCAAATTTTCTGTCGTGTTAATTTTTCAAGAAAATGTCCTACGTATTTCTAATTGAGTTCTTATCGCTATATTGTTGCGAATTGTATTATTTAAAATTCCGATTATTATTATTTGAGGAATACCTATCTACACTACACACTTATTTATCAGTGCGTTAGTATATACTTTTTAGATTAAATTATCATTTATACAGAGTGAATATATAAATTAGCATATAATCAAAATCGTATTTTAAATTGTGTAGGAAGCCTATAAAAAAATATTCGAACACTATTTAATATTACCATCAAGCATAATCGATTAGAAAGTCGATGATGTCATTCGATTTCATTCAACCGCTTCTCTCGAAGATAAAATTTTAGAGTACAAAAAAACTAAATACTATCAAAAACGAATACAAATCATATGATGAATTTTTCTCAATTAATAATCGAATCTATTTGTGTACCCAGCAGAACTTCGGCAATGTCGACCAACACCAACCCGACCGTCCCGACGGCCGTCAACCGAGACAACGTGACCGGCGCCGAGGGGGCGGCTGCGGCGCCGTCCGTCGCGACGCCGCCGCCCGCCGCCCCAGCCCCGGCCGGCGCCCACTGTTCGACGTACACGTTCCCGGAGGAGGCGGAGCGCCGGTCGCCGGAGCAGCGCGGCCACCTGCGCAGCGTCAGCCACGGCGGCGCCGGCGGCGTCGCCGTCGGCCGGTCGGCGCTCAAAGGCGCCCGCGGCCACCAGCGCGCCCTGTCGCAGGGCCAGATCTTCGAGCCGCACCGGCCGGGCCACAGCCGCGTCGGCTCCAAGACGGACTTCATCCTGCCGCCCGGTCACAAGGAGGACCAGCCGCACCAGCCGACGCCTCGGGTCTCCGCCAAGGGTCATTCCAGACAGGCTTCCAGGTACTGTGTAAAACGAATTCTTGGGGCTCTCTTGTCGGGTTGCGTGGCAATTTAATTGGGGTGCGTTGGGACAGTTGTACACTATCCTGGATCTTCTCTTAATCTACTATGGAACTATCATGAATCTACTCTATTCTGAAGCTACTCTTGATCTACTCTATCCAGAATCTTCTCTGAATCTACTGTAAATTTATTCTGGATCTTATCTGATTCTACCCTGAAGCTTCTTCGAACCTACTTTACCCTGAATCTTCTCTGAATTTACTGTTAATCTAATCTGGATCTCCTTTACTCTGATCTTATCTGAATACACTCTACCCTGAAGCTTCTTTGAACCTACTTTACTCTGAATCTACTCTTAATCTACTCTGGATCTCCTTTATTCTCAATTTTTTCTGAATCCACTCTACCCAGAAGCTTCATTGAATCTACTTTACCCTGAATCTACTCTTAATCTACTCTGGCTATCCTCTACTCTCAATTTTATCTAAATCCACTCTACCCAGTAGCTTATTTGAACTTACTTTACCATGAATCTTCTCTGAATGTACTTTTAATCTACTCTGGATCTCCTCTACTCTGAATCTTATCTGAATCCACTTTACCCTGAAGCCTCTTTGAACCTACTTTACCCTGAATCTTCTCTGAATCTACTCTACTTTGAATTTTATCTAAATCTACTCAACCCTATAAAGCTTCTCTGAACCTACTTTACCCTGAATCTACTCTTAATCAACTTAAATCTACTCTACTTTGAATCTTATCTGAATCCACTTTACCCTGAATCTTCTCTAAACCTACTCTACCCTGAATCTCCTCTGAATATACTTTTAATCTACTCTGGATCTCCTTTACTATGAATCTTATCTGAATCAACTCAACCCTGAAACTTCTCTGAACCTACTTTACCCTGAATCTCCTCTGAATCTACTCTTAGTCTACTCTACTTTGAATCTTATCTGAATATACATTGCCCTGATTCTTCTCTAAACCTACTCTACCTTGAATCTAATCTGGATCCACTCTACTCTGAATCTTCTCTGAATCTACTCTCCAACTCCGAATCTTTTCCGAACCTTCCGTACCCTAAATCATCTCTGAACCCACTCTGAACCCACCCTGAACCCACTCTACTCTAAATCTACTATCACACCGAACGTACTCGACTCTTCAATCAACAGATCGGATTCCATCTACACGCTGCGCCGCACGGCGCCGCCGCCCCTCTGGCGTCGCCTGCTCTACGCCTTGGTCCTGCGCCGGCCGAAGAACGATCCGGAGGAACGGTACCGCCTGGTGGTGCCCAATCACGTGGTGCCGCCGCGCACGCCGCGCAAAGACCACCCGAACGGCCGGCGGCCGGACAATCGCATACGCACCACCAAGTACACGTTGCTCTCGTTCGTGCCGCGGAATTTGCTCGAGCAATTCCACCGCGTCGCCAATTTGTACTTCATCTTCATCGTGCTGTTGAACTTCGTGCCGTCGATCAACGCCTTCGGCAAGGAGATCGCCATGTTGCCGGTGATGTTCGTGCTGTTCGTCACGGCCGTTAAGGATCTGTTCGAGGACAGGAGGCGGCACGTCAGCGATAAGAGGATCAACAATTCCACATGCAGGATATACAACAGGTGAGAGATTGATTGATCAAAGACGGGACGTGCTGTATATACAGGTTGTTTCATTTCCGATTGCAACATGGTCATTTCTATGAGTGGAACAAAGAAAGATTATTAAAATGACAGTTGTCAGAGTGTATAGTTGCAATGACACAAATGTCACTCTTTCCTTTTCCTTTATAAGTGTCTAATGGAAGTTGTCTTTATCGCACCCATGGCCTGTATAACCTATGTTGCGATCAAAAATGGAGCTCTCTCATTGGTTGGGTGATGCGATTGAGCGAGTATATCGAGCATTTTGATTGGTTAATGTACTTAAGATTTTTGGTGAGATACTTGACAGTGACGCGACTGTCACACTGTCGACAAATACTCGAAAGAATTTTGATTTTACAATTTTTTCTTATAGTTCAGTACATTTGATGTCGCTGTGAACTTGAATAACTGTGTCTAGAGCAACTTCTATTGGTAATATTGCCGATTAGATGTTATTATAAAAAGAAATTGCAAGGTTGACCTGACCTTCCCACCTTCGCCGGTACGACATGGCCTACTACGAATCGAGATCATGTGCGAAACCCTATTCTCGCGACGGTTTTTAAATAATTCGACTTTTTATTAACTGAAAATCCTTCTATTTATTTGTTATAATAAAACTATTAAAAAATATTTACGCTAGAACAGGTCGATTACCGTGACCTTTGCGTGAAATATCCGATCGCTTTCTTTGTTCGAAAAGAGTCCTATATTGTTGTATTTACATTAACATCTCACGTATTTTTCTAATACAATATATTCCGAAATCGGCCGGGTTCAAAACGCTAATCACCTCGCCGGTTATTTTCCCGTAATTTACTCGTTTAGTTTTTTCCTCTGCTAAACCCTATTTGATTGCCCCCGCGTGAATTTTTAACGAATCAACCTCGTACTTGACACTCTTTCCCGTGTTTTTATTCACTCCCTCTTTTTTTTTTTCTTCTACAAATGCGACACGAATGATTCATTATAAAACCTTTTCGTCGACGCAAAACGCACGAAGTAAATTGATGTAACTACCCCCTTTCGATAGAAGTTTAAGGTCAGGGTTAGAAATTACAAAATGTATTGTTTATTTTTTATATAAAGTCCAGGACCGGACTAGTTTGCATTTACATATCGTTTGCTCCATTTCCGATTGCAACATGGTCATTTTTATGAGTGGAACAAAGAAAGATTACTAAAATAACAGTTGTCAGAGTGAAAAGTGCAATGACACAAATGTCACTCTTTCCTTTTCCTTTATAAGTGTCTAATGGAAGTTGTCTTTATCGCACATATAGCCTATATAACCTATGTTGCGATCAAAAATGGGGCAACCTGTATAAGTATTTTTTATAAACAAATCACAATGTACTTACAGAGCGATGTGAATAGCTAGAGACGTGACGTGTTAGGCTCTAACGTACGCAGCTATTTGTATCGAATTGTAGGTAGTAGAATTTTTTCTTTTCAATCGAAATCCGTCTCTGGTATTGTTCCAGGTTCTTTTTGTTTATTTACTGCTCTATCGTTTTGGTATTTAGAGGTATCGTGAGCAGTCGTGGGATTCGGTAAATAACGTATGAACGCACGCACACGTAAAGTTTACGGTATTTATTAACGTATGAGTAACTCGATTGATTATTTAATAAAATTTTCCGACGGTGAAGGCACTTCGTATCGATTCGATGAAATTGATTTCAGCGAGATGAATGATGTGGGAGGAAAACGGGAAAATAATAGGACAAGGACGTCGGAATATGTTACAGGGTGTTTACCATTATAGAGGACTTATTTTTATTTGGGAATATGTATAAAAAAAGTCCTGGTTTAACTGAGTAGTTTGGTGCTATAGGTGCGATAAAGATAACTTTCATTAGACACTTATAAAGGAAAAAGAAAGAGTGACATTTGTGTCAATACAACTTTTCACTCTGACAGCTGTCATTTTAATAACCTCTCTTTGTTCCACTCATAGAAATGATCATATTGCAATCGGAAATGGAACAAGGTGTATGTTTAGGAAACATTTGGCGCGAAAAATCGATACTCTTTGTTTGCACAGAGGAGTTTCGGAAAAATAACAATAATCGGGACAAGGTCGAGATAAAAGCCGATGGAAAATCCGGGCACCTATATTATTAATATCGAAGCGATTGGCTGGTAAATTTTGCAATTCGATTAGACCTTCGATGTGGCAACTTCGTCTGAAGAATCGGTGGGAAAATTAATTATTTACGGGAGAATGAATCGAGTTCCACGTGCGCGTTCGACATTTTGTGCAACGATACAATCCTGAATAATTTACAACGTGTTGCATATTTCCGAAACGGCTTTATAAAATCCGCGGTCGATCGTTTGAATTATTCAAAATTCGATTTCAACGGACGGATAATTGCTCAAATATTTACGTTGGAAAAGAATCGAACAAATCTTATGCTAGACGGATTTTCCGATGACTTTTCCTTATTAAACTCTCCATGTGCTTATAAAACGGTTTAGTACAATTTCCGCGGATTTGGTAGGTGCGATGTTGCCAAGTTTAGAACAATGTTGCTGTATTTAGGGACTTTTAAATAACGTGTTGCGAAATTGGGGAGGGGATTTTTAAAGGCAGCGTCGCTAAGTTTAGTGCAATTTCTGTAAATTTGGGATTTTTTAGGGAAAACAGTGTTGCTACGTTTACTGAGATTTCCGTAAATTTGGGGATTTTTAAAACAATGTTACTAAGTTTAGTAAAATTGCCGTAAATAAAAAAAATACACTGTTGCCAAATTTCGTTCGATTTCCGTAAATTTAGTTTTCTTTGTTGCCAAGTTTACTACACTCTCCGGAAATCTAGGAATATTTAAACACAGCTTTGCCAAGTTTTGTGCAATTTCCCTAGATTCATGATTTTGTTACAAATACCTACAGTGTTGCCGAGTTGTCTGGGATATAAACATTCGTCAACATCAACAGCGTGTATGCGGGTTCAATTAATTATATTGGCGAATCGCGTTTAATCGTTTAATTGGAATTTAACCCATTTTACTACGCGCAATTTCATGTCGATGCTTCAGGAAGGATAAAATTCAATGCTAACATAACAATAATTCTTCGGTTAATTATACAAATCTCGCAACCGAGTTAAATAACTCGAATTTACGTGAATTATAAGGAAAAAATCACGCCCGAACGACATTCGTGCGACCTAAAAAACGAACGCTTCGCATTTTACAAGCATATGTGTATGATGGTGAAATGAAATATTATTAACATGACCTGGTCGATGGAATTTTTCGGTAGCGCGTAAAACGAAAAGGAAAGTGTTTTTTTTTATCTATAATCATTCGTCCTATTAGTGCTCGATTAAATCCAACATTCTATTCCACCCCGAGTATTCATAAATATATTTTTTTTTGATTAACAGCGAAGCCTGCCGGTACAAGAAGGTGCTGTGGAAAGAGGTGAAAGTCGGCGATCTGATCCACCTGAGCAACAACGAAGTCGTACCGGCCGATATCCTGCTGCTCAGATCCAGCGATCACAGCGGCCTCTGTTACATCGACACCGGCCACTTGGACGGCGAGACCAACCTGAAGCAACGCCAAGTCGCCAGGGGATTCGTCGAAAAGGTACTTATCTAATCTCCATAATTCGTTAGAAATTTGAAAAATAACGGCTACTTTGTAACGGGAGTTCCGGCACCTCTATACTAAAAAAATCCGTTCCCACCTCTATACTCGTACGTCAGTTGTGGAACTGTCATTGCGATTTGAATGCGGCTAGTTAACTAATACGAGAGCTAATTAATTTATTTGATGTTCTGGAATCGTAGAATTCTCGAGATAATATAAAACAAAGCGAAAACCAGCGCTGTCCAAATACTGTTCAAGTAGATGCCAAAATATAAAACAAGAAGAATTCTCGAGATGATACTTTGTAACTGGAGTTACGGCACCTCTATAGTTGAAAATCCGTTCCCACCTCTATACTCGTACGTCAGTTGTGGAACTGTCATTGCGATTTGAATGTGGCTGGTCGACCAATAGGTAGTGAATTTATTTAATAGAGTTTTTTTGTTTGTGTTGCAGCAAGGTAATTTCGAACCGAGCAAGTTCAGGAGCAAGATCGAAGTGGAGTCACCGACGACGAAGATTTATCGGTTCCACGGGGCCATAGTGCACCCGGACGGGAGTCGAGTACCGATCGGTACCGATAATTTGCTGCTCAGAGAGTGCCTTATTAAGAATACGGATTTCGTCGAGGGTATCGTCGTGTACGCAGGTATTAATTTGTTTATTTTTTTTTGCCTTGTTTCTAAGGGAAATAAAACGGCTAAAAATAATGGAAACGAGTTTAAACATCGCTCCTAATAATCGTTTAACCGGGCGACTATAATAAAAATTTTGATTTATTCGCTCGTTTTATTTCCCGTCGGAGGAGGATTGTTAATAAATTTCGGTGATGCAATGATTTTTTACGATTTGTTTCTCAAAACATTAAACTATATCGAAAATAGCAAGATAATCGCCCGCACTATTACGACCGTTTGACACGTTTTCCATGCAACAAACGTCATTAATGTCAATTTCATTCGACGCGTTATAGTCCGGGCGATTGTTTCACTTTTTTTCCCTTGCACTTACTAAAGCGTTTTCGTAGGTCACGAAACTAAAGCGATGCTGAACAACGGCGGGCCGCGATACAAACGCTCCTCCGTCGAGAAGCAAATGAACCAAGACGTCATCTGGTGCGTGTTTATTTTAATTTTTATGTGCGTCATCGGCGCTGTCGGTTGTAAACTATGGTTGACCTACTACCAAGATTTACCGCCGCCCTTCCAAGAGGGCGACAGCTCGGGAAAGGAGGCCTTCCTCGCCTTCTGGACCTTCATTATAATTTTACAGGTACTCGCTACTAACAATAAGAGAATTGTGTGTTTGACAATACTATTGTTTTTTTAGATAATGATTCCTTTGTCGTTGTACGTGACGTTGGAGATGTGCAAGATAATACAGGTGTATCACATTCACAACAACGCGGATTTGTACGATCCGGTGAACGATAAACGGACCGAATGTCGGGCGTTGAATATAACAGAGGAGCTCGGCCAGGTGCAGTACATATTTTCCGATAAAACGGGCACTTTAACCGAAAACCGGATGATATTTAGGCGGTGCGCCATAGCTGGAGTAGATTACGAACATTCGCTTTTAGGTAAAAAAATCGAAAGCGAAGCGGAATAGAATAATAATCGTACTAATTGCAGATGAATCGTCGCACAACGACAAATCGACGAACCTCAGCGTCGCCGTGAATCCCCGCCTGCTGGGCGATTGGCAAATGAACGGCGCCTATTCGGAGGAGTTGTTCAGTTCGAGGACCATCCATTCGGATAGGATACAGGAGTTCCTCCTGCTGTTGGCCCTGTGCAATACGGTCGTTTGCTCGAATCATCCGCACCACGATTTCATGAACGCCAGCGGTAAATTACGCTTAAAAAATCGTTACTGTTACTATTCAATACGAATCGTTTGTAGGTATAATAGAAGATACGAATATCTACGACAAATCGGATCAAAATTCGAGCGAAAACAGTTCGACCACCACCACGCAATCGTCGTTTTCCAACAACGACAAATACGCCCGTTTGGAGGAGTCCAGATCGGTGACGCCCTCACCACCTCTAACCACTTACTCGTTCGATAACAACAAACGCAACCCTCACGTTCCCACCCTATCTCCCATCGATTCCATCGAATCCTCCCCCACCTGCGATCTAACCGAAATCCCCGACGCCGTCAAGATCGCCAGGCCCAAATTGCTCAACATTCCCTCCAAAGGTACGCTCGCAACCTCCTCCGAAATACGCCTAAACACGATTCGCGTTTATTCAGGCTTTCCGAAACGCTGTAGCAACTTGACCGACGAGCAAAAGGCCAAACTGAGCACCGCGACGCCCTCGCCGCACGACGCCAAGCCGATCTTCGAGGCGGAGAGCCCCGACGAGCTGGCGCTCGTCGACGCCGCCTACAACTACGGCGTCCGCCTGACCAAGCGCACGCCGACGTCGGTGAGCGTCGAGACGTCGGACGCCGGCCGGATGCACTTCGAGATATTGAACGTGCTGCCGTTCGATTCGGTGCGCAAGCGCATGAGCATCGTCGTCAGGCATCCGCAAACCAAGCAGATCATTTTGTTTACTAAAGGTTAATATAAAAAAAATTGTGCGATTAGCGCCTCGACTATAACGACCGTTTGACGTATTCACCTTGTATTAAACGTCATTAACGTCAAAATGGTTGGATCGGTTATAGTGCGGGCGCTTGTTGTGGGAAAATTCGCGATTAACGTGTTTAATTTGTAGGAGCCGATTCGACGATTTTACCGCAATTGACGCCGGTCGAAGACGATTCCGAGCAGAAGGTCGTCATCAACAAGACGCAACAGCACATCAACAACTATTCGAAAGAGGGCCTTCGCATACTGGTGATGGCGAAGAGGACGTTGGCCCAACACCAATACGACGAGTGGTACAAGAAGCATCGAGAGATCGAATTCGCGGTGGATAATTTAGAGAGGCGAATCAGAGACAGCTACAGCAGCATCGAATGTAATTTGACTCTATTAGGAGCGACCGGTTAGTTGTGCATGTCGATTACTAATCGATACTAAAAACGAGCCGTTATTTTAGGTATCGAAGATAGATTGCAGGAAGGCGTACCGGAAACGTTGTCGTCGTTGATATCCGCCGGAATAGTCATATGGGTGTTGACGGGCGACAAACCGGAAACGGCCATTAACATAGCCTACTCGGCGAAGCTGTTCTCGCCCCAAATGGAGCTGCTGAAGATCTTCGCGCGATCGAAAGAAGCCGCCGAGACCACCATACACTGTTTTCTATCGGACATCGAACGCAGCGAACGCGACGAACAACAACAATCCGGCAGCAGTTCGGCCTCGATGAAGAAAACCAGAGCGCTCGCCGTCGACGGGAAAACCCTGACGTTCGTGCTCGATCGCCGGGCCAACCTGACGAAGCCCTTTCTCAAACTCACCACCTACTGTAACTCGGTGCTGTGCTGCAGGGCCACGCCGCTCCAGAAGGCCTACATAGTGAGAGTGGTGAAGGAGGAGTTGAAGAAACGCACGCTGGCGATCGGCGACGGCGCCAACGACGTCTCGATGATCCAAACGGCCGACGTCGGCGTCGGTATATCGGGCCAGGAGGGCCTGCAGGCCGTCATGGCGGCCGATTTCACGTTGCCCAGGTTCAAGTACCTCGAAACGTTTCTGCTGGTCCACGGCCATTGGAGCTACGATCGATTGTCGAGGATGGTGTTGTATTTTTTTTACAAAAACGCCGTGAGTACCGAATTTATTTACCTTAGTAATTGCTGAGTAATCGTGTTAATGTGTTACAGGCGTTCGTGTTCTTGTGCTTCTGGTACCAATTGTACTGCGGATTCTCCGGTACCGTTATGATCGATCAAATGTACCTGATGTTATATAATTTGTTGTTTACATCACTGCCTCCTTTAGCTATAGGTAAGCGGATGAATTCGTACGATAAACGTTTATTTAACATAGGTTTCTTTTAACAGTAACAGTTCTATTATCAGTAGCACTTTTTAACAGTTCGTTTAACAGTAACAGTTCTTTTAACAGTATGTTTCTTTTAACAGGCGTGTACGATCAAGACGCCCCGCAGGAGATCCTGTTGAAAAACCCGTACCTATACAGGCGAGGCCGTTTGGGGAAAGTGTACCGGTCGTTTTCGTTTTGGCTGACCATGTTGGACGCCCTGTATCAAAGCATGTGCATATTTTTCATCTGCCAATTGTCGTACAACGATACCGATGCCGATGTGTTCGAATTCGGCACGACCACCACCACGGCGGGCATGTTCGTCATGCTGTTGCACGCCGGAATCGAAATGCGTTCGTGGGTACGTTGTATTTTTTATTCGACCGAAGCGCCCGTACTATAACGATTATCTAAAATTCGTCGCCGATGCTGATTGAACGCGAAGAGTTGCAATTAACCTGGATATATTCAAAGAATAATGCGATATTATGCACTCTAAATCGATCGTGTTGCGTTGTGGACAAACTTCTAATCGAATCTTATCTTATAGTCGGGTCGCTTGCGACAAAAATTGTAAATCGATGTGTTTTTTTTTTCCAGTCGATCATCCACATGGCGTCGATTGTACTGTCGATAGGGGCGTTCTACCTGTACTCGATACTGTACAATACGTATTGCATCAACTGCTTCGGATTGCCGAGCACCTACTGGACTATTCAGATAACGATGTCGAGGCCTACGTATTGGCTGGCGACGTTGTTGTCGTGCGTGGTGGCCTTGTTGCCTAGGTAAACGTTTGTACATAGTGTATGTTAATCGGACGGTTTGATTTATTTGTTGTTTTTTTCTGTGGTAGGGTGTTGTACAGGGTGAGCCAAACGATTTGGGCGCCGGACGAGGTGAGCAGGGCGTTGATATACGAACGGAGGGCGGCTAGAAGAGGTGAGAAGTTTTTGGTATCTTGGTCGCGATCGACTTCATCGTCCTCTGTTTACAGGTATTCTAAAGGGCGGTGTGTGTGTTTGGTTTTAGCTAGTTTTGGTTTTTATTCTTTCCTGATTTGTACGTTTGTTGTTTGGTTTGATTGAAAACGCACCGCTTTTACCTGCAAAATCACGCGATTTGATTCGATATTTTTCGCACTTGTTTTTGTAGAATTAATGCTTTATTTAGTACCTATGCGTAGTAAATTTACGGTTGATTTAAACGTGTAATAAAATTGGTTTTACTTTTACAGAACCAACAATTCGAGGCCTCAGAATAACTCTTTGACGACGGTGGGATGAATTAGTTAGAAAAATACCTTTCTTAATGCTTGCATTTTGTATATAAAGAAGGCTGTGATTTCGTATGTAATACGTAAGAGGGACCAACTGAGTAATTTATTTTTCGATTAACTTACTACATAAACTATTTTTTTCCATGTTTTTAGTGCGTTACAATTTTGTGCCATTTTTCGTTTCGATTATGTTCATTTTAACGATTTTATCCTACTAGGTCTATTATTACAATATAAAAGAAAATATTTATTGAATAAAGTATTTTATTAGAGTTTAGGTGTTTTTATTTGGTGACATGTGAAAGATAACATTCACAACAACGTTTTACAGGCTCATATGCATAGACAAAATATGAGAGAACAGAAAAAAGGGCTTTTTCCTTTGAGATTTCTGAAAAATTACTGAAGATTATGCATTCATAAGTTTCTAATACACGAAAAATTGGTCCGATTTTTAGTTCGATTAAGATATAATAGATGTCGCCTAAAACACATCGCGCACGATAACGTATGGTTAAGTTACTTAAGAAAGTATAGCAAAAGGGATGGCACCGGTGGGGGAGGGCGGCGGAACAACAAATTTTCCAAACATACTTCGTTTCATGAAGATCATGCAAGATTTCAACAAGAATCCTGAGGCTTTTTGAATTTAAAAAAGAGTAACATACCCTCCCCGTGGCAAAGGAGATACTGACCGCTCCCGCAGCCGACTTGCGTATTTATAATTGTAAAACTCGTGGCGCCATCTACTAATAAGATGAGGAACTAAAAATAAACCAAATGTAGGAAACTGTTTGTTACCATCTTCTTCTTTTTCGGATTTTGGCCTCAGCTACTGCGGCTATTCGAAATTATTGGTAATTTCAAATGTAGATGGAATAAAACATTTTCAACGATGTTTTTAATAATATTTCTATTTTCTTACAATAAACCAAACCATAGACAAAATAAAAGAGACTGTTTAAAGCATAGGACATATCGGACTACACGATTTTTTTTGAAGACCCCGTGAGAGGCGCTGCTATCGAAAAATGAAATATATTTCAATTTTTTTGATTGGACAATTTCACATAAATGCTCGAACGCAAACGATAGCGATGTTCGGTTTGTTTCGTTCGGTAGTCTTCCTTGCCGTTCTTGTCGAGTTGTGTTATGCACTTACGCTGGTCTTTTTACGTAAGTTTCGTGAGTAGTGTGCGCCATTTTTGTGTATAACCTAAATTGGTGAGTTTTTATATATTTTTTTATTTTTAATTGTGTTTGCTCATTTAAAATGTCAACACCAAAGAACACTTTCTTGCAAAGATCATAAATCAGATGTTTTTTGTCAACTTTTTGCAGCCATTGTACCAATTGTATTATTGTATGCCATTGTATTATCGGGAAAATGGTAAAAACTAACAACTATTTCTCACTATTCGTTATTTTACCTGAATTCGATGCTGCTGATATTTTTTTGTTTTAGATAAAGTACGTTATAAGAACTGGAAGGTGTAGACCCTGGGAGCTGAGGAATAAGACCAACTTTATCGTTGTATAGCTTTAGAAATAACCAATTTTACTAAAATAATTCTATTTAAATTTAGTGTATGTAAATATCCTTTCGTAACTTCTGTGATATAAATGTGATTTTTCCTTTAGATATTAGTAGGTACTTATTTTTAATGTAAAATTTTAAATTAATAAATTTCTACATAAATCGATTAATTCTATTATTTTAAATATTCCAATTTGTAAATTGTGTATGCATTTGATAGTCGTTTTTCTTGCTTGAGAAACGGCTATTGAATGACTACACAATTATCAAATGTAAGAAAATAAAATAGAATTATAGAAATAAAATTTAAATTTACCGCCATTTTTTGTTTTTAAATATAGAAGAAATCTACACTGTCATTCTTGATTAGTTCGCGATAAATTGACGACCGGAGTTAGAGGCAGCACCATCAACATTATGCCAATTTTTAGTAAAGGATCGAACTCTCTCATCTTTCTTTCTCTATGAACCAAACTACAAAATAGACAATTTCCTGGTATTCCTGTGTAGCGTAGAGAGTAAAGTCTTCTTCTTCTTTTCGCCTTGTATGTATTTCCTGGAATTTCACAATCTCCTCATAAGCTCGCCGAACCTCTGCACTAGCAGATACGAAGAATCACCTGGAGCTCTCTTTACGTTACTGTAATTCTCTAAGAAGGTGGTCTGTGTTCTCTTCCCTCAAGGAGTTATTCCAAAGCCTGCAATTTTACCAGTAACATTTAATTAGCATTTTGTCTATGGCCCGTATTCTGCGACCCATTTTAACTTTAGAGTGACTCTAAAGTCGCGTGTTTAACTTGACAGTTTTACATTGCTGTTATGAAGTAACTAGGGACTAGAGACGCGTATTTAGAGTCACGCTAAAGTTAAAATGGGTCGCTGAATACGGGGCTATGAATTTTGCGCATTCGAAATAATCGAAGTGGACGAGGCCACCAAAATGGCACTATCAAGACACAGAACATTCCTATGCCTGTTGACGTTTCGTGTCATTTGTCAATTTATCAATCAAAACAAACCATTATTTTTTTGAATTTGTTGGTTTTTCTTGAAATATCGAACATGATGCGAAACGAACCGAGAATAATAAGCGAAAAGGACCAAGGGAATTCGTTTTCGGCGTACGCGCGCATGGAAGACCTGCTGAACAAACTAAAATTGCTAAACTATGAGTCTGAATTTTTAAGTGACCTTAAAATGAAACCAATTCACAAGTATACAGTTTCCCAAATTACACCAATTATCCATAATAACCTTCCGATATTTCAGATACTACTTTGTGGTAACCAAAAACCCCGGGGAACAATTTTACTTATTCTCGCTGTTAGCCAGTTGGTTGATTAACAAAAGTGGCAAACCTTTCGAGCGCCCTCAGGAATTCGACGACCCCAACGAAAGCATCGAAAGAATACTGAACGAAGTCAAAGCGAACGTAATAATACCAACAAATTTACACCAACCTTTCGTTTAATCCAATTTTTCTGCAGGATATGATAGTCGATTTCTCGCCTAATAAAATCAAACAGGGCGTCGGAGAGCACGTAGTATCGATTTTAGACCATCTAGCCGACGTCGCTCTACGAAAAAATAACGTGCAGTTAAAGCGACCCAAACCGCCGGAAGAAGTAGAAGAAGAAACTGAGGTACTAGACGATGAAGCGGAAATAAACCTGGATCGAATCGAAGAAGAAATGATGGCCGCCTACTCGGACGATTCCGACGAGGAAAACATATTCCGTTTGCACGACATCAAGCCACCCAAAAGGGAAATCATCACCAACGATCTGGTTGCAAACATAGACGAGGAAGCATGGAAACAAGAAGTAATAGAATCCTCACGAATCATCACGAATACAATCGTGTTTTGCAGGTGGAAAGAGTGTTGCCTCGACTGAAAGTAACCATCAGAAACGACAACAGAGACTGGAGGTCCCATTTGGAACAGATGAAGCAACACCAAGCGAATATCGACGGAAACTTCACCACGACCAAAGGCCAATTGGACAAACTCCACAACGAAATCGGCAATTCGATAGACAAAGTGAACAAACGAGAGAAGTACTTCAACAGGGAACTCGAGCCGATCCTGGAGGAGTTCCGCAGCTTGCAGGATCAGCTCTCCAAGTTGAAAGACACCTACAAAAACGTCAGTACAGGGGTGGCTGAGAGAAACCGGGAGCTCTACAAGTTAACAGAGAAATTGGAAACTGTCAAGCAACAGATGGAGGAACGGGGGAGTTCCATGACGGATGGAAGTGAGTATACTTTACTTACAAATTGTTACGTGTTTAATATAATTGTTATGTAGCTCCGTTGGTGAATATCAAGAAAGCCGTGGCGAAAGTCAAGGGGGAAATAGTGGAGATGGACGTGAGAATCGGCGTATTAGAAAGCGTCTTATTGCAGACGAAAATCAGGGAAGAGAAGCAAATCGAAAACGAATTCGGCCAGTCGATTTCAGTTTATTGAATTTAGGTACTATTTAATTTACATATACAAACGTTCTAGTCAGTCACCGATTTCATGTATTTTACCACGAAATAATAAACAATACAGTAAATATACTTTCTATTTAATATCAACGTCCTGTTTAAAAATAAACTCCTCTTTATAACCGCTTGTATCAGTACAACTGTTTTTACAAGTGTAAACGAGTAAAGTCCCCCAATCGATATCGGTCTCCTTTAAATACGATAACATTTGCGGCATTATTTGAAACTCGAACTGTCTCGGTCCTTGGCAATGTTCGCAATCCGGTACTTCTTCTGGAACAGGCTCTTTAGATATCCATAACGGTTGTCCGCCTCTCTTATACCGAATCACTTGCTCGGGATTGTGTTTAACAGTTTCTTGAAATTTAGTAAAAACTTTATCGGTATCATTAGTAGCATGAGCGTCTAATTCCGACTCCGAAGCCTCTTCTAAACTACCAATTTTGCCTTCTTCTTTCAACTGTTCGTATTTCTTCAGCTCGTCTTCCTCTGTGGATGCGCTTGCGGTAATTTCTTCGGGTTCGGTGATGATTTCCCATTCTAGAAAGAGTAATTTGGAGTTTTTCTTCACTTGCGTGGTATTGTCGCTTCCGCACTCCTTCTTATGACCTTCTTTCCAATCTAGGATCTGGTGATTTCGACTGCAGTAATGGGTGTTTTTGCATTTGCTGCATTGTTTTTCAGCCAAGCAACCACACAAATTGCAAAGTACAGCCCAAGTGGCTAGAGTAAAATCAGGTTTAGGCCTATCTTCGGGCGGATCGTACGGATAGTACTTGTTGTTCCTCTGCAAACTGCTCCTAAACACCTTCATGTTGCCATTATCGTTTCGTTCGCAACACTCCGAATTCCTGCATACAAACAAGAATATGGTCCTGTGGAAATTGTTCAGGTAGTTATCGAAGGATTCTTGGATGTTTTCTTCGTACGGAGCGTACAATTGACACAAAAATACCATGGTGTTTTTGCATTTCTTACATTGGAGCTGATCAGACGAGGGCAGTTTCTCCAAATCCAACCACGCTGGTTTTCCGCCAACTTTGCTGGGAAACAACCGGCTCTCTACTTGCCACGGTTCGCAAATATCCAAAAAACCCAATTCAACACCTCCTTCATTCATTGTTACTTTAATTAATATTTAAAAATTGTAAAATTTTCGAAATATTCACAACTTTTTTTAAGGTTAGGTTCATCTAATTTGACAGGTGTCTTCTTCTTTTGTGTGAGGTGTCTTTAACTAATACCCTATGCAGTCAATTTTATAACTGTCAAATTATACAATGACATTTCCGAAAAAGAAGACGAATAAATAAGGTTAGTTTATTATTTATTTACAAACAATAGTTTTGAAATAATTCGAAATATGCATATCGTTTTACCCGCAGATAACGATTACTGTTGATAAACGATAACAATACATATATCAATGCAATTCTCATAAAATCCAGGCCAGTCAGTTGAACATTCTGAACCACTACAAAATGAAGATACTTCAAACTGCGTTATTGCTCTTTTGTGCGAAGCTCTCGGTCGCCGATATTTTGTATTATCAACCGGAGCAAGTACACATAGCTTACGGGGCTAACGTATTCGAAATCGTCGTCGTTTGGTCGACGTTCAACGACACCCCCAGTTCAGTCGTTGAATACGGTATAGGCGGATTGATCCTTCGAGCGGAGGGCGAATCCACGAAATTCGTCGACGGGGGCCGCGAGAAACGCTCGCAGTACATCCACAAGGTGGTTTTAAAGAACCTGACGCCTGCCAGCAAGTACCGTAAGAATTACCAGAGCTTATTAGGTAAATCGCTCTTTTGATATGTGTTTGTTTTGTTAGAATACCATTGCGGAAGCGACTTGGGCTGGTCGAATTTGTTCTATTTCAAGACCGCTCCCGATTCGCCGAACTGGCAGCCCCATTTGGCCGTTTACGGCGATATGGGGAACGAGAATCCCCAATCTTTGGTGCGATTGCAAGAGGAAACGCAGAGGGGGCTGTACGATGCTATTCTACACGTAGGAGATTTCGCATACGATATGGACACTGTAAGAATTTACCGAATCTCTTTTTTCAATACGATATTAATGAATAATTAATTATTGGATGGTTATCTTATCGACTGTTAAGTATCGATTTGTTTATTGTTTTATTTAAAATAAACACAACACTTGAAATTGTTTATAAAAAATCGATCTAATAATAACTTCTTTTGTTGACAGAACGACGCGCGCGTCGGAGATGAATTTATGAGGCAAATAGAATCCATAGCTGCTTACGTTCCCTACATGACGTGCCCCGGAAACCACGAAGAGAGCTAGTAAGCGAAGCCGCCGAATAGAAATTCATAAATGCATTTTTCTTTAGTAATTTCAGTAATTACCGCGCCAGATTCGCGATGCCCGGCGCGCCGGATTCGTCCATGTACAGCGCAAACATCGGTCCTTTGCACGTCATCTCTATATCAACCGAAGTGTACTATTTCTTAGACTACGGGTTGAAACCGTTAGTGTTCCAATACCAGTGGCTCGAGGACGATTTGGCGAGGGCCAACCTGCCCGAGAACAGGGCGAAACAACCGTGGATAATCGTCATGGGACACCGACCGATGTACTGTTCGAACACCGATAAAGACGATTGCACCCATCACGAAACGATCACCAGAGTGGGTTTACCCTTCCTGCATTTCTTCGGTTTGGAAGATTTGCTGTACAACTACGGCGTGGACTTGGCCATTTGGGCGCACGAGCACTCTTACGAACGCTTGTGGCCCGTTTACAACTACACCATTTACAACGGTAGTTACGAACAACCGTACGTTAATCCGGGGTACGGAATTCGCTCGAAAAAGCGAGTAGAAATGTAAAAATTCGTGTATTTTTAGGGCTCCGGTGCAATTCACGACCGGCTCGGCGGGTTGCAAAGAGGGCAGGGATACTTTCATAGCGAACTTGCCCGATTGGTCTGCGTTTAGATCCAACGATTACGGTTACACGCGCTTGAAGGTTTACAACAGTTCCCATTTGCACATCGAGCAAGTTTCCGACGACAAGCAGGGAGATATTATCGATTCGTTTTGGATAGTGAAAGATAAACACGGCCTCTATCCGGGATCCAAGATGGATTGGGCCAAGGTGGACCAGATGAGATTGCAGAGTATGAATAATTAGTTTTCATAAGATGGGCAAATTCTTCGTAGTGAAACAAAGTTAGTTAATATAGCTTCGAAAAGCAAATTATTAGTATATGCTAGTGCTGTATCTAACATATAACATGCTCATTATGAGATATTGATATGTAAAGTTACCATTTTAGTATTTAAGTTGATATGTTTTATGTAAATTGACCGTATGTAAGATCAGATTAAATTGCTAGTCAATAAATAAATAAAAATTAAAATGTGCACGTACCGCTTTGATGCCGCTTCAGTAAAAGGTCATATAACCGTCAGGGCTTTACCGAACTAGTCACTGTTGACTCAACTCGTCGGAGTCTCCAACTGCAAGAAAAAAATGACCTTGATTCTCATAAAATGTAAGCTGGCCGGATGCGATACATCGCAAGAGGCCCATTAATAAAAGAAGAAGAAAACATATAAATATTTTATAATAAAAGTAAATGGATTTTTTAATAAATAAATTTAACGACTTTAAGCACTCAAATAAAACAGCGATGATCGTTTGTGATAATGAAAAAATCCTGGCGACGAAAACCTACAAAGAAATTTGCGAAATCAGCGCAACGTTCGAAAAAGAATTTCGAGTTTCATTAACTAACGACAATTTATGCGTAGGTTTGCGTATGGAGAAAAACGAGTATTTACCTTCGATAATATTAAGGTAAATTACTTAATTTTTCGTCCTAAAAATTTCATAGAATGTTAATTAGTTTACAGGTACTTCATCATGCGTTTGTGTATATCCCTACGAATGTTGCCATGAACACCATCAATATACACTACATATTAACATTTAATAGCGATTTGGATCGAAAATTTGAAAAAACCCGCGAAATATTAATTAACAACAATACATTTACACTATGGAAAATTTCAACAATCTCCACAGACTTATTTAAGGATGTTTTTTGTATAATGCATACATCCGGCTCGACTGGCGAAAGCAAATCCATAAGAATACAAAACAAATGTATAGAAACTAACGCAATAAATTTAGGGTAATAAACCAATACCTAATTAATCACTACAACTTATACAAAAGTTTGTTTTAGACACGTTTTCAAAATCACATCCGAAGATATCATCTTTTGGGGCACACCTCTATCATTCGACCCATCTCTAATAGAACTTTTACTAGCGTTATTCAACGAATCTACCCTCGTAATAACATCTTACAAAACGTATTTAAACCCAACAGCCCTTTATTCGGCTTTATTCCGGGTAGCTCGTGTGACATTCCTCCAAACGGTACCTTCGATATTCCTCAGATGGAGCGAAACTTGCATTAAACGCCTACTATGCGACAGCGAGTTGAGATTATTGGCTTTCGGCGGGGAAGCTTTCCCGAAAGACTTGTTAGGATACCCCAGGAGAGAAGATTTGAGCGTTTTTAATCTGTATGGTATCACTGAGTTAAGTTGTTGGGCTACTGTTCATCGAATAACCGAAGAAACTCAGTTCGATGATATACCTATAGGTGGAGCTTTAGATGAAACTATTGTAGAAGTGAGGAATGATGCAAACGAGGTGATAGAAAGAGGCGAAGGAACGATTTATATAGGTAAAGGAATTAATTAAGATTAAATGGTTGGTTAATTCTGCGATTTTAGGTAGTAACTCGAGAGGATGCTTAATAAACGATGAACTGGTAACAGATTCACCGAGGTTTAGAAACACTGGAGACCTAGGATTCGTTGCAAACGGGATTATTTGCTACAAAGGCAGGACAAATGGGGTCGTCAAGAGGTTCGGTTTGAGGGTAAATTTAGCAGAAATCGAGGAAATTGTATTCAAAGAATGCCAGCTAACGAGTAAATGCGTGTGGTCCGATAAATACAAGAAGTTGTTATGCTTTACCATAGTAAAAAACATCGCTTCTAACAGTACGAAGGAAAAAATATTGGACAAATTTCGAGTTAAATTACTAAAAGTATTACGAACCGAATATTTCCCGGATTATTTCGAATTGCTAGAAACATTCCCTACCAGTTCGCACGGTAAAATCGACGAGAAAACGCTGGAAGAGTACTATTCAATACACACCTCGAGCCAACGAGTCAACCCGGTAGATTTATTCCAGAAACTCTGGTTCAAATACCTCGGAATCTACAACAACAACACCGACGATTTGGAAAATTACAGCTTCTTCGAAATGGGCGGAAAATCAATCAACGTTATTCAGCTAATAGCGGAATTCAAATTGCTATCTAACATCGATTCCAGCCGATTGATCGAAGCCGTATTCGAAAAGCCATTAAACGAATGCAAAAACATACTAATCAAGCAAGCTTGTAGCACCATTCAAACCGAATCTACCCCTAACACAGAAGATTATAATAAATATAAACCCATGAAGGTATCGTGGAAGTACGATATGAAATCGTGCGTTGACTCATCTCCGCTAATTTTCACCGACAGGCAAGTTTAATGCAACTTGTAGCGACTTTGAAAGAACTATACAAGTTTATTTCAGGTTCAACGAAGCGCGAATAGCGATCGGCAGTTTCGGCAACATATTCGCCGTTCTCGACGAAAACGGACGAGAAATCTACAAAACTATTCTCGGCGGCTCGATCGAATGCGTTCCCGCCGTTTCGCCCTGCAAAAACTTCATCTACGTAGGCTGTTACGATGGAATAATGTACTGCATTAATTTCCACGCGAACCGGACGATTTGGTCCTTCGAAACCGGCGATAGAATCAAATGCTCGCCGTTATTTCTCAACGACGGCGCTCGAATCGTTTTCGGCTCCTACGATAATTACGTTTACTGCTTATCCTCGCAGGTAACTCCCTTGGTTACTCCATAACAACCATGTAAAACTGTCAAATTCAGGAGTCCTTAGTTACTCCATAACAACAATGTAAAACTGTCAAGTTAGAGACTTTTCGGGCCATAGTCTTTACAGTATCAATTGAATATATCATATAAAAATTGTACAGATTTCAATGCAATATAATAACGGTTTTTTTTTACAGGACGGCGTAAAAATATGGTCAACGAAACTGGACGGGAGCGTTTCGGCTAATCTCATCGAGCGAGAAAAATTCGGAATTTTCGCGGCGACTACTCGAGGGCTCTCCTACCGACTCTCGGAGACCGACGGGAGAATCTTGTGGAGTTACAAATGCGAGTCCCCGGTATTCGGAACTCCGTTGTATTCGAAAGAACTGCTGTTGGTGCCTTCGGTGAGCGGCGTCGTGACGCTCTTATCGGCCGACGGCGGTCGATTGGCGTCGAAATTCCAATCGGACGGGCGCGTTTTCTCCTCGTTGGCGATCATCGAGGATTACGTGGTGTTCGGGTGTCATGATCGATGCCTTTACGTGGCGAAACTCGTCGACGAGGAATTGGTTTTGATGAAGAAACTTTCGCTAGACGGTGAAATTTCGTCGACGCCTTGCGTTCGAGACTGGAACGGTTTTAAATCGATTATCGCTGCTACTAACGTCGGTACGGTGTATTCGATTAATTTCGATGATTTGGTAATTAATCGTTTAATTCGATTACCCGGCGAGGTGTTCTCGTCGCCTGTTGAATACAACAACAAAGTGTACGTAGGTTGTAGGGATAATAATTTGTATTGTATATCCATAACAATGTAAAACTGTCAATTGAAACAATCTCCTTAGTTACTCCATAACAACAATGTAAAACTGTCAAGTAAAAAAGACTACGCTAAAGAGACTTCCATACAATAGGTTTTAATAGATAAAATAAATACAAAAATCTACAATAACTCAATACAACAGTAAAAAAAATTATATTAATAATGCAAAGTGCAAAGTAAATACTACTTTTGCAATAAATAATCCTTCAAAGGCAACATTTTATTCGCCGTTATGCTATCCAAAATCCACTTTTCCGAAACGCAAACGGCCCTCGACTGATCGGTTACCTGCCCCACCACAACAGCAGCCCTACTCAACACTTTAGTGATCTTCCCTTTGCACGCGACGACCAACTCCCTCAAATCCGAGCACCGAGGAATGCTACCCAAATACACGTAAATAGGACCGCAATCCTCGAATATGTCCATCACGGAGAATGGCCCGAAGGCCTGGCGCATCAGCCTGCAGGCCTGCACGGCCGGCGAGAACTCGACCACTTCGTAGTCCTCCTCTTCGACCCACCGGCCCGCTTCCAGCGAGCGCAGCAGCCACTCCTTGCGCAGCACCCAGCAGCCCATGGTGATGGCCCGCAGCATGTTGATGGTGCGCTTGGGCTCGCCCACCACCAGATGCGTGGTCCTCGACGAGACCTCGTCCTCGACGGCGAAGCGGCCCAGCTTCCTGACCACCTGCTCGAACAGATCGATGTTGGCCGAGTCCATTTTCGTGTAGACTATGGTGGGGTTGTTGGCGTAGACTTTTAGTTTTCGTTTGGCTGCGGCGCGTTGGGAAGAGGCCGGTTGGAAATCCGACGCGCTTTGTCTGGTTCGGTTCTGCTTGCTGTTTTCTTTGCCCAGTAGCTTGGTTTTCAAGTTCGACGATAGAAGAATCGATGGGTTTAGTTGGTAAGCCTGGTCGGTTTGTAGTTTGCGTTTTTTTCGATTTTTCGACCGTTCTAAATCGTCGTCGTTGTCGCGCGCTTGGTACGAATCGAATTCGGGATCGAAAAGTTTCCGCTTTGTCTTCGTTTTCTTGTTTATTGGTAATTTCTCGCCAAGCACAGGCTTGGTCGGTTCATCGGTAGGTGTAATCGGCTGTCTTCTGGCTCGTAGAGTGATCCGTCGAGGTTCTTTCGAATCGTTAGGATTTAATGATTTTTCTACCGATTGAGCATTTGAACTACCATCCTTAGTACTGCTAGTATTTTCTTGTGTTTGTACATCGACAAGCGAACTATTCCGTTTCTTTTTCCTTGTGGTAACTTTAGAAAACGAACGATTATTCAAAGGTGTTTCTACATTACCAGAATCTTTTTTACCCTTGCTTTCTTTTCTAGCGCCTTCTGTGCAAGTTTCGTTATCATCTAATCCTTCTATGATGGTATTAACTACATTAGAATCAATCAAATTGTTAGAACTGACGGAAAATTTGCTACCATCAGACGATTTTTGAAGACTTTTGCATTTCTTATTAGACATCGAACGCGTTCTTCTATTATTAACCGATATATTAGATGTTAACACTGTTTCATCTACATCACCTACAGATAAATCAGCTTTTCTAGAGTACACGGAACTAAGAAAGGAATCTGGCGTTTCTTTACAAACACCCAAACTCCCGTCTTTACTCCCGGATTTATCGATTAACGTTAAATCCATGTCAACACTTCGATTTCGCTCACTAAAACTGCAACCGTTAATCAAAGGTTCGGTTTCGAAATCGACCTTTCTAACACCGCAAAACTCGCTAGTGCCTTCGTTCAATTGCTGCGCAGCCACGCTTTTATCGAACTCGTCCCGTACGACTTCTTCGTAATCCTTTTGATATTGCTGAACACATCAATAAATTGTCAATAATCGATTGGCTTTAGAGTTTGGAGTGAGTGTACTTACCGAACACAAGATCGATTGCTGCGGATCGTAAGCGACGAGGCCGATAGGGCGGATGGCTGGGTAATCGTTTTCCGAGGCCTTTCTTCCGTTCACTTTGCAGGCCTCTACCCACAGCACGGAGACTAACTTGGCGCCGATAAATTTCGCTTTTTGGTAGGTAGAAACCGATCCCTCCTATAACCGAAAGTATAATAAATACGGTTCGTTTATTTCCTGCGATAATTGTACCTTGTAAATAACGTGGGTTACGTCTTTTAGGAATCGATCTCGAATGGTGGCTCCCATGCTTTCCAGCACGAATTTGATGCCTTTAGATCTATCGTTTTCGCCCGTTTTCACTTCTACGAATGCTATGACGCCTTCTAAGATTTTACAGAAATTTACCGGAGATGGAACGGGGGAAACGCTGGACTCGCTCGGGGGGTTTCTGCTGTCGGATTCTTCACCTGCGTTAGGATTTAATTGGTTACAAAAACGTATTGTTCTATGATTTATTGTTACCTTCGTCTTTGGATTGGTTTCGTTTTTCCAACATCCTTCTTCTTAGTAGAGCTATGGGGCTTTCGAACGTTTTGGGTTTCTTTCGTGTTGGCGTAGCGGGCGAGTTCTTGCGCTGTTCTAATTCTTGTTCGTACGCCTCTATTTTGGATTTCTCGGTAGTCACTATTTCGAGGATCATTTGCCTTTTGATCGGGCATTTTAGCAAATTTTTTATATCGTCAGGCTTGATTTCGCCGAGTTTTAATTTTAGCAACTCGTCCATTTCGTTCTGTTGTTTGCAAATTATAAATAAACTAATTAGCAATTATAAACTTATTGTTTTCTAAACTAAACTGTATCATTTTAAAAGAACTTGTCAAATGTCAAAATTTGACGTATTGAATCAACGGTCTGAGATTAGCCACTGATGCGTGTTGTTATTAGTAGTGGCCTCTTACTTTTCATCATTCGGATACCGCGCAAGCGGTTATTTTAATTCGCTCGTTTTCGTGAAAAGCCGATGATTGCCGTAGAAGTTTCAAACAATCGGCCGCTGAACTTTGCCGGTAGCAGCCGGTCTCCGTCGGTGTTGATATACCTTTTTCGCTTTTAGTTTGTCGCGAGCTCTCGTAGGGTAGGGTGCATTTCGTTTGGGATTTATTTACGCGCTTATAATTTCACAAAAATCACCATTTTAGTGACTTAAATCGGTTAAATCATGACTTAAAATCGATGTTTTATGCTGTTTATCGTACGCCGGTGATTTTCGCTGATGAATAAAATGAAGGCGATCTTTGTTTTGTTGGTTTTGTGGCGTTTAAGTAAGTTTGCATTGAATTAAATAGTTTAAACTAATTTTGAGTTGCTTTATTAATAAGTACATTTTTACTTTACGTTAAAAACTGCAGCCATCTTTGTTTGATTAAAAAATATACCAACCTGTCAATTTTGACATGTAGGTATTTTTGACATTTAGTTCGTTTATAAAATGGTTCCAAAGGCAACAATTGCGAGTCGAAGGAAGAAAAAAGAAGAAACAAATTAAAAAAAAAAAACTATAAAATTTCGAACTTAAAAGTAGCAATTATGTTGTAATCCGTGGCGAATCGTCGTATACGACCCCGTATTAAATACGTTTCAAGCCGGCCGTAAATTCATACCAAGAAATAACTCATTTAATGCACCGCGTACCGTAGCTAAACCGCTTTGTTCTTTCGGCGATTCCGTTTTCCCACTCGCCGATCGGCCGTGGGTTTTTTTCCCTCCCGGATTTCGCCTGCCCGTCGTCGGGCCACCGGGAGACGAGACACGACGAATAATAAACGCCGGGCATCAGTCGATTAGCGTCCGGAGTTCGAGTTTAATTGGCCGAAGATGCGAAGATAAAGCCAAACTGTCGGCCGTTTTTAATTAATTCCCTGGCTTTTTTTTACGCGCTCGCCGGCGAGCCGGAGCTCCGGCGAATTTAATAACTCGGAAAAGATGCGCGAGGTTATTAATTATGCATGTACCGACGAGGATATTATAGATGCATATAGACAGACGGGCGATAAAAAATGAATACATCTGTGGAAGAAAAATTGTAAATTTATATATCTATATCTATACGCAAAAGCTGGAATTCTCGACAGTGACGTCACTAAACAGCGAGAGCTCTCATTGGCTGTTAATACTGATGAAACACTATCGAGCACTCCCATTGGCTAGACCCAGTGACGTCACTACCAGCTATTGCCTATGGGAGCAACAAAGACAACATAGTCTTTTCACTCTAACCACCGTTATTTTATAATAACTTTGTTCAACATATAGAAGCGACCATATCGCAAACAATCCTGCACTTACCCCTAAGTACTGTTTCCTGGGGAGTAGCTCCTCAACTGTAATGTTCTTTAACCATAATATTTAGTCTCAAATTTGCGATATTCTTTGCAGCATTAAAGGCGGAAAGCAAGGACGATCCGTACTTCGTGAAAACCCCCAAAGACGTGGACGTGATCCTCGGCCGGCCCGTCAACTTACCGTGCGAGGTGACGCCCGACGACGGCGTCTCGTACTACTGGGAACTGAACGGTACGTATTCGATGCACCCGCGTATACGGAGTGTCCATGTTCGAGCGCTGCAAACAGTAGAAAGAGAGAATCAGTCGAACTGTGGAGAGATGAATCGTCGGACGAATGTAGCGCTCGACCCTGGACATATGGTATTTGCCAAAATTCTAACGAAATCGACTCGTCTGCAGGCTCGAAACTGGCCAACACCACCCGCCGGTACCAACAGGGCGGCGATTTGCGCATAACGCGCGTCGATCGCGAACGCGACGCCGGCCAATTCACTTGCATCGCCGTCGACGAGGCTCGGACGGCCATCACCAGTTCGCCGGCCACCATCAACATACAATGTGAGTACCGTACATCCTTTTATCTAGGCTAGAATCGACCAGTACCAGCTCGGAGATATCAATGAAACGATCGTTTGTAAACTCTCTTTTAAGTGTGTTATGAAGATGGTCATAGAGAAGATGGTGGAGATTGAATCTTGCATATAGGTTTGTTTCTAGATCCTTTCAGTAGCTTCTGATAGGGTTGGGTAGGGTCATGGAGAAGGTGGTGTAGATTGAATCTTGCATATAGGTTTTTAAATCCTTTCACTAGCTTCTGATAGATTTGGGTCATGGAGAGGATTGTGTAGATTAAATCTTGCATAGGTTTTCTAGACCCTTTCACTGGCTTCTGATAGAGTAGGGTAGGGTCGTGCAAAAGATGTAGATGGTGTAGATTGAATCGCTTTCATTAGCTTCTGGTAGACTTCTTGATGTGCACAAAGTTTAATCCTCTATAGGCGTCGTTAGGGAGAAGATGCAAGAAGTGTGAAATAATCTTTACATTCGGGGAAGTCCCGTCGACGGACGTGGAAGAAGTCCAGACGTGTTTCATTTGTAAACTAAAAATCCTTCGACTCGATTTATTATTAGTAATAAAACGTCGATTAAGAGGGCGGCACGTACGCTATCCCGTGCACATGAACTTGGGTACTTTTATAAATAAACCCGTCGGGGACGTCACTTCGCTGTCGGGAATGGGTTTATGGATATATATACCGGGTAACGTTCGATTGTTATGGCTATGGTTTCCTGTCGAATGTGTTCGTTTATTCCGTCGGTGTCGTTTCTTGTTCTTTTGAAACGAGCCGTGGGCTTTCGGGGGCCCTTTTTAACGCGCCATGTGGCTGCGGGTTTATTTCGGATGTCGGATCGAGGCACATGTGTCAAGCTAAGTCGAGCGGATCGCGGTAATAAATCGCGTTCTACTAATTAAAAACGGCGACTTAATGGTGCTCCTGGTAGTTTGGAAATGGGATAATGTGACTCTTCAACTAATTATACTTTTCACTAATTGCAACAATAGGTGTATGTTATTGAATGGTGTATTAATTCGGTAGAGTTTCGGTCATGCAAACGCTCCGTTTGTGAGGTTTTTTTTTCTCCCGACGAAGTCATATCTAAATGGGGGAATTCCATTTGCCAAATGGGATTCTAAGTAAATACAAATTCGGGAAACGTATAACCGTACCCGAGGAATTGTCTGCTCACAACCTGTTTGCGGATATTCGCTAAAATGAAAAGGATTTTTCATTTCGTTACTGCATCATTTGAGATACGGGGAGAATGGTAAGAGTAACGCTGAAAATTCCGAATTGTAAAGGACAATCAAGAAATGCATTAACAAAAAAAATATCTTTCTGGTGTAAACAACCGTATATACCCTAAAGCGAAATGAGGCACAATGCCGGTTTAAATCTCCCCTTTTGGAGAAAGCTTTATCTTTGGCAAAGAAAGCTTTGGAAAAGCAGACGCGATTTTTCTCTCGAAGCGTTATAAACAATCACTTGTGAATAACGCTAAATGCAACAAACAAGCGCGTCGAAATTACGATCTGTTTACGCCCGTAAAATTCGGGCGAAGCGCGCGTGAAAAGGTTCGATTTGTTTTTTCAGTTTTTCGACGGAACGGATGTGAAAAGAAACGAACGAACGAAATGGATCTATCAAACGGCCTTAGAGGCGCTAATGAAATTCGAATGGTTTACAAATAAAGTGAGCTTTCACGCCTCACGACGTGCCGACTAAGTGCTGAAAACGTCTACTGATTTTCAAATAAACTCTCGCCCGGGAACTGGGAAATCGGGCGTTTTTTTTTGCCTCTTTTTCTGTCTCATTCAAGGCCACTGCGTCGATATTACTAACTGTCAAAGCGATCTGTCAATGTTGTCAACGTCAATTGACATGTGTTATTTTTTGTTTTTCCCCAAACGTTTCGACCATCAACTTTGTGTTTGCTTTTCGTATGGTATCATTCCTGTTTGTGACAGATAAGCAATGTTAAGTGTTAACTGTAAACTTGATAAATCTCTGTACTACGTAGCGTAAACGCATCAAGTTGTATCCACATCTGCGCGGAGCGACTAAAAATAAATGAAATAAAAAAAAAGTGCCCGAAAGACCGCTGAAGTTCGTCCATCGTCGACGGAACGATCATCGAACGGGATCGAAAGCGGCAACAGAAATAAACAAAACTCGCGAAGCGCATCGAAATTCGAAATGCTACGAAATTGAAGAAAAAAAATAATAATGTTTTTGTTTTCTCCGCGCGGTCCATTGTCGGGGATTCGTCTCGATTTGTGTTCCTTTTTTTTTCGTATTTCCACATCTCGTCCGATGCGCCTCCGTCTAATAAATCGACCGCGGCCAGTTTGATGGAATTCGATTTCGTTGACGAAAAACAGGTCGAGACGGCCGGCCGGCGTTTTTGATTCCGCGAGAAAAGGTTCCAGACGGTCGAATTTTAATTGTACGATTTCATATTTTTTTACCCGACCCGTTTCGGATTTTATTTAACGACTACGGATCTACCGGAATAGCGAGAGATACATTCACAACGCATTCGAGTTACAATAAAGATTTAGTTAATTTTCTCTTTAGATTGAAGACTGTAAAAAATTAAAAAAAAAATACTGTTTTCGCCCGGGATCGAACCGGGGACCTTCCGCGTGTTAGGCGGATGTGATAACCACTACACCACGAAAACACTTACTTAATCGCGACTTTATGCTAAATATAAATCCAAACTCGCCTTATAATCCTTATCAAACTGGAAATTATCAGTAATGTAATGAAATATCCTCGTCGCGGCGCCTCTGTTTCGAAAGAGCTCCGACGCTTTTCAATCAGATTTCCGATTTTAGCCGGAATGCGTGAAAGAAACGATACAATGGGTCTTTCGATGGGCTTCGAACTCTCCCGTAATCGATGCTCATCGACGGAAACAAAGGGCGAAAAAGTCGCTGAGATTTTTCATTCTCTTCGTTTACACATACTATATACAACAATTGCGGTTAGTTTTTAGTTTTTTTTTTGTTCTTTTCGACGGTATTCTTTATTAACAATGTAGAGTAATCTTGGGAAACGTTCTGATTACACAATGCAATGTTTTACGAGAGATAATAAAGTGAAGTAATTAATGAATATTATACAGTTTTAATTATATATTATAATAAAGGTTTTGTGCGATTTTAAAACGGGAATATTTTCCAAAAGTACAGTTTTAAGTACATATAAAATTAACAAAATCCATACGGAATCTTAAAATCTCGACCGAATCTAAGGCAAGTGAATAACGAGACAACGGGGGTGGATGAATAATTCCTCATATAATCAGTTATTCTCCCCCTTATATGCTTCTGTACAAGAACGAGGATTGTACCATCCCTCCTTATAATACATGGCCGTTTTTCAGCGCGAGAGCAAGAACATGTTTTATCCATTAAAATGTTTATTTTGTACCTGCTTTAAAATCCCGTCGACGTTAAATCGATACCTCCACATTCGACTAATTAGCGTTTTAACTCACCGGCTTATTTTGCACTACAAAACGAGCCGCACGCTTCAAGAAAATCTCTGTAACATTCGGGATATTTTTGTTAAGGGCGCCACTTCAAGTAATTTTTAAATGGGATTCAGTAATTCCGGTAAGATTCAAATTTGGCTTCGTCGATTGATTTGAATCTTTCTTGTACCTAATATAGAGTCTCCAAGGAATGATCTCTCCTATTTTTACTCTCTACTACTTCGTTATATATTTAAGAAAATTGCAATCAAAAACTGTTATTTATTTGGAATGCTATTTAAATGGCAAAACTTAATTCTAGTAAATCTCGAGTTTCCTCGAACGGATGTTTGAATAATTTTAGTAGGATGAAGAATACTTATTACAGAACGATGTCTCCTAGTTTATATTGATCCACAGGCTGTATTAAATTGAAAAAAACTAATAAAAGTATTTTAGCAAATGATGATTATAGATTCCTGTAAATTATGGTGTCGCCTGACATAAATGTCAAATCACAGAACAATTTTGTAAATTTGACAAACGACAGCGGTGCCAGTAGTTTCCTTTTGTCAGATATTTTTGGATAATTTGCACTTTTTTAAGGCCAGGTAATATGAAATAAGGTATTTCCAGTGCACCGGAATACTTTTAGAACACTTTAACGAGTATTTTTAAAACCCTACTTTTACCTTTTCAAATTGCAGGGAAAAGAATTGAATTTAAAATATTCTGAATAGGATATCTTATTTCACTTTCTCGTACGTTTGATTTTATGTCAAATGTAATCAAACACGGAACATCTACTAGCGAGTTAAACTAATCTCATCCCATCTATTGCGGAAAAAATTACCCAAAAACAGTTCTATATTACCCCGCGAATTATCAATTTGAGGTCGTGCTTTGGCGGCCTCAAGGATGTAGGTTACTCTCGCCTAATTGGCAACGTCGCTCGCAGAAGGTTTCAAGATCGTCTGCGAGGGTTAATCCTGCTGTAACGGCCTCGCAACCCCGCCGTACACACTCGTGAGTCACCGGGTCCTTCTGCGCCCCGAACGACCCTCTACCCCCTGCCATTTTACGCTTTCCCAATAAACCTTCCACGGTTGAGCGGCGCGCTATTTTTTGTGTACTGTATATTGCGAAACCTAACACATGAGACACCCTGTAGATCACAAAAAACACCCTGCAGATCATCAAAGTGGGCGGCGATATATCGATTGATTAACGAACTATACCTACTTGTTTCTTGTTTCGTTTGAAGGTCTTTTGATCAATCTGCTCGAATCGAGCCACCCCCCTTTAATAACTCGATCGAGGAAATTTCGTATAATTTGATGTATATACGGAAAGGGATGCGCATCGAATTATCGATAATCGCGTTAATTCGAGGGTCGATTTTAATTCCGCGGGAATTATTAACCGGAAGAATTCGTCGTGGTAGGAATCGGTTTCGTTTTAATTGACTAAAATAGGCGCTTTTGGCGGAGTTAACGCGTGAGTCATTGGGAAAGGGA